AAAGTGCAGCGTTTTGAAGTTCAGGGTGAACTTTGCATCGAATCAGCGAAAGGAAAACCAAACCTAATGGGTGTAGTTTGTTTTCATTTGCTGTATTAAAGTGCAATTTAAGCTTCAAGGTGGCTTACAAAATTGAGTATTTTGCAAAAGAAAGTTGGAATATTATTAAATCATATACTCTCTAAAAAATGTTTTTATTTTTATTAAAAATTATTTGTTACACTTTTACTTGAAAATCGCATGTACAAAAGAACAGAAACTTATTCGGCACACTTTATTTTCCATTCTTTTGTTCTTTGGAATTGTAAATGCGAGGGAATCCGAAGCTATTAAGAATCGAACAGTGTCAATCCAGCTTCAATCAATCAATGTCGCACAAGAGACCTTATCTCTGCACAATCTGGCATAGAGTGGCATTCCATTTCACCCGTCCATCCAATCCAATCCAGTTCCATTCTCCGGCCTCGGCGATCTCCCTATCACTTTCAGTACGTTTATCGGGAGTAGGGCACGTCAAATGCTTCATTAATTCCCGCTTGCAGTCGGCTGGATAGAAGAAAATGGAGAGACGTACACAAATCCTGACCCAATTAGAAATTCTCACGCAAAGAGGAGACTGAAAGCGAAGAAATGGTGGACAAACTCAAAGAAGAAGATAGACAGAAACAAAAAAAAAACGAAACGTCACGGTTAACAATTCCACGTTTAATCAAACAAACAAAGAATTAAGCAAGAAGAAAACTTGCCATCGCCTTCACAATTTTTGCTGCCTGTGTGTGGCAGAGTATCTGTTGCTGTTGCTGTTGTTTTTGTTGTTGCTGTTGCCTTTTAGCTGTTGGTGAAAGAAAAAGAAAAGTGCAGGAAGCCAAATAAGCGTGGCAAAAGAAAGCAAGCGAAACGAAACGAACGCCGCGCTCAGCACAATGGAACCGGCCCAAAAGAAGCTTACCAACTATCCAACTATCCGACCATCCGACCAGCAGCAATGGCCAGCCATTCTAAGTAGCCATAGTCCGTGGCAATAAAACAAAATTCGAACTCCAAGTGGCAGCCAATTATAAAGGCAACGTGATTGGACCGCCAAACATGCCCGAAAAACGAAAGAATCATTAAGATCCCCAAAAGAAATGGAAAGACCCAATGCTCATACAAAGCATGCACGGAAAGAAATACGTATGAATTCGATTTAAGAATTAATTCGAGTGGTACAAATTGAAATAAAGTTTAAGATATACAGTTTTATTATGAGTCCTTATAAGTTTTTTTATATCCTGTCAAGTGGTTAAACGAACTGATTTATTATTAGATACATTTTTAAGTTCTTAAGATACATTTTTCAGTTCTCTAAAAAAGTATCTAATTTTATATGAATAAAAATTCATGCAATAGTTGAGTGCTTTAAGGCTTTCAAGCATTTAAATTTATTAATAATAGGATCTTAAAAGGCTGGTTCTAATATTAAATTTAATTTTTATAATCATATGACATGGCTAGATATGTTCTTAAGATGTGATGGAATTGTGTAATCAGTCTTTCAAATCCAAGTATCTTTATCGTGCTCTTTTAAGTATTATTAAATAAATTATTAAATATTATATTATACTGTTTTTTCAAAATCAAAATTGGTACATTCTTAAATGAAGATCTACCAATATCGCATTATAAAAGGTACCAGTAACTTTAGCTCCAAAAGAACCCTTTGCTTTCTGTGTATTCATGGTCGTCAGCTATGATGGGCCTGCATTTCCGAGCTGGAGAACCGGTTCTCGACCCACGAAAGTGCTCCAAACGGAAGTGAAGCACGGCTAGCACGGCAATCGCTTACCAATGGCAATGGCGATGGTGAGATGATGAGATGGCGAGATGGAGAGAGGCAGATAAAGAACCGTCATCGGGCGAGAAGACTCGGCTCGAAGACTCCGCTTCGGCACTTCGGCTGGCGACCAAATATAGGCCAAAAGAGAAACTAACGGTAAACGTTGTTTCTTCGCCTGCTGACTTCTGCTGGCTGCTGGCGGCTGGCAAGCGAAATGGAATGGATTGTCTGCGCAAGAAGCGACCGCAGCATCAGTTTCAGCATCCGAGGATTTGGGTTACATAAAAGGGCGCAAACGGAAAGTAGAAACCGAAAGAAGTGAGAAGTGAGAAGAAGGCCCAGAGGCGGCCACATAAAGTGGCCAAAACGACCACATTCAAGCACTTCGACACTCAAACACGAACACAAAAACACACACACACACATTCGATCGTCGACGCACAAAACTTGTTGCGAAGAAAGTGAAACTTTTGTGAGCCCCAGTCTTCTGTCCCCTGCCCCTTGGCCCCTGGCCCCACCGGGATGTGTGTAGATATATATTATATATATATATGTACGATCCATTGTAAGCGGTTTGCGAATGGGGAGCGTGGAACTTGAGCGTGTCACGATCAAGCGCGTAGAGCAACGCAGAAGGTTGAGGTTGTTTTGCAAGCTGACGCTGCCTGCGAATTTTTTTTTTGCTTTTGGTTTTTTCGTTTTTTTATTCGAATTTTGTTTCTTTCGACTTGTTATGTTTACTTATTTGGCTGGCCAACAATTTTTGTTATTCGTATTTCTCGGCTCTGACGCAGAGATTTCTTAACGAGCACTCTTTTGGGTTGGGCTAGGTTATAATGCTGCCCGAACTGCTGCTGCCAAAACCATTAAACGAATCGAATGGGGGCTTGGGAATTGCTCAACCATCAGCAGACCGATTTCGATGTCGATCTGATACCCTTGCCTTGACATAGACATCCATAGATGTGGACGTAGACATAGACATAGAGCAGGCCAGACCCGGTGAGCAATGGAGTTTCACAAAGGCGAACCCCAGGCGACCCAAAATTAGAAAGTACCCAAATGCAACGAACGGGCATTCTTGCCGTTCGATCGAAGGAAAAACCAAACTGTTTTTAATTACACTTGAATTCGATTTACCTATTTTATTACAATCCGTTTCCGCAGGCTGTGGTTAATCTAAAAAAGATATGTTTGGCTTAAGTTTCAACATAAAAAATACGTTACAAGTTACATTCCAGTTTTATTAAGAAAGTTACTTATTTCCAAGTTCGCATAAATGCGAATATTACAAACATACATTTAGATTCGATCTTCTTATTTAAAAACTATTTGATTTTTCATTAAATTAAATGAATATCAAAATAAAATAGTTACTGATATTGTCCACCGAGTGTGTTTTATTTTAAATCATTAATTTTGCCTTCAAACTTAAAGCACAATATTTGTACTTTAAAATACTGATTAAATTATCAATAAATAGTTATTTTCATAGAAAATTTTTAAGTACTAAAATAAATTATCATCTATGATAGTTTGTTCGAAATGAGTACACCTTTTCCCCCGGTGTAGTCCGCAGAATCCAATGATCAAACTTTACTCAAGTTGCTCCCAGCCAAATCAAAGCAGCCGCCGACGAAAGAGCTTTTTCTTAGATCCGGCTTCGAATGCTCGAATGCTGCATCGGCAAACAATTTTCTCTCGGGGAAAAACACGTCGAAAGCCCAGAAAAGGCTGAAAAGCGGCGCTTGTGCGACTTCTTGGTCGCACTGCAGTCCCAGCCACAAAACAAGAAATCAACCGCAGCCAAAGTCAAGAAACGATGGGAGAAATACCAAGAGCCGAAAGCCGACGGCCAAAAGCCGAAAAACTTGGCCCGAAGGGGCCAGCGGAAAAAGTGAACGAGTAGAAATTACGGTAAATAAATAAAGAAAGACGGCTAAGAGAAATAAGCGAACGCGAACGCAAACGCGAACGTCGTCGTCATGAGCGAAAGTGAAATCTGCTAATGAATTCTTCAACGTTGAATAGTTTTCAGTCATTATGGACATCGTCGAGTGTTCGCCGTACGTACGTACAGCCGTTGTATGTGGCGTATACTTGATGAGCACTCGAACACAGTGTGTCTGTGTGGGTGAGAGTGTGTGTGGGTTAGAGTGTGTGTGTGTGTGTGCTTGGGAGCCATGTAACCGGGCAGAGGCAGCCATTCCTCCGTTTCGGCGATCACTTGACGGACCTGCGCATCTGCAACTGGAAATGGAGATGGATGCACTGGGAAAAAATATTATAGACATTGACAATCAACTCTAGACAAACAAAAAATAACCAAATTTGGGGCAATATTAAATCACTAATAAAATTGAATATCAAGATGCAATATTATGTTGATTATCATCAAATAAGTTAATAGGAGCATAAAAGGATTTAAAATATTACCCATGTACATAGACACTTCACTTTCTATTCTATAATATTTAGAGATCTTCTGTGCTTCTTATGTAATTATTTAAAATTTAGAATGTGAACAAACAATTTCCAACAATCCCAACATTTCTTAAGTTTCATTTTTGCTGAAAAAACTATTTGAGGTTCATTGAATTTTATTACTAAATTGTATTGTATAGTATTACTTTTGTATTTTTATGTTTTATAAGTATTAAAAAAGCAAAATAGTTTTCAATATTTATTTCTTGTCGTGTGGCTACCTCCGTTTTGGCTCTGACTTGAGCTACAGCTTCGATTTTTGGCTCTGGTTTGGGGGGATCTGCGGGTAAAAGTTGCTAGATTCGTTATAGCAATTAACCACAAGGCATACTACGGCATACAGTCGTAAATGGCCGAGCAGGCATCGATGCTGATCCGCAGCCAGATGATTGCTGTGATTACCCGATACTCGATACCGAGTCCGACTGCAAGTTGTACAAAACTCCCGACTCGGGTTCATTGAAACCTTGTGCAGTTTTCTATAATTCGCCGCCGTTATGGCCAGAGGTCTTTGTCGATGGAGCGACGGAGCTTAAACTTGAATTGCATTTGGCAGGTGGAAGGAAAGTGGCTGCCAGCCAGAGCAATGCCCCCCGATTTGTCTCCCTAATTGCAGTGAGACAATCCATCATCCATTCTTGCTCAATTCCATATTCGAACTTCCACTGATTTCTGCTATTTCTCTCTTATTTATTTGCAGGGGAGGCGGAAAAAGTCAAATCTTTGATCAGATTGCGGGCAGAACTCTCGCCTTTGTTTACGGGCAAGCGAAATGCCTCCAAATATGCTTGGGCGTAAGTAGAGATTAGCAAACTTATTACATAACTCCAAAATAACTTTTGATTTCTATTCAACAGCGTGGTGGAACGGGAACTCAATGTGCCGCTGCCGCTGTCGAAGATCATCAAGAAGTGGAACAACCTGCTGCAGGAGTACAAGGCCATCAAGATGTCCGAGGAGCCCAAGCGGCGCGAGTGGCCCTTCTTCACCCTGATGGACGTGTACTTCAGCGACCAGGTCAACGATCCCTCGCTGCGTCTCTTCTCCTCCACGAAGACCCTGAAGGAGACCCTGGACGATAGCGTTTTCGAAGATGATCCAATCATCGCCTCCGCCATTGCGGCGGCCACAAGTGGCGCCTACATGGACATCGATGAGCTGATTCGACGGCAGAAGGAGCGTGCCGCTCTGGCCGCCGAGCGGAAGTTGGCCGCCGCTGCCAGCGGAGGAAGCGGCGACTACAAATTCGAGCTGAAGCCGATGCTGTCGAACAGCAAGTTCAACAGCAACAGCGAGATGGCCAAGCTGTCGAAGAGCGTCGACGACCTGTCCATGCAGCAGTACAAGCTCAAGCAGGAGCTGATGCGCCAGCGGGAGCAGGAGCAGCAGGAGAACATGGTCAAGATCAAGCAGCACGCCCGGCAGCAGCAGCAGCAGCACCAGCAACAGCAGCAGCAGCAACATCAGCAGCAGCAGCAGCAGCAACACCACCAGTCGCAGCAGCAGCGATTTTTGGGCCACCAGCCGGCACTTTCGCCGCATCCACATCGTCTGTCGTCGTCGTCGACGCCGCCGGCGCTGCAGCACGCTCTGCAGCAGCAGCAGCAGCACATGTTGCAGCAGCAACACCTGCAGCAACAGCTGCAACAGCAGCAGCAGCAGCAGCACCAGCACCAGCAACAACAGCTGCAGCAGCACCACCAGCTCGCTCATCCCCACCAGCCGCCCACTCCGCGCCCCAGTTCTCCGCCCACAACGGCGCAGCAGATCCACATCACGGCCACCCAGCACCAGGCCGCCCAGCAGCATCTGCAGCAGCAGCAGCAGCAGCAGCAACAGCAGCAACAGCCGCACAAGCAGCAGCAATCGTACACGGACCCCAACACCATCGATCAGTACTTGTTGTCGTGGAACAACTTCCATGGGAACATGTGCCGCGGATTCCACTCCCTGCAGAAGGACGAGAAGATGGTGGACGTGACCATCGCTGCCGGCGGCAAGATATTCAAGGCCCACAAACTGGTAAACTAGAGGATCAGCGCCAGGAACTCCCATACTCATGCCACGCTTCCCCTTTTCTTTTCTTTTGTTTTCTTACTTGTTTTGATTGCAGGTCCTGTCCGTTTGCAGTCCGTACTTCCAGCAGATCTTCCTGGAGAACCCATCGAGTCACCCCATCCTGCTGATGGCCGACGTGGAGGCCAGCCACATGGCCGGACTCCTGGACTTCATGTACAGCGGCCAGGTGAACGTCAAGTACGAGGATCTGCCCGTCTTTCTGAAGGTCGCCGAGGCCATGAAAATCAAGGGGCTGCACACAGAGGTAAGTCTTCGTGGGGAATAGAGAAAAGGGGTTTTTATAAGTTTAATGAGCTGATAGATTAATAAACCTAAAGCTTAATAGCTTAGTAACATTAAAATTTCGAATTTTTAATTTACTAGCTATTATTTTATATTAAATATGTATTTCCAATATTTCGAATTCTTCTGAAGCTTAACATTATTACGTCATTAAAAGTAAAACGAATTAACCCACTTGTTTAATATTATATTAGGGCATACTACAGATTAAGTCAGGGAATGTAAGAGAAAGTTAGAATTTGAACAGTGAAAATATTTAGGTCATACTTTACGAGCAAGTCACTAATCATTTGTTATATTATTTCACAAGAAACAAAATCAAATTAAAAGCACACAAATTAAAAAAGAAACACCTAATAAAATTTTAAAGGTATTGTTAATAATCGTAAAAGAATATCTTTAAAATTTATGGTTACTTAGCATGTTTTACCTTTTGAAGTATCCCTTCAACACTTTTAAGTTTTGTTGAATTATTTTTCTGAGTGCTCTCTCTTGACTTTCACTTGCAGAAGAACCTGGACAGCGACGCCAGCGACATCAGCTCGCCGCACGAGAGCGACGGCACCGAGTGCCGATACGAACGGGGAACGCACAGCGTGAACATCACGAGCGGTCATGCCGCCGGCTATGGCGGAGCACCGCCACCGCAGCAGCCGTCGCCGTCGCCCTCGCTCAACGGACCCAACCGCTGCCCCACCCCCTTGTCGAGTGGAGGAGGCGGAGGCGGAGGAGGTGGTGGTGGTGGGGGTAATCCGAACTACGCCGGATTCCGCGAGCACATCAAGTCGAAGGCCACGCTGGCCGAGACCTTCATGAAGAATCTCAACAGGAACAACAACAACAACAGCAGCAGCAACAACTACAACCACTTGGGCGGCAGCAACGGAAGCCTCAATCTCACGGAGGCGGAGAGCAACTCCTTTGCGATCCTGCAGGCGAACAGCAAGAAGATGCTCGACTCGGCCAGAAAGCAGCACAAGTATCTGGCCAAGCGAAAGATCCTGATGCACTACAACACGGAACTGGGCGGCGAGAAGCGGCTGAAGGAGATGGAGAGGGAGAGGGATCGGTATCCAAGTGCCGAGCAGCACGATGACGCTTTGAACAACAACCACAGCCACGCCCAGGACAACATTATGGAGCCGATAATCACGACGATTGTGCCACAAACGCCGCCGCCTTCCACGCATAACAACAACTTCAAGATCCGATTGGTCGATAGCCATCACCTGATCAACAACAACCAGAATCAAAACCAGAACAACAGCGATAGAAGTCCACATTCGGGTAGCAACAACAACTGCCACAATGACAACGACGAGGAGGCACTGAATCTGGTGCAGATTCCCAATGCGAATGGCAGCAGGGGCAGGGAGCAGACGCCCACCTCGGCCACGCCCACACCCGACATCCAGTTGATCAAGCGGGAAGTGGAGCAGGACTCACCGCCGGCGGAGAACGCACAGAACAACAACGGACACGATGAGGAGTTGGCTGCCGCAGGATACGATCGCAAGTACGACGACAACAACAACAACCGCGGATTGGACATGGAAACGGATTCGAACAACAACAACAGCAAGCTGGGAAGCGATAACAATGGCATTGCACTGGCGCTGGGCAAGCACAAGTTGCTGAACAGGACCCTGCAGGAGCAGGAGCAACAGGATCAGAATCAGAATCAGGATCAGCAGGATCAGGACTCCGATCACGGTGGCAACAACTGCAGCAGCGACGACAACAACAACAACCACAGCCAACACTTGGACTTGAGCACGATTAAGAACATTGCCACGGCGGAGATCCTGTGCGGACTGAAGAGCAAGGTCCTCAAGCTGGAGGAGGAGCAGCGCGAGCGGGAAAGGGAGAGGGAGCGGGAACGGGAAGCCTGTCGCAGCCTCAGCGAGATCAAGAACGCCGAGTGATCCTAACGAGGATCCCCCAGAAGAAAACCCGGAAAATTATGCATTTGATTAAACACTAACATAGAGAAAAGAGGAGGAGGAGCCCGTCTATGTTTGCTAATTATAGTTATTTATTATACCACTTAATATCGTTAATGTAATTGTAATGACAACCCGAACCCACATGATCATTGGTTAGCTTGGTAGGCCTAGCATTCTCCCAGCACACCACTTTAGAATCCCTAGCAACTAAGAATCACGAATCATTAACGTACTATATCGTATCGTATCGTATCGTATCGCATCGTATCGCATCGCATCGCTGATCGAAATACAAATTTAATATTAGCACTTTGGAAATTGGCCCTGTTGCAATACGAGTTAAGCCCATGTTAAACATATTGATATCGTTTAATATTATGTATGTGTAGAGCAGTACGTTGTAGGATAATACCCGCCCCCTCCAGACGCACTTTCGATTTTCAGCAAAACTTTATAACATTATTTATACATACAAACAAACACATACACATCGTACGACGAATGTATCTCAACACCAATCACGCATGCATATAGACACCAGAAACCCCCCTTCCCCTTCCCCACCCCCTCTCACTCCCACTCCCCACACACACACACAAACATCAATCGCATTGCATTGCACCATATGCCCGAGGGTATAGTAATGACATCGGACCCGTCCAGACCATGCAACACTGGAACGGGCCACATCTACAAAGGATCAAAAAGAAAGGAACAATATATGTATCTCGTTTTTAGTTTTAACTTGCCAGACCTTTTGAATGAGCACTCAGATAACCCGGTTGCACGCGATCGTGTAACTTTCACCCCGAAGCGGTTCCGGATCTTGTTAATTGTTGTGCATGTGCCCATGTGCCTGGAACCCAGCCCCAAAAACAAAAAAAGACAAAACGCATCCACTGAGTGGGGATCGCTCAACTGCAGATCGACCAGAACCAACAATGCACAGTGTAACTCGTACAATATTTATTCAACTTCTTTACATTTAAAACAAAAATTGTGTAATGTTTTTTGCTGTTGAACATTTTTTTATTGTAAAAGAATTAACGAATGAATAAAGAACCCAACACATTCAAAAAAAAATCGTTTATTGTAATGTCTTCTCAATTTAAAATGGTTTAAGGAAATGGAGGATTTATGCATGAATATATTACAATGCAGATTAAATTGGTATGGTAGCTGTTGGCAAAACAGAACGATGTTTTGACATATATTTTAAAAGGATCCTTTAGAATGTATAATTAAAACAAATATTTCTATTTATAAAGAAAACTTCGCAAAAATTGATTTTGAATTTATGACCTTTTATTAATGTAGTTAGGTTGTATAAACTTGCACTGTAGAGTTTTGGTATAGTATATGTATCTATAAGCATTTTCAATAGCCGATTTTAGGCGTATCTCATGCCTTGAATATAATATGATCTGAAATATTATTACACACCCTCGTTTTTAAACGATCCTTGAGCTGATCCTTGTTTTAGTGGAAAGTTCAATGACTTTGTTAGAACCCAAGCACGAGCCAAAGATGAAGGCAATAAATACCCGAAGGTGCACTGCCAAAAATATTCTTTGTTACTGTTTGAATTAGAGACCCTCCTGTACAGCTCACCCATACACTCACAATCCCGGGACACTCAATGCTGTCTCTCTCGCGGGTGGACATCCCTGCCGCGAGTCTGTGAGAATCAGAAAAAGAGAGCGAGCCAAAGAGAGTGGAGAGTGAATGCTCTCTTTGCGTCGACGCAGAGCCGTCGAAAGTGAAAAGGAAGAAACAGGGACGAAATACATTTTGTGTGTATTTCGGCGGTCGGCGGTTGGGGGCGCGCCGCTTTTTTGCCCTTTTTTTCGCGCGCGCACCCATCGGACCGGGTCGTTGTTGTAATTGAAAACTACACAGCGGCACGAAGGCGGCCCGAAGTCCTGCCCAAATCTGACACTCACACTAACGTGGAAGGAGCGCGGCAGTCGGGTGGACACGCACACACACACACACGAAGGAGAGAGCGCGAGGACGAGCGAAAGGACGAAAGGCAAGCCGAAAAGCAAACGAGGACCGCCGCCGCGGCAGTTCTCTGTTCTCCGCTCTGTGTGTGGTTGTAAAAAGGCGAAAACGTCACGAGCAAAAAACCGGTTAATAAATTATTGCTAATCGAATGGTAAAAATGCACAATAAATAAATAAATGCGAATGCTAAAAATCGAACAAACTGCCCGGCCCCAAAAAGTGTGCACGAAAATGTCGTAAGAAGCGGGCAAGGTAGTGAAAAACGCAAAGTGAAAGCCAAAGCCAAGCGGTGAAAATTTCCATGGAACAGCGTACGCTCGCTGGCGTTCCCTATATTTTTTTTCTCGTAGTCATTGTTTTGCGGCCATTTAGAAACTGCGCAAAAAGGCACAGGATACGTGGAGCGGATGTGAAAAGTTGCTAGGCATCCAAAACCATAAGCGATACGCTTGTGTCCACAGGATACAGACGATGCGGCGGATACAGGTCCGCCAGTGGCCAGGATTCAGGATTCGGGATTCCGAAATAAGGAAAAACTCTTGATGTAGGACTACAAGGATACAAAATGTCCAGAGGAGCACCCTGGGAAACCGGAAGAGTGCCCATCGCATCCCGTAATTAAAACCGCATTAGGTACATCTCTCCTTTGGGCGGAACTCCCAAAAATAATTCAAACCAAAAAAAAAAAAAAAACGGAGGAAAGGATATGCCTCTGAAGGTGAAGACAACGACGGCGGCGGCGTCGGCGGCCGTCGCCCTGAAACAGGAACAAAGCCAAAGGATCAAGGAGCGGGAGTGGCTGAACAACAACAATCAGCCCTGGCCATAAATGAATTTTACGTATTTCGGTATACACACGACAAACGCCGACTAGCGCCAGGACCAAAGCCCCAGGACGATGGGAATACGGATTGGTTTGGGTCTGAGTTTGAGTTCGAGCTCGAGGAAGACTACGATGATGATGATGATGATGACGATGATGATGAGGAAAAGTAGGAAAAGGCATTGGGAAGTGGAAGAGGAGTGGGAATTGGGAAAAGGAAAAGGGTGGGTGGCTGTAGTCCAAGTCCGTCTGCGATTGTACCAGTAGTAATACACACACAGGCACAGCAGATGGCGTATAGAGAAAGAGTGCCAACAGGAAGAGGAAAAAGCGAAAGAGCGTAGGGTGTAGGGTGTGAGTCCTGGTTGTTTTTCTATGTGTGTGTGTGTGTGTGTGTGTGCGGGAGAGAGGAGCATAAGGGATGGTACCCGCTTACTTTTCGTACACATTTATGTGTATTGTACTACTCGACTGCAAAAACTGCAGCAGTCGCAGGAAGGAGCAAGGATCCAAGGAGCGGCAACAACAAACCGAGACTGGCCGCAAATCAATCAGCCGACTGGGAAACACCCTACACAGCGAAAAAATCACTAGGTTTAACTCACCTCTTTTAGTTAACACTTTTGTGTTTACTACCAATTTATTTGCTGTTCTTAGGATTTTTGGGTTAAGTTGATTGTATTATTGAACTATAGGTTTAACTGGCTTAATTAACAATAGATCAAACATACTGCTATAAAATGTTTAACATTTTGATGCTTTACTAGTTTCTTTTTTTTTAAGATAATTCAAAATATTTAGTGGGTTTTCAAAGATACTTTAATTATCATTTAATAAAATATATGACTTAGAGAACTTTAGGCACTACAGAATTTGATTAGGATGATCCAATAGTTTTCAAAAATATTTTTTTTTTTGGAGTTTATATATTTATGTTTCTCTTTAATTTTTCTCAGTGTGCCTTATAACTCAATTACGAAAGATTTTTACTAGCAATAAATGGGGTTAAAACCGCTGGTCCTTCCCCTAAATGTCTCGAAATGTATCTAAAATCGAATATGCCTTGGGCGGCCAGCTACTCAAATTCAATTTCGAAAAATTCGTCCTTTTTTCGGCGCGGCAGTGGTGGTGGTTGTTGTTCCTGCTGCCGCCGCCTGATCCTGGGAAGGGCATGTTAAGGGTGAACCGGCCGCCGTCACACTCACACACCAGCTCACCAACACACGCGCACATTCGCCAGACGGCGGAGAGACAGCGGGAAACACAGTTAGACTGGATGGCAGACGTTTTGAATCGCGGCAGAGGGCGGTGGTCGCAGTCGACGTCGACGCCGGCGTACACACACACACACACGCGAGCAAATGCACTCTCACACATATGCAGGCGCACATCCTGCGATGCATATATGTATGCAACATGCAGCGATTTTCGGCTACTTAACCTACAGAACAAAGAAGGATACAGAAAAAATGAAACGTAAGGATGTCGGACTGGGCAGGATAAGCCTGCGCAAGGCGCGCAAAAGGACACGCGCACACACAGCCGCACTTACTTACACACACACGCACACATACTAAACTAATTTAATCCTCTGGCTCAGTTAAATTCAGTTCCAGTTCCCTCGACAACCGCCCCACCACTCAGTCGAATTATACGAGAGGCCGGAAATAGGAAAACTACAGGATACAACCTACCCACACAAGCACACACACACACACACCGGTACTCTCGTGCACACATACATACCCGAAACGAAAGCCGCTTATGTGTTACGTTAGTTACTTTACGTTGTGCGTTTAGCGGCATGTAGATGACGTTATTACGCCCTAAACGCTTTACGTAGTCGCCGGTTACGTGAATTACATCGGAGTTCGGTGAAATAATTCTCTCCTGTATCTGTGTGTGTGCGCGGTGCGTAAAAGTGTGTGTGCGTGTGACGACGTTTCCTCGTATCTTACTTTCAATGTCATCAAAAAGGGCTGAAGAAAGATATTTCTGCATTTGAATCGTATCACAGCCAGCTTTGATGGGCATTGCAATGAGCATCGATAGCACTTTGACCTGTGACCTCTCTCCAAGCCACGAAATTTATATAAAATTCGCAACAAAAAAGTGGATAAGGCGAAAGCCAAAAGCTAAACCAACAAGTGTTCGTGATCCCATATATAATTCTTACGTAACTCCTCAAAGGGTTGTGAAATGTTGTCTGTTATCTACTCATATCACAGCCATTTTGATGAGTTTCGTGCGAATTTCGGCAGCTGGGCAAATATCAATTTCCATAACCGATTGTATCCCATCTTTCTTATACCATGTCGTTAAAATGTTTGTGACCTTATGTATCCACAATCATATCACAGCCATTTTGACGAGTTTGGGTAAAGAAATCTCAACATTGGGCGCCATTTCTTCGAGTTTCTTTTTCAAATCCAAAAGGAGTTAACGCCCAAGGACCACCTGAAAATCAGTTGAAATAAGAATACACACATGTTTTAGATTTTTTGTTTTTTTTTTTGCTTTTTTTGTAGTTTTTGTTTTTATTTAAATTTATAATAATTGTTATTTTTATATTCTTTTTTTCATTTAAGGAAACTTGAAGGTTTACAAAACAAAACAGACCACAACAGATGCTTCTAGATCGTACGAAATATAATCGAACTGATTTATGACGGGCAAAGAAGTAATACGGATTGCTTTTCGTTAATTTTTTTCTTCAATTTAGGGACAACGGAGGCACTAAAACCCAAAGGAAGCCTGACTCAAGCTCTTGCTCTTACATTTGCTTTTGCTTGTAAAATTAGCAAGGAAATTTGTTTCGAGAATCATCAAAACAATGATTTAATGCGATGTCAAACATTTCTGATAAATGCTAGCGAAAGAAGTGTAACAAAGGTGGAGAAGTGAAAACAAAATTAAATTTAAATAAAATTAATTAGTTTTACCGAATTTCGAAAAGAATAAATTTGAAAAGCTCTAAAACTCACATTCGTTTTTTTCATATTTCCCGCAGGGCAAGCAAAGAGCATTCATCCAGCAATTGGTGTCGGAAAAATAATACCGAACCACCGATTTCACATTATATGCTAAGGTTAACAATCGGAATGCTGGATGAAAAGCTTGTCCCTTTCCTTGCACCGGTGGAAAAACTAACTTGGAATGATGACTTGGGTTTTTGGTGTCTGTCGCTGTCGCTTTGCTTCTGGGGTTTGTGTTTCTGGGTGGGCGTGTGTGTGTGTGTTGGTGTGTTTTGGGTGTGCGAGGCTGGGGATTCGGGGGGCGGGAGCGTGTGTGTCTCTGAAGGGGTGTGCCAGTCGATTGCCAAAGCGGATAAAACTATAAGATAGCCGGAGCGCGAAGTACAACAAAGAATTATGTTTAAAACAATTTTACAAAATTTTGCTCTTATCTTAACTCGACTTCTTGCCTCTTCTCCTCTCAAGTTTTTGATTCTACTTCATTTGCTTTTCGGTTTACAATGTGATTGTATCAATTTTGGTAGCCAATCGGTTTTGGAATTTCGCCTCGGCTTACAGGACTTGTGCGGGGCAGGAAACGCTCCTCTTACAAACGCTCATTGTTCTCGTATTATTATAATTGATTCGACGACTGTTGCTTTTAGCTTTCTATATTTTTTTTGTTTCTTATTTTTCTTTGTTTAAGTTTTGCATTTGCTTTCTCATACGTTTGGTGTTCTTTTTTTTCAGTGATTGTTTGCTTCATGCGGTTGTTGTGTTTGGCTTCCGTGCGCTGTAGAAGTCTTGCAATTTCAAAAAATTTACTAGTTTCCTTTTGTTTTAATTGTATTTTATAATTTCCTAGTTGTTGTTGTTGGTGTTGGTGTTCTTTTTTTCGGTCTGTGAGAGATGTGCTACAGGATGAGCCGCTCGTGCACATGGCATAAGGATGTGAGTGGATGGTTGAATGGTGTGGCGTGTTTGTGAATTGTGGGGCGTGAAAATCGCTCGGTGCGACAACAAACGCCGCGCGTTTACTCAAGGTTGATGCGAACTCGGATGCAGGTGCCGATGCGGATGCGGATGTGGATGCTGATGCGGTTGTGGTTGAGTGCTTCATGTTGTGTGTGAGTTGTAATGGTGTCGGTGTACGTGTACGGGTGTGTATGTGTAACTGTTGCTTGATGACGGCTGCCCGTACAGCTCCCACTCGCTACTGCGACATTAACAAGCCGGAGGAGCCTCCGTCCCGGTCTCCGTCTCCATCTCTATCTCCATTCCCATTTCCAACGCCCCCCGCCTTCCAGCTCGCCAGCTTCCCGTTCGCCATTGCCCAGCTGGCGTTGTCTCACTGCGGCTGATGCTGCTGCATCACGATCTGATACTGTTGCTGATTCTGCTGGAGATGCTGCGGCGTCGGCGGCTGGAAATAGTGATTGGCGATGAGCGACTGGGGGTGCACGCACATCAGCTGGAAGGTGGGCGCCTGCGTGGGCGGCGTGTACGCCGGCTGGGGTCCCCGCCGGCGGGGGAGGGCTGTGGCGGCGGATGGAACTGCTGGTGCGGCTGGCCCGGCGACGGTGTGGTCGACTGCGGCGTCTGCGCCATGAACTGCAGCTGCTGCGGCATCTGCATCGGCGCGTACGTATGCGATTGGAATTGTTGCTGGTGCGGTGCTTGTCCGTAGTGGATGAACTGCGGCATCGGTCCGGTGGCCATCAGCGGCTGTCCCGTGGCCGTTGTGGCCGACACATGCATCTGTGATGCGGCCATTGGAGCTGCAGGGGAACATAAGAGATTATAAGAATGTATCGCAAATAAATATTAGCATTCGCAATTAAATATTAGTATTCGCAAAAAAAAAAATTATTAGGAAGAAATACACATATAAGTTCTCGGTTAAAGTCTTGCAATATTCTTTAAAAAAATGTATCAGGATTGTAAGTAATGAATCTTTGTTCAAATAAAATAGAATCTCAATATCAATTAATATCCATATGTAATCTTAAACCTTAAAGTGGCTGCATTAGTGAATAAACATTCCGTACTTCATATACTATCCACCGGATTTCCTTTATTAGGAACTGCAAAAAAAATTAAGTAAGAGTACTCACCGTAGTTTCCACGACGAAGACGTGGTGGCTGTCCGGCCTGCGGGAGTGTGGGTGGCGGGAATGGGTGCTGCGGCTGCACCACGTAGATCGGCTGGTTGGTCGCTGGCGCCGGCACATGTCCTCCCGTGGCCGTGTATATGCCCGTCATGGGCACGGGTGTCTGTGGGGTGTGTGGGCGTGATGGGTTCGGGGTGCTGGGCCCGCGGGGCGTGAACGGCTTGGCAGACGGGTTGAGCACATGTGGCTTCTTCACCACGGGCGTGGTTGCACTGGCACCACCGGCGGCAGCAGTCGTTCCCGAGGACACCGCCGTGGAGCTGCTCGTCGCACTGGAGGCGGCTGGCGTGGACTTATCCGATCCGGCGCTGACAATCACCCCGGTTGTGGGCGTACTGGCTATGCCAGTGGGCGTGGTGGTGTTGCTGCTGCTCGGGGCCGGCGAAACATCCGGCTTGGGCGTGGTCAGCTGCTGTGGCTGTTGCTGCTGCACCACCGGCATGGGTTGCGGCGGCGGTTGCTCGATGAGAACCGGCGAGGTAATCACCACCGGCGACGTCTGCGGCGGCGGCATTGCATGGTAAATGGGCAGCGGTTGTTGCGATGGATCCTGAACCAGCTGAGGCTGCTGCTGCTGCACTTGCGGCTGCTGCTGGTGCTGCTTCGGCACGTGCTGATGCTGGCTCTCCACCAACTGCTGCTGCTGTTGCTGCTGCTGCTTCTGTTGCAAGTGCAGCGGCACATGTTGCTGCTGCTGGGGAGGCGGCGCCTGTTGGGGCTGCTGCTGAGGCACATAGTGTGGCTGTGAGAGGGGCGCCTGGTGCAAGTGCGTCGGCGGCACTTGGTGCATGACCACGTGTTGCTGTTGCGGCTGCTGCTGTTGCGGCGGCGAAGCGGATTGCTGCAACGCCCGCTGTTGCTGCTGCTGCTGCTGCACTTGCTGCTGCTGTTGCTGCACTTGTTGCTGTGGCTGCTGTTGCTGCTGCTGCTGCTGAGGCGGTGAAGTGTTGCTGGGCGCCAGTTGGAAGTCCTGGCCAAACTGACGCAGCTCCTGCATCTGGTTGTCGCGCGTCCTCACCTGACGCGTCGGTTGTGTGTTCTGCCCCTGCGGTGGCAAGTTCTGATGCTGCTGCTGTTGCTGCGGCGGCTGTTGCTGTTGTTGCTGCTGCTGCTGCTGAGGCACGCCCGTCTGCAGCGGCGGCGAGTTGCTATTCTGCCCGGGGTGGCCTCCATGGGAGCCGTGTATGGGCTTGCCCAGCGACTGGGCCTCGCCGCCATAGTTCAGCGACGAATTGCTCTGTGAGCCTGGGTACTGGCGCATCTGGCGCTGCGGCAGCGGCTTATTGACATTGGCGTTCGAATCGCCATTCAGCTTGGAGGCGCCTCCCATGTGAGATTGGTTGCGGTACTGAGAGGAGCTATAGAAAAAAAAATAGATAAGTACTTGCTGACAGATAAACCGAATGTACATTCCCACTTACCCGTGCATGATCTGCGAGTTACCCTGGTACGAGTACTGATTCGGCATGCCCATCGATGGCTGGTAGCCGCCCTTGCTCTGGCCCACAGAGTTGCCGTTGCCGCCCTGCGACATGGACACATTGCTGCCGCCGCCGGCGGGCACATTGTTGCGCATCACCTTGCCGCCTTGGGGCACAGTCTTGCGCTTCACCATCGAACCGCCGCCATACTTGCTGGACGAGTCCGCAGCCGCGTTGGCTGACGGGGCCGGACCCGCGCCCTTCAGCCCACCGGCCAGCATTAGAGCTGCCGTGGACTGCGTGGAGCCGCCTTGGACCGCCCCGCCGCCCATGCCACCGCCCTGCATCATTAGGCTGCCGTCGCCGCGAGTGTCGCGATCACGGCCGCTGCCCTGCGAGGACATGCCCACATGCGATAGCTGCGGTCCGGTGATGCTGCGCGTCTGCTTGGTGATGTAGCGGTCGCTGCTCATGGTCTCCCGCAGCTGAAAGTCGGCGGTGCCGCGTGGCTTGTTGCCACGATCGCGGTCACGGTCCCTGTCCCGATCCTCGCGCTCCCTCTCCCGATCGTTGCGATCGCGATCCCCTCGTTCCCCGCGTTGATCCTGCTCCGCCGACGGACGTTCCACGGCCGCGAATAGCGCCTCCTCGTCCCCGTTCTCCAGATCCAAACGCTCGCGGCACGTCGGATTGTTCTCAATCTCGGCGGCAAGCTTCTCGGCCTTGGCCTCGGCCTCTTTGAACTCCACCGAGTCGCCCTTGTCCAGCGGCACCGTGTACGAGGCCAGAGAGTCATCGAATGTGGAGGTCACGCCAAACGTGTTCTCGTTCTTGCGGAACATCTCGTTGGGATCCCAGCCGTTGGCGGCACTATCCAATTCTATGTCAATGTCGCCATTGGCGCCAGAATCCCACGGTTCCAGTTCCTTCTCGTCCAGACGCGCACCTGAAAAACGGGAATAATTAATTAGAGATTTTCAACACATTTCTGGAGCTTCCGGAACTCACCGTTGCACTTGTCAGAGATGGCACCATCTGTCTGAAAAGCGCCAGCGGTGGCGTATTGCGAATCAAAGTCCTTGGCCACGATGGTCACCACGGTGTCGGCCGGGAATATAATGTGATTTGGCACCTTGCCCTCCTCCGGCAGATTCTTGGACTTAATGCACGCCGGTAGCTCCAGTGCGATGTCAAAGTTGCCCGAGAATGTGCGGAATACGCCCTCGTAAATGTTGCCCGACCGCAGGCGCACCTCCACCACGCTGCCCACCAGCGCCGTGGCCGAGTGCATGAAAAACGTGTTGTTGTAGACGCCCTGCGCCACCGGACGCACTGCTCCGCCTGCGTTACCGCCTCCTGCACCTGCCTTGTTGTTAGCGGGCCTCAGGCTGTTGTCGTTGGAGTTGTATCTGCGGAACAGGAGAAGCGGGTTAAACTATTCGTTAGCGTTGCGGTTTCCACGGCAGAAGACTGACTGAAATTGGAAATTCGATGGCATGCAGGCGCGGTGGCAATATCGATTTGGGTGCAAACTTTGACCTGACCCCGCATTTCGCAACCCCCGTGAGCCGCAGTGTTTGCGTATTTTAGCTCAATTTTTTTAGTACAATCAAGAGAAACTATTTGGCTCTCAAAACAAAGACTTATCGGGGATTCACCTTTTTGAAGTTGGAGTCGTGGCTTCACTACCAAAATTTAAGTAACGTTTAAACAAAGGCCTTCGGGGGAATCACAAACTTAAGTGCAAGTTATTTATGATTTAATTTAGATTTCTGCAAATCAATTATATTTATGCAAATTATAATCTCAATAAACTTGAACTTTGAAAAAACAATGTCTTTTAGTTAAACTGCACTAAAAGTTAAATTAATTTTAGATATTCTAATTCTTTATTCTTTGTTCCAATTTAACTAGGTACACAATTAAGTACACAAATTACACACATATGTATTATTTTGTAAAAAAAAATTTTTTTTACAAATTTTTTATATTAAAATTGTCAACATGAAAACGTTTGTACGACCCTCAGAAAGCATTAGGAAAATATTTTATTCACTTGGAGATATTTGCCAATGTTTTTAATGTTTTAAAGCTGCTTTTGATTAAAGAACAATAATAAGAATATTTTTACTAATTTTGCAGGGCAATCGGTTTGCATTCCGCAAAAGTAACCAGCACAATAAGGCCCATTTTTCAGCTTTGTCCCCGTCGCAGCTTGGTTCGGATTCGAACTCATTCCCCTGGACGCTTTCCTCGGCGCTTTTCGGGGTGTTTTGGCATCGGTTGCGTGCGGGCAGGATCGACGACCGTGAAATGCGCAACGCAACGCACAATGAACCCGCCGTGGTCGTGGGGGCGGGGCGGGGGCGGTGCGGAACCAAATTGGAGGGTGGATAACGGGGAGGTGGGGAATCGGTGGTTCGACAGTAGTTGATTCACAGAGCGTGCACCGAGCACATTTTCGTGAATGAAAACAAATAATTGATGGCGCTCAAGAGTGAATCATGCGTAAGGTGAGGTGCAGTCAGCAGCTCTCCGGCGATTCGAATCGGATCGGATCGGATCGGGGAACGGAATCCGGGAAATAGGCTGCGACGGAGGCTAACTTAAAATGCAAGTGTGCATGGCCGAGTGGCGAATAAATATGCATAGACGTCGAGCGGAAAACAAGAGCGAGGTGGTGTATCGTTCGGTCAGCAAATTGTAAAGTGACCCAAATTTCGGACCCCCATTTCGGGGGAGGAGGGGCCTGCGGGTGCTTCAAAGGGGTTCGAAGTGTGCCAAAGAACGATACGAAACTCAGCGCAGCCGCCGCACGTCACAGCAACTGAAAACTGAAAACTAAAAACTAAAACTGAAAACGGCGAGCGGCAAACGTAAAGCTGCAATATGCTGACAATGCAAGAAAATGCCTTCAAAAAAAAAAAGGCGAACGACGAGAGTAAAAAATGTAGCGCGCTACGTGAGCCAGTGTGCGTGCATTACCATGGGCATGGGTCGAACAGTGGGCCTGAGTCCCAAGGAAGGAAGCATCCCAGGCCCACTGTGCCCACAAGCTTGAGGTTGTTCATTGTGCACAATGAATAATGAACGCGCATTTCAAACAGTTTCGGGCATAAGTATGACTCGTCGAGAAAGACCCATCTGATAAGGTAGAATGACACTACAGTGGTCCCTGTTAAAATCACCAATTAAAAACGATTTTATTATATTGGGAATACAATTGTTACAAATGTTAAGAGTTGATATTGTTATAAATAAATGCCAATGTAAACTGAAAAACTGATTTCGTAATTATTAATTTAATTATATGATGTAGGCACAATAATTGGTTTTTGAATAAGAAATTCTAATCAAATATAAGCACTGATTCATGAACTGTGTTTAGCATGAATCACTCTAATTTATGTTTCGCTTATAAAATAACTAAGGTCAATAAATAACATTATTTAAAATGGTCCAGTTCTATACAATTTACATTTCACAGATAAGTTTTGGCACTTACGTAGATTAAAACAACAATTGTTTAGGTATTTAAAATCTCTATTTCTCCAGTTTTGATTCAAACTAAGATTGATTTTAAGATTTTATAATAAACCCGAACGTTACTTTTAAAAGCCTTTTGATTAAGAACTGCATAATCATTGTTGGCTGATTTTGTTCACAGAAAAGATAAAACCTGGCGAACGTGCCGATACTTATGCTCCGCACTGTGTCCAAATGCGGATGTGGATGTTGATGTGTGACTGTGGTTGTGCATGTGTGCGCTGCAGTCATATTTCAATTGAAAATTTTAAGGGCGCAGCGGCGAGAAAACAGGCGAGGGGGCTGGTGGGGAACTAGTTGGGGGGTTTGGAACCCCTGAATTCCACGGGGGTGGCAATGCGACTCAATGGTGCGACAAAACGGAAACCTTTAAACAAATTATGTTCTCTACACACATTTGCCGTTGTGAAAGGGAAATGTAAACAAAGCATAAAAAGTCCGATGCTGAAAACACACACTCACACTTGGGCACGCGATGGCCTTATTATATAAGCGCCATTTGCATTCCAAAAAAATTTTAAGAATGTTGTTCCAAGAGATGCTGCACTGGCTAAGCAAAGAAAAAAAAAACGAAAATCGACACGAGACGCGCTTTCACCTTTGTATTTCTTCTTTTTTTTTAGTCAACCGGACCGGGAGAGAAAAGAGCTCTTTGTGGCGCTTTTGGTTGTCGCGGGTTTTCAATTTGTCAGGGCAACGGCAACGGCGAACGGCGAACTGCAAACTGCGACGGCAAAAGCAAAATCAAAAAAGCAAACCAGCCCCAAAATGCACTGGTGTGCGTTATGTGCACCCACCCCCTTTCGCCGCCCGTTGCCCGCAACCGACCGACCGACCAACCAACCAACCGTCCCCCTCACGAACGACGCCCCTGTCTCTTTTTCGCCAGTAGTGCAGCTGGTGCTTCTTCTTACCTTGAGATGCCGCCGCTGGCACCTCCGCCACCGCCAGTGGGTCGGGTTTTCCGCTTGCTATTGTTGTTCATAACGTCGATTGGATCGCCAATGGCCAGGAGTACCAGGTGGAAGTACCAGGCGGTAGTACCAGGCAGCAGTACCAGGAGTAGCAAAGAAGTGGCAGTCGAAACCTGGCGTTTTCTTTTCCTTTATTTTCCCTTCCCTGCCTGGGCTATTTTTTTTTTCACCGATCCGATTTACCGACTTTCCGATCGAACGATCCTCCTCCGATGGTCGCGTATGGGCGGGCGAGGCGTGGTTTAGCCAAAATATGCGACTTCGGCGGCGTTTAGCACGGTTTCTTGGCTGCTAAATATGCTTTTGTTGCTAATTTTATTTTTTCCTGCGTACTGTAGCGATAACGAGCAAGGTTGCTTGACGAGTTGCTATCCGCTGTCGATATTTTGCACATCCCTAGCGCTCGATGGCGTATTTGGCAAATTGAAAATGAAAGCAAGGGAACTCTGCGAAACTGCGCGGCGCGGTTGGTAAACGGGTAATTTTGTTTTCGCTCAAAAGCAATTTAGTTAATTTATTAACTTCACTGAGAACGGGGGTGCGTTTGTATCGAATAGTTATCGAATTGTGAGTACAATTTGACAAGTCTTTGTGATGGTCACTCGGTAGTTATCGCCTCGGCCACCGATTTCGAGAAGCCGCACGATAGTGTATCGACAGAACTAATGTTATCGCATTCTTATAAACACTACTAAACAGTGTTGTCAAGATGGCCCGCGTAATTTGAAAGCCTGCTTAGATGACGCATATTGGTTTGTTATTATCCGTTGCGAATAGCCAAATATTTGCCCCAAATCTAGTTCACAAACTTGGACGAACCTATTAATAGCACTCGCTATCTTTGGTGTCTCGGTAGATACAAAAACATCCGCATATTTGCCAGGTGTCCAGATAAGCGGCAGACACCCAACGACCTCGACCGTCTTAAAACTCCTTTTTTTCCGAGAAAGCTGTCACCCTAATCATTTCATTGCCAGTAAATCCACTCTTTGCTGGACACTGTGGCGTTTTATAAGGTAATTGTGTCTTCGCTCCCGTATCATATATACTAATTACGATGCTATCTTGTTTACAGCCCCAGCAGGGTCGGTCATAATATACAGAAGGCGTAAATCTGTCAGGCCCACACGCCAAGAGCAGGGTCTTTGTAACGCTTGATGGAATAGTTAACACCTGCTCAAAATTGGATTGGGAGATCAAATCACAGTCTTCTAATTGTGTTAAATCGGTTTATAAATGGTGGCTTAATCTATTGTGATGTATCCTTTAAATAAAATTGAATAAGAAATCTTGTTGCATTTTAAGAAAAATAATAATAAAATAAAAAAAAATTTAAATATTTGTGCAGCCCTCCAAAACAACCTTTTACAATTACTGTCACAAGGTGTGACTGATTAAGATAAAATATGTAGATGTTTGGCTGATTTATTAGGGATCTGTTAATCTAAGTTAAAATTCAAATATTGAACCGTCATTTATCGATCGAGGTGTGTGTGGAATGCCAGTTGTGACCGGCTGCCAAAGGTGGAAAATTACTTGGAGTCTGCACGACAACCCATTGGGATCGCAGAACTCAACCCAGATTGCCTCCCCCACTGCACACTTGGATTACGGAGACATGACAGCGATATCGCGGTAGTTTTTGCCACCGGTGCCGTTGACATTTCCAGTTATATATTCGTTTGTGCTCCGGATCCAACCGCCCGGCCCTCCGCAATGTTTGCCCATCCGCCTGCCGAATGGGCGTTAAGTATGCCATTGTTACGCTGATCTCGGGCTGAAAATAAAAGCGGACGGTTTGTCGCCGTTTTCTTGACTCTTTTCATTTTTCGTGTTTATCAGAAAAATCTGCCCGAGCCCACTTATTTATCATTCAAAAATTCGCTTATTCGGCAGTTTTCATTAGATTGCGAAGCGGTGCACTTGGCTCACTCAGGTGTCAAGGATAATCAGTATTAACTATTCCCGAATGTCCTTCGGCTTAAATCTTATTGCGGATACGTGAAATATGTCAATCGTAAAGAAGTTATCCTTCGATGGTAAGGATGCTCTTGGTTACAGCACATTAAGTCCTTAAGTTCTAGTGAAATGTTGGATAACAAAATATTTTAAGTGCATTTGCCCGTGGGATTACATAATTTTAACTTTAAAGAAAGTTCTTTAATACTCAATGACTAATATGGACGGATCTCGTGATCATTTTATAACTATTCCATTTACACTACTTGGCCAATTTTACTACTGCCATAAGTGCCACCCGCCGATCTGCCGCTTTAATTAGCAGTGAGCACCAGCTGGAGATATAGTCGAAGCGAGCTGTTAAAAATTTTGGCCTGATGTTACAAATTAGCATTCATTTTGGGCTTCTGTTTTCGCTCATCATGACCGATAACGCCCGTGCATAAAAATATTTAACTTGCCAAACCGTCAACCACAAATATTAACAATTGCTGGCAAAACAAACTGAAGTAATGGCTTGTCTATAATGGGGTTTATTTTATAGATTAACCTCACGCTTTTCGAGTAAAACAATAAAGTAAATTACATCTAATTAAAAAAAACCGTAATTAAGTCTGTAAAATTAGAAACAAGTACTGTTTTCTATTTTTGACTGGGAAAAGTCTTGCAAACAGTTTGATGACAAATATCAGAAATTCTTCTGAAATACGAAGAATACTTTTAACATGAATACGACAAAAGCATTGAAATACAGATATTCGCAATTCGTGTGAAAGATAGCACCTATAATCAATGGTTTGTACTATTAATTTAGATCTTTAAACAGTTAGATGACTAATGTGTCTCGTCTGGATTGGGAAACACTTGTAACCATCCGAAGTTGTTTTCGATTTGTGTAGCACTCAAGGTGCTAACTTTTTTCTTTACTTCCCGTGAATTTTATATAAAACCCTTAATCTTTTTACTTTGGCTCCACTTGGGTTTCGTTTTGTTTACCGATAAAAAAACAAGAAAGGAAGCAGCTTCGGCAAGCCGAAGCTTATATACCCTTGCAGTCATTAAATATGTCAAACAAAATACATAAAGGCTAACAACATCGAATCTATGACGATTTTTCTATTATTTACCATATTGTTCATATGACAGCTATATGATATAGTCGTCCGATTTTGATAAAATTTAATATGTAACTCAAGACAATCATGATTGTCTGATGAAAAACAACGAGGTTATAATTTTATTTCCGTTATTTCTATATAGATTTTTCGATCTTTCCTATGGCAGCTATATGATATAATACTCCGATTTTTATGAAATTTTTTTCTCGATTTAAGAGTATTTCAAAAACTTGATGTTCCAAAAATCATGCTCGTGGCATTAAAAACAACGACATTATAATTTTTTTTTTTCATTATTTATATATATATTTTTCGATCTCTCCTATGGCAGCTATATGATAGAGTTATCCGATTTTGTTCAAATTTAATCCGAAATTTAATAACAGTTAGAAAACGCCATCTGGAAGAAATCAAGTCGATCTGATCAAAAACAACGGAGTAAGAATTTTTTATTTCATTCTCTTGTATGGGAGCTATCCGATATAGTCGGCCGATCCGGCTCGTTCCGACCTATATACTGCGTGCAACAACTACACAACTTTTGGGAAAGTTTCAGCGAGATAGCTTTAAAACTGAGAGACTAGTTTACATAGAAACCGACAGGAGGACAGACGAACAGACGGACAGACGGACAGACAGACAGACGGACAGACGTACAGACGGATTTGGATTCTGATCGTGATGCTGATCAAGAATATATATACTTTATGGGTTCTGAGGTGTCTCCTTCACTGCGTTGCAAACTTCTGACTGAAATTATAATACCCTTTGCTCTGCAAGGGTATAAAAATGGATAAAAAATTGATCGTTAATGGGATTTACATAAAAACCATTCGAGGAAGATATAACAGGTTTTCAAGTCACACATATAGAGGTATACAATTAAGTAATATATGGATGTACCTACTCCCCAATAGTGCCCCCTCAATAAGAGTTAAGAATCTCAGTTATTTAAACAAATTACCGGAACCGAACGAGCGAGAGTACGCTAACATATGTGCTTAATTACGAATTTACACAATTAAAGTTTAGCGCTGTTTTTTCGCTGTGCTCTCGGCTCGAGTTTGCCATCGGACAAGCCGGACTGTTCGTTCGGTTATTATTAAAATGCGAAAAAAAAGCGCCCTGACAAAATCAAACAATTTCGGCTAGCAAAGCGATTGTACCAGGCTATTGGCGAAACCGAAACAGAAGCTGGAAATCAGTACACAATGCGTTGGCCGCGAAAGCACACGTTCGGCTTATGGCCAAAAAACTCTATTCGTGATCGAAGTAGTAGAAATGGAGAAGCTACTGGGCAAAGTCAAACGCCAGTGGCCACCATTTACAATCGTAGGAATTACGACTTGGTAATTTCCGATCTCTCAAACCCACTGATAATATTTTTCATTAAAATTTTAGCTGGCTGCGAGGAAAAGGAGAAGTACACGGCTCAGAATGGCGAGGATTTCTATGGCCAAGTTCACTCAGTCGACATGGATATGGCCAGCAAGTACTCCAAACCAAAGGAAGCCCACTGGCTAGTGCGACGTATTTTCTTCCTGAGTTGGATTACCTCCTATGATCGAGAACGAGCCTTTGCGGATCTGATTGCCGGCATTACCTTGGGTCTGACCATTATTCCCCAGAGTATCGCCTATGCCGCACTGGCTGGTCTCTCCTCCGAGTATGGACTGTACTCCGCCTTCATTGGATCCATCATATATGTGTTCTTCGGCACGATACCCCAGGTTTCGATTGGACCAACCAGCCTGATGGCCATTCTCACGTTGCAGTTCTGTGCGGATAAACCCGTACAGGTGGTCATCGTTTTGGCATTCCTCGCTGGTTTGGTGGAACTGGCCATGGGTGTCTTCCAACTGGGATTCATTGTGAGCTTTATTCCCGCTCCGGTGACCAAAGCTTTCACCTCGGGAACAGCGCTGATCGTGGTGTTTGCCCAGATCAAGAATCTTTTGGGTGTTCGCCTCAAGGGATTTCCCTCGATTGGCGAGTTTTTCACCAACATTCGTCCCACGGATGCGGCTATGGGAATATCCTGCATGGTCGTGCTGCTCTTATTAAGGGTAAGTTGGAAAAAGTGTTCATTAGAAAGGGTAAAAAAAAAGACATTTAAAATTATTTTTAGTACATATATTCAAAAACCTAATAATAATCTCTTTCAACAAACAATTTATTTTCGCTATCAGTCTGTGATGTGTTTAACAATTAGCTTACTTTGGTGATCTTTGTTTTTTTGCACCAAGTCACGTTTTGCATTAATTTACCTAAGCAGACTTCGTGTTCGAAAAAAAAGCCCCTACTCCGAAATAAATAGATTGGTGTTAATAGATATCTCATGACGACATGCAACACACAGGTTACCAGACTAATTTACGTGATATATCTTTATCCGTTTAGCTCCTATCGCAAGTGAACTTCAAACAGGATACACCAGTTACCCGTCGTTTGAAGAAAATCCTGTGGTACATCAGCATATCTCGCAATGCTCTGGTTGTCTTCTTCACCGGTCTGATTGTTTTCATTTGGGTGCACAAGAGTTCCATGGAGGCGGTGCCCTTTGCCCTTTCCGCAAAGGTTTCCTCGGCCATGCCCACGATTAAATTGCCGCCCTTTGCCTTCGAATACCAAAACCGCACTTATGTATTCACGGACATCTTGCATGAACTGGGCAGCGGAATCGTTGTGGTGCCAATTGTGGCAGTTCTGGCGAACGTGGCCATTGCCAAGGCCTTCGGTGCGTATGCGTGATATTAGTTTAATAAGGAGTTCCCCTCTATTTATATGTAATTCTTATTCTTTCAGTCAAGGATGGTAATCTGGATGCCTCGCAGGAGATGCTGACTCTCGGTCTGTGCAACATAGCCGGTTCCTTCTTTAGTGCAATGCCCACTTGTGGTGCCTTTACCCGCTCGGCGGTGAGTCAAGCATCAGGAGTTAGGACTCCAATGGCCGGCATCTACACGGGATTGATAGTGCTCTCCGCACTGAGCATTCTGACCCCGTATTTCCAGTACATTCCCAAGGCTTCCTTGTCCGCCGTTCTAATTGCAGCAGTCATCTTTATGGTGAGTGGTTTTGTTCACATTAAAAAAAGGAATATGTAACAAGCAGCTGTTAACAACAACATAAATTTTAAACTTTCGAGTTCTTATAAATATTTATACATTGACTTTTAATATATATGCACTTCGTGATTAAAGAAAATTTTCTTAGCTCGTTAAAGGATGTGGTTGTTCTTGTAGTAATAAGCTCAATACAAAACCAAAGTTTAGTTTTTTAATCTCTTATATTAATTCATTTTTAAACAGATTGATCTGGCCCCGGTAAAGGAGCTTTGGCAGCTGAACAAAAAGGACTTCTTCAGCTGGGTGGGCAGCTTCATCATCTGCTTGGTTGCCGGCGTGGAGTTGGGCCTTCTCTTCGGAATTGTTCTCAGCATGGTGTTTATTTTGTTGCGCCTGGGCAATCCCAAATTCGAAGTCAACCTGAAACAGGTAAGCCGGGCAGCTTGAAATGCTAAATACTTAAATACAACAATGATTTCTCCCTCAGCATGAATCCACATACTATATCCATGTGGTGCCCCAATCGGATATCTACTACACAGGAGTGGATGCACTCAGAAATGAGTTAAGAGGAGCCTGTCGATTGTATCGCCACGATTTCCCAGTGGTTCTCGATTGCACCCGCTTCATGCAGTTCGATGCCACCTTCAGTGAAATGCTAATCTCAGTGGCCAAGGAGATGGCCGCCGACGATGTCCTGCTGATCCTGCAGAACATGAGCCTGAAGGTGCAGCAAATGCTGCCCGTGATGAGCAATGTGCGCTTCTGCCAGGAAGACAGCCAACTTTCGAGCTATTTGCAGACTGAAAAGGAAGCAACTTTCTCGGATGCCAAGCTGTAATCACTCCTATCTAATGCCAGTTCTCCTCAGTCTGTTTGATCCGGTTTTGTCATAGGACGTCATTGGAATTATCTCCGGATTTGCTACCGCTTGACGCTCACACGAAAAATTGCGCAATTAAGCAGTGGCAGCTAGTTAAGTGCTTAGATTTAGTTGTTTAGTTAGCGACTCTGTAAATACTTATATGCATTATTAAAAATACAGCACTACGAATATATCAAGATAAACCGGAGGAAAGTGTTCTGCAAGCGGAGATAAACAGGTGGCATAAGACCCCATAAAACATGCCTCGTGCCGCGGCATTCAAGCATTCAAGATAGAGCGATCACACAGGGCGTATGAGTAATGCCGCGCCTCATTAATTCAATTGAAATGCCGGTTGCTCGGTTTTTTTTTCTTTGAAATTGTTGTTTAATTATTATTTTTTTCGCTTTTTGTCGTTCAATAAGGAAATTATAATTTATAGAAAAAGTATAATAATACAGTATAACAATTTAGTTGGTTTTCATTTGTTTTGTTTATCCATTTCATATTGCCATTATCATTGTGTTTGCCAGTGTGTGTGTTTTTATGGGAATTTACTTTCAATTATTCTATATTGTTTGCTTTGTTTCCGAGGCAATAAACTGTTCTTGTTGTATACTTGTATAGGTGTCTAGTAAATGATTATAGAGTGTGTCTGTCTGTATCTGTATTCTGTATCTGTTTGTGTGTGTTTGTGTGTATTTCCGTTCGGTACCCCGCATTCCGGATGCGATATCTGTTTCGGATGCGCGGACTTTACGGCTTCGGTGGACGCCGAAGTTAGGCTTGTAGATTGTAATTGTCTATCCGATGTGGCTGAATAATACAGTGACTTGATTGTTAGATTTGAATCATCGTTATTTACGTGGGAAAAGTTAACGCTTGTTGTTTCGAGATCGAGATCGGTAAGTCTTCTCCATTCGCCCTTTTAGCATTGCTGGCCTCTTCCGATTCCTACTACTTGTTTGCCAGTTTACAATTTACAGTGTTCAATTTTGGTTGCAGTGTAACTATGTGATAAGTGGTAAGTGTGTGTCTAAAGTAATCATTTGCTCACAATTATTTGTTTGCCGGCCAAGCACATGTACATATGCAACTCTATGCGCTCTTTAAATATGCCTTGTTTAATATATTTGTTTGGTAAATTTTGTCATTAATATATTTTTGTTTTGTTTCGTTTATCTTTATACTCTTCATTTCTTGAATGTTTTGTATATTCGTAAAGCAAGAGGTACGCGATGTATTTGTTTTTGTGTATGCATTTGTAGTGTATGAGGGCTGAGTCAAAAAGCAACTAGGAAATAGTTGAGTGTCCTTTCTCGAACCGGATTAAAGCGAAGTTCCTCCTTTTCTGAGAAACAGAAATAGTCCTATGTATGTATGTAGGTATGTTTGTTTGTATGTTATGTATGTATGTGGCGTATGCGAGTAACTAACTATCGGTAGTGGCTTTGAGTAGTATTCAAAAATAACGTTCGAAAGAGTGTGTTTTTCTGGATAGGTTGGGCTAGGTAGTTAGGTATTAGGTTAGCGATAGGAAAAAGTAGCAAGGGGGCGGCTTAAGTTGCTAAAGGAAGTATGGAAAAGTATAGTATCCTTGCTGAATTTAGTGAACATGTCTCCTGGGTCTAACGCTACGATCTTGTGCTTAGTACATTATATTTGTATTTGCCATTGGGTATCCCATATATGTATGTAGGAGTAGATCTCTCTTGGTCTTTGGTTTGCTTTAAGTTACACTGATATTTATCGCATATGGCTTCTATGGACATCAAACACTGAAAGAAGTGGGGCGTAGAATAGAAGTTGAATAAGTCGAGCAGTCGAAGGCGGTTCATTGGGATTCAAGGTTTTTGGGATCAGGGTTTATCACTGGATTGGAAAGGATTGGGCAGATATAGAGATTTATCTTCTTGTGCTGGACTGGAAGTCAAGGTCGCCTTGTCTTGGAATTGCGCCCGATTGGAGGTTGGCTTGAATGCGAAGTCGTATTTAGTATATGCGAATATATGTAAATATGTACCATATCGATTTATTTATTTACTTTAATGTATGCTTCTTCTTTTTTTTTTTTTGTTTTGCGTCATTCCGCTTGTCTGACATTGCTCAACATTCGGTTGTGTTTTTTGATTTATAAATGTAATTTAGTTTTCAATATATTTTAAATATATACATATAATATATGTATGTTTATGTTTGGTTTAGTTTACCTTATGTGTTTGCTTTATCTTCTTCTCCTCCTCCTTCTTCTTTCTTTTGGTTTTTATTTATAAACTGGTCAGCAACAGTAGCAAATTTAACAATGTGCGTTAACAAATAATTGTAAATATAATGTATGTATATAATATATTTCTCCTCCTTTACTTGTATTTGTATTTGTATTGGTTTTCTTGTATAATATATGTGTGTTCAGTATCTATGTGAGTGTGTTTATCTGTGTCTTGCATCAGTGTGTGTGTGTGTAGTTGTGTGTGTGTGTGGCTGCAGGCGGGGAATCCACCTGATCTTGTATTATAGAGCTTTATCCTTTAGTGGGTTAGTGGAATCTTTATCGAGTTGCAGTCACCTAAACCGGCAGGCAATTTGTTAAATAATTTTACAACAATTTATCTGGGCTTGTGGCTTTCTTTTTTGTTTTTTGTATTTCATTTATCTTTTATATTTTTTTGTTGTGTGTTTTCTGTGCGGCCGATGCTGCTGTTGTCTGTCGGTCACTCATAATATTTCTATCAATTTAATTAATAAAAAATATTACCATTAGTACTATTAGTCATATCATATCATATCAACAACAACAACACACGCATTGACCCACAGCGCACCGGGTATGATTTTCCATTTTCTTTTTCTTTTTTAACTTTAGCATTGGTTTGTCTGATCTCCTCCTCCACATCTGTGTTTTGTTTTTCTTTTAATATATATATATTTATATATATTAGCTTAGTAATCGTAATCAATAGCAATAATCCATAATCATAATAGTAATAATAAGTCTAATCTACGAATAATATAACAGGACCCTATAGAATGACCGGGGTTATTTGCCAAAGCCGAACCCGAATTTTCCGAAGAGGTCTTTGCCTTTCGACAGGACATCGCCGCCGGGCGCCGCTGCTGCGATGCCCTTGAGACCGCCCAGCAGACCGGCGCCCGGTCCTTGGGGCGGCGCCTGGGCTTGCGGTGGCACTTGTTGTGGCTGCTGTTGCATGCCGGGTTGCATACCCTGTTGCATACCCTGCTGCATACCTTGCTGCATACCAGGTTGCATACCCTGCTGCATACCTGGCTGCATACCTGGCTGCATACCCTGTTGCATACCCGGTTGCATACCTTGTTGCATACCCTGTTGCATACCCGGTTGCATACCCTGTTGCATGCCCCCCATTCCAGGCTGCTGGGCACCGAAGGCGTTTGCTTGTTGCTGCGCTGGCTGCACACCGCCGGGTGGTTGCATTGGATCCGTCTTGGCCGGTTGCTTCGACCCAAATAGACCACCGGTGGCAGCCGAGGTAGCACCAGAGAGCAGGCTAGTTGCGCCGGAGAAGAGGCCGCCCGTCGGCGCCTGTGTCGTGACCGGTGGCTGCTGCTGCTGTCCCATCATTCCTGGCTGCCCCATCGCTCCGGGCTGCCCCATCATCCCGGGTTGGCCCATCTGCCCCATCATTCCAGGTTGTCCCATTTGCTGTTGCTGCTGCTGCTGTTGCTGTTGCCCCATCTGCGTCTGTTGCTGACCGTACTGCTGCTGCTGCTGCTGTTGGAGTTGCTGCTGCTGCTGCTGCTGTTGCTGCTGCTGCTGCAGGCCGACATTACCAACGCGACCGATCATCCCCTGCAAGGTGGCGTCGGTCCGAAAGGACCACAAAACTTTTGTTAGTCGAGCTTCCATTTAGGCAGCGATCGCATTAAACGAATGGCAAACTAATCGTAAAGAATATATATATATATATGGTACGTATATTTATGGGGGTTTCTTAATATTTTCATGGATATCTTGTATCAATGCTCTCTCAAGTATGTTCGTTAGCCGGGATTAACTGTTTGGTTAGTTTAGCGAGGTCCTCGAGCTTTCAATCGCCGAGTTACTTGAGATGGCGAATGTTTGGTTGGTTTCAGATTGGTTGCTTGGTTGTGTTTTTGTTTTTTTGTTAGTAATGGCAACTACGTTCGTTAACTACGAAAAAGAGAGGCTAGTCAAAAACGGAATCAAGATCTTCAAGAGATCCTCGCTAGATGAAACACAGTGCTCAGCCGGGACTCAATCAATGGACTCCAAGTCCAGGACTTGATTTCTGGCCTCAATTGAAACGAGTAACAGTAGCATTACGTGATTTGATTTTTATACACATCCGTTGGCTTGGAACAAAACTCAAAAAATATGTAGAACTAGCAACGTTTCTCAATAGTTTTTTTTTTTAACCGAAAACAAAAAGAGGCCTAATGCCAAAGGAGAACAAATAAAATTGCATGGCAAAAAGTATAAGAAAATGTTCAAAAACTGTAAGATACGCATTCTGACAACAGATTTCAGACAGTGCGGAAGGACTCCCGATGTCCTCCGGTCGGGATCGGACTTCTATAGTTCTAAGGCTCTATTTATTTACACTACCTTGATGAGAAGTGAATTTTCCACCCACTCAAAAGTGGGCGGATATGTTGGGGGGCGTGTTTTGTGAGCGTGTCTAGGCAATCGTTTAAATCAAAAATACTCTGTGGATGCCTATCATCCAAAATGAGCTGAGGAACTTAAAATTATTTAAATAAAATGAACTCTTTTAAGTCAAAGCTTTGCTGTTTTCATCGGTGTTTGATCATTGTCTAAAGTAAAAGCTAAATGCAAATCTATTGAGGAAATCAAACAGAGACGAAGGTGAGCCAGAGGAAATCAAATGAGGGAAATGTCGATAGTAATCAAAAGCAAATACAGTTCGGGTTCAACTGAGGCGGGGAGAAAAACCGAAAGGCAACTGACAAAACCAAAAACTCAAGGTATTACACATACAGTGAATCACATAGAAATTTGTACACATTACATCCAATATTTCATATAGTAGTAGTAGCAATTAATTAATATAATTAGTAGCGTATACCAGTAAGAAAACAAAAATTTATTCATATATAGATATATATATATATATATTTATAGGTATGTATCACGTCTTATCAGCAATACGTTTACTTGAGTGTGTATTTTGTATCTGGCATATATATGGTATATATGGTATCTGGTATTCGGCGATTCAAAGATAAGGAGTTTCGGATACTGTATGAATAGATTTGTACACAGTTCGTCTGGCTTATTATCTTGTTTTCCGAAATTCTTGGTTTGTTTGCTCTCCAAGCTAATTTTAAATTCGAATTTAAATGCCAGCCTGTGAATTGTCAAGCAGGTAAAGCATTTTCATAGGAGATAGGAATATATATTTATAGCTTTCTGAGAAAGTAGGGTAGTTCAAACAGCCTGATTTAGTTCAACAATACATTAGCTTGGATGAAGCAAACAGCAGGGTACTATAAATTGAATTTATTTTGACACTATTTGAGGCATAGTTTGTTGCTGAAAAGTTTAGGAAGTCTGTAAGCTGAGTAGTATTTGAAAAAAAGAAACTTATATTGTCATAAAGGAAATGATAAAGCAGTGAAATATTAAAGAGGGAACTCATATTTAAAATGTATGTAAAACAAGTGATCAACAAACTCAAGATATAAATCGATGTGAATGAATGTTGCTGTGGAAATTGTTGCTGATATTTATTCAAGTTGAAGTTCCTTGACAGATTCTATATACAGACTATACACACATACACGATCTGTGGATTGGCTTTGTTCTGAGTTCGATAACGAGTATATTACACCAACATGAAGTGCGGCATTTGCAGGCTATGAATCTCGGGATATATCTTTACACGGACGAGCCCTTGCTGTTTTGGTTTGAATGTTTGTATTTATAATGTCATTATTGTCGTTTGATGTTAACTACAAGATAAACATGTTGCTAGCTATACATATGTACTATATATATATATATATATATATAGGTATATATAAATCGGTTGATTGGTATCGTTATTTGGAATGTTCAAGTACTGTACTGTAAGCGTTTGAATTGGGTTTTCGGAATGGGATATAGACATGGAGACACAGTGAGATAGGAAGTATGCGTTGAAGCTATAGACATAGAGAGAGAGAGAGTAAGACAGATAGAGAGAGAGAAAAAGAGGACGCAACAATGGACGATCGAGTGGGAAAGAGATGGCACGACACAACTGGCGCGTGTGCAGGAAAGCGATAGCAGTATGTCGTTAGAGAGAGATGGCGTGTTCCTCTTCTGTCTGGCTGTCGGGATAATACTTTGTTTCCGGGATCTGTTAAATGTTTTTCTAGGGGGGTTTTTGCTTGGCCGAGAATCGGAACCGAAAAGTAATGAGTGACAGAGATAGCAAGTGAAGAGGTAAAGGGATAGGTAACTGTAACTGTAGTTGTTTTAACTGTTGTAGCAATAATAATATGGTAGTAGTAGTTGGGTAGTAGGCATGTTTTTAGGTATCTTTAGGTGAACAGTTGTGGTTACATTTGGCGTATTCTTAACTCTTTTTTGTTTTTCGTTAGATTAGCTTTAGCATTTATTTTCACAAACAAACAAATGAAAATATTGTATATCTTTTCTTTCTTTTCATACGTTCGATATATCAAAACAAAAAGGAACAAAAGAGAAAGAGTATTTACCTGCGTTTGGTGATCGGGGGCAGGATGGCCCGTGTTGTCTAACAGTGTAGGGGAAGCAGGGCGAGCATCTATAGCAACGAATATAACATAAAGACTTCACATTTACCACAGCAGACCATTACAAAAAATTATTCGAAAGAAGTTGTAGTAGTCAAAACGAAAAAAGATCGTAATCCAAAACTTAGGTATCAAACTTAGGCATCGAAAAAAGGAACTAAAAAACGAATCGAAATATTGAATTTAGTCGCGTACAGTTTGCAGATAGTTCGGAGCTGCCTGTTCGAAAACTGTGATTAATGTTGGTTTGGAAAGATTGGATATATATTTACTCATCTCCGCACTGGTGGGGGCTTAATCAAATAATCGTTGTTCTATATAATTCACCGCAGTTCACGAACAAATCAATGGACAACTCAAAATGAAAGGGTTAAATAAAGGTTTTTCTATGGACCCAAGGGTCTCACATCACTTCCAAATATAATATTATATATAGAGGGGGCTTTTCGAAATTGTTCTGTTTTTTTTTTTTTTTAATTTGGTTTGCGCAAAGACGTAATTGAAACAAGAGGAAAGGCGCCAAAAGTATTCAGATCGAATCGGATTAGTAAAAAGTGAGAGAGATAGAGAGTTGAGTTAAATGATTGCATTTGATTTGATTGTGGTTATTGGTCCAGACGTAAGTAGATTAAAATTGTATTAAATATTACCTTCTTTCATAACCCTATTCGATTTCCCATTTCGGGGATTTCGGTTCTTTGGTTGCATTTGCTCAAGCTTTTGTAAGCAGTTTACAGGATATTTAGATAGATATAAGTTATATAGCATTTGGACGGGCACTTTATCGGCTTAGTACATATGATATCGCATTGTATATAAGTAGTTATATGGAAATAATTAAGTTAAAATTTAAGTATTTTACAATATAAAATGTACATTAAATACAAAAATACTGCTCGTATTTATTTTGAGAATTGATATATTTTGGATTTGGTGCTTGGAGCCCTTGCTTGATGCTGTTGTTGTTTTTGTTGTTATATCTTGAACAAAAGTTTAACAAATATCAAATATATATCGAAGAAGCTAATTGGCAAACAAACAAGACCAACATTCAGAAAACCAGAAGGAAAGAAGTCAACGAAAAAACGGAACGGAAAATCCAAAAATCAACGAGAGGAAACAACGCTAAAAGAAATATATATTTGATTCGAAAAGCAGATACTCGTACTCGTTCAACGTTATTTTAGGGATAAATATGGGGAGATATTCGGATATCCGGGGGACTCGGGGGGTTTATAGCTTAGAAGTACCGTTCTGCAGTAAATGCAGTTCCCTAGATCGATCGATTGTGTCCTCAAATGTTCCGCCAATTAATCTTTGGCCTCGTCTCCATCAGTGGATCATTATGGCATTCTGGGTGACTTTTCAGGTTAGTACTACGTTTTCTTCATCGGTTCAAGGCACATTCAGAGGTCGACTTTGTGGTCTATGGCTCGGTGGTGATCAACTAGGCAATCAATTCATTCGGCAATCAGGTGCAAGTAATTCGTATCGTTAAGGCAAACAATTGCTTCACTAAAAACCAAATCAAAAGCAATTCAACCAAACCAAAGAAAAAAAAACTGTTTTCATTTATACTTAAGTTGATTAACATGCAAGAGACTAACTAGAATTTTACACGGCTAGAAAAAGGCACGCAAGACAAGAAGGGACAGGTTACCAAAAATGAGAAGGAAATTCAACGAAAAATTGGTACAGACAAGTTAAAAAAGCTAAGTGAGGAGGTTTATATACAAAGGAATGGCGATATGAAAAATGAACATGATTTAATGGCCCTGAAAGTTCGAATTTTTTCAGCTTTTGCCAGCTGATTTCAACGATATTTTGATTTCAAGTTGATGATAGATGATTGATCGATGATGATGAAGAATGCTTAGCAAATACTTTATATTGTGTGTGTACAACAACAAGAACAACAACTATCTATTGTATATTTTTATTGGATTAGAAATATATCATTGGAATCCAAACGAAAATCGTACGAAAAAAAGAAGGAAATATTTATTTATATATAAATTGGAATTATCGAACTGATTGGTGCTGAAAATTATTTAATTTGTACATCAACAAAAATCGCATTAAATATTAAGGAAAAAAACTGGGAGAAAAGAGTTGTACAAAAGTTCGCTCGGAATCGTAATGGAAATCAAATTAGCGGCGTTCAAAATCAGAATTTGTATTCAATTTGTAACTGTTTTGTTTCACTTGAAATTTTTGCGATAGAGAGTTAAGACAGAAAGAGAGAAGGAGTGAAAATATTCTCTGTGTTCGCTGATTTTGTAATATATATATCGTTTGGTAAACACAAACAGAAAAAAAAGTAAAAATCATTGGGGTATCGGAACAGAAATGGATTGCTATAGTATAGTATATTATCCCGCTGGTGGAATTGTTTATGTAGTCTGGAAGAACCTGCATAGTTATTCATCTTATAAAGTGCTTTCGAGATTAAAGTACATGTTTTGTATTATTTTGTAGTATTTGGCTTTCAGATTTTTCATTTTTTTTTTCAATAGATTTTTATTTTTGAAAACGAATCAACCGAAAAGAACGAAAAAGGTGAAAAAGAAAGTGTTGAAGGCCCGAAATAGTTGCTCGAATCGGCTTTTCAGTATCATTCGATCACTGGTTAATTCGTATTCAAATCGAACGGAAAAGAAAACTGAAGAGAGAAACACAAACCGAAAATGCGAAAGTCCCAAAATGCTGGCATCGATCTCGATCTGCACAAAGCCTACTTACTTTTGCCCGGCTGGCCGCGCCCGCCCATTCCGGGCATCATGTTGTCGCGCGGCGGGGGCGGCGGACCCCTCGCTCCCGGCCCCTGCCCCCTGCCCCTCTGGCTCAGACCGCCGCGTCCTGCCACGCCGCCCGGCCCCATCTGGTTGTTGTACTGGTCGGGCGCGTCCGCCAGGAAGTTCGACGGCACCAGGCCGCGCACTCCGTCCAGCTCGCCCATGTAGAAACCGTCTTCGTCCATCTCGCCGTACACGAGTATGATCTCGCCCGTCTTGAAACACAATTCCACTTGCTGTAAGCGGGAGAAGGAATAAATATAATAAACATATATTCCTACTGATGATCAATAAACCCAAGCCTAAGCAAGTAGTTGGTTTTTTCAGGCTATACTTAAATAAAGATCATAATTGGTTTTGGCTATAGCCTAGTTCACTGAGTGATTTATAGAATGAATTTCAATATGTTTGCCAACCAATTTTATTATAGACTACACAATTTTGTATTTACAGGCATTTAAGTTGAGCAATTTTAGCTTGATTTTTAATTACACATTACGCATACGCATTGTGGGCTCATGGAGTGCAATTTAAAAATGTTTTCTTTATAGTATTTGATTATAAATTATATTATAATATAGATGTCACTGTTTATTTGGAAGATTTAGTTACTATTTTTATACTGTGCATTTTGTCTCAAAAATTACGCATACGCAACGTTTACTCATTTAGGTTCTGTAATTGCTGATTACTGAGAAGAAAATAATTTTGAACAACTTTAATTTTAGCAATATTTTTTTTTCAATACTGCGTAAATTTTGACTGCTTTTTTTTTACTCACTTCACTTGGCCTGGTGCCCAAAACATTTTGGGTAAAGCCCAGCGATAAGCTGTTAAATATGCCACCCATGAGACCACTACCCGCTTGACTTTCCCGCCGCTAATAAAGTCAACCAAAAATGTACTAAAACATAGTAGTTATTTAGGGAATAGACCTACCTCGGCATCCACATTGGGACTCAACTCCTGGGGATCGTAGTCGTAGAGGGCGATCATCCGCTTCACGGGCATATTGGCGTAGATGTCGCCCCAGCGGTCGCGGCTCACGTTGCGCATGCTCTGCTGCGGAACCGCTTGGCCGGGCATCACCTGGGCGGTGCCGCCCACTCCGACGCCCTGGCCTTGGCCCATCTGGCCGGGGATCTGGGCACCGGCTGAAATGGCCGCCGCTGTGTCCTCCACCTCGGATACCATGTTGTGCGGCACGTAACCCCTGCGACCACGCAACTCTCCCCAGTAGAAGCCATCCGCATCCTTATCACCAAACACCTAAGAAATCGAAGGGGAAATCCCAATAAATTTACCATTAGTAAGAGTTCAAGATAATCCAAAAAATATAGATTATTGTATTTGTTAAGTGTATCGAGTGCATAACGCTAACTTAACGAGTATTTATGGAACTATTAGAAGAGAGAACAACGTCTACAAAGTGGATTATAGAGTACGGTTTGGTTATTTATTTATTGGTGGTTCGGGTCGGTTGGGGGGTTTAAATCTCAACAAAATCTGATTCTGATACTGATGTTACTGAGTCTGTGAAGAGGGCGGTGTGGTGTGTTTAGAGAGTTCAAGGGAAAGGGCGAGGGGCGAAGGAAAAACATGCACTGATTCATTCAATTAGCGCAACAAGCAAGCGCAGCCAATTCTTTGGTCATCAATCGTTCGCCATTTGCATCCAATTTGCATCATCGATTGGGTTTTATCTGCGGATCGTTTCGAAGGATCGTTGCAAAACGGAGGAGCTCACCGTGGTTTTTGGTTCACCTCACTGGAAAACTCGAAACTGCAGCTGAAAAGTGTCTCGGGTGGTTCTGTGTGGAGTTCAGTGGAGTCTGTTTGCTGGGGATCAGCGGGCTTACCTTGATCGTGTCGCCCTCCTGGAAGGGCAGCTCTTCGTCGCAGCCATCGGGATTGGGACTCATCGTGGATGGGTCGTAGTCGAACATGGCCACAAAGTAGCGGGGCTTCTTCTGGGCAGCGGCCAACTGGCTGGCGGTTCCCGGTTGTCCCGGCTGCGTTTGCTGTTGTCCTGCCGCCTGTTGCATTTGCTGCTGCTGCTGCTGTTGTTGCTGCTGCTGCTGCTGTTGCTGCTGGTTTAGTGCTCCTCGTGGTCCCATCATCTGGCCAGGCATCTGACCAGGCATCTGACCAGGCATCTGACCAGGCATCTGTCCAGGCATTTGACCAGGCATCTGACCCGGCATTTGGCCCTGCATTTGCCCGGCCATCTGCCCTTGCATTTGACCTGCCATCTGCATATTCAGCTGGCCAGGAACTGGTCCTCGAAAGCGTGCCCCGCCCATAGGACCCTGCGGTCCATAAGCCTGCTGCTGTTGCTGCTGCTGCTGTTGCTGTGGTCCCTGCGGCCTTCCCGGAATCGGAACCATGCCCCTTTGTGCTCCTGGCGCCCCGGGTTGATAGCCCTGGTTGATTGGTTGGTTGGTCGACGATCGCAGGAATTTAAATCAATTTGAATGAATTTAAAATTTTGTTAGCGTTAGTTTTCTTTTGCGTACTTGGTTTTTGTTTTTTCGAGAGAGAGAGAGATAGGGTGTTGCAATTATTAATTTGTACTCTGTTTTTCATTCACATTGTCTTTAGAGAGGTTAGTTTGTTTTTGGTTTAGCAAAGTGGAGGCGTCTGCGTTTAGCTGGTTTGCTTTAGCGTTTTGTTTTTCTCTTTAGACAACTAATAGGAAGTACGAAAGCTGTGTGTGTATATGTATGTTAAGTGTTTTAATGGAGCATTACGATCTAAATACACATAGGAACTGAAAAGCCAAAGATCTATAGCTGAAAGTCGAGTACGAAGCTAGACGAGTATGTATTTTAAAGGATTTCGGGATGGAATCGGAGGTAAGAAAGCACGGATTCGAGTTCGGAGTATTTTGTAGTTGGTTTTGGGGTAGATTTTGTAGCTGTAGTGGTATCTTCAGGTGGCTTGTGTGGGTGTTTACACATGTTTCTAGCATCAACTGCGAATTTACATACGTATTTACATATGTATAGAGTTATAAGGGTATTTTACATAGATCATATGTAGATTTACGTAGAGTTCAAGCTGTATTAGTTATACGAGTAGATATTGCTAGAATTCGATCTGCAAAGGTTTTAATCTGCACCGAGTCTATATGTCGAGTATAGTTTTTCGATCCTACTAATAGGTAATCATAAAGACCAGGAACAGTCATGCATTTATAGCCTAATTGCATAGTTCTTCTTCCAATCTTGTTTAGGTTTTCTTTCGTACTTACAGGTCAGCCAAAGTATTCAAATTTATTCCCTAGAGGCGTTTACTTGTGTACTTACTTATATAAAACAAATGGAAAAGAACTACAAACTCAAACTAAAACAAAGGACTGTCGTTTTGCTTCAATTTACAAGCTCAATTATCCAGTTTAAAATTATTTCCGCTAAGCACAACTCGAAGCTAAGCTAACCAAAATAAATAGGAATCGAGCACTTAGGTCTAGAGTCTAGAATCTAGATACTTGTACGCAAAGTGTTACAGATAACTTAGGGCTAGTGTGGTGTGTGTGGCGAGGTGTGTGTTAAATGCGGAGATGTTGTGGGTAAAACTTACATTCTGGTTCACTTGATTCTGTGTGGGTTTCGAGAAGAGGCCACCGAGCAGGCCACCTAACAATCCGGAGCCTCCGTCGGGCTGTATCAGTTTCAGTATCGGTATCGGTATCGGTATCGGTTATCAGGTTTTCAGGTGTTTCAGGGTTCGATATCAGTTTTCAGTTTTGGTTTCATATAATGAAAATGAATATGTACTTGTTTTGTTTAAAATTGTTCGTTGCATTGCGTTTTCCTTAAGACAATTGTCGGCATCTCCGCTCAATACTTAGTTAAAAACTCTAGTTTAAATCGGAACAACTCAACAAAGTTCAAAATCTTAGTTATATATTTCGGTTTAAACTTATTATTTGGTAATTGCAATTTGCTGCTGCAGTTCAAGACATGCTAATTGTGAACTAGTCTCAATCAAACCGAAATCAAAAAACGATAACTGAGGGAAATTATAAGTTTCTAGCAAAAAGGGCATACTCTGCATATCTCTTGAAATCGAAGGAGGAAATCATAAGAAAACAGGTTTAACTTTACATACATACAAGTTCTTTGGGTGGGAGAAGGTCTCAATTCAATTGCTTTGGTTCTTATCACAAAGACCGGGGAACTAAACTGCCTCGCAGTTTTTTGACATGTGAAAATTTGTGTGAATTTTTTGTGCGATTGTCTTAACAATTTCTTTCAGTGTATGTATATAACAGGAGGTACATTTGCAAAACAAATCGACCAAAGAAGTAGGAAAGTATATGAAAGTAAAGGCAGTCCAAAAGAAAGAGGAGGATAAACAGAGAGAGAAAAAAGGTTCAAGGAAAGGTAAATGTTTAACAAAAAGTAAAGTAAATATGGAACTCTTAAGAAGAGATAGAGAAATAGAAGTGGAGAGTTCAGAAAAAAGAATCGATGCAATGTGGTTTTTATATGGGGAGTTGTGATCTGGGGACTTCTGATTCAATATTCTTCTGATATTTTTTTGATGGTGCGCGGGTTTTACAAGCAATGGATAGAAATCGAAGGGTTTTCTTTTGTGTTTCGCATTCAGTTTTGGGGAACATGTGGGGGTTTTTACACGAGAATAACTTATGTACATTCTTCGATGGTGTGTTGGCTTCAAGGTTTAGATACAACAGAATTTCGAATAGATCTTAGCCAATTGCTTCGAAATGATAAAACGAAACGAGTCACAGAACATTATTTACAGTGTACTCCAGGGCGACACACCTTCGCCGGACACTCACCTGGTGGCCCGGCTGCCCCGGCTGCGGCTGCATCCCCGGCTGCTGCATCTGGTTGGGATCGTACTGCCCGTGGTCCTGCTGGCCCATCATGTGCTGACCGGGTTGACCAGGTTGCCCTGGGAGCCCGCCCATCTGCTGCTGCACCTGCATGCCGTGCGGCCCCTGCGGCAGCTGCGGACCCATGCCCATCTGGTTCGGCACCCGACGCGCCACCGCGTTGCGCACAGTGTCTGTTGGAGAAGGAGTAAGTTGAATTAGTATTGATTAAAGATTAAAAATAGAAATTTAACATAGTTATATAATAATTTTCTAAATAAAATAAATAATTGAAATATTTGTTGTTTTAGTTTTTAACTTAAATAAATCAGACATCCTCTTCATATAATCAACTGTATACAAATGGGATAACATTTTTGTGTCCACTTATTTATTTCGTGAATTTGTGTATAAATATAATTATTTAAAATATAAATAAAACATAAATACAAATAAATTTAAAATGATTTTGAGTGTACTTCAACCTAGATTATTGTTCATTTCAAATTTTTTCTGGTAACTGATTTTTAACCAATTTGATCAACTATACCATATTATACTAATTCGATATTCAATCCAAAAATACGACAAATTCAATCAAGGAATCATACCTACTTAAGTGATTTAAACTAAATATAATCTCAAAGTTAGTTCCACTCACTTGGTATCAAGATGGGCGCGCTGTCCGCGGACTGCGAGTCGCGCGACTTGGTGCGAATGGTGACGGCGCGCGGATTGAAGACGCCCAGCTTGCCGATGTCGATGAGGGCGTGGTCGCCGGTGGGCGAGTTGATGTCGGTGACCTTCTTACCATCGGCGTACACAGCGTAGCCGGTTACAGGCCCCGTCGAGGTGGGCCTGTTAACCGGCTGCCATGTCACCAGAATGGTACCGTCCTGCGGGCCGGCCTCCAGTTGGATCTCCTGCGGCGGATCGGGCAGTCCCTTGGTTAGGGTGCGGAAATCGGCGTACGCTCCGGGCGCCTCCTCCTGTCCCGGCCGTCCGGCACCGGGACCACCCGGCTGGCCCACATTGGCCGCATGTTGGCCGACGGCCCGCAGGTGCTTGGCCCGAACGGTGACCCGGTATTGGGTGCTCGGCGCCAAGCCGGTGATCGTGTGCCTGTACATGCCCGGCTTGACGGTGCGCACCTCCACATTGTTCACACACACCACGTGCTGGTGGTTGGAGTTGGCCGGCAGCCACGAGATGACCGCCGAGGAACACGTTATGTGCGAGGCGCGCACCGCCGAGGGGCCCAGGTGGGCGGTGTCCCGCCCGATTATCATCGTGCAGGCGGCGTCCCGCGAGGTCTGCCGGTTCTGCGTCACGCTCCGCACGCTGATGCGATGCGGCTACCAGGAGGAGAATATAACAGTTAATTTACTTGGTTCCGTAAATGTAGAAAACAGAGGGAAAGACGTCTTGTAAAATCAAGTGTAAAATAAAAGTTGCTCGGTTTAATAGATCCAATTTTTATAACGCTTTACCACTTTTATTTTCATGTGGGTTCAAAGTGTAATAAATTATAGGTTTTCTTATGGTTTTAATTTATCAAATATAAGAATTTTTAGGAGAGATAATAATCATCTTTATGTTGTGGAAAGTGAAGTGCATAGAGCACTAAGTTTTAAAAAGAGTGTTTTAATTAATATTATTGCTTTAACTTGTTTTATAAAATATAAAGAAGTGTGCTCAGTTGTGTTTGAAATATTTGGAATATTTTATTTGTGTACGAAATATTTGTTTCAAATATAATTGATATGTTATAGATAAATATCTTCAAAGGAAGTTATAGTTTCGAGTATATAGATATTAAAGGTTTAATAATTAAGAAGGAAATTTGTGAAGTTATTTCACAGATTATATTACTGGATACATGCCAAAAAGAAAACGCTATTGAAAACTGAACAAATCGTCTTGAAACAAAGTGCTAACACATTGTTTCAAGACGGTTCGCTCAAAGGATCTTCCGGCTTTAAGGTAGGTACGGAAACCCCGCCGAGCCGCTGACTTTGGAAGAGCCATTCTTGATTTTACAACCGTTCCATTGGCCTCCGTTCGCTTTGGAGGATCGTTCTCACCCGCGTGGAGTCGACGCCCTCGATTAGCGCGCGTGTGCGTTCGTTGGCCTTGACGGTGACCTTGAGCACGCCGTCCACGTAGACGTGGTAGCTGTCGATGAGGTTGTAGCCCACTGGCTCCGGCGGCGACCAGCCAATGAGCACGCTCTTGTTCAGCTGCCGTTCCAGCGTCAAGTGCTTGGGTGCTGGAACTGCGGGGAGGAGCAAGAAGTGTGTCATTAGCCAGCTAGTTGACCCAAGGACCCAAGGACACTCTAGGTGCAGCCGGGACAGGACTCTACTAGCGCAGCTTTAAATCGGGGATTAAAGGGGGTCGGTGGTGTTTTTTTTGTTTTTTGGGGTCTAAATTGTATGCTCACTTTCATGCCATGCACGGCGACGCATTCGAGGATCGCCACAAAAACCAAAAGATTATAAATGAAAGGACCAAAACGGTTCGATTGTTTGGGGGAAAGATTGGGGGGATTTGCCGGACCGGGTATAGTTACCATTGTCGCTGATGTCGTCCTGGTCGTGCTCCAGGTCGGTGTGCGTCTCACTCAAACGGGCCAGGTCCTCGTGGGTGTGTGTGAGCAATGGGTTGTGCGGCGGCAAGGAGGGCAGCGACGTCGTGTCGCACTGCATCGATCCGTCCTCGGCATCGCGCAGCGTCGACAGCACCGCCTGGTGGAACTCCAGGAGGTCGTCGCCTAGCAAATACACAGGTCAGAGGTTAATAGCTAGCACTAGGTACTATAAAGGGGTTATTTGGGTTAACTACACTCTAGCAAAACAGGTTAATCATAAGTCAAAGAGTTGGTATAAAGAAAAAAAAAGTCTTAATTTAAACATTCTGACGTAATTGATGATCTTGAAATATTTGATACGCTTTTTTTTTTTAAATTACGAAAACCAAATAATTAGTATTTTTGTTCGAATTTGCAGAGTCAAGATAACCGCTCCTAAATCCGTTCTCATATTTTATATTATTAGTTACTTATTATTAGTTTACTTTTTCCACTAGCTTTAGTTTCATTTCAAGCCTTGATTTGTTCAACTATTTTTTTCTAGGTGTACTGACCTACTAAACGCTGCACAAAGGAGGCAGGAACCAGACCGCGTCGTCCGTCCAGGAGTTCGGCATCCAGGTAGCCCCCTTGGGGCTCCCCGCTGGTCCACACCAGCAGATAGTCGCCGGCGCACAGGGAGAGCTCGCCCTCAGCCTCCCTGCAAGGCATGGAAAGGATATCATTATGAACACTGAAAATAACAGAGGTTAGTTGGGGATATTCTATGGCATATTAGGGTTGGTATGTCATACAACCATTTGGGGAGATTGTTGGGGGAAACGCATAAGGAAAACCATTTAATTATTTATTATTAATATTGAGTATTCGAATATATAGATTACATTGTCTGATAAAACCCGTATAAGTAAACTATATATATTTTTTGCATACTTTAAGAGGCTAATATAATATATTTCCAAGCACTAAGAAATAACAAAGACTATATTGCTAACCATTGGTTATATATTAGATTACTAAAAACATTAGCTAAGATCTAAAATGGTTAAACTTTAAGAAAAACAAGAAATAATTTTAACATTGCGTATACGAGCTGTGGTACATCCCAATGATATTTTACAAATGTGTGCCTATTTTTAGGATGCTATTAGGAAAGTGTTGAAATTTTTGTAGAAATTTGTTTTCGCAATTAGCCCGAGTTTAAGCGAAATGAATATGCTATTGAATGAATATTATTAAATGAAAATATGTAAATTTGTTTCTTCGATAATAACTATCTTATCTTTTGCAATTGAATTTGGGGATGTATATAAGGAAATGGCTATAAGTATTGTTTAACAAACAACTAGGAATACTTACTCTGGAGGATCGTAGGGAAATCTGGCTATGAACACACAGCAGCGGCCTTTTCCAGGAATATCGAGCATATCCACTTGCGGTTCGCTGGCTCCATTTAGACCATGATTGCGAGCTGTTTATAAAAGGATGGGTAAATATGATTTATTAAGAGAATATAAGTGATATTTATCAAATTGATTTTCTTTATACAATTGCAATTTAATGATAAATAATTGGTTTTAACTTAAAAATAATTTTCTGATTACTTATAATTATTTCATAGCATACTTTTATGCTCTTTTTAAGGAATTTATAAATACTAATAGTTTATTATCATTAAATTGACGTTTTTTGTAAACATTTTAATTAGCATTATAATTTTCAATACTCACTGTCCAAATCGAGGGCACCCAGCGCCAGGCCGCCGCGGTTGTGCATCATGGAGACGCTGAGGCCGTCGGCGAACTCGTCCAGTCCCCAATTGCTGGGCGGGATGGGGGAGCAGGGCGAGCTGCGGTTGTACCGCGTCAGCGGAATGTCGATCTCGTCCAGCATCTTCATCTTGGACGCCTGTCGCAGGGCGGCCGCGGTGAAAGGATACGAGGCGCTCGAGGCGACGTCCAGGAACGGTGGCCCATAGGAGCTGCCCAGTCCACCGGCTCCTCCGCCGCCACTTAGTCCGTACAGCGAGGTGGCTCCGGTGATGCCACCGGTACCGGGTCCTCCCACCCCCAAGCCGCCTAAGCCGGCGGCACCCAGGAGAGCACCGGTGTCCAGGAGGCCCAGGTTGGCCATCGAGGGATGCGTCAGCGAGGAGGCGCCACCGCCGGCGCCCAAGGCCGAGTAACTGGTCGAGCCGCCGGGCGGCAGATTATGCGAGTTGAGTGACAGGAGGGGCATGGTTGTGCTCTGCAAATTGTACAGTTGTATTGTTCCGCGCTTCTCGATTTTCATTTCGATTTTCGAATTTCGAGTTTCAGTTGCCATTTGTGTTTCGTGTGTTTTTGTGTGGAATTTTGGATTTTTTGTTGTTTTTTTTTCAAGAATTTACAGGGTATTTTATGGTGTGTTGTTGTTTTTTTGTACAGGTGTCGTTACACAGACATAGGATCACACACACACACACAGATACAGATGCAGACATACACAGAGATCGATATATTTTAAGATCGTAATCGATGTTATCGATGTTACCATCGTCATTAAATGCGGAGAACAAAGAGAGAAAGAGAGAGAAAGGGAAGACAGAGAAAGCACATAAAACGGAAAGAGAGATCACAGGATACACGTTTATTCGGCTGCGAATTTGAAAACGCATCTAGAAGAACGTCTTAAAAGGTCATCTATGCATGAACAATTGAGCATGTTGGTGGTGAACTGATTTTCGGCTGGTCATGAGTGGTTTGGTTTGGTTTGGTTTGCTTATTGTAACTGCAATGAACTGAAGCCGTTTCCAAAGCGAGGTTTCATGGTTATCAGGGGCGGACGCAGGGGGGTGTCCGGGGGTCCGGACCCCCCCAAAATCTCAGACTTTTTCAAATTTCCTTACAGCACACGGCTTTTCAACCATAAAAACTAAAATTTTTTTGGTCGGACCCCCCCAAAAGAACAAATTTTTTGATCGGACCCACCCAAACGTAAAAATTTTTGATCGGACCCCCCAAACAACAAAAATTTTTCGATCGGACCCCCCCCAAAATTTTTTTTTGCGTCCGCCCCTGATGGTTATGCAACACTGCTAGCATCCAATCATCACCATCAAAAACGTTTATCAACAAGTAACGGAAAGCTTTCAAATGTAACTCCTTTAAAAGATATATGGATACATAGTATGCATGTTTATTGTATGTCTGTAAATGCAGTAAATGTGTGTGTACACTCTGTTTAATATTTAGTGAACCATGGAAAAGGAGATCCAATTTTAAAATGCAATCTTTCCAAAAAGGTTCTAAAGATATTAAACAAGTTTTTGACTACAAAGTTTTGGTTTAATATATGGGTAGATAAATGTCAATTTAAGTGAATTATGATAGATAATACAAGCAAAATGTTCATCAAAGATATTCCAAATCTCTCCTTAATGTTAACTTAGTGATTGAACAATGAAAGTGATGAAATTTCTAGCATGCCAGTGAAAGCGAAAGGAAATGTTAACAGGCAGTTGAAAATCAGATTCAAATTCACAAACGATCTATTTCTGAAATGTGGGTGTGTGTGATTTCGTGTTGTGTGAGGGTGGGTGGGGTTTTTCCAGTGGGTGGCTTGTGGCTCTGTGGGTGTGTGAATGTTTATTTTCATCAGTAATGAGACTACAACAAAACGCAATGCGTGAGCTTTACACAAAACGGCCGGCGGCTGCAGCATCGACGATCAACGAACTATATACGCTATATGCTATGTGGATACTAAGAACGGATCGAATTTACATATATATATTTTACATTAAACGTATAAACGCATAGCATTTCTTATTTTTTTGGCTAGATGTGGCAAGCTTGAAAGCAAATCGGCAGCGGTTTTATTTTCATTTTTTTTTTTTGCTGTGGTTGCTGTTGTTCGTAGTTCATTGCGATTGAAAATAGTTGGTTTACCTGACTTAATGCCGTCGGCATAGCCTTCATCGTGTGAATATTTACCGGCAGGGGTGGAATGCCAGTGATTCCACTAGTTCCGCTCAGCAGCTTCTCCACGGACGTTTGTCCACCGCCGTACTGCATCGACTGGATGGCATGGCTGCTCAGACTCGACGATATGCCGCTGATTGAGTTGGGCACCAGTGCCGATATGGATGATAGGCCCCCTCCCCCCATTCCCACGCCCACTCCTCCCCCGACCACGCCCCCCGATCCGACGGAGGAGGAGGCGGCGGCAGCGGCAGCGGCAGCAGCGGCGGTCACGCTATGCGAGCCCAGGCTGGTGCCGCTCAGGCTGGTGCTGGCGCCTCCGTTGGGCAGCGTGGAGGCCAGCGATTGCGGCAGGCTGGAGTAGCCGGAGGACAAGGCCGAGACGGCCCCGCCCCCACCGCCGCCCCCTAAAACGGCCCTTTTGTAACGGTTCAGTTCTTCTTCGAGTTCTGCGATAATAAGTTTCATCAGTTATCTATTCAAATACATTTTATCTGAAAGGAGTACTTACCACTCTTTGATATGGTTCTAAATTCGCTATTTACCGTGCTCAACATGGAACTGGGCGGCAATGCTGACATGCTGGCGCTGGCCGACGTGCGAGGCTGCTCCAGTTCGGCCAGCACGCGATTATCCTGCGGGAGAAAAAAGGATAACAAAGGTTTGAGTCTTTAATGTGCAGACCATACAAAAAAAAACAGTTTACTTGCCCTAAAAAAATATATATATATTTTCAATAAAATACTTGAACAACTTCTAATACAAAAATAATTTTTTAGTTAAAGTTTTTCTTTTATGACATTTTTTTACGAAGGCAGATATTTAAATCAGAATCCAATTAATCCTTGATTTAATATTTTACTTAACTATACTTATATTTGTTTATCAGAACTCTTTCTGTATTGCCTATTTTTCTAAATAACATTTTCTTGTAAATATCATATTAACTTATAAGAATTTCTTAACCTAAATTCCAGTAGGCTTTCCCTGATTAGCAACCAAACCTTTCCTCAACTGGCCTTGACAAGTCCGACGGCCAAGTTAAAACCGAAAAAAATCCAAATTCGACGTAAGCGATCGGCTTGTCAAGATGGACAGTGTTTGGTACTGCGGACCCGCAGACGTGCTGATCAAGAAGGCCAAGGACATGTCCCTCAGCCTCGGAGAATTGGAGGCGAGGACGGATGCATTACTGATCGACGCGGAGGGTGTGGATCAGGACTTGGTCAACTGTCGCAAGTTCCGCGAGGAGCAGCTGCTGAAATACCTAACCGAAAACAACACCGACGAAGAGCAGATGCAGATGCTGCGTGACAACGCGGAACTAAAGGAAACCGCCAGTGAATTTCACCAGGGAATCGCTCTGATTAGTGAGAAGTACCGACAGCACAGCGAGAACGAAATGTTCATCAATAGCTATCAGTTGAGGGATCGCTACTTGGAGGGACTAACGCAAGTTGTAAAGAGCAGGATGCTCGGATCGAGCAGATGTTGGAGTTCATGAAGCTAACCGCCGATTTGGAGGATCGATCCAGTGACGACAACCAGAACATCATTCGAAAACTAGCTGGGGAAAACGAGCAGATGCGCCGTCAGTTGCAAATCAGCAGTGGCGAGCAGCTTTTCCGCCAGGGAGCACTCGAATCCAGCGAGTCCAGCACTCAGTTTGAATCCAACGATCCAGGAACATCGAAAACCAAGAGCTTCGCTAGCTTGGAGAGCTTTCTGTCCTGCCTCTCGCAGGAAATCGTCGATGATGATGACTGCTCCTCCACCAATTCGCTGGTCAGTCAGTTCGAGGTGAACCTCTTCATCGAGGAGGCCTTGACCGAGAATCCCGAGGAAGCATCTCCCATTCAAATGAACCAGGAATGAACAACATTCACACCACCTCAAACACACATTAAACACACTGCTTCCATTTAAACATTCTAGATTGAAGATTAATTTTGATTAAAACTTAGCTTGACTTTGAAACAAATTATAATTCGGGATGTGAACTTACAGTTGTCAAGAGGGATTCTACAACGTATTCCCCACCCGAAATATAATTTAATTCGAAGCTACACTTCCTCGACGCTATTTGCTGTTGATACCTGCTGCTGTTTGTAAACCAACTTGTCACTTTCATAAATATCTGTGTAGTATTTTAAACTGATTTTCCAGTTTACTTGGTTCCGAAAAGACTGGATTTTCGATATAGTTTACCTGCTCAATCTTTGCCATTATGATATCAATCTCGGAGCCTTGGTCCTGGTGACTGATTGTCGGTGCCCAAGTGACGGTGGAGCTGCTGGCCGATGTAGGAATGGTTGCGCCGGCTCCGGATGAAACGCCTCCCATTCCGGAGCAGACCGAACGGGACGCCTGTTTGGCCTTCAACGCCGAGGTCAGTTCGATTTGCAGCTCCTCGCAGCGCACATTTTCCAGCGCAACCTGGCAATATAACTATGAACAGAGGGAAGGAGTATTGAATTTGGTTTGAAGTCACCTTCTTCTCGAGTTCCCGGGCCCTCGACTGCAGGTTCTCCACCGCCTCGGCATCGGGACGAGCGCTCCCGCTCAGATTGCGGATTTGTGCCAGGGTTTCCTAGGAAGAAATATGGAATTTGCAAACTTAAAATATGTAGTAATCAAACATAAGCTAACCAATATAAAGTGATCAAATATTAACAACCTTATTACGTTTTGTATATAATTCCATTGAATAGTGAAATGGAATAATAGAAGCCATGTGTTCTTCACTGTTAAAATCAATAATCCTTATAACTTAAATGAGAAATTACAAATAAAACTAGAAATAGTTATTACCAATGTTTAAAAAGTTCATCTTTACATATTATTTAAATATACTATAAACATATTTTATATTATTTTTTTCTTCTGGTTTTCAAATTTTCCATAATTAAATGTCACGATTTATAATGGAATGTAGATAAAGTTGTCATTTAATTGCTAGTTAAATATAATCGTTTAAATGTTTGATTTGTAATCTCATTAAAGTTATTCAACTTACTCAACTTTTTAAGTATATTAAATTAATGTACTATATTTAAGTTGTATATAAGATTATTGTGCTACAAAGGACACTCACCTGATGCGCCCGCTCGATCTCGGTGCGCCGCATCTCGGCGTCGCGCAGCTGCAGGCTGAGGGCGTCGAGCATTCCGTTGGGGGCGGTGCCAGCGGCCACGGCAGCGGCCGCCGACTGATGGTGGTGCATCGACTCGTACGGCATGCTGTGGCTGCCCCTCGGACGACTGCAATGGTAACGATAATCGGACATCAGAATGGGGCCAGAAAATCTGCAGCACGCCGAATGGTCAAACGATCGAACGGCCGAATAGCCGAACTGCCGAACTGCCAAACTGCCGAACTGCCGCTGAGCCAGGACTACAGAACGAGGGAACAGAACTACATTTGTCTCCTATAAATAGTTGCTGTTTTTATTATCCTTCTCGGCTTGGCTTTCTTATTTATTCATGGTGCTGCCTGGTGAGAGTGGAAATAGGTCAGCTGCCTGGCTTTTCGTCCGCCAGCGGCACGCACGTGTCCTTGTGGGTCACTGTGGTGTGTTGTGTTGTGTTGTGCTGTGTGTGTTGCTGTGTTGTGTGGCGAACTTTGAACTTTGGGTTAATTGCCTGCCTGACCGTATTTATTGTCCACGCACAGCCCAAAAAGGCTGAGATTGTTTGGCACTCTGCTCATTTGAATGCTTATCTCTGCTCGTTTAGCTTTGCCATCTCTCAATTTGCAACTGCAAATGGTCAAAGCCTTAACTTATGCTATCTGCTTAATTTGTCAGCATATTTATTAAAACTCTTAGCCTCAATCGCTCTAAAATGACTTTCAATTTGCTCGCCAACCGACTAATAAATACGAACTGAGGCAAACACAACATTACGCATACGCCACCGAAACCGTTTAAAGACAGTTGCATTACTCATACGCCACCCTTGCGCGCTGAGACAATGAGAGGCGCCAGTTTGTCTAGACGGCGGCAAGACCAGATATAGTTATCAGCATCGATTCAAATCGAGGGGTAAATGCAAAGTGAAACGAGCTGGAAGGCCGTTTTCTACTAAAGCAATTTGCGCTTTTCCATAACTGAACTGAAACCTTAATCCAATCATTAAATGCAGGATATATAAAATTGAAATCCATTTACCGTAGCTGCGCTGCATCGATAAATTGTTATTAATACATCAAAGCTCGCATCCGTCGGAAGCCACTGCACCACCCATCACCCACTGCTGCACCACCACCTCCTCGGTGGTGGTGGGCTGTCAATGCCACTGTTTATAGGGACCGATGGCTGGGCTGCCTGACATTTAAAAGCTATGACAGCGTTTATCCACTGCCGATGATGATGATGCTGCCTGCTATTGCTGCCTTGTTGTGGCTGTTCTTGTTGTTCTTGTTGTAGTTGCTTTTGGTTTTGGCTTCGGTGTCGGTATCAGTGTTGCTGTTGCAGTTAGTGTTGGTGGTGCCCCGCCCCTGTGGGCGGTTGCATGACAGCATATAGCCGGAGCCGAACGGAAGTCTTTGGCATTTGCAATACGCCCTTCCGGTTTCAGGCACTGCCCACCACGCCATTTCAATGGCAACTTCAAAAGGCAGATGAGCACCTTGTTGCACTGATACCCGCACACAGGTTTAATCCTTCATTACTAGCCACAATCTCATGGTATACACCATTAAAACCATATTTTATAGACGGAAGTCTTAAAAACAACATTTTCAAGTTTTAGATGACACCATTGCAAAGAATTTCAAGTTATAAAGCGTAAAGTTTGACTTATGAACATATATTTTTATACAACCTGTTAATTTGTATGTTCTACTTAACCGATTTTCAGAACAGGTTGCAAATGTAGGTCATTTATCTACTTTAAATTACTATATTGTGCCCAAACAAATTCAATAAATTTAAACACAATATGTGTACAAATTTGATAGCCACTTTTTTCTCTTACTAACTTTCGGTTCCGAGAAGGGCCTAAAAGAGAGGGGAGATTCGATTTTATATTCCAGGCGAGCCACAATCACAGTAATTATCTTGTTAACTGACAATCATAGCGACTTGATGTCCTGTCATTTCACTTTGCGCTAAGCACTATGCACTGCTATACACCATAAATATTAAGTACTCACTGACACAACTGCAGTGCAGCTCGACTCGGTTGTGAATGTGAGAGGGAAATGGGAAATGCGAACTGGAAAAAGAAAAGCGATGGCAAAAGCACAGCCACTAGTTGCTGTTATGCACAGTACATTAGTGTGCGTGTGTGTGTGTGTTACAACTGCAACAACAAGTAGAAGCATATTTGCCCTACTACTGTTACTGTTACTTTGCCGCTGTTAATGGCTCTTTTCAACCTCACGGTTGAGCGACAGAGACAGCCCTGTGTAACTGTGCGAGGGAGTCGGCTATAAATACTGCGGGAGAGCCTGTGAGAAAATGTCCCCTCAGAGAGAGAGAGAGAGAGACAGACCGAGAGAAAGTGTGAGCCGGAGTTCGCGCATGACTTAAGCATTTAACAGCGCTGGTGCTCCTCTCCACTGTTAACTTTCAACTGTTAGATGTAACAGTCAGTGTGGCCATGTTTGCCGTGTGTGGGTGTGCGTATCCTTGTGTGGGTGTTCATGTGGGCCGCAGGATTTTTTAATTATGATGAAGCGCATTGCAAGCATTTCGCAATTGAAGTAGATGTGGGCGCAAGGCCTTTGTTGATGTTGGTAGTAAACGTACACCGAAAGAAAACTTTTAAGTATATAAAAATTATTTTAAAACTTTTCACTGATTAAAAACCCCCTAAAATGGTAGCCAAATATGATATATTATTAAAGTACTTTGGAGACAACATTTAAAGGTATACATCTGTTTCTAGGTTGCCGAAAAGTAGGCAATGCAATTTCAAATCTAAGCTAATCATGAACACCTATGGTTCTAATCGTAGATGTTTATAATTATTTATTGAGGTAATTTAGTTTAGTTTTATTGCAATGTTTAGATTTCTTTATAAGGGATGCTATTTGGTTTTCTTCTGTGTACAAGTGAGTTTTTGCTCAGTTCTTTTCACATATTCGGCGGGTCCTTTGTCCGGCAGTATCCTCAGATTGCTATCCGGCCGCTGTCATTTCCTTGTTTGCCTTTAAACACAACATCAGCCCAAGCCACTTGCGACTTCGTCCGTGTTCCCTTAACCCTCCGCCGCCCAACCGCCGCTAGTGTCTGTCTGTGCCTGTCGGTGACTATTTTAGGCGCCCCACCGCCAGCCGCACACTTTCGGGAGCTTGAACAGTGCTTGGCACCATTTATCTCCACAGACACACACACACTCCCCACACACACTCCATCGCGCACACACACGAACGCACAAACTGACAGCAGCCTACGTCACAGGCGACTTTGTTTGCCAGCCTCTCAAATACAGTGAAAAATTAAAGCCACCATCAATTAATTATCCTCCTGTTAAAGGCCACTTTGTCAAACCATTAACAAATCGTGCGCTCTTTTGCTCTGAACAGTCATCTCCTAAGTTGTTGGATTTGTGAAATTAATAATTTAAGACAGTTTTTAATCACAAGTTTAGCCACTCAAGTTAAAGTTTTTGAATGGAATACCAACTACAATATTGAAAGAAGATATTATAAGTTGTTAAACTATTTTTTTCCATAATTATTGTTGTTAAGCTCGAAACATAGCAAATGTTTCATAGTGTCGACACTAAATTATGCTATAAATTGAAGCTATGGTTTGCAGTCCTGCATTTGCCTAATGTGCTAAAGGGAAATGAAGCGATCTAGTTAACAATTAAACATTAAACAAAACATACAACATTAAAAACATTAAACATTTAACGCCACCCCAGTGAACATTTCGAGAAGAAGACGTCGATGTCTGTGGCCGCTGTGAGGAGGCTTGAAATTTTAATGAGTTCTTAAAGTGCAGATTAGCCCGAGCCGTAGACTGCGCACCAGGCAGGAGGTCCTCTCAGGAGGACGAGGCCCACCAAACCACCAGAAACTGGGTTGCGGCCTGGCGCTGCTTTACACTCTATTAACCCACATTCTGGCCAAAGTCGTTGCGGCCATCGGAGTAAATTAAATGGAAAATTCCCATTCACTCGGAACTGAGCCACGTTATCTAAGAGGGGGCGGCAAAGGGAAAAGGGGAGGGGCGCCACCTCAGTATCTTTATTTCGCACAACGAGGCGTATGCGTAATTTCATACCCAAATATCAGGCGACAAGTGAAATATGCAAAAACTGGTAATTAAAACAATATTTGGTGACTTTTCGCGGCAGCAAAAAAAAAAGAAACGAAAAAGTCTGGCCAACTTTTGTTGGCTGCAAACTACCACAAACTAATTTAAAAACTTTGTTGCGTTTTTAGGTTTTTGGCGCGCCAACTTTGATTTACTTCAAAATGAAGTTTCCTGAAAGCCGGCAAACCAAAAAAAAAACCGGAGAACAAAAGTTGCGACTGCAAAATAGCAATTTCCACCTTGTATGTTGACAGACAAGTTGGCGAAGAAAAGCAATTAATTAGCATCTGGCTTTCGGCTGCTTTGAGTAAGTCACAGAAAATGGAAAAGTTCGCTACATAAAGCTAATGTTAACTTTATATTTCTCAGCTAAGATCGGAGAATGTTTAAAGTCACCCATTTGCCAGCGACTCGATGTTATAATGAGCTCTCGTTCAATTAATTGAATGCTCACACACTCGAGCCGAGTGAAGCACATAACAATTAAGTGCTTCTAATTGCAGCAATTACAGCCGAGGAAGCCAACGGCCAACAGCCATTGCCAACAATTACATGCATAAATAGTCGCACATAATGCCGTCAAAGTACTCGAGCCTATGACGAGTGGCAAGTTCTAAAAATAACACTGCGAACAGAGGAAACTTTTTAAAGTCAAGCAATTACATTTAAGATGTTGGAAAAGTTCATTATCCTGCTGCTGGCATGACCTCAATCGCAGAGCCAAGGAAAAAAGCGGAACCAGAACACGAGCACAAAAACTATCTCGCCTATTTATAACAAGCTGCTCATACACACACATACACACATACACACTCACAAAGGCACAACTATAGTCACACGAATTTCGTCGCTTCTGGCTCACGAGTACCTACTATAGAAGAAAAAAAACCATAGCACAGTTATGGGATGAAGGGGCTTGAACCGGGAAATGGGAAGTGGAAAATGGAAAAGTGGGGGCTATCCAAGTGCGGAAATCTCATGGTCGCAGCTTGGCTGGCAGCCCAGCATATAAATTATTGAATGATTGCCATATGTCAAAATTGGCCAAATTCTACGATTAATCCTGAGCGAAAAAACCAATAAAATTTTGTTGGTCTTTCTTTTTGTCGAGTAACCATTTGTATTTAAATTGACGAAATTTTTATGTTTCATGTTTTAAATTTATTGTTAGCTCTTGAATAAAGCCCACATCTTAAAACCTTTTTATATAATAGTTTACATTATTCCGAGATTGTATAAGGATGTACTATATGTATCTCTTCCAATTCAACGTTTCTAGCACACGCTTTAATTCCGGAATAAGCCCGGTAATTTGTGGCAACCTAGATTGCCGTTTGGCAGAGCTAAATATCTCCAAATAAATTGGTCTAAGAGCAGAGATACACACGAAAGCATTTTTTTGGGTAAGAAGAAATTTTAGCATACTAACTTCAGTGATTAAACCTATGTAGCCACTAATACAAATTTAAATAAAAAAAATCTTGTATAAAGAGAAAATTAAAGAGCAACAGTTGCAATGATTGTAAGCATAAGACCATCAAGCAACGATTTCAACAAAAATAAGGACGTTGACATAGGTTACGTTTTCTGTAGGTCAAAAAAATTTGGCACAGCCGCAAGCCATTCAATTGAAGACATTTTATATTTGTATTTATATATCATTTTATACTTAATAAATAATATGAAAGCAAAAACGGAGTGCCTCGACTATTGGTTCCCCTTACTCTAATAATAATTCCAATATTCTAGCCCTTACAGTCTTGACGTTCATAAAAAAAGACGGCCATAAATTTTATGGGGTCAAAATTCCTTTCTTTTAACTATCATCACTTTTTTAACAAATACGGTGAAGTACAAATTTAAGCATTTGACTAAGATGCGGATCGTATTTAACGTATTTAAATGGAAGGGAACTTAGTAATATTAAGTTTAGACCTTCCAAAGCCTTGAATTCATATCGATCGTTTTGCGTTAAGTACCCGCACCGTATGCCCGGCTTTCAGCGCGTGACTTTAGATCATTGCAGCGGAAACTAAGACCAGCGGTCCATAAATATAAACAGAACGCCTGGGTAACAACAACAGGGCCCAAAATGAAACGTCAATCAGGAGCGAAGGGCAAGGGGAAATGTAGTTTACGGGCAGCACTAACATATACACCTACACAGGCGAAACTCCAAAACGGAGAAAGGTAACGGTAACCGCATGCCCGCTCTTAGATGTACATATGTATGTTTGGCTGTGATGGGTTTACGACGTATATGTAATATCTGTGTTACGCACGCAGCAGCAGCAGCAGCAGCAAACAACTTTAACACTGTTGTTGCGCAGGCTGTGGCAAGTGTGAAAACCGCCCCCAGAGCCAAAAAGTGGGACTTTTCTTCTGCCGCTGCTGCTACTGCTGCTGCTGGAAGCTTATGAATATGAAACGTTCACAGAGACACACACGTATATACATACGTATGCTGCTCCTGCCGTTATACCATTTGAATTGGTATTGGTGCTGCTCCAGTTTCGCTGGCCATTTACATCTACTTTACTTACTTGCCTCTCGCTCTTTGTGTTTCTCAAAGTGTGCGTGTGAGTGTGTGTGTGTGCGCGCCGTTTTATGCCAGAATGCAGTTGATTTTCACCTATTTCCCGATATCTCGATTTTATTTATTCATTTTTCTGTATAATTTTCGGTTTCATTCAGCGTTTCGCTTTGCCTTGGTATTAGAGCGATTAACCGCATTTGCATATTGTATATGCATCAGCATGTGGGTGGTTGTACGAATGTGTATTGGCATGTGTATATGTGTGGGAGAGTGTAGTTTTACGTTGGCTGCTCTTTTTTTTCTTCATCGATATGCTTACACTTTTACTTTTCACTACTGGCCCACCATTTTTTTCCCCGGAATTATATCTTATTGGGTCTTTCACTGCACTCGCGGCGAGTTTTTCGTTGTTTGGCGAGAAAATTGAATTTTCACGCAGCAGCGGTGCTGTTGGGAAAACATTTGGTGTACAGCGAAATTTTTCGTGAGCTCGCTCGCTCGCATAACGGCTCTTTTTTTTCAGCTTGCGCAAAAAGTATTTGCCAAACGATTTTTACACTTTTTTTTGGTTTAGAATTTGCGAAATTGATTCGGTTTTGGAAGCACTGGTTTTCTTAATTTTGTTTGGAATTATATTTTTTTGGTGGCGAAGGGGTTTTGAACGGGCTGCGAACCTTTTTTGCTGCTTGTGCTGCTGCTTCTTGCTCGCTGCTGCTGCTACTTTTTCAGGTCGCCTGTTTTCCTCTTCCACGTTTGCGCTGGGAAATTCACATAAATGCATAGAGTTTACACTAGGCTACGTAGGCTGTACATAATATCCGAAAAACGCGATCGGTTGCCTGCTACACTATATAGAAAAAAACTCCGCCTAGTTGTCCACTTTCTGTGGGTAGCAGTTGGGTCTCAGTGCGAAAACCGAAAACTGGGTCATCTCGGTCGCGCTACTCGGCTGGTTTGTACTCTGATTTCTACCCAACTGCCAGTTCGGTGCTCAGTGTGCCAGAGCGGAGTGGCCCAGTACCGAGAACAGAACTCGGAACACAGTGCCCACTGGTTCCCAGTGTGCGGGGAATCGATTTTTCTGCCGAATGACACTGAAAAACGGGTAATTTTCTCCCGCTCACGCGCTCCTTTGGGGTTGCAAGTGGCCAAATTCCTGCTCTGGCGCTGTTAGTTGGGGGTTTACTATTACTTTCAACTGTTATCTGTTAACAGAGCCCTGCTGGCACCATGTGCTTTCAAATCTCTCTTTTTTATTTATTCGCAGGTGCCTCAGGAATTACTTTAGGTTTGAAATGTTAAATGTTATATGATGAGCATTCAAATCACAACTTTGAACCATTTGTGGGAAAGTCTATACTTTCAAACTTAAAAAAAAACTTTATTTATTTATTTTTCTTTTATTTAATTTTACCATTACTTATTTCAATAAAAATAAATCCAGAAAACATAAGGGTTAACTCTTTCGCAAAAAATCTAAAACAAGGTTTTTCAGTTTGGAATATAAATACATTTATTTGTCATTTTTTTTCGCTATGTCTACATTATGAGTTTGTTGCCATTTTTTTTGTATAGTGTTTGTTTTTTATTTAACATTTTTTAAATAAAATATTTTGTTTCTCCATCCAGTTGATAGTGCTGTCGGCTACTAATGTCTTTCGCTTTCGTATTTTTGTAATCAAACATATCATTAAGTAAATGATTATTATTTATAGTATATAAATTTCAAACTCTAACAATTAAAAACAGTTAAAAATTTAAGTGTCTTCCGTTTTTGTTTTTATTCTCCCCGTAGTACATACATTTCCTGTTTCTCGTTTTGTCACTAATTTTAAATTTATTCGTAGGCGCTTTCTCCTAAACAAAAACAAACTAGCCGATGTTGTTGTTAACAGAAAAAGAATGAATTATTTACAATAAATTGTAAACGATAAAGAAACTCTCGCACACATCGTCTCGATAAATAGTTGCTCACTAGTTAATTACAGTGCATAGGCTTCGCAGAATTTAGTGTCCGATTATTTGTTATACATATTTACGATGTAAATTATGCCTATTTATTTAGTTACAACAGATTTTCATTTACGTTCAAACATTTAACTTGGGCTGCATCGGGCGTTTGGGTATTTAAGTGTGTGTTCTCTCTTGGGTTTATTTGATTTGTGTGTGGTTAAATGGATATTTAAACGTAAAATTAAAATGCCACTAAAATTTGCCATAATTAAAGGATTTAATTCTCTACTCGCATTTACTCTTAACTGTCAGCATTATTTGATTCGTTTGCCGTATTAGAAAAAGTGCACTTATGAATACTGCATTCGGTCTGAAAATAGAGCAAATTAGATAATAAGCGGTTAGTCATTGAAAGCGATTCCTCGATGAAATATGGGCAAATAATTATATGATTTGGCCCCGATTGAACGAAAAGGTCAACTGTATAGGCCATTAGGGCCTAATCGAAGCAATTTGGCTGCGATTTACAATTTTAAAAAGGCGGCTCTATTGCTTAGCCCCCGCCCCAGTGAATCTCCGCCGCAAAATGATAAACCAAACAATGCCCGGAACGCCAATGGCATGACATCATCCATACGGTTGGCTCGAAACGATAAGAAACCAGATATGAGCCGATTAAAGAAACCGGCTATCTTTTCGTCGACGCGTATCGTGTGATAACACCCATGTAAATAGTAAATAAGCAGCTGACACTTACTGTCCTTCTTTGAAGTATTCCTTCAGCGTTGTGCTGAACTTCTTAGAATATTTGACAAACTCCTTTTTGCGCTGCTCCACAGCCTGCTTGCCCGTAACGCCCGGTATGAACGATCCGATCTCGTTGACCACATCGAGCAGTTTTTTTATGGCGCTGGCGATTTCCCTGTAATGTTGAAGATAAATGAGTTAGATTTAGTATCTTCCTTATTCTCTCTTTCCCTTTTTGTAGTAATGGTTTGAAAATTTTTTTAAAAGTTTTAGTGATCTTGGCAACTATTGGCCAATCTTCTTAGTCATCTTTTCATGGCCACTTAGATTACACTGCCTTTAAACCTTGGTTGACGAAGGTCATGTTTCTAAAGTAGAGATGCTTACTTGATGGTCTCGAGGAAGGTCTTCCTGTCGTTTATTTCGTCAGGGATGCGGCTGAGAATAACCTTGAGGGCCACGGACTTGCGGTTCAGCTCCTGGAAGGGCTCCTCCGTGCGAGTCAAGCGGTATTCATTGACTGTGGAAGGGGGAATTCTGAGTAAAAAGAGCTACGCTCAAAGGTGTTGGCGTGGCCACTTACGATCCGCTTCCGTAATGTTGCCCTGTAATCGGAGCACGGCCTCGTTTAGGTTTACGTTCAGATCGGCCCGCCGTACGATTGTGGCGACGAGGTCGTAGCAGAAGCCCGGATTATTCTGCTCCGACTTGAGGATGGCGGAGCGCAGAGACTGGGCAGCGCCAACGTCGCGTCGTTCGAGCTGCAAGTGCAAATGGGAAAAGCAATTACAATCCCAACGACCTTAGGTAAGGGTTTACGCAACAGCCCCGAATCTGACGGGGCTGAAGGGCTCGTTTCGGCTCGGTACGGAGCACCTGGGCCCGTTTCACCTACCTGGGAGAAAATGGGCCGCAGTATGACGGGCAGAACGAGAGACGTGGTTGGCTCGCCCATTGTCATTTCTAGGTAACTCCAAGTGCGCTTGGTCGTCTTCTACTGCTGCCTATGTGTCCTGTGCATGCTGCAGGGAACGACGCGCGATTCCACTTCCGTGCGTTGTACGTTTCTTCGCTGGCACGACCCTCGCAAATCAAATTAAAAAATTAACAAAAATTGTTCACAACAAAATGAGCACAGTGTTGTAGAGGTGGAGAAACATCGATGTCATTAATGTTTTCAAAACATCGGTAATATCGATGTTCGGCAGCGCTACATCGATAGATTCACGTCGTATTTTCATCGTTTTGTGCAGAAGAAATGAATACTAAATAAGTCCCGATGCAATTCAATAATGCTTTCGAATTTATTAATAATTGCCTAAATAAGTGATTTTGAATTTATGATTCGCACACTATGTCTCTTTTTGTTCTAAACAAAAAAATCAAAAATGTATTTTCCACTTTTTTTAATTACTCAATACTGAAAATGTACTTGTGTTTATTGATGTTGTATATTGTTCTTGACTGTAGACCACACGTGAACAGCTGATTGCTATCAACCGCGGTCCACCACTAGCAGAACTTGTCGAGGACTTTGTTTATATTTGTTTACCTGTGATTTTGTCAGTGAAAAGCTAAATGTCCAGCCACGATATTAAGTTAGAGGTCTGTGTGGACTCCATACGATCTGCGTTTGAAGCTGAGGCTGGCGGAGCTTCTCGGATCGAGCTCTGTTCGGCTTTGGGCGAAGGTGGCTTGACTCCCAGTGTTGGGACCCTGAAAACCCTAAAAGAGACGCTTACATTGCCCATTTTCTGCATGTTACGGCCCCGAAGAGGCACCGACTTTGTCTTCAGCGATGAGGAGATGTCCGCCGTACTCACGGACATGGAATTGCTACGGGAGAACGGCGCCGATGGATTTGTTTGGGGCTCCCTGAATCAGGATCGCAGCATCAATGTGGATCAGTGCCGGCAGGTGATGTTGGGCTCAGCAGGTCTTCCGGTGACATTTCACCGTGCCTTCGACCTCACTGACCAGAAATTCATGTACGAGAACGTGCAGTTGCTGCAGGAACTTGGCTTCAAGCGGCTATTGAGCAGCGGATTCCGACCCTCGGCCGCAGAAGGCGTTGATTGCCTGGCACAGCTGATAGCGAAGCACCACCGAGACTTTATTGTCATGCCTGGCGCTGGAATTAAGGTGTCCAACTTGGAGGAGATCCTCACGGTCAGCCGGTGCCTGGAGTTTCACGCTTCCGCAATGGATACCGCCAGCGAGGACTATGTGACGCCCACAACAACTCGCATGGAATGCGACGTTACCATGGGAAAACAGGATGTGGACCCGTACTACGGAACCAATGCCAACGTGGTGCGCAAAATGGTCACCATCGCAAATGCAATGAGCTCCCGCTAAAGATTTACTAGTTTTTAACCCTACCCTAAGTCCAATTTCATTCCCCGACTGGCTACACCCCTCGGTGTAGTCTATTTAATATGTATATAGCTTGTAACTACTTAAGTAGTCTTATCCATTAAACTCCAAATCCAAAAAAAAGCGAATCAGAAGGAAATTCGGTTAACATTGCACTCCAACGGAATGATTGTGGAAACTAATGAGAGTCCATCATCTCCAGAGCTGCGTTCTTTTGATCAAGAGCTGATCAGTGTTGAGAGTACATTGCACAAAATAGAAACTTACAGTCGAGAGCTAGATAAACATATACGTGGCATTAAGAAGCTGGCGGCCATCAATCGAATTCTAATAGCAGGGCTGCAAGACAATGAGCAAATTTTGATGTCGCTACTGCAGGAAAAACCCAAGGATAAAAAAGTAGGGTGAGAAAAATAGGTCGATTTAAAAGGTTCCTTGACTTTAAATAAAAGGAGGTGTCATCTTCGTAGGACTTGCAAGGTGACCAACATCAGTGAGTTATGTTGGACAAATTGCGAATCCCACATCTTGCCCCCAAACGAAAAACAGTCCAATGAGTTTTTGGATACGCATAGTGAACCCAATTTCCTACTAAGCTCACTTAAGAAAGACTTTGATCGGCAGAAAGGTGGTCAAGAGCCCAAAAAGGAGGTGTATCCATGTTCCAACATTAGTCAACAGCTCGAGATTGAGTTTAAAGGTACAAATAATCTTATAGCACTTTACCTTACTATCCATGAACTATTTCAGTTAAATGCATTTTAAAACTGGTAGAAGAATTGGACTTGACAAAAACGAATATTACAGATCTGAGATCAGTTTGCAGGAGAGTGATGGGTGCAATGCTCCAACGAAATAAGACCTGTTGTGAGCATAAAATTCTTAGGTCAAAATTTACGTTACTGTCCAAAAATCCCTATTTATCTCATCTTGAATAAACTTCAACTTCTAAATTTTAGTTCTTGTGAAAAAGTGTTTGTCGTGCTTTAAATTTAAAACAAGTTTCACTTTATAGAGTACTGCATAATAAATAAACTGAATTTTCATTAAAATAAAATACTTTTAATTAACTAAAAAACTTAAATTTTTTGATTTTTGTTGAATATAAACAATAGAGTTTTAAAATGGTGAAGATGTATAATTTCAAAAATAAATCGTTTTATCGATAAGAATCGAATTTAATAAGAATTGTAGCATACGCTGTGGGGCATACCGCGCAGGCGCCGATAAAATTGATTCACTCGAGCTGTGTGTTTGGCCAGAATGAAGTCCTTCGGGGCCGAGAAATTGTGATACAGCTGGCTCCAGACAGCCCCCAATTTCCATTCACTGTCAATGTCAACATCTGAAGCTCGGCATAAGGAAAACCAACTGAAGCATTCGGCATGGACTTGGAAGATGTGGCAAGTCACCACGGATTCGGTCAGCATATGGCCACGTACAATGTGGAGGTGAGTTGAGACCGCACCACCCTTGAGCTTAATCAGTAAATAGAATGACCAACCCTTGCAGACCTCGGCGGTGCACAGAAAGCTGCAGAGCAAGGTGGAAGCACTGAGGATCCTGCGCCAGGAGTTGGAGCAGTTCCGCGTGGAGCGGGATCAGTACAAGCTGATGGCGGAAACCCTGCAGTTGCGATATTCGGCACTCAAGAGTAATAGTGAGCTCCTGGCCGTCGGCGGATGTGGAGCTCTGAGCGAGAACTCCAGCCTGGCTGCTTTACTTCATGAGACGCGAGAGCAAAACCTTAAGCTGAGTACAGAGGTAGAAGCCCTAAGGCAGCGATTAAATGAACTCCAGGGTGACATGGAACTTCTTCGCGAAACGGAAGCCAGCAACAAAACAAGGGTGCAGGCAATGGCCACAGAAAATGCCGCCCGCAACAAGGATGAGCTGCAATGGCGCCGGGAACGGGCCAACTTCATCTGCCACCTAGAGGGACTCAAGAAACGGAATGCCCAACTGGCATTCGACCTGAAGGCGGTCATCGATGAGAAGGAGGAACTCATCACCGAGCGGGATGCCTACAAGTGCAAGGCACACCGCCTCAATCATGAGCTTTTTGTGGCGCTCAGGGCCAAGAAAACGCACCCGAGAGTAAGTTAGAAGAGAGGTTGAGAGATCCATTTAATTCTCCTTGGTTTTTTCAGCTCCTTGACATCGATGGCGTGTTGCTGGAGAACAAGTACCTGCATGAACGTGTCAAGATCCAAGACAGCGAATTGGAACTGACCAAACAGAGCATAACGAAGTACAAGGTAATATTTTCAGAGTTGGCCGAACAAAAAAGGGCACAAGAATGTCTTGATTTTATTGTACTTATTTATATGTTGTTAAACATTCAGGCCATGTTAGATGCAAAACGGAAGAAGGGTATTGTTAAACTAGGAGGTGGCAGCACAAACGAAGACACAATACTAAGCCCCCGACAAGGTAAGTTTTAATTTGTTGGAATTGACCGATCTTAACATACTTTTCCCATAGTTAAAACAATTCTGGAGAGCGGTATTGATCTGCCGCAGAAAACTGAGAGCTTAAACGATCTAAAATCTTTATGTCTAGCTCTCCTAGACAACCTGAACGACAAAAACTTAGCCCTGTCCCATCAGAAGAAAACCAACAAGTAAAATCCCATGGTCTAAAAATTAATGTAAACAAATATTAATCTTTATATCCCACAGAATACTGGCTGGCAAGATGACTGAGCTGGAACAACGATGGCAACAGCTTCTTTCGGGAAACGAGGATATCGCCGAGAATCAGGAGGAGGACGAGGACTACGGCTATGCACCATCCCAGTTGCTTCTTAATGGTTATTGCGCCGCTATGGTTGATGATGCCGACATTTGCAGCACTCCGTCCAATGCCCCCGAAAACGAAGGCGACGCAAATACACCAGATCCCGCAGATACCGGAAACCACAAGTCAGCCGAAGTCCTGCACTCCGACGATGGAATGTCGTCGCTCTCGACCGAATCGGTGGATTCATCCGTCTATGGGGCGGATGTCCAACCAGATGACTTTCAGAAATCCTCTTCCGCCACAACGGACTCGGGGAACTGTGGTCTAAACAGCCGTTGCACGGGAACTCCGCGAATCTCCAGCGCTGTTGCCCGAGAAAGAATGGAGGATCTGAAGGACTTGCCGCCGCACCTGGCCACTCTTGTCCAGAAGGCACTCCACGAACTTGATATGCGGGACTATGAGGCTATGGTAACGATAAGGGCCGAGAATTTGGCTTCTATTCCTTAAAGAAATACTAGTTCAATCAAGGACTCCCCATTAAATAGATGGAACCATATCGCAGTGTTGACAAAAAGATATAATATATGTATATTTCCGCAACAGCGTACAATAAAAAGGTTTATTCACATGATTGATTTACGTCTATTTTTATTTTCCCAAAAATTATCTATGCACATTACAAGATTTCAGTTTTTGGAAAACGGCTAAGCTTAAATATTTAAATAACGCGCCCAATAAGCCAGTGTTATCGATTAATGATTGTAATGATATAGCGCAGGAAAACACTCCCACGCCTTTTCCAACACCTGTCTGGGTATACATTTTCTGATAAGAATGAAATCGCGACTGGCTAACATTATTATAAGTTTATGAATTAAAAATGCCTTAAGATACGTATCGGAAGTGCCATGTAGTGTTAACCCAGTGCCATATAGTGTGGGAATGGAGCACCAATCAAAAGCAATCACCAATAGGCCCAAACTAGGCCGATACTAGTCGCGAAAGGATTCCATCGCATCATCCGCCCATCACCATCACCAGAATGTCCAACGATGTGCAGGTGGCCCGGGTGGCAAAGATAGCCACCGATGTCCCTCGTCGCAATAGCAAGCAGCGGGAGTCCAGCGGTTTCCAGGGCAAGCACTCCGGCAGTGCGGCTGGCGAGGATTTCGAGTACGTCTTTGGGAGCATTTCGCCGAGGGGAGGGGGACCCATTGCCAGGCATCTGATGGGATCCTGCGAGCTAGACTCCCCGGAGCACACGCAACGAGACACCACTGAAAGCGACAACAACATCTCCAGCTGCTCCACGCTAGACATTGTCAACAAAGTGAGTGATGGGCTCTGCACAGAGAGAAAAACATTTCTAATATCCGGACGAACTCAAAAAGCTTAAAAATTTAATTAGCTTCTGATTCTTTATAAGTCATAAGTATTTATTTTACATATTTCATTTATATTTATTTTGCAAAACTTTTAATTAAAGTATAGCTTATTGTATATTGCTACTTTAGGCACAGGTTAATTTAATAAATCCTGCTAAATCATAAACACGGCAACATATTTTAAAACACCTTGTTTTTCATATTTGTATTACTTCTTAACGAGAAATGCCGTTCGAAAATCCCAACTTTTCTAAGTGTTGCACTTGAGGGGGTCTTGAAATTCGGTTGCCGTCCAGTGCGCAGCTGCGTGTCGAAGGCTGAGGGTCAACCTGCAGCGGAGGAGAGCGCGGATGCACCCGCGGTCGGATGACGACGTAATCGCCAGTCAAAATTTTCCACTGGACCAATGATTTCGGAGCAACTGCTGCCGCGCAGCCTGAGCTGCCTGTGCTGCAGCGACACGCCATCGGTGCCCAGCGACAAGCGCCGGAGCTGGGAGTATACACTGATGGCCCATCCGCTGGCCAGGCGACCCATAAACGTGACGACCCCAAGGCTAGCCCCTAGAAACTTCTAATTTGCCTCTTTCCCTTCGATTCTCCTTCAGGTTGAGCAACTGTCGGTGCAGCAACTGGAGAACCGGGTGCGGGATCTAACCCAACGTCTTCAGCAGGCGGAAAGACAACTCACCGAGAGCAACTCAGAGCGGGAGATATGCCACAAGCGGTTGGAGGTGGTCAGCCAGGCCCACGAGTGCCGCATCACCGAGATGCACTGCGTCATTGCGGAGTTGAGCAAGAAACTGCGCAGCAAACAGGATCACATCATCATGGAGGAACAGGAGCCCGAGGGAAGTGGTTAGTAGAGTCTTTAAGTGTATCAACGAATTGTTTAATCCCTTAAACTGTTTTTAGAACTAAGCTATCAGGAGGGTTCTGTGTACAACTCTGAGGTAAATCTCACCAATCCCGATGCCGAGTGCCAGACCGAACCGCTAGAGGACTTCGAGGGCGCCTGCAGCACCACCAGCGTAGGCAACATTGACCGCAAGCCACCGGAACTGAGCCACAAGGGACAAGTGGAGGCTCTGCAGGAGGAAGTGCTGCACTTGAGGGCTCAGATTGCCTTGCTTCAGGCGGAGATTTCCACCAAGGATGCTGCTATAGTGGAGGAGCAGACCAAAGTCGCCTTTTTCGGCTGCGAAACGGAGGTTAACGAGTGCGGCCAACACCTCAACGATCTGAATGCTTGCGTTTCCTTGACCAGCCCACAGAAACGAGTTCCCGCCGTGCCGAAAATGGCGGAGCGGGTGAGATTGCGGTGTGCCAGCAAACATGAATCTAGTAAAGATCCGTCTCCCGAACAGCAAACTTCATTAAGTAACGAGGTGAGCTGACTTCATTTTTTCTCAAAAACCTATTATTAATCTTCTTCTTTTTAAGCACATTAATCTGGTGGAGCATTTGGTGTGTGAACTGAAGGAGCAGAACCTTTTTATGGAAAGCTTTATGGAGCCCATGCAACTAAGCAAGGAATTGGAGCGAATTCAGCGACGAGTGGAACACTTGGAGATGCGCAACACCATGCTGGCTTTGACTCTGGATGAATGCAAAGAGCACACAGAACACCTTTATCTTCTTTGTGGAAAATACGAGTCCAACGCGGTGGCCCTCCAACTGGCGCTTAACTGCAGCGATCGCGCCATAGAAGCTTACGATGTAATGCTTGCTCTGTTAGAAAGCAAGTAAGTCCGAGCATGATGTTATCCACTTAAAATGCTCTTTTCTATATAAATTTTCTTTTTTAGATTGGCTCTTCTGGGGGAGAAATCAGCGGCTGCTGAGGAGAGCCGTCGATCGGTGGAAGCGGTGGCCAGACATTTACTAGCTCGTCTGGACAGCGAAAAGAACGTGTGTGAGAATAGTTTGGGACCGTGGCAGCACAACATTAATCTAGGCCCTGAAGATGCCCCCAAGACTGGCCGTTCCTGGTGTCCCGACGACGATAACCGCCTACGCTATCATGTCTCCAAGCTGAAGGGGCGACGCTCCAGTGTTCAGCACACCATTGTCAGTCTAGAATCTCCCTTTAGCGACATATACGAAAAGAAACGTTTGGCTTTGGAGAAAGAGCAAGAGTTACGCGATGATGACAAAAAGTCTCCAATCGACTTGGAAACGGCCGTGATCATGCAGGAGCTGCTCGAACTGCGAGACGCGAATCTTCAGCTTAAGACAAAGATGGATGAGGCTGAGCAGGAACGGCAGAACGCCAACGAGCGGGTGGGAATACTCCACGAAGCCTTAAAGCAGCTGCAGGCCAGCAACCGAGTTTCCTACTCGGAAGCGGAGCACGCAGCCCTCACAGAGCAGCAGCTGGTCGAGGCTTTGACTCGGGAAACTGAGCTGAAGAGTCGCATCCAAACGTTGCTGGCCAATGTCACCGCCTCGCAGAAGGCTTCCGATGAGAAGTACGAGCAACTGCATCAAAATGTGCGCGAGCTACAGAAGTCCAACCAGTAAGTTTTCATTAAAGTCGATACTTATATTTAGATACTTTTAAAGTAAACCTCAACATGTTATATTAAATGTTGGTTCTTTTCTTCTAGCAATCTGGGACAAATGTTGGAGCACAACAAACGCAAGTATCAGCTTCGCGTGCGAAAGCTGGAGCAGAAAATCGTTGACCTACGGCTGGACCACGAACAAGGCCACAATCATGTTCCTGAGACGACGCTGTAGGTGTAAGAACGTGCATGACGGATATTAAGGAAAACTGAGAAAAAGGGTGGTGGTGCGGGCGCGCTTGTTACATATCCCGCAAAAGATCTTTTCCTCTCGATCATATCGCTTATTTTACCTTCAACGCAATGCCCATCGAAATCGGAGGCACACGCCCAGAAGTAAATCTTGAATCCGACATGACCAAGACAGTATCACGAATGTGCCATGCTACTAACTTGCAGCCGGCTGGGGTTGGGGCTTTGTCCTTTCCCCGCTCATCAGTCTGCAGCAACTACATACTCTAAAACATACATATTCAGAGGTGCCATGAGCAAGGCTCCAACCTATCCAGATATCCGTGGAATTGGAGTATTCGTCTCTGGACCACAAGCAATTACATATACACACATACGACTAGGCAAACTAAGGAGTTACTCACGACGCATACACGGGATCCTATATTTATACAATGTATTCGCATTTTGCTTGTTATATGAATTCAATATGTATTTAAAATTGTACAAATTATAACATGTCTACTGAAACTAATTGGAGTTTGAAATAATGAGTTTGAAACTGGCGCCAATAAATTATCGGTGCATAAAAGTAACGGAAAAATTGCCTATCAAGCTGGGTTACCCATTCCTATATCGCGGTTAAGTGTTGCAAACTACAAAAACCAGAAGGGTTCTTGTGAAATATAAATGTTTTGAAATTTAAAGTGAAAAATTTTATTGAAAATGAGTTCCTTGGAAGAAAACAGCGTGGATACAACAGCAGAGGCAGACAGCGGATTGGAAGCAGAAAATGGCATCAAAAGAAAATCTCCTGAGGAAGCTTCGAACAATTGCGACGCAAATGGTGATGTTGAAAACAGCCCAAGCAAGCGCTTAAAATCGGATGAACCAACGCCATCTATCAAAACCGAACCAAATCCTGATACTCCCGTTAGCGTTAAAGCAGAGCCAGTTGATGAGGACACAGAAGAGGCTGAACCCGCTGTTGAAGCCACCACAAGTGATCCACTGATTCAGGTTAAAGCAGAGCCTGCAGCTAATGGAGACTTACCTGCAGCGCGGGTGGTTAAAACGGAACCGACCCGTTCTAATGAAGTGGCGACAGCTGATTCTTCGGTCTCATCGAGCAGCACTAGAATTTCTTGTCGTTTTGGTATCCGTTGTTACAGGTAAACCAAATTTTAATATTCATTTCTGCAAATCAGTTTCCGTTTTCAATTCCAGGCGAAATCCAGTACACCGGAGTGCAGAAGCTCACCCGGGTGATTCGGACTATCGCCGACCCGACTTTCCAGAACCCCCCTTAGGAACTCCTGCTTGTCCTTTCGGCAACGCCTGTTATCGACGCAATCCTGTTCATTTTCAAGAGCACTCTCACCCCGCGGATTGTAAGTAGGATGCTTTCATTGCTCCGTCTTCAAGTTGGCCTAAGGCTTCGTTAGTCAATTCCGCGCAGAACATTCGGAATCGTTTGCGTCAGCGACAGAATCGTCAGACACCTGATGATGACGAGGACTTTGGGTCGGATGAGGAGGAGGATCCTTTTGGAGGTGACAATGACAACGACGCTGACTATCGTCCAGGCGCAGATATTGACGAAGATGAGGATGATGAGCTAGAATTTGAAAGCCAGCGCATAAACAATGATGAATACGATTAGAATTATACATTAACTTTATTTGTAAACATAGTATTTAAGTTCAATTTTCCAAATAATGGGTTTAATATATGTATATGTTTCTTTGTTGAAAACTTATTTCTATAAAATTTTATTAGTAGAATCCTTCATCCACATCCTCTGCTGGTTTCTGGTCAAAAGTGGCGCCCCATTTGGCAGCTTCTCCACCCCGAACCTTCACATTGTAGCAGACATTCTCGGCCTTGAGAACGCTCTGCCTCATTGTGGTGATCTTGCGCCACAGTTCCCGAGCTCTCTGACAGTTCAGACTAATGTAGCTGTGGGAGAAGAAGACTTTAATAATCCAGTACATTTTGGGGAAAACCACTTTAATTACCCAGTATAAAAGTGCTGCAAGGTCTTGCAGGTTTCCAAGCAAGTGTCGGTATCACCGCTGCCAAGCGAATTAATGCAACGGCGCATCAGTTCACCAGTAAGATCGGATAGTCCCAGAATATACTCAGTGGGGTCTACGAAGAACTGAAACTTCTTTGGGATTTCATCCTCCGTGAGAGCCGCAACCTCCACTTCTTCGCCTTCAGTTGATGCGCCCTTGAGCTTGCTGGTCTCCTCGACGTACTGCATCACCGCCTGGATGGCCTGCCAGTCGGAGACGCTCTTGACCTCTTTTTCGCCTTCGCCGTCCTCATAGCAAAGGTACTCCATGTAGGTGTACGCCTCGATAAACTCTTGTAACCCCGGTGAGTAAGCGGCACGGAACTGGTAGACATCCTGATCACGCAGCTCCAGAGCGACTGCTTTAAAGTTGACTTCTATTAGTTTAGTTAGCCGCTGACGTGCCTCCTCTAGGACTTTCTCTTTGTTCTGTTTACGCGAATCGATGGAGTGCAACAGGAAGATGATCCGCTTGGACTCTATGGTGATGTCGCGACTCAACTTGACGATCCTTTCGTGGCGATCGTGTTTCATAGTCAGTTCATTAGAATAGTTGCGAAAAGCCTGAACAATGGGATTTTCCTCATCCAGTTGCGCCACCGGCGTTTGCCGCTTCCTGGGTGCATTGTTCCGGTGCACAGCACTTCCGTTTCTTGGCATGGTAAAAAGTAAAGTTGACTTTTTTCAAACAAATTTTAGTGAGCTACTATTTTATGTTTTTTCGCTTGAGATCTTTTTGTAAACAATTTTTTGTCGGCTTTCTTAAGTGTTGGGAAACGCTACAGAGCTGGGAGTGCTGACAACACTTTCTGCAGGTCACAATTACCAGCACTGGCGTTGTATGTCCACAAATTCGTGGCAAAATTGTTTTAAGCTTTAAATTCGGAAAGATCACGAACCAGGCAATGCATGATTCCGTGAAGAAGTCGGTGAACCTGACCACCGGCTCGACTAGCACCGCAGAGAAGCTGTGTTTCGATAAGAATGAGTTTATGAAGGTGAGTAAACTCGGTCCGGTTTGTCATTCCTCTGTAAACATTTCTCCAAAAGGCAAACTTCTCGGTGGACGAGTTCCTGCACAAGAATCGGAATGCACCCAGCCTGGAGCAGTTGCGCGACAACCTTGGCCTTTACTTAAAGGGTCTGCGGGCTGCGATGATCGATTTAATTAATGAGGACTACGCGGATTTTGTAAATCTAAGCGCCAACCTGGTGGGCCTGGATCAGTCCATAGAGAGCATTCAGCGGCCGCTGGAGCAGTTCCGCAGTGACATCGAGAGCATCCATGGCCTAATAGAAGAAAATGTGTCGGAACTGCGAGCACAACTGGAAGAGAAGCGAAAGCTGCGCGAATTCAAGCGCGGTCTTCAGAGCTTAAAAAAGGTCTATGAGACCATCAGCAAGCTCCAGGATCTAATTGACCGCAAGCTCAGTGGAGAGCAGCCTGTCAAGGCGGTAGACCTCGAGCGAGCTGCCCTGGACTTGATTCAGTTGAAATTTCACGAGAAGCACTGCTCTAAGCACTTGAACTCCGAACAACTGGCAAAAATCCAGCAGCTTGACGAACAGCTGCATCAGCATCTGCGACGCTTCTTTAATGACGCTCTTAACCAGGCTCGAAACTCAGCCCCAGAGTCCTTAGAGCGCTGTCTCCGCATTTACATAACCCTGAATGCCTGTGGACAGGCAGAGCGAGTTTTTCGCGAGGACATTGTGGCACCCTACATGACTGGCGTCATCGGAGAGCAGCAATTGCAGAATTCGCCCCAGGGCCTGGCTGGCATTTATAGCAAAATACTCAACTTTATTTCGCTGCACATGACAGACCTTCTGCGACTTACGCTATATTCCGACAAGTTTCCCGGCTTCAACTTTGTGGTGAACAGCTATTGGTCCGACGTAGAGACGCGACTAGAACTTCACATGAATTCCATATTCGCTCCCGGCAACTCTGAAGTGTTCTATGTCAAATACAAGTGCACACGGGACTTTCTGGGCAAAATAGAAGAGCTGTTGACCAGCTCTGGAGAACAAGCGGTGGCTCTGTATCGCCAGCACAAGCAAACGAAGAGCTTCGAGGCCCGCTGGAATCTCCCTGTTTACTTCCAAATATGCTTCCAGGTATTTTAATCTTATTCCACTTACAATTTAAATTTTACCTATGTGGTAAATTCTTTCAGGAAATTGCTGGTCAATTTGAAGCCAAATTGGAGCCTGTGCTTCAAGATGATACTTTAAAAAACAATCTCGGAGAAAATGACTATAAACTAACGCCATTCAATGCCGCCAAGGAAGCCATAACTCGGTGCTGGGCCGAGGGAGTTTACTTGCCTGAGGTGTTTCCGAAATTCTACAAGTTAAATGTACAAATAGTACTACGACTTTCTCGCTGGATTACGAATGCTATCGCTGTCTCGAAAGGCAGCAATTTTTCAAAGTCCTACACCCGACACCAATTGCTTACTGCCCTGCACGCAGATATTCGCAAACTTGACGCATATCTGCCAGAGCTTCAGCAGCTGATTGTTCAATCTGTGCCCGTGGAGCAGCGAACAAAGACTTTCAATGATGTCCTGGTCAAATCTATCGCAGCCTTGGCTGACACTTTAGGAGGGCACTTGAGTGCTATACAAAAAACATTGGTAGATCTGCTGATCAGTGAATGCGAGACGGAAAATGTGCGACAGGTGAATGACTTGCCACGATTGTATCGCAAAACCAATCGAGAAGTTCCTTCCCGCTGCTCGGGTTACGTGGATCAAATGCTTCGGCCGCTTAAAGCTTTCGCCCAGCAGCATGAATCCCAACTGGGAACTCTAGTGGTGGAGCAAATCCTATCGGAGGTCGCCAGTCACATTACCAAGGCGTAAGTGCAAGTATCCGTGTAAGGTACATCTGTTTTAACTGGAATTTTACTCCATCCGTAGATACTTCAATGTGGTAAGTGATGTGCTCACATCGGTGCAAAAAACCGAAGAGTCCCTGCGCCGACTGCGAAACGTGAAGAGTGGCGGAGCCGCACCGGCATCTGCAGGAAATTCAGCTGTGATGTCCGACGATGATAAGATACGCGTCCAACTGCGAGTAGATGTGACATCGTGGAAAAAGGAGCTCGGCAAACTTAACTTCCAACCTACGCAGATTGAAAAGCTGGTTGAGCTGACCAACATGGTCGAGGACAGCATAAAGCTAAAGGATAACAGTGCTTAGACGCTTGCAACGAACAGTTATTAAACATATACACTTCACTTTATTCTCGTTAAACAAATTCTTACGATTCTTTAGGCACAATTTTTGATTGTATTAGGACTACGAATTGTATATAATATATATAGGCATATATGTATTTCATATATTTAAATGCATTGAATTTCACGATCGTTATTGGTACATACTGGCGATTGCAGGGACTTTCCCTCGAAGTTAATCGCTGTTGGAATGAAACAGAGAAGAGATTACGGCTAATTAAGCAACAGCGCTCGTCAAACTGTGGCCATAGAACGAAATTGGATAAAGTAACGAATATTGCAAAACGGCAGGCAAAAAACCATGCATAAAGTAAGACAAGCTTGCAAAGGTATATACAAAGGTGTTCAGGAGTGTGTATATAGAAATGAGCGTCATAACGGAAGACAAACAGGATTTCAGGCTCAAACAAAAACAAAACTAGGCCTGTTTAACATTACAGCTTGAGTTCCTCGGTATCCGGCAGTTTGCGGAAGAACCATTGCACATGCTCCTCGGTGACATCGGCCAGCTTGGTTGGGTGCCACTGGGGCTTCTGATCTTTGTCGATGAGCAAGGCACGCACTCCCTCCTTAAAGTCGCTGCGCTCCAGATGACGCACAGCCAGGCGATACTCCATGATAAGGCACTGGGCCAACGACAGCTGGGAGCCGAGCTCCAGCTGGCGGAACGTGACCTTCATCGAGGTAGGCGATACCTTGCAGAGGGTCTAAAAACAGAACAACAAGCAAACGTTTATTTGTGTCAGTTATGCGAGGTCGTGCCGCAACTTAAACCCCGCTAATTGGTTGAAAACAGATCAAATACTCAGGCGCTAAAAGCGCGCCAAACGTTGATTGGCCCAGTCAATTAACATCTGATTGTGCTCTTATCACTGTGTGAACTCCAACCGCTTACCTCAAGCGTCTTCTTGGCCCACTCGCTGCCATCGTTCTGTAGGTTCTCCAGAATGCCCTCCACCGAGTCCGCCGAAAAGTTCTTGTTGATCTGCTCCAGAACAGGCTGCAGTGAGAATGGTGCCTCCGGCTTGGAATGGAACTTCTGGAGCAACTCCGGAACATCGTCCGCATCTGGACAGTTAAGCAGGGCCGTTTCCAGATCTGGAATCTTGCTGCTCTCGCAGTAGTGCGTGGCAATGCCTGAGTAGAAGACATCGCCTCCGCGCAGGCGATATCCTGTCAGTCCTAGGTATAGTCCTAGTTTACCCTGCAGGCGCGGGAGAAAGTAAGAGCCGCCCACGTCGGGAAACAAGCCAATGGCCGTCTCGGGCATGGCGAACATCGTCCTGTCGGTGGCCACCCTGTACTTTCCGTGCACACTCAGACCCACGCCGCCGCCCATGGTGATGCCGTCTATGATGGCGATGTAGGGTATCTTGTAGTTGCCGATCAGGGCGTTTGTGCTGTACTCCTCCCGGAAGAAGCTCTTTGACTCGTCTGTCGGGCCCGCCTCGACGAGGGCGCGCACATCGCCGCCGGCACAGAAGGCCTTCTCGCCCGTGCCCTTGATAATCACAAGCGACTTGGACTTTTCACATTTCTTCAGATGCTTGTAGATCTTGCGTACCATTTCCAGATTTATAGCGTTTAGAGCCTTGGGACGGTTAAGGATTATCATTCCCTTGTTGGAGGACTCCGTAGCCAGTACGGAGGAGGAGGATTGGCGGGCGGAGTATGCCATTGTCGTTGGTTTTGTGTTGGATATCGCTACTCCGCCGATCAGCGGCAGTTGGCTGCAGGTGCGTTGACCGAATGTGTACACCAACCTTTGAATTGGGGCTTGCTGGGCGGCGAATTGTTTTCGATTAGCTAAGCACCTTCATTTGCACGAATTTGCATTACTTACCATTTTGATCGGCTGTCTGTCTCTGTGTGTGGCTTATGTTTTGGGTTTCTCACTGTTGCGCAATAGAATTTAAGCACCCGCCCAGCTGGTTGTTCTTGTCGAGGTGTTGCCAGACCGCCCACCTGCCGGAAGTAAACGAGGATGTTCCCGAAATCGTTCTAACCGGAAATATTTTAAAATCTTCTTTGAGTCAAGTAAATTTTATTATTTGTAAATAATAAAAGATACTGGAGTGTATAATATTTCCGTAAAGTAATAAATGTACTTTTTTCGATTAACATAAAAAAATGTTAGTAAAAATGTATAAATATATATTTTACCAATTTTAAATTAAACTTCAACGATTACAAATAAAGTCTTCTCCGATGAGTATGTGAATATTGACCTCTTGAACCGTCCCTGTATTAGCGAAATGCAGAACACAGCTGACATACATACTCACAATAGAGTCAATTTGGCTGTCTGGCAACTCCAAAATTGGCAATTGTACTGCTCGCGAATAAGAATAAGAAAAACAAATTTCGTGTAGTTACTTTATCTTATTTTGTCAACAAATAAACGGTGAGTAAACATTTGTAATTAGCACGCAATCGGTGGTCGGTTGTCAGTTGAGCCAGGGCCACCAAGTGGCTCACACCGCGGTTATCATGCCGCAATTCTTTAAGTTCTCCAAGTTGCGTACAAAGCGTCGTCGTTCATCGTCCACTTCCGCCTCTGTTTTCATGTCCTCACCCGCGACCACCAAGCAGATGAACTATGACGGCCTCCTCTCCAAGTTGACCGATGAAAAACTGATGCTCTTCGACGCCGCCGGCGAGGGCAGCATTGTAGAGGGCAGCCGGATGTGCGGTCAAGATGCGGACCCACTATCCCTGCCACTCGTTGAGGACGGCGCCATCGAGGAGGAGCAGGCGGCCCCCATTCAGACGATTCCTCGCACCGTGTTCGCTGTTCCGCGCGCCCCCTCCCCTTCGCCCGTGAGCACATCAGGTGCGAATCTGAACATTAAGTCAGAAAATGCTGCGACAGCGACACCGCAGCGCAAAATTTCAACGTCATCACGTTTCATGAACGCCTTCAGTCAGCTCTACAGCGGCAGCGGCAGTAGCGGTCCGAGCTGCGGTCACGTGGAGCAGCACAGCGAGGAGTCCGCTGACCTGGCGGCCAATCGGACGCCCACCAAGGGCATGGAGTCCAAGCTGGTGGCAATGTGGCACAATGTAAAGTATGGATGGAGCGGCAAGATGCGCCAGACCAGCTTCTCCAAGGAGCAGCCCGTGTGGCTCCTGGGCAGGTGCTATCATCGCCGCTTTACGCCGCCCGTTAGCATGGAAAGTTCCATTACCGAATTGCCGAGCGGGGCAGATACGACGCCTGACAACGCCACATCGGCATTCGACAGCATACAAGCCACCTCTACATCTGCCTCTTTGTATCCAGCCCTTAATCTACAGCAACAGATCGACGAGATTGTTGTGCCCCAGGAGCTTGGAATGGACGCTGTAGAGAACCAAGTGGGCGAACAACCATGGGAGGAGGGCATTGAGGGCTTTCGCCGGGACTTTTACAGTAGGATCTGGATGACCTACCGGCGAGAGTTTCCCATAATGAATGGCTCGAATTATACTTCGGACTGCGGCTGGGGGTGTATGTTAAGGAGTGGTCAGATGCTCCTGGCCCAAGGCCTGATTTGTCATTTTTTGGGACGCAGTAAGTTAAGCTTAAATATTTTAATAATTTTGACTTTAATAAAACATTCATGGTTTAAGGTTGGCGTTACGATTCAGAGTCCCAACTGCACTCCACCTACGAGGACAACATGCATAAGAAGATCGTTAAGTGGTTCGGGGATAGTTCTTCAAAAAGTAGTCCCTTCTCCATTCATGCACTCGTGCGACTCGGGGAACATCTGGGCAAAAAGCCAGGCGATTGGTACGGCCCCGCCTCGGTCTCCTATTTGCTTAAGTGAGTGCAGACCGTTATCAGATCGAGAAACGATAATCTTTATCAATGCAAATAAACCTTTACTCTACCACAGACATGCCTTAGAGCACGCCGCTCAGGAAAATGCAGACTTCGACAATATAAGCGTTTATGTAGCCAAAGATTGCACGGGTATGTACAGTGGAAAAGAATTCCCTAAACCGAAGATTTACAAGATAACTACCGTGACACATTGATACGCTGATGAGTAATTGGTGCAACCTTGTTACTGAGGCCCATTACTCATGAGTTTATTAGATAACGTATGAATTTTGTTTGATAATCATGTTTCCGTGTTTTAGTTTATATGCAAGACATTGAAGATCAGTGCAGCATTCCGGAACCGGCGCCAAAACCCAACGTGCCTTGGCAGCAAGCAAAGCGTCCGCAGGCGGAAACGCCCAAGCCGGAGCAGCAGCAACACTGGAAATCCCTCATCGTACTAATCCCTTTGCGCCTGGGCAGTGAAAAACTAAATCCAGTGTACGCCCATTGTCTAAAGCTGCTGCTGAGTACGGAACACTGCCTGGGCATTATTGGCGGCAAGCCAAAGCACTCGCTTTACTTTGTGGGCTTCCAGGAGGACAGGCTCATCCATTTGGATCCGCACTATTGCCAGGAAATGGTGGACGTAAACCAGGAGAACTTTTCCCTGCACTCGTTCCACTGCAAGTCCCCGCGGAAGTTAAAGGCCAGCAAAATGGATCCCAGCTGTTGCATCGGCTTTTACTGTGCCACTAAAAGTGATTTCGACAACTTTATGGAGAGCGTGCAGCTGGTAGGCCAAAACCGCCTAATACATCTACCAATCTTCTAACAAGTCTTTTAAATATTACAGTATTTGCATCCTATGCGCTGTGCCTCCGGGGCAACTGTGGATAAGGCGGCTGGGAACCATCAAGTGACGCCTCAATCCAGCCATCAACAGACGGAGCAAACCGAGATGAACTATCCGCTGTTCACATTCTCTCGCGGTCGTTGCCTGGATAATGAGCGAGACGAGATGAGCGATTCGCTGTACAAACCGCTCATAAAGCAGGTGGCCGCTCTGGCCCAGGAACTGGGGAACCAATTGTCGCCGCCGCAACATGGCGACGACAACGATCAAGATGATAGTGAGAGCGAGGAGTTCGTGCTGCTGTAGATCATTACCGCCCCATAACCTTGTTGCTGTGCTAGCTGTGTTATTTGCTCATTATTATTTGGTTTAGTTCCCAACCGCCTTGCTCGCTTGCTCGCCCAGAAAAACCCAACAGACCCGTATCTCAAACACAAAGACTTTGTTATACCTTTACGCCTACGCATATAGTACATAGACGCATGCATGTATCTTGAATGTTTACTGATGTCCACGTTAATCTCTCTTTTGTTCGACTTGTAGTGTCGCATTCTGCCAAAGTGTTTTTGCTTTCTCCATGTTCCAGCAGCCCGATCTGTTTATATGTGTATTGTATAAACCAATGTAATTTGCGGTATTATTATTTTAAAAACATGAATCTTTAATGGAATTGAATCATTTTACAATGGTGCCACTATTGTCACTATTTTCTAAAGTATTTCATGTAGTCCTTACGTTCTAGAATTTAGTTAATTTATGTAAGTCGTGTTGTAATCCTTCGATCATTAATTAGTTTTAACATTAATTGTATATACCCTCGAGTAAATAAATAAATAATCTATCCTAAACTTATACTTAAAATAAATAAAGTGTACTGAGATTTCACTAATAGGATATGGAAGTATTATTTACTTATTGCACTTTGGCTGCAATCATGCTGGATTGATCAAATTAAACAGTGTGTTTCTGTGACTGTTGTCGGAAATTACATTTGTGGGTAATTGACTCAGCCCACAACCTCAGATTTTGCTCAGGATTATTCCAGCTTATAAAATGTCTATACTATTAAATGTTACATTCTTATTTTTTATATGATATTCAAATAAATACCTTTTGTTATTTTCCTTTTGCCTTCTAAGACAAACAACTCTTGTTTGGTTCAATTTTTTTGGTGGGACTTGAAAGCTAAAGCTTATCTTTGAAAAACCTGCGCCTCCCGCTCCAGGCGTTTCAGAAGTTTGCTTAGATTCTCTCGCGCTGTCGTTGCCCTCGCCGCATTTATACTTATCGCTGTTCGATAAGCGTCTATAGCCTCCTGAGACTTGTCCCAGCGATGATACAGCACCCCGAGATTCGTGTAATACAGCATGTTGTGGGGCTCCAACTGAATAACACGCTTGTAGATCGCCTCCGCCTCCATGTAGCGCTTTAACTTGCCAAGAACATTGGCCCGAATGAACAGGATGCTGACTTCATTCGGTAGATGCAGCAGTGCCTGATCCGAGATGCGCAGGGCGTCGTCCTGAAGTCCTCGGTTGTCCAGCATGGTGAGAATGTTGGCCCAGGCCTTCGGCTGGCGGGGATTTAAAGCCACCGCGTGTTGCCAATGCTGCAGAGCATCAGTGTAGCGTTTCTGCTCCAAATACAGATTTCCCATGTTGTAGTAGCACACTGCAAAATTGGCTCTGTGCCTTAGAGCCTTCTCATAGCTAACCAGTGCCTTGTCGTACTTTCCTTGGGCCGATTGCACAATACCCAAATTCATCCAGGCCGCCGGAAATTCCGGATACGCCTGTAGAGCCAGTCGAATGTAATCCTCAGCGGTGGCCAGTTGGCCATGTTCCCGATAAAGATTGCCGAGATTCATCAGCGCTGACTCATACTTGGGATATAGCTCAATGGCCTTGTGGTAGTGCTGGAAGGCTTTTGTGTTGTTTCCCGTATCGGTGGCCAGCCGGGCGATATTGTAGTGCACCTTGGCGTTGTCGGGACAAACTTGCAGGGCGGATTTAAACAACTGTTCCTCATTCAGCCAGTCGGTGGATCGCTGTCGCGTTCGCAGCATCATAACGGTGAAGAGTAGCATAAGCATAATCCGTAGGGCAGTACGCCAATAGGTTTTACTAGTACTGCAGTCGTACCAATAAAGAAAGCCATATATGGACACCAGACAAAAGCCGATGGAGGGCACATATAGCGTCCGTTCGGCAATCACGAATCCTACGCAAATGATACCCGAGGCAGGCAAGAAGGGTATGACCATTAGGCCTAGAGACAGCATCATTCCAGGCAGGCGTCGGAAATTCATTAGAGCAACCAGCACAATGGAATAGAATCCGATGACGCCCTGCAATCTCAGGTCCCAAATGCTGGTTATTAACTTGATGCAACCCAAGGCCCAGTCGTAGCACAGCCAATGGGGACATAGCATCAGCCAGATATTCATAACTATCAGGTACTGTTGGGACAGTGTTCTGGTCAAGATGTGCTCATTGTACGCCACTGGGTTGTCCACCTCCTTGAACGTTGGCGTTTCAAAGTCCTGCCACCAGAGCCGAGCCGTCAGCAGCCCCAAAGTTCCCAGAACGTACAACAGGTAGCTTATCCGTGAGCGCAAAAGATTCCACTGATCCTTAAGAGACAGATGGTAGTATCCATTCTGAAAGTAATCCAGCAGCACACACGACATGGGAATGGTTACAGCGGACTCCTTGAAAAGCATTCCCACGCCGGTTAGTAGCAAGATCAGACCTCCAGTTTGTGGGCCGTGCTTCCCGCTGTTGGCTACAGTCAGCAGAAGGCAAAGCAAGTGAATCATGCCGAACATAAGCTCTGCCCTGCCCACCACTCCGGAGACTGCCTCCGTGTGGATTGGATGGGCAGCAAATAAAGCAGCAGAGAGGATTGCCAATCGCTCAATATTGACCTCCGGCACATAGAGCGAACGAACCAATCGCCACATAAGCAGTGTGTTGACGCAGTGCAGTAGAAGGTTCAAGAACTTCATGTGGCCGGCAGTTAAGCCCAGCAGGGCGTACTCGCAATGGAACATCAAGGTGGTCAGTGGCCGAAATGATTTGTGCGAATCAGAACTTATCAGGGAGGCACCCCAGAAGTCGTGCGTAAAGATCGCTGTCCAGTTTGTGGGCAGTGTGTTCACATCCCTGTTCTTGACGATGGCCACCGTGTCATCGAAGACGAATTTGGCTCCACTTAGGCCGCCACATCCGTAGCAAACCAAACAAATCAGCACCAGAATCGCCTGGCACACCATGCTGTGCAGAGCGGCCCTATGCACGAGGTCCAGCATCCTGGGTTAATTTTTCTATAGTTGGTTTGCCAGTTTTAATTCACTAATTTCTTTTTTTAAAGCTACAGTGTTTTGTATACATTTTTTGTTTTGGTTTTGGCCTGACACCCCCACTTACTAGAGGTGGCATACCACCGATGGCCGTATTTAAAATTTAGCTATAAAAAAGCTAACACTTTCATTAACATCAAAAGAAAATAATCATCTCCTTAAAATTAAATACGTTTATCAAAAAAGTTATTGATATATACAAAAACCTTTGAAAAAACTTTACCAATAACAAATATGAATAAAACTATATTTTGTTTAAAACCGCTAAAACTGCTTTGCCATTCGCGTGTTAACGTCAGCAACAGCTGTTTAAGTGCAGTTCAAAACAAAGTGGAACAATTTGTGTTGAAGCACACAAGAAAATTATTATTATCTTTAAAATGTCAGAGGAAATACTTTTTGATTGCCTTCATGCTGAGATAGTCAACTACTGCTTGGACAGCAATAAGGTAGAAACTTCTGAAAATTAAAAAATAAAACCAAAAACATTTTTTACTGGTTCCGCCTATTAGGAGCACGACCTGGCCACTTTGGAGTACATAGGCTTCACCACCGGCTACCGTTTGATTGAGCGGCTCACCCGCGAGGTGCCCCGCTTCAAGGACGAACTGGAGACTATGAAGTTCATCTGCACCGACTTCTGGACACTTATCTACAAAAAGCAAGTGGACAACCTGAGAACTAATAACCACGGCATGTACGTGGTGCAGGACAAGGCATTCCGATTCCTGACGCGCATCTCGCCGGGCACCAAGCAACTGGAGCACGCGCCCAAGTTCGTGGCCTTCACCTGCGGGCTGGTGCGAGGAGCCCTTAGCAACCTGGGCATCAACAGTACCGTGACGGCCGAAGTGCAGAGTATACCGGCCTGCAAGTTCCACATAGAAGTAAATAGGAACTAATTAGGGCATAAGGCAATGGTTTATTACTACAATTATATAGTTACTACATACTAAACTAAGCTATCTTTTCGTAGAACGCCACAATGTTTCGATCAGTCCAGTTCAGGCGTTCTCGAAGGGTCCAATGCTCGGCGGGCAGTTGCGGCTGAAGGGGATTGGGATCTGTATGTATACCCAGAGTAGGCAGTGGTCCAATTATTATAAGCCACTTGCCCTGAAACACACTTAGATAGTCCAGAAAAGCACTTCGGTTGTTAAAGTAGCAGAACAGCAATGCACAAGGAGGGGCGTCATTGCAGCAGCTGGTCAGTAAATCTGTGTCCAGTTGGCTGGCATCCTCCACATAGTTAAGCGGTATAAAACTCCGAACAGAGTATTTGCTTTGCCACCAATTGCGGTCAATTTCCAAGCCAAACATCGAGATTTTTCGTCCACCAGCTGCAGTCATAAGCCATTCTAGAAGTCCACTGCCGCAGCCTATGCTCAAAACACGTTGAATACCCTGCATGGTTAGGAGCTGATTAAAGTAATCCAAATCCACTGATGTGGGCCACATCCAGAGAAGCTTGCGCTTTAGCTGCTGATCGAGGCAATCGCCCAGAGCAAGCAACTTGCGCCAGTTTGCCGACGCCCCATCAGTTAGGTAATAAATCTCACGCAGAGTCTCGAGTTCCGACCTCTCGTCCAACATATTGAATACTGATAGCTAAGAATTAAGCGATTTTACTGCTTCCGATGATCGGCGAACTTGGCAATGACGTCGCCACGCGGAAATATGGCTAGCGGCCAACAAGACGTCGCGCTTCGTTTCGGTTCGCAGCACCTGACTTATCTCTAATAAATCAGACAGCCCTGCGAGTAAGGCCCAACATAATAGAGAGATGATATCTTCAATTCGTGTGCTCATTTTCGTACAAATATTTGACATTTTTACGCCAATGCATCTCGCTAAATTTGGAGCTGCCTTGACCCGGGCATCGCGGTTGGCTTTGCTGCAGGGCGGGTTCCTCGTGGGTCTCATCGAGACTCAGCTCATTTGAGTACTCTTCGTTGTCAAGGTCTAAGATGATTTTGCGATACAGCTGGACATTTTCCTCGGGCATGGCATCAGGCAACGGAAGGTGCTCTGAGATAATTTTGGATCGGTCCAGCTGGACTTCCGGAAGGGGAATTGACTGTGGCGGCGATAGTGGTAGCATCACTGGCTCCACGTTACCCACGCTTTGGATCACGCTGTTGTATCGCACTATTTCCGCTGGTCTTTTCTCTTTCTCTGCTTCTTCCAGAATACTGGAACTTAACTTAACAATCTCAACAGTGCTTTCAAATGCGCAGCCTGGATGCATAGATCGTAGGTGCCGAAGCATGTTGTCTTTTCGGTTAACTGTGATGTCGCACTGGATACAACGGTAGCGTTCTACAGCCTTATGTTGCTTGAGGTGGCGGCCCAGTGCATCCACATCATTGTAGCTTTTGTCACACAGCGAACAGGATAGACGTTCGCGATTCAAGTGACGCTTCATATGCAATCTGAGCGTTGTTTGGCGCAGGAAGGACTTCTGGCACACTTTGCACTTGTGTCTAATGCTGTTCTTGTCGTGCTTCCGCAAGTGCTGGTTTAAATTGGCCTTGTTCTGGAAATGCTTAGAGCAAAGCTCGCATTTGTAGGGCAAGCCGAGAGCAGTGTGGATAGCCGCATGACTATTGAGGGAACTCTGGCGGCGAAATACCTTTTGGCAGTGCGGACACACATACTGCTCCTGGCTGTGGGTGACCATGTGCCGCTGGAGAACAATTAGCTGCTTGAAACATTTACCACAGGTGTTGCACGAGTGCTTCGATTGATTCTCATGGCTGCTAAGGTGATAGTTTAGGTGGGAACGGGTAGCAAACCTCTAGAAGAAAAACTGTAATTAAGAGCTGATAAAAACCGACTGGGAACACCAAACATACGCGACTGCATTCCTTGCAGCTAAATTTCTTGAGAAGTTCGTTTCCGCAGGCGAGGTGATAATATTGCTGGGTGCGACTGCGAAAGTCCTTGTTGCATACAGTACAGTGGTAGCCTTGATCCGTGACTAAAATTCGCTGATCTGCAGAAGTTATGACCTTGGCTTCCTGTTTCTCCGGTATCCTGGCACTTTCCTGACTTACGATTCGACATTCCGAACAATCAGATACATCCGCTACCAGGCAGAGGCGACACTTGGTGTGTCCACAACTGTCGGTCACCAGACGGTTCTGTCCTGTGGCCTCGCAGTTGCACCGAGGACATTTTTCCATGGTTTTAATTTAAAAACCATCAACACGAGAGTAAAACTGCATCTGCAGCGATGCTTCTTCTTTAATAACAGTTTTGACATTCAGGTCGAAACGTAAACAAAATACACGGTAAAAAATTCTTATCTTGTTTTTTATATCCTTTGTCTTACAACTAACAACTTAGAAGATCTTTATATACGAGTACTAATAACTGAGCTTTTTGAGTTGACCTCCCTGCTTATTCACATATATTTTCCAACTCCAATTCCGCCACATGACCGGGAAACAGATGGGCTTTTTGCATTGGCACCTGCACAAAGTAACGCTCGTAAAACTTAGGATTGCGCTGGCACAGAACCTCTGAAAGAATTGTGCTATAGCTGACCTTTTTGGTGATCAACAGGCGACGGGTTTCACCAGTTCCATAGCTGGTGGATCGCAATCCAAATCGACTTGCCATTCTGCAAAAGGAAACACCAATTCAATATTTAAACATACTTATATTAATATAAAGGTTCATGATGCTTACTGGTGAAAAGAGGCGCGCTCCTCTTTAGAAAACGTGGGCTCAAACTGCATATCACGCATGTCATCCGACTTTACATAGTTTTCTATAAGCTTGCGGTAGTCAGACAAATTGCCCTGCGGATTTATCAGGCCCAGGCCATTGCGATTGCTCTTGAGCAGGTAACTGAGAATAACATGTTTACGTATTTTGTCGTACTAGTACTGGGATATTAACATACCCTACTGGCTCCTCACGTCCCTGCTTCAAGCGTCCTAGACCACCGCCCGCCCAACCCATCAGTCTCATCATTCGATAACCTTTGTTGGTGGCATCCAACTTGGGATCGCCAAGGCTGTCGGCCGACTTCTTGGTGACATTGATGTTGACGCCATTCTTGCTCTTCTCCACTTTGATAGTCTCACGTGTAGCATTAAGCTGTAAAAAAAGGGGAATGGCTAAGATATGGCAAAGGGGATACCACGACCATTTATACCTTTATGCTGTAGCAATGTGTCTGAAGAAAAAGTAGCGCCTGCTTAAATGCCGCCTGCTTCGCTGTCTTAAGGTTCTCGCCCTGGCCAGATGCAATCACTGAGTCATTTATCAATACTTCTGCGTATTTTGTCGTGTCACTGGCTGGCTGATCTTGGCTAACGCGCTCCTCGTACTTTACGTTGGCAACGGTGCAGGAGTTTCGCAGGCAGCTGCGTCCTCCGGCCAAATATAATATGAGCTGCCCGAAGCGAAGGCCCTGAAAGAGATCGATTGGCTCGCCGCCGCCGAAGCACAGGCGTTCTCGTGTGAATCTGTTCGAGCTATCCTTTGGGGAGTCCGCCGCTGGAGCGGCTACAACGCGTCGCCCTAGTTGTTGGAATTAGGCATTAGGCAGGCTGTGGTCTCTGGCTCGCATAGTTACTATTGATATAAAGAATCTTCTACCGCCTATGGGTACTAATTGTTTTTCCGTCTACCTTTGGCGCGTTGCTCCGCGGCATCCGAGGCCGACACAAAGGTTCGCTTTAGACGCTGATCGCGTTTTCGCCGAAAATCCTCGGCAATCTCCTTGGACATTTCCGCCACTAAAAGCATCGTCGCGCTGGGATATTTGCAACCCATGAACTCCATATTAACAAACGTCTGTGCCAGGCACACGAGGCGATCCTCCTCGAAGCGATCCTTGTGGGCAAGCATGAAGCTGCGGCGTAGATCCCAGTGCTCCTCGCTTTCGTACTCCGTGCGGTAGCTATCTACGTCCCAGTCCAAAGAGAACTCTCCAGACCCATAGCCAGCATCCGCTTGCTTCTTTGCCTTGGCCTTCTTCTGCTTTGGCTTTGCCTCCTCTTCGCCACTCTCTAGTCTCTGTTTTTTGGGATTATCAGACATTTTAAGCTGTTTTTTTCGGTGGTCTTAAAAATGGGGCACGCTTTTTTGATTATTTAACCATTCACTGCGAATACCCGATTGGCGATATGCCGTAGTATATCGTCTATCGATAAAGCCTTGTCACATCTCTGGGCATATCCACGGCTCCTACGCCAGCCATTCCGTCGTGCGTGTGTGTTTTTAAGTTCCTGCTTTTAATTCATGACTTTTTTGGTAACTTGACTTCAATTTGAAGAGCGACGCGACGCCCAGGACGCCAGAAACGAATTGCCAAAGTGACTCGATAAATCCGAGTGCGAAAAAGCGAGAGGTCAGCAGAAACTGCCAACATGAGCATACCCAACGAATATATAGCGAAAACGGAGGATGTGGCGGAACAGGTAAAATTAAATGGCTACTTCTGATAGTGCTAATGATCAGAAGTTCTCTGGGAGTCGATGCGTTCCTTGGAGTGTCTTTATGACCAGTCAAAGAGGGTTTTAGGCGTATACACTGGCAGCTGCAGACTGGGAAAACTGCCAACGTCACCCAAACGCGGCAAAGTTCGAGGGTCTTGGCTGCACTATAATCACGATTCATCGACATGGGGGTTACGTGCCTTGTATTAACTTCCAATAGAGATCACCCTGGTTGGATACCATTATGATTTTGTAGTTCAATTACCAGTTGTTGCGTCTGCCGCAGGGAAATCTCTCTCCCTCTCTCGTTGTTTTTTTTACCTGTCCGTGCGTGTGTGTGTGTGCGAGAGAGCTGTCTCCACAAGTGAAAGTGCTGAAAGAGAGTGCGGGGGCATTTGGACGCCAGCGACCAGGTCGAGTTCCGTAATAGTCGGCGTGAAAGCCAGGTGAACTTGCCCGCCATTTCATTTACATACACACGTTTATTTAAATTACACGGAGAGTCAAAGCAAAACCCGTTAGCTGGCAGATAGCAATCCACAGATAGAGCGGCTAAAGACACGTCACAGTCAGTAAGCGATTTTCCCTCACAGCGCGCAAGCCACGCTCAATCGCATCGTATATTTCGATCCCTTATCAGCTTGTCAATAGTAACAACCTTATCACCACCCATCCTGATTACTCCCAACTCTCCCACTTAACCACCGAATCCGTTTTTGCAGGTTATCAAGCGCGGAAAGAATGTGCTGCCAACGGTGGCCCGTTTGTGCCTCATCGCTACCTTTTTTGAGGACGGCCTCCGTATGTACTTCCAGTGGAACGAGCAGCGGGAGTACATGGACATGAGCTGGGGCTGCGGAAAGTTCTTGGCCACTGTCTTTGTGCTTGTTAACCTGATCGGCCAGCTGGGCGGATGCGGCATGGTGATGGCCCGGTTCAAGGTCGACATAGCTGTGGGCTTGCTGTTCTTCATTGTAGTGCTGCAGGTGAGTCCGGCATCCTTATGCCTTTTTAGCTAACTTTGTGCTAATCAGGATACCCTGCTTGCAGACTGTGGCCTACTCCATTCTGTGGGACTTCCAGTTCTTGCTGCGAAACTTTGCCTTGATCGGAGCCCTGCTGCTCGTCCTGGCCGAGGCCAGGATCGAGGGACGCAGCTTGTTCGCCGGCGTGCCATCAATGGGCGACAACAAGCCCAAGAACTTCATGCAGCTGGCCGGTCGTATCCTGCTCGCCTTTATGTTCATCACCTTGATCCGATTTGAGTTGAGCGTGTGGCAGGTTATCCAGGACATCATCGGCTCAATTCTGATGGTGCTGGTCGTACTGGGCTACAAGACGAAGCTGTCCGCCCTGATCCTGGTGGCCCTGCTCACGGTTCTGAACCTGTACCACAATGCCTGGTGGACCATTCCGTCCTACAAGCCACTCAGGGATTTCTTGAAATACGACTTTTTCCAGGTTCGTAATTAATAACATCTTAAGTTGTAAATGGTAAAAACATTGCGCTATTGTTGCAGACTCTCTCGGTTATCGGTGGCCTGCTCATGATCGTGTCCCTGGGCCCTGGCGGCGTTTCCATGGACGAGCACAAGAAGAAGTGGTAGAGGGGCCGGGCAACGGTCGCTCCTTGCATGAAACACTTTCAACAATTGACTTTTACCGTGTTTTACTCTTTCCGAGAAATGTTAGTTAGGATTTACCATAAAATGGGAAAACAACAGGAGCAGCATCAGCAGCACAACACCGGCACGTATAAGAACTTGACAATTTTCAATAAAGGGACTTCCGCAATACCCCCTCCTTCCACTGGCTTACTCATAGGGATCACCAAATACCCGCCCCAACAACATCATTCGCGCACATTCGACGACAAACTTCGACTACATTTAAGACATTTTCTTTTTGTACATAACGAGAAAGCAAGATAAAAGTGTGGCTCTTTCAAGCCCGCATATCTAAATGAGAGACATAACTGATTTTTGTACCCACTGCTTGTCAGCATTCATATTTTCGCCGATTTTTATATGATTTGTACGCTCTTTAAAATAAGTTGTAACCTTGGTGTTTGCGTTTTGTTGTTTGCTAGAAGTTTGAAAATGAAAACGATGTATAAAATATGATGTACCAATTGACAAGGATTTGTTTCTTTCGTTTATAAGCAAAAGTGTAATAGAATTAAATTGTAACGTTTTAATAAACCTAAAAAAAACTGAGCAGTGTGTAGTTTAAACTTGGCGCCAAATGGCTGGTGAATGGCAATCGTTTCAGCTTGTTAAACAGCACTGAGGCACAGCTGACTGGATACGTCACCACAGAATGGGGGAATAACGATACTCGACTTTGGGATACCGGTGCTCCAAAATACACTTCATCCGGCTTTTTATCTTTATAAAATGTTAAAGGAACCTCTACTTCAAGAAATTATAAAAAAGTCTACTAATAGATGATAGAATAGACTAATTTCACTTATTTATAAATATCATAAATGGCGCGCAGGAATTATAGAAGGAATCTTACAGATTGCACGGGACTGGAGGGGATTGAGTGATAAGGAAATGTTAAGATCAACTGAACCTACCTCACAATGTACTTAAGTGCATTATCCACTCGCAAACAAGCAACATTATAATGCTCGACATCCACACGAAAATTAGGATCTTATTGTGGGAAATGATATTAAATGTATTGTACAATCCTGGGCTTTAACAACAAATCATATTGACAATAAGAGAAAAGGTATACGTTTGCAGTAGATAAACTAGTCTCGAAAAGACCTTTTTAACAAAAATTAATTTTAAATTATGAATATACACATTTTGAAAACAAATATTATACATTTAGTAATACTCGGTTCAAAAAAAAAAAAAATTATTAAATAAAAAATTGAGTACCTTTTTCTTATTATACAAATTAACCGAAAACCGAAAAAGAAACAAATCAAAAATCAATAAAATTGTTTCGATCGTTAAATTCCGAGGGTGTGTAATAATTACTCAAGTCATTCGAGGGTGTTTCCACATTATAGGGGCGGAAGTATTGTTACTTCAAATTTTGCGAGTCCAAATATACCCCTCTAATCTGAAAGTAGCGGGTACTGAAATATCAATGAGTCGCAGTCGTTGGGCTCAACTGAATATCTGCCCAAACACAACAAGTTTGGTGTTCATAGCGTTCGGAACGTGGACGGAACTCAGCTCTGCCGGGTAAGAGTTGGATTTCGTAAATGCTAGTTATAGTTCCTGCCTCGATTCTAATCACAATCTTACGAGTGTTTGGATGTGTGGGCAAAAGGGGCGTGGTGGGCAAATCAAATCAGTAACCGCTGTTTTATTAATATTATGGGAGAATTGCGAGATATGTGTAACGTAAGCAAAAGTGAGCGGGATACATTATAAACTAGTTTTGGCCGCGCTTGCATTTCACTCTCAATTTTCGGGCCAGAGCTGTGTCATAGAGAAGCCTCCTGGGAATTTAAGCACTCCGAAAGATATTCCGAACGGCCTTATATCGGACACTATAAATATATCTCCGTTGATCCAATATTGCATTCTTTGAGCGCATGCACCTCTTGCTGTGTTGCCTGTTTTGGCTGATTTCACCTGTGTCAGCGGTATTTCTTTACCTGTGCGGTTGACAAATGTTTTCTGGGCTAATGAAACGCGATAAGGTTGATCCGAGTGTTAACAATTCGTTGGGGTGCTAAATTTAATCGTGCAATTGTTTATTACCTAATGCACCCACTTATTTTTCTTGCAGGAACCGCATTTGCGTCATATCAGCAAGCCTTTTTGACCACATTCCAGTTGGGATTCGTTCGGACCCAGCTCACTAAACTGACAATGAAGTATTTCGGCGGTGTCGAAGGGTAAGTAAAAAGGTCACAAATCAATTTGTTACTCAATGAACAAATCGTGATAATTAATGAGCATGATTTAGCGCAGGGTGTTGTCCCTCGATCTGTTAAATATCATTAAAGAACAGAGCTTTCGTTGATAAGGCCAACGGTTTAATGATAACAGTCAAAGGTACAAAATGTGGTTAGTCTAGGCCTTGATGAACTTCACCAGCTTCGTCTCGGGTATCCGTTTGTTCCGCGTGATCAGCTCTTGGTCGTCCAAAAATGGCCTTAACACGGCAGGTATTTCGATGGCATCTCCCCTCTGATAAGATTCCAGCAAAGCAATCAGCAGACGAGGAATGGCCGTCGCGGTTCCGTTGATAGTGTGGGCATTAAGAATCTTTCCATCGCGGGAACGGCGATATCTTATGCCCAGGCGCCTGGCTTGATAATCCGTGCAGTTGCTGCAGCTGGAGATCTCGCCCCACATCTGACGGCCTGGCATCCAGGCCTCGATATCGTATTTCTGGTATGCAGGAGCACCCAATTCGCAAGGCGGCATGTCCAGCAATCGAAAGTTGAGACCAAGCCGCCGGAATAGATCCACTTCTATGTTTTTGAACTCCTCCAGCTCGGCCTCAGACTGCTCCTCGGTACAAATGGCAAACATCTCTACTTTGGTGAACTGGTGCACTCGATAAATCCCCTTCTCCTCCTGCAGGCCTGAGGTTTCGGCCCGATAGCAACGACTCACGGCGGTCACCTTGAGGGGCAGCTGTTCCTCCTGCAGTTGCTTATTCGCAAAGAATCCGGCCAGGGCCATTTCCGAAGTGCCCGATAGGCACTCGCCGTTGTCCAATTTGTACACCTGGGTGCGTTCGCCCTCGGTTCGCATCCCACAGGACTCGATGATCTCTTTAGGTAAAATGTCCGGAACGGAAATCAGCTTAAAGCCATGATTAGTCACCGCCTGGAGTGCATACTGTATAAGAGCCTGCTCTAATGTGGCCAGTTGGCCAGTTAGGTAATAACTTTTGTGCCCCGTATAATTTCCCAAGTGATCCATCCGGTAGAGATTGAGGGCACGGGCCAGTTCCGAAAACTCCTTAAGGCTGGACTGGGGTGGCAGCTCCCGGTGCACGTAATTGGCCAGTTCTCGAGGCTCCTCGCCGTAATCCTCCAACCGAGGGTGTGTGAGATTGGGCAGTTGTTCCAATTCAGCCTGCAACTGGAATAATTTGTCCTGATCCCCAGCCTCAGCCTCCTGGATAAGGGATCGAATCAGTGGCACGTTGTTCCTGTGATGGCGCACTATCACATTTCGCTCCAGTTCGTCCAACTGGTCACCAGTTGGAACCGGTCTTCCTGGTTTCGGTGCCGCTTTTGCGTCATGCGACCTCTGGCGGCGCAGCAAAAGCAGCGGTCGCAAAAGCCGGGAATTTGTCAGCAATTTCATTTTAATTAACGCGCCTCTTTATGGCACGCCAGCGATCGCGGGTTGCGGTGCGGTTTTAGTCAATTTTCAACGAAAACATTAAATGTTTTTGCGGACAATTTGATAATAGTTCACCCGCACATAACACAATGTTAAATAACATTCCGTTAACGTTCGATTATTTATCGGAAACCGTTTTCATTTTGCACGGCTTACGTTACGTTTTTTACGTAACGTGACAGAAGTACTAATCTCGAGTTTAAACTTGCGCCAGAGATATTTTTATGACCGAAATAAATTGGACGATAGTTATAAATAGTTAAGAGAAGATAACAAAAGTCTTTTGTTGTGCCCATTTCGCACATAATGGACTCAATTGAGCGTATTAAGCAGTGCATTTTATTCACGTCACGACTTATCTGTTCGTTATTGCAGTCTGCAATGTAACGGCTATTGCAAGCCCCTATATGATATTCTCAGATTAGAATTTTCATTTGAAAAAATTCAGACATATAAGCCAAACTTTCTCTTTAATTGCCCGCATTGCTTTGGCACAATACCTTTCCTTACGTAGTAAAATACACATTCCGAATATATATATACATATGTAACATATAGGAAAAGTAATATTTAAATTTATTTTAAAAAAAGTAATATTTTAGCTAAACATGCGCTAAAAGGCAAAATGTTAGACAATTTTGGAAAATCGTATTTTATTAATTATATCATTGTAATGTTTAGTCTTTTCTCTATGTATTTTTACACTTTCGTTCGGTTTTCCCCCATTCGGGATCGGTTTAATTGAGATCTTTGGGTTGTCGAATACAACTTGTGCGTGTGACAGGTTTCTTTAAATCAATTTGTCAATTGCGTGGTTCTTTAATTTCAATTTATAGTCGTCCGATCAGTTAATTCAATTTGATTCAATCGCTATATTGTGCGCGGTCACGGCCTCTAGCCAACAACACCTATTGTATAATGATGAAGAGAGTCCGGAAGTAAAATCCATTTTTTTCTGTCCCCTGCAGCGGAGCCACCCACTCCAGATTGGTCATTTGCGATGAGAGCGGCCAGTCCGTGGGCTCCACCAGCGGTCTGGGCACCAACCACTGGGGCATCGGAATCCCGGAGTGCGCCCGTCGCATTGCCGACATGGTGGAACGAGCCAAGGAGGAGGCAGGCATTCCTAAGGACACGCCCCTAACCAGCTTGGGCTTAAGCCTTAGTGGCTGTGAACAGGTTCGATATAATAACATCTTTTTGGCTTATGGGGTTAACAATTTCAATAACAATGTTTAGGTCTTTTAAAAGAGCTAAGGCAAATTGTTTCAGTAAAATAAATTTAAATAAATTAAAGCAAAAGAATCATATTAATGAACCTACGGTTTCACACCAACAATTTTCAACAGGAGGCTACAAATCGCGAACTGGAGCAGGAGCTGCGCACCACGTTCCCGAACTTGGCGCAGAACTACGCCGTCTCTAGCGACACCGTGGGCAGCATGTACACCGCCTCCTCGATTGGTGGAATGGTGCTTATATCGGGAACAGGATCCAACTGCCTGTTGCGCAATCCCGACGGATCTACGTCCAGTTGCGGTGGCTGGGGAAACTTCCTCGGCGACGAGGGGAGCGGTAAGTTCGGGTCGGTAATCGGACGACCTTATCAACTAATGGTGTGTTAATGCCAGGCCAATGTCGAGATTAACGGCTGCAACTCCGATTAGGATTTGCCTGATAGCGTTGATTGCCACTGACTCATTGCCGCCTTTGTTGTTGAATTCGCAATTATCACATTGACCCCCAAAACAATTTACTCCGCAGCCTGGTACATTTCGTATCGCGCGGTGAAGGTGGTATTCGACCACATGGACAACTTTGAAAAGTCGGCGGCTCCTGTGGAGAAGACTTGGGCCCTGATTAAGGAACACTTTAACCTGGAGACGCGACTGGATATGCTTCCCCACTGCTACGCCAAGTTCGACAAGCCCTTTTTCGCCAACCTTTGCAAGAAACTGGCTCAGAATGCTGAGAATGGCGACGAACTGGCACGTGGCTTGTTCCGGGAGGCTGGCGTGCACCTGGCCCGAATGATCCTTTCCCTGTTGCCCAACGTCCACAAAGATCTTGTTAAGTCCGGCGACCTAAGTGTGGTGTGTGTGGGTTCGGTGTGGTCCAGTTGGAATCTGCTGCAGGAAGCTTTCATCGCTGAACTGTCTAAGACAAGCATCGACTTTAACCTGAAGCTGGTTCAAATCACGAAGAGTAGTGCCTACGGAGCTTGCTACTTGGGAGCAGATAGTGCGGAATTCGATTTTCCAAGGAACTATGCGGATAACGTTACAGTCCTGTACACCTACATTGATCCCCGAAACAAAGTTAAGGCCACCAACGGCGTGGCCGCAATTCCATCTAGCTGTTAGAAATTGTATTAGACACCCATTCCGAAATACACATCCAAGTTGCCAATTAATTTCCCTGTTAGTGGTACGGATGTAAAGTATTATATGGATAACATAATATATCGTGGATTAGATAAAAAACAACTCTCCCGTTCCTAAAATTAAGTTTTCGAGCGGATTTGTATGGGTTTGTAAGAAATACGTATGAAAATTTTATTCGATAATGTTCATTGTATTAATTGTATGTGTCTCAATGTTGGCTGTCGTGTCTTCATACACTGTGCGGCATCTATTTCATAATACTTTGATTGTGTTTAAAGCCAATTAGTTTTTATTTCGCCGTGCTGTCATCAATTCTTTGGCTAATTTGATTCTCAAATCGGGGAGCAAAACAAAAAAGTTTTTGTTTGAAGCGAAGGAAAACAGGATGCCAAACATAATATCTTAGGGAGCTTAGATTAGAGTATTTGGGATAATGTACGAGTAGTTGAATTGAATGCCTTGGCTGGGAGTTTAATATTACTTCTATATAATTGCTTGGAAAATACATTTTACGTACTGTATGATTGAAAGCGACATATCAAAAGAGATTTCAAATAAAATCGAATTCAAATGCAACCAAGACTACTCCTTTGCCTGAACAAATTGTCAATATATGGCAGAATAGCCAAAAACTTGCATCCCTCGACTTCTTCTCTTTCCTACTGGGAGCACTAAATAAGAATAACCTATTTGTATGCCATCGGCTTAAATGCATTCACTGCCGGGGGGCTTTCAATTGTTCATACTCTGACGCAGCTTCTGGGGATCCTGGTAGTGCGACGATGACGATATGACCGAGGGATGCTGTGGTGGTGGAAAGCACCGAACGTGCTCCACATTTGAGCCCTCGCCGTCGCCGCCCTTCAGATATTTGTTGAGAATGGAAAAGATTTGTGAGTTTAATACTTGGAACCGACGAATCCGATCCACCATTCGCTTTAGTTGCTGCAAAAGGAGATTTCAATTTTAGTTCAACTTATTCATAGTTAATTTGCAAGCCAACTTACAATGCCCTTAACGTCCTCATCCTTGCCATCGACGCGTTGCACTCGAAGAATGTGGTAGCAAAAGTCCAAAGCCTCAAAACGCCTCTGCTGGCCAAGCAACACGATCATGACGCAGCCCGCCCAATTGAGACCCTCGCCAAAGAGTTCTTCAATAGTGTACTCTGTTCCCCTCACTGGAATGCAATAGACGAATTGTAGTGCCGACCAAAGCCGATGGAACTCCGAGCACTCGTCCACATGAATTATTCCGTTGGCTGGTGGAGGGCCACACCACACTGGATCGTCTAAATAACTCTTCACCCGGTTCAGGATCACCTCGAATATGCTGAGGCCGCAGCAAAGTCGTTCGCGTGTCAGCAAGTCTCCCTCGCGAGCAATCATTGCTTGCTGTTGGGGATAGTTTGTTAGATATTATCTCGAATTTGAATTTTTAAAAGGCTCACCTTTGCGGTTCCGATCTTTTCCACATTTGAGACAATCTGCAGGTTAGCAAACTGGGCCTCAAGACGCTTTTGCTTAGCTTCCGGCTTTTCGTTTTCTGAAAAAATAGAGGTAAAAGGTTTAAAAAGAAAAAGAAAAAAAAACAACTCCTTAACAAACCTTTGCAAAAAGGCCTGGGGAAGATGTTCTGGAAAAGGGCAGCGTGCAGTAGATCGCACACCTCCTCCTGGGAGAGCGCCTGTTCAATCAACAGGCAGAAGATTATGCTGTTACCGAACTCGCGGAACGACTGAAACAACTCAGTCTTTGCGTCAGGATATTGCACGATGTCTGTGAGATGGGCCTGGTAGTAGCTCAGCACTCCTGGCGAGCCATATTCGCAACGGGGCAGCTTGCAAGACTTGGGCATGGCAATCATCAGTGTCTTGGTGAACTGCAGCAGTGAGCCCTGAATTAGCGGCTTAACAATGTCCTTTAGAATAATGTCCATTACGACAGCAATGCCTTGGTATCCAAGCAGTCGGCACATGGCATGGAAATGCGGCGATCCCACAAAGTTAGTGTACTGACCATATTGAGTGGAATAAGCAGCATTCAGCTGCTTGGAACCCCACAGATAGTAATGCGACATTTGCGGCGGTTTCTCACGCTGAATAGCCTGTGACGACGACAAATTTACTTTGGTTCGAATGAAACTAAAAGAAACAATAATAATGAGTCACTGAGTCATATGCAAGATAACCAGTAAACTCACCGATTTGTGGCTGCATTGTAGCAGTAATTAACAAGGAAGTCATAGTTCAATTCCACAAAGACGTGAAGAGTGATCCGCCCGTAAGGCGCCAATACATTGTGGTTAGCCTCCTTCACCATGCCGTCAAAGTTGTCGAGAGCCAAATATTTGCTAAGCAGCTTGTGGCAAATTCGGTTCGCCTCCAGAAGGCCTTCAAGTTCCTAAAAATAAGCATGTGAAAAGCAAGTAGATGGTATCTATCATGTTCCACTTACCACAATGCCAGTAATGTCGTTGCCTTCGAAGCGGCTAATGGCCAATTCAATGCTTTTGTGCATGTTGGCATTAATGCGTTGTGTGATCAGTTTGTTTAAGTCAATAGATCGACCTTAAAACACGAAATTGAAATTAATAAATAGAATATATAATACTATGAAGAAATGTGCTTACCCAAAAGTTGAACATGTCGTTGTTTTAGCAAAGTCTCATAGCGATTGTTGCGAGGATACGATTGGAAGTTGAAACCGAGCACCTCGCACTCCAAGCGGAATCTCTTGTCAAGGAAAATACTGCCCGCCAATTGCTTGTAGTGGGCAAAGATCTGCTCGCTTAGCTTGTAAACAAACTGGTCAAAGCACAAATTGACCTCGGCCTCTACCTCGTCGTAGAGGAACTGCTTTCGGAAGACAGTGAGGGCGTAATACGCCGAATCGTTGTATAGATCCAGGGGATACAAAACAAATCTGAGGAATATATCATTTCAGTATTGTTATAATTAAGTACTTTTTTAATCTTACTCCATCATTGAGGGCTCCTTTGTTTGCAAAATGTGATCGGTAAGGATCCACGGCATAGACATCTCAATTGGGAACTGAATTCGCTTCTCCATTGTGATCAGATCCTTGCATTCCTCGTTGTGCTGATGTCGCACCAAGCACTTGTTAACTTTACGGCCCATGGTCATCTCCAAATAAAATTCGCGATACCAAAGCTGCGATAAATCGCAACACTTTTGAAGAGTGTCGCTGAAGTTGAGTAAGTAGCTCCAGTAAAAAGAAGTCTTGTGGAAAGTGTCGATCTGAAGTAGGCAATTTCCGTCAATATCCTTGCGCAGTGTGCGCTTGCCGCCACTCTTGTCGGCAATCAGGGACTCCAGCATAGTGCGCACCATGTACAGCTGCGTTGAAGAGGGACCAACATTAAGGCGCGGCACTTGAATGCGGAAGCCGCCGTCGGGATCCTTTTTCCCTTTTGCAACTGGATCGTCAGTTGGTTCATAGCCCTTCTGCCAGTCCGCCGACGTCTCGCGAACCGACATAATTATACTCCGAATAAGGTCCTTCTTGTTCTTCACGGCCTTTCGGAGCGGTTCGCGAAGTGAAAGCTGCACAAAGTCCTGAAGCTCAGAGTAGATATTTCGCCGGATTGCCTCGCACAGGACGGTCTCGATGCGGGCCATCAGCACCTGCAGACCTTTGATCATGGCGATGACCTCTATGAGAGCAAACTTCTCCTCCGAAGTGTAGTTGTAGCGGGTGGCTCGCTCGTACTCCTCGGCCTCAACTGGGCATTCTTTGTTCTGGTGGTGATCCGTGGGATGCAGTAGCTTCCAAGAGTACAGCTCGGTGACTACACTGGTCCACTCAGACAACAGTTGCAAGCCTCGCAAGGCCAAGTCAGCCGTAATCCTATTCTCAGCATCAGAGGGATTCTCTTTGACGGTTGTGGTCACCTCGTTTGTGTATCGTGCCAACTCCGAAATGTATTTGACGTGATCCTCACGTATTTGCGGTAGGTGCACCATCAAATCTGCCTGTGGGCTAATGGCGTTCGAGCTGGACAGCGGCCACTTGCTGGAATCAAAGTGCTTGCTGCGCTTGATGTAGTTAAAAGGTGCGATCTGCATGTCGCCGAACAGCGGAACCACTTCTAAGTTCTTAAAGATACGATCAATACGATCCAGTCGGATCTTTTCTTCTGATCGAGCTTGTTAATATTGCACGCATCGCTGTCCATGAGGAACAGTCCGAAACCCATAACCTTTACTAGCATATGCTTCTCCTCAGGTGTCAAGTACATCTTTGTTTCGAACATGTGCACACAAATATTAACCACATCCGAAAGCAAATCCTCGTAGCCCACGATCTTCTCAAGCGTGTCCTTGACCGTGTCGCGAATCTTGTTCTGCGTGGCCAGAAACATGGAAAGGTTCTGCGATTCCTGCAGGGTATGTGAGTCTGACATCACCTTAAGGAACTGCGCGGCTCTTCTATACGTAGAGTAATCATTCTTCACGCTAGACTTCATATTTTTCAGCTCGTCCAGAACGGCGAACATGTTTATAAATTTGCCGAGGGTCAACAGGTAAGCCTCGGATACGAAGTCCTTGCGCTTCTCGGCGTGACACAGCCGTTTCACTTCACCGGAGAAGGCCTCGATGGCCTTGCGTTGGAAGTACATGAAGTTCAGAAGCTTGTTTACCTCAGGCGCAAGAACCTCCACCGTCTTTTCATAGATCTCCACACGATTGGGCTGCTCATTTGACTTGGGCTGTGGGATAGCGCGGGAACAACAGCGCCAGGTATAAAGCATGACTGCATGTTTCTGCCCCTCGTCCAGGAGCACATTCTACGGTCACGGCGGGGAGGAAACTGTGAGTAATTCGTAGGATGAGGGGAGTATGCTAACTCACCAGGTTGGCGTGGGTGGTGGCCTCCTCGATGTACTTGGCGATTCCCGTGACAAATCCATTGCGATCCTCGAAGTTCGTGTCGAAGTTAGCCTTGTAGATAATGGAGCAGGGCTGGGCCTCGATGCACGGCTGCTCGTCCGGAAGCGACAGCTCGTCCAGCACTTCCACATTGGACAGTGCGTCCGCTAGCGTAATCTTCTCCGTCATGCTGCGCTCCTTTTCATGCCCGCAGCAACGCGATTTGGGTAAAATTTAACAAGGCGGGGCTCCAAATCCAATCGACACACAAGATTTTTTCGCCACAAATACAACACGACTCATTGCCATTCACGTTGGTGCGTTCTTACGGTCTTTTTTAGGGAATTCTTTCGATGTTTTAAGTTAACTTATTTATTTAAACCTACTTCCCTCATAAGAAAAAAAAAATGAAATGACTACAGTATTACAACGACTTCAAGAGTAAAAAAAATACGTATACACAAATTGTTCTAGTTCATACTATTATTTCCATGACTCAATTGGTTTAAAGGGTTAAATTTGAAAGACCTTTTAATGTTACACAGAAGAGTGTTAAGAAAAAAGCAGCGTATGTCATAGAAGTATACAAAATAACGAATTTAGCAAGATATAGTAAGAATATTTAACTCATTGGATTAACCAGCAGAACTTCCGTTGACAAACTATCGTATACCATCGACACAAAAATCTCATTAAAATATATCGATACCACCTTGCGCGGTTTACCCAGCTCTAACCGTTGTCGGCGTCAGTGGTTCCTTTTTACTGCTCAATTTCTTATTTTAATTTCATTCGTTCTTGAGAGTAGATTAAGTTTCTTCAAGATGTCGATGTTTTGGGGTGAGTTAAACTACCTAGTGTTTCGGTTTCCTAACTGAAAATGCTGGAGGACTCTAGAAGCTTTTCACCCAATCGCGCGCCTCTCGAAGCCACGTGCTTGCGTTTGAAATGCCTGCAGCGTGGAGCGGCGCCATTTGTAGTCCCAAGTAAACCATGTTTTTAATGAATTGTGTTCTGTGCAGGATTAAACATGAAGCCTGAGCGCAAGTACTCGCAGACGATCATCAAGTCTTTCCATATCTCTGGTGTCGCTCTTGATAAGGGCCAGGAGGCAAAATTGTACCTCGCGGCCGAGAAGCAGGAGTACATTGTGGCCACCGTGACCAAGGCCATTCCCCAAGTGGCGCTCGACTTAAATTTCAGCAAGGGTGATCGCATTATGTTCTATACTGCAGGTGAGAATTCCCTGAAAATGTCATTCAAATAGTCTCTTGAACACGTTTTTTCGCTCCACAGGCGACGCCAGCGTTTCCTTGTTGGGCTACTTGCACGACATTGAATCCGAAGATGAGGACGAAGAATTCTCCCTCGGTAATTTGCTGAATGCCAAGGGAAGCAAGAAGGGAAAGAAGAGTAATAAGGATGATGATGGTGAGAGCGGCGAGGAAGAGGAGGAGGAGGAGGATGAAGAATCTGATGACAGTCAGCTTGTTGGAGAATACGAGTCCTTCCTCGAAAACGGTGAGGATGAAGAGGATGATGATGACGAAGAGGAGGACGATGATAGCGGCGAGGAAGAGGAAGATGACAGCGACGACTCTGAAGCAGAAGAGGAACAACCAAAGGCCAAGGTTGCCAAGCTATCGCCCGGGGCCAAGAAAGGAGCCAAGGAGCAAAACGGCGTGGCCAAGAAAGAGGAGGTCAAGCAGCAAGAGCAAAAAAAGAAGGAGAAACCGGACGCCAAAAAGGATCAGCAAAAGGCCAAGGAACCGGTTAAGCAGCAGTCTGGCGGAGAGCGCTCACTTGCTGGAGGAGTGAAGATTGTGGACGTGTTGGCCGGCAAAGGCGAAGAGGCCAAGCCGGGCAAGCGCGTGTCCGTATACTACAACGGCCGTCTGCAGTCGAACAACAAGACGTTTGACAGTTTGCTGAAGGGCAAGCCTTTTAAGTTCTCCCTGGGTGGTGGAGAAGTTATTAAAGGTTGGGATGTGGGTGTGGTTGGCATGAAGGTGGGCGGCAAGCGGCGCATCACCTGCCCCCCGCATATGGCCTACGGAGCACGCGGAGCTCCGCCCAAGATCGGCCCCAACTCGACACTGGTCTTCGACGTGGAGCTGAAGGCAGTGCATTAATCGCACTAACTTAACCACATCATATAGACTTGTAATCATGTAGCTTTTAAGTCTCTGCGTCGTACGATGTTAAATAAACCACTGTTTTCACGCTGTTCATAAATCAACAGTTTTGTAACAATCATTTTTATTTGGTATAGCCTATGCGCTCTTTTCTGGGGAACTCACATCCAAAAGCGGTTCGGATTGCAACTTCCAGTGCTCCAAAACGTAAGGCAAACGTTCACTGGGGTCTGTGCTCCAGTGATGCAATCGACACTTTAGTCGTGCCTGCTCCAGCTTATTAATTGTGATAGTACAGTAGAAGTCCTTATTTTCCTTCTTTAGGTCAGGTCCCTCTATGCGCTCCTTGGGCAGAGTGATGCACTCCTCGCGGCAATGGAACCCAGCCTTTCGCAACGAGGCCTTAATGTGCCAGGGCTCAAGCACCCATGGCTCATCTTTGTTCATTACCACCGCCAGGACTATGGACTCTAGCATGTTGACCGTTCGCTGGGCGTACGCTGAACTGTGTTTCACAGCGGATTTTTCAGCCTCCGTTTTGGCGTACTTTGACACATTTTCCGGCGTGTTGTATGCGGCTAAGCCGGGAAGCAGGAGCTTATTGTAGACAAAATGCGGCTTCATGGATACCACGTCCCCCTTGTCACCAACACCCTCGACAAAGGTTTTTAGTACAACCTGCATATTAGGCCGCTTCTTGACCAGTGTGTCCTCCACCAGCTCGTATATGAAGTGCTTGGCCCTCATCCGGCGAGGCTTCTCGTTGGTTTTGTGCAACGGCGGATCATATTTCCGCTTTAGCACGAACGTAGTCTGCAACGGATTTAATTATGAATGGAGATCTTTTTTTATTGATGGCAGGACTTACCCGCACTTGCTGCTGCAGACTAGTTGCGGATTTAAGCAAATTTAACGGCGTTACGTAGATGTTCTTCAACATTTTTACCAACAATGTTGGGGAGTTGCCAGATTACATGACACTTTTCAGAGTTGCCAGAGAAAGAATCAAATAGGGTCACGTTCAACAGGGCATTGTCGCTGGCCTGATTATTAGTGATTAACTGTTACGATATGTTTTGATTATTCTCCATTTATTTTAGTTAAAATATTGTTAACCTTTAACCTAATCAAAATAGTTTTGGGCAAAATAAACACATTAAATTAAACAATCTTATTTTCCTAAATCTGTATTAAAAAGCTTGTTGCTGAAACGCCCTTAGATGCAACAAATTGGCGCACAAATTTAAGCGGTTTTAAAAGAAAATTTTTTAGTCAATTTTATTTACATATGATTAATATACATTTTCATATACTTTAGGCCTCGATGGTGTTTTGGATCCAGTCAACGTACTTTCCAACTAATGTGTAAACTCCTGGCCAACCGGCCAAGCCGCAGGGAGTTGGGCCAAAGGACACTACACCCGCAAGGAAGTAGTAAGTGTTCACTTTGTTTGTGTCCAAACCGATAAGCGGTCCACCGGAGTCACCGCGGCAGGAGTCGACTCCCTCCTTGCCGCCAGCGCACATTTGTGTGTCCTCGAGCAGGATATCTTGGCTGCTGTACACGTTCTTGCACTCATCCAGCCTAAATCCTTCCACGGCAGCCTTTAACTTCAGGTTGCTGGCCGATAGTTGTTCCGTTTTTCCCCAACCAGCCACATCCATGGTGATTCCGTCAAAGGTGGCTGCCCGAAGGTTAGCGTCTAGCGGCAGGCAAATGGGTCGCACAAAGTCGGTGTACTCCACCTGTTGGCCGAGTCGCAGCAGGGCGATGTCATTGACCTGATTTTTGGAGGCCGGAATATAGCCGGGATGTGGTACAGTACGCTCCACGGGAATATCTAGATGCGGCGGTGCACAGTCCTTCATACCACGCACATCCACCTCGCAGTCGGGCTCTGTGGCGGTATCCCACTCACCTAAACGCACTCCAGTTAATCTCCAATCGCTTGGCAGTGCCTTCCCATTAACACAGTGAGAGGCTGTGACCACATACCGAGTGCTTATCAAGGAGCCGCCGCAGTGATGGCCCTTGTTGCCCTGGGCTGCATATAGGGATCAACATATAGGTAAGTCACTACTGCCTGATGATTTCTTTGCTTACCCTTGGTGTATTCTATCAGAGCCATCCAGGGGAATTCATCGATCTTGGTCTTCATACCGCCGTAGATGCGATTGGACAGGATGTTGCCACATTGTCCTGGTAGCGGAAGAAGGCTATTGCTGGTAACGTTGGGCTTAACTGGCGCTGGTGCCTCCGGGGAGCTCTCCCGATAGCGATCCGGGCAACAAATAAGCACTTTCCCATTTGTGTAACCACACTGGCTGCGACTTAAATAAAGCCGGTCGGTGTCCCTTAGTGGGCTGGTAGTTAGCAGGCCGTACAAGTATTTACAGTCCTCTAGGTGGATGCACAGAGCCCGTTCCCGGTTCGGAGTTATGCAGCGCCCATAGTTGGGCACCTGGGCCGCCTCATTGGGGAAGTAGAACTCTGAAATTCAAGGGTTTCATTTATAAAGCTTACCATTTTGTGTTGTGAATAAATTAGGTCATTAGTTATAGAAGTGCGGAAACAGGTTTTAAAACGATTTGTGAAGGCCCGCGGCAAAACAAATATGTTAAGCTTGTCATCCCCAGCAAATGTGAATCTTGGCTGTCTTCTATTTACTTACGGCCCGCTGATGTTTTTGCCAAAATTACAAAAAAGAGGCAAATAAATGATAGCTTCAACATTTTGGTTACGCAAGGGGAAAGGTGAATCCTTTTTAAAGACGTCGTCAGTGGTTTTGGGGCAATGTTTTTCTTAATGCAGTATTGCAGAACGATCGCAGAAGCAGTTATCAAAATAAACAGCGCGATAATATGGACGTTACTGATACAGGTAATAAAACGGAATTCCCACGGCTCGGAGTGAAGTGAAGAGACCCAAGCTAAGCTTGGCACACAACTAAATCTTCCAGCAAAATTCTCTGCTCTCAAGCTTCGTCGCAAGCTTTTCGTAAAGTCTCCAAATCAGATAAAGAGAATCGTGATATCAGATATTTAACTATTAAGAGAAAGTAAATGATTACAAACGAATAAAAAATTAGTACTCCTAATTAGGCATATGCTTACTGCTCACCAATATCAGAAGTGAAGTCGGAATTAAATTTCTTTTTTAAACAAGAAAGGAAGCTCGGTTTTGCGAGCCGAAGCTTATTTACCCTTGCAGGCATCACAAGTGTCGAGCAAAATGCATAAAGATTAAATAAAGTCGAAGTATTGGCGATTTCTCTAATTCTTTTTCCATATGTTGAAAGATTGTTCTTTTTGGCAGCTAAGTGATATAGTCGTCCGATTTTTATGAAATTTAATTCAATTATTTATTAACATAAAATCTATAAAATAAACATTACTTTTAGGCATGCAACATGAATTTTTTGAAAATTTCAAAAGGGGTTGTATCATAAAAATTGAAAAAAATAAAATAACACAAGCTCACAAATCAGCTTTAACAATTTACATTTTCAAAACATTAAAAAACACAAAAGCACATTAAAAATTAAAAAAAAACTTTTGAATAAGAGAAAGCCATATCCATTTTAATCGCAAAAAAGATGTTGATTAAAGCAAGAGTCCAAATTATTTTTCTTTTATTAAAACTGTTTAGCTTGTGCTGCAATTACCAATGTCCTTTCTTGAGATTTAGAATCGCAATTAAACTGTAACGGTCAAACCGCCAGCCAACGCAGTATGACCAAAATTTGCAATTCTTTTTGTTGGCATTTTCGGCTTTTGCTCTTAGCGGCTCAGCTGAGCGGTTTGTTGGTTACTATAGTTAAACTTTTAATTTAAAAATGAACGTATTCAGTAACGTTTAATAGCTCCGGCGCTGGAACTGAGGTGTTGCCATCAGCTCGTATCGCACTAATTGGAAAAACAGTAAGGGCAGTAGATATAGCATTTGTTTAATTAAACTCTTATGTGTCTGCTAAATTTTTTGCAGTAAATAATTTATTCAAAATGCGTTTTGTACGGCGGGGAACTGTCCCCAAGATTGCAGCAGGTTGCTGTGTAGTAATTGTGATGGTGACTTTGTACATATTAAACGACGAGAGAGATTTGGATAAAACTGTTAAAATGTATGTATATCTGTGCAAAAGTATTTTGCGTTATTGATTGCTGGATGTTTACTCACATATGTACATGAATGTGTGCCATTCTGATAAAGCGAACTTATCGAGCGCTCCATAAGATCGGTGGTCAATCAGGGCGAGTGCCGCCATCCCCACCTCCCCTTGGAAAATCCGGATATTATGAAGTTCTACAAACCGGTGGAGCGAATCAACTGCGGTGAGGGAATGGATTGGGTCATGTGTGAGGTGGGATGGGATGAAAAGCTCAGCTAAAGAATCGTATTACTAATTTTCAATTCTTCCACAGAAATCTATTTGCTTTGTACGCCCGGAAATTGCATCTAGCCACGAGGATGTGACCTGTTCCTATACAGACATCATCCGCAAGTCGGACTATAAGGTGCGATTCGGACGGACGCTGCGCATGAAGGAGCCCTATGTCCTGCAGGCTAGCGACTTTGTCAAGGTAGCCTGCCGATCCTCCAGCGGCGAGAGGTGACAACTATTTTATTTTCAATTTGTTCAACTCGTTTGATATGTATTCTCTAATTCCCAGTTGGTTTGGCATGGCCCATGGGATAAGGGACACTGTTCCTCGGCCTATGGCCCACAATTTCTCACCCAATCTAGCTGTTTTACCACCAGAGGCTGTGGCCCAGGCTCAGCAACAAATGCAGGACTTGCCTACAGCCTCATTCTACAATGTCCTCATGTTCGGATTTGATTCCCTGAGCCGAAATGCTTTTATACGCAAACTGCCCAGGACTTATGAATATTTAACTCAACAGCTAGGCGCCACGGTTCTCAAGGGATACAACATTGTAGGCGATGGCACGCCGCAGGCTTTGGTGCCCTTACTCACGGGGTTCACGGAACTGGAGTTGCCAGAGACTAGGAAAAGGTTATCTGGAGCGGGTAGCGTCGATTCGTATCCCATGATTTGGCGAGACTTTGCCCGCCTAGGTTATATGACCTCGTTTAACGAGGATTTGCCCAATGTGGGCACCTTTACATACCGAATGACTGGTTTTGAAGCCCAGCCCGTGGATCATTACCTGCGCACGTACTATGTGCAGTCGGAGCACATGGCCTCCGAAAGCCAGCCCAATTGCATTGGCCACCAGCCAGATCACGTCACCATGTTGGAGTATACAAAAAATGTAAGTTGTCCTACTAAGTTAACTTGCTCGATTCAAATTGATAAGTTGCCTTGCAGTTTATGCTGAAGTATCGCGATGCACCGCGCTTTGTCTTTAGCTTTCACGGAGGCCTATCCCACGACTCTATAAACCTGGTGGGCGCGGCGGATGATGATGTCCACGACTGGTTAGTAGCGCTAAAGGAGCGGTCGCTGCTGGACGACACCATTCTAATAATGATGGCTGATCATGGCAATCGTTTTGCTGAGGTGCGGGCCACCCTCCAGGGCAAGCAAGAGGAGCGATTGCCGTTCTTCAGCTTCACTTTTCCGGAGTCTTTTAAAAAGCGCTTCCCGCAGGAATACAAAAACTTCCTGGCCAACGAGCAGCACCTGACCACACCATTTGATATACATGCGACACTGAAACACATCATACGTAAAAAATGGCTACTATTATTTCCACAAGCGACTAATTTGTGCCCTTTGTACAGAACTCCAAACCACTGCCGGGGAAGACCAGTTGGGAGAAAGCACCGATTTGAAAGGCGAAACCAGCAAGCCCGACATTCACATCTCGGAACTAGCTAAGGGACGCGCCATGTCGCTGCTCGACCCCATCCCTAGTAATCGCTCATGCGCGGATGCATATATAGAACCCCACTGGTGTGCTTGCCTCAACTGGCTACCATTGCAATTGAACGACACACGGTACACGGGCATTATTCTCAAGGCCGCCCAGAGCATTATCAATGCCATAAATACAGCCACGGTCGAGCAACGACAGCTCTGTGCACCTCTACAGGTTTGTAATAAAGCTTACTTTGATGGGAATATCATACATCGAACCTTGATATGTGTACTTTTTTAAAACTTATCTTTCGGTTGGAGTCTCAGGATTTCTACTTAGATATAAATATTTGTATCGAACCAACACACAAACTTTTTAACAATACTAGAAAATGACTTGATAAAATTTTCTTTTTGCTACATTATTAGGCACAAGTAATCTAATCCAAAGTTGTTTCTTCCCCATAGCTACTTCGTGTAAATTGGGCGTTACGTCTGCAACCACACAAGGAGCTGTTACAATTCAAGACAAACAGCGACAGGGACGGTTTCCTTGCGGACATGACGGGTCAAACGGTGGTCCGAGATGAGATGTACCAGCTCCAGTTGGTTACGGTGCCCGGCGAGGGGCTGTTCGAAGCGAGTGTGGCTTACAACCTGCACACGTTTAGTGCCACAACGAAACTCACAGATATTTCGCGTGTCAACAAATACGGAAACCAGGCCCGATGTATATACGATCGCGACCCTGAACTGCGAAAATATTGCTATTGCCGCGACTAATTCGCTGTCACAAACCTAGTCCAAAAAAAGAACTGCTAAGCAATCAACTCGAATAGATTTTTGCACTGTTTCCAAACTTTTGCACTCTCGTAGCGCTTAAGAGATTTTCCCAAAGACTAGCGTCACTGTATTAAGTTAAAAGATCTGCCTCAGTTTGTAATATAGGTTCCTTTAATCAACGATAGTATTGTGTTAATAAAAAATACTTTTTGTATGTGTGAAGAAAATAAAAAGTCAACTCAAGACTGTTGAGTAATTCCATGGTCTGAGCAATTAATGGTTTTATCTTAAGTTATATTTTTAGATGCCTGTAATTGTTTATTTAGATAATTTATCAATTTAGCTTACACCGACATTTTACGATAAGTATATACGCATATGGGTGGGGAAATGGGAAAGATTGTACACATCTCAAACTTCTAATGATGTTCACGTACAACAAATGATTGGGTTAAAATTAAATGCTTGCGTAAATTTGTAATTGCAAGTATGTATATGTACATATGCCACTAAACAACTTAGCAAACTATATGATCTTCCTTTGGTTTATCCTTACAAATCTTATATATTTCAAGGCTTCTTTCACTGCTGTATTTCAGAGTGACTTTTGAGGTTCGTTTAGACAATATTGACGATGGTCTAAAACAAACTGTGCATATAATATATATATTTATATACATCTGTATATAGATGTATATGAGTTAACTATAATACTTGGGATAATGTATTTGTAGGTAAATTCGGGAGGAACTAATAAACAAACCAAAAGTAAGTACGTATATTTCGTAAAAAAGTAGTAATTTATTCGCAAGTATTTAGCACTAGAGTACAAATGTTTCCTTTTTGCGAGTACTTTACCCTATAATTAATTAGGGGTGCTGACTACAAACTGTCGTTTTCAAATAACCGTTCTTAAGATGTTAATTTAAAAATATTTTAGAATCGCTTTGATTTAAAATTTGCGATCTTAAACTGTTGTTTGAAATTGGTACTGTTCTTGTTAACCCAATCAGTAAAAAGATTGCGTACAATGTGAAAAGAAGAAGGTAACAGTCGAAAAGGATTCCAAAAACGTAAGGTAGGGCTTAAAACAAATGAGTCTCAAAAACTGAAGGACGATTTCTATATTTTCATAAAGGAAATCTCTCGTATTTTGTCTGCGCCCTTCGGGCCAACAACTTAAAACCTAGACAGGGGAATTGAGGCTGTATGCGAGCCAAGTTATTTCACGTCTGGCTTACAACGTTAACACTAAACTTAATGATTTGGTTATGTGCATGAGGGTTTTGTGCATCGTCTAGCTGTAGAGAGCCGGGGCGGTTGCGGAGGTCAGGGAGTGTCACGACACCGAGGTGGCCAGGAACTCCTGCAGCCGCTGCACGGTGCCGCGGTCCAGCTTGCAGAGGTCGAAGTCGAACGTCTTGTGGGTGATCTCGTAGCAACCGGTAGCCGCGATCAGCTCCACCACGTGCTGCAACTCCTCGTTGTCCTGCAGAGTCATGATCTTGTGGTGCAGCTCCTGCAGCTCGCTCAAATACTCGGTTGGCAGTTGGAGCTGTCCTGGCGTCGTTATCTCGGCGGGCGAGTGACCGCTATTGCTGTTAATATTGTTATTGTTATTGTTCAAGGTAGCTGCCGTTACTGCTCCGGTGTGGTTGTTGCTTGGCGAAGATGATGGCGGCGCTAGAAAGCCAGAGACGGCGTTGTGGGCCACTGCCGGGATTCCGGTGGAGTTCGTATCCCGGGGTGGACGCAGGGAGGGTGACTTCGACTTTTCTCGCTGCGATTTATTTTGCTCTTTCTTCGACGATTTCACTGGGGGTTCAATGAAGCCACCAGCTGCTCCACCAGCACTGCCACTGTTACTGTTTTGTGAGCTTCTTCGATTGCGCTTCTTGTCCTCTTTATCCGACTTCTCGGACTTCTCCAGTTTGGCGTCCGGAGTCTTGTCCGCTTTTTCGGTCTTGTCACTGTTTTTGTCGCTGTTCTTGTCATTCTGCTTTGACTTGCCCTTGTGTTCCTTGCCAGCAGGCTTTGCCTCCTTACCGGAACCAGCACTGGCCTTCGCCGCCTTCTGCTGGCTAGTGCTTCTGGCGGGCAGATCCGGGAAACTGCTATTGGAGCTATCGGAGTGCTGAAGTGTGGCAGCTGCTGCTGCGGCCAAAGCGTTGGTGGCCGCCAAATCCGGCGCTGACTGGGCCGAGTCCACGTCGCTAAGATCCAGATTGCTGGGCGCCTTGCTTTGACCCGGCTGCGCGTGTGCCTGCTGCTTTCCTGTGCTCTTGACGTCCGATTGCTTGTCGCCAGTCTCTCGTTGTCGCTTCTCGTCCTTGCCGGAGGACTTGTCCTTGGACTTCTTGTGCTTTTCCTTCTTGCTGCTGCTAGAATTGGTACTGGCTGCGCTTTTGTCCTGCGGTCCTCCCTCGGTGGCTGGACTGGCTCCTTCTGTTTTGGGCGATGGCTCGGCCGCTGATGTCTTCTCTGAAGTGGTGGCTGGCTGCTTGTCTTTCTCCCTCTCCTTCGGCTTCTCTTTGTCGCGCTCTTTATCCTTGTCGCGATCGCTACGCTCCTTTTCCTTGTCCTTACTCTTGTCCTTCTTCTTGTGCTTGTGGGACTTCCTGGTGTCTCCCGCACTGCCGTTGCTTGTGCTTTTGTCAGCCTTCGCATCTGTTGCTTTGTCGGTGTGCTTTCCCGCGGATTCTTCTTTTTGTTTGCCGCTGCTAGACATCATGCTGCTGCTGCTGTTACTGCCCACTGATGTGGGTGTGGCCTTTCCGGTGCCGGCTCCCTGCGCTTGCTGCAGCTGAAGGGCGGGTTGAGGGTTTCCGGCAGCTGGGCTGTCGCTTTGGCCCGCACGCTCGTCCTTGGGCATTCTCTTGTCTTTGCTCTCATCTCGTTGTTTTTCCCTGTCCCGATCACGCTCCTTGTCCTTGTCTTTCTTTTCCTTTTTGGATTTCTTGCTGGAGCTCCGCTCCTTGTCCTTGGACTCGGACTTGCTCGACTTGTGCTCATCACGCTCTTTAGAACGGGATGGAGGTGCGGTCGTAATCGCGGTAGAATCATTTGACGCCTTTTTGGGACTGGGCGCACCCATCTCATTTGGCTTTCCGGGCTTGGGGCTGGCCGTGTGCTTGAGCAGTGCTCCAGCTGCTACCGCAGCGGAAGAAGTTGCCCCCGAAAGAGCGGCGGCGGATGCGGTGCTGCCTGAGCTTTGCTCCCGCTCCTTGTCTCGGGATTTATCCTTTTTGGACTTTTCCTTATCCCGTTCGTGCTTGCCGTCGCCGGACTTGCTTGATTTGCGGTCCTTGTCGCGGCCATGCCGATCCTTTTTGTCCTTCTCCCGCGGCTTGTCACCACTGCTGGGTTTGTCCCGATCCTTACTAGCCTTCTCCCTGCCTTCGTGGGAACTGCCCTTACCGCCGACGGCAACGGACTTGGCATCTGGCGAATGCTTGGAGACGGGGACCAAGGCCATGTTGTTGACCGTTGTGCTACCCTTCGTGATTGGCGTGCCAAAGAGGGCCGAGAAGGCGTTGCTCTTGGCTGGATCCTCGTTTCGCGATTTGTGCTTCTTGCCGCCACCCAGATCCACGTTAAGCGAGACAGTTCCTGAAACACCTTTTGCCTTGACCAGAGCCATCTCATTGTTTGGCGGCGTGGCACCGCTGCCAACGCTAGGCGAAAGCGTTCGCGTAAGGCTGCTGGCACCGACATTGGCCCCAAAAACGGGCACACCACCGCCGCGCATCAGCTTAGCTCGGAACTCCTCCGATGGGGCCTCGAAGATGTGGGTCTTCACTTCCATGTGGTGCTCCGGAGGTCCTGCTTGCTGTAGCACCAGGTCGTACTGGTAGACAATACGCTTGGGTTCGTCCCGATTGCGAAAAAATATCTCCACGGGCATCAAGAAGCCGGCGTAGCCTGATTCCTGAACAGCATACGGCGGCTCTTTAACCACTGCAAAAAATGGAGTTGAAAGGGGTTATGAATGTGTGTATAAGATCTCCTAACGTACCTCGCTTCGGTTTAGAAAAAGATTCGTGCAGCAGAAAGACCACCTTCTCCACAAAGGGACTGATGTCCGCCTTGTTCACGCCCTGCACGTAGATCTCCCAGTCGTGAGTGAAGGCCCTAGGATGTGGTGTCTTCTTGCTGCGCAGCTTCGACGTGTGGCCAATTTCGAATTGCACCTTGACCGCCATGCCTGTGGGTAGGGCATCAAATTCCGGTGATTTCCTGCAAAAAGATCTTTGTCATTAGCGCGCCAAAATCTAGGGGAGTTGGATGAATGCGTTGACACACATTTCGCACAGAAAATTAAGAATTAAACTTGTTACGAGAGTGAAAATTAAATTTTAAGGATAGTTTGCCAATTATTGAGTTTTTTGCTTTGGCTTCAGGGTGCATGCGTGATGCGAACGACAACTCCTGCAGCGGGGCACGTCCTCCAAGGCATCGAACGCTTCTGGAATCCTTCTCGCCGGTTGCAGGGCTACTTGCATATCTTGTACATTTCAATGTCTGTATAATTTGCTACCGTTTTTTGTTATGATTCCCGTCGAAATCAATCTGTTATTGTTTGTGTGCCACATTGTTCCCTTTGCATGTTGCAAGCTTTTGACGTCCTCATGTTTTTCTTTGTTGAAGCCAAACCGACAAATTTTACTTACGATCGCAAGTTCTAGCATTCACATGGATATTAACTATTTTTTCGAGAAAAACAGAAAAGCTAAGAGTGATAATTTCTTTAATTTCTGGAAAAACAGAAAAAAAAACACAGAAAATCCAAAACGTGACCAACGTTGAAGAAATTTAAAATACCACCCAGCTCGGAAAAAAATATACTAAAAACTTAGCGCTGAGGAAGTTGCAATATCGTAGGGGTGTTCCAAAAATTGAAACAAATAAATACGCTTTTTATTACAAGAACAGAAACTTTAATTAATTTCCACAAATTTTTATTAATAATCCGGGATCTCTTCAAACTTAACTTGAGTGTACTATGAAAGTTAGCCTATAACTCAATAAAAAAAGTATTGTTTAGTGCCACAAGATCCCGTTACACATGAAGGTAATGAAGGTGCAGAAGGTTCTGTGGTTGCTGTGGGCACTGTGGATGCTGCTGGTGCAGAAATCGACGTTGGTGCGGATGATGGATAGGGAACGGCAGACGCGTGTGGAGTAGTGGATCCAGGTGCAGATATGGTCGTCGGTGATGAGGCGGCCGCAGCTAATCCAAAGATGGCAAGCGAGAAAACGATAGCAAAGTTCTTCATCGTGTTACTTCTATTTCAACAATAATATTTCGTACTTATAATTTCCCAATTTTATATCTTTTCACTTTGGGTTTATTTACTATTGACACAAATGCTTTTGTTTTTTTGTTTGCATACCAAATCTCAAGAACAATTGGGCAAACACTAATTCTTTCTTTTTAAAACGTTTAATCGTGGAATACTTTTTACCAGTTGTTTGTTTAGATATTGGCTTATGTATTTATAGATCCATCTTTTTATTAACATTTAATAGAAATAATTTGCCGACACGTGGGGAATAAGCAACCTGAGTTTGATATTAAAAGTTATTCGTAAATAGCTCGCATACCAGAAACCTTGTAAATGGATATGCTTTAAACGTTATGAATGTGAACTTACCACACAATTAAGAAATTAAAAATACAAATTTTTCTTGTTTAATCTTGTCATGATAAATTCACACAAAAGGCTAATATTAAATATATATTTTGAACTATGTTTTTTTTTTTTTGCAAATTTAGCTTATAAGCTCGAACCTGCATAAACGAATGTACATAGTTCGCGAAAGCCTCTACGCTCCGGAATCAGTTCAGCCGCCTGTTTGGTTCTCGGCGGAACCATCGACAGCACTTAAAAGAACACTTGGGAAAAACAATAAAAATATTTCGCAAAAAGTCATGGCGTGCCCTGAAAAAGTCGCAGTCTGAAGTAAAATCCTTTGGACCGGCTGCCGTGGAGCCAAGAAACTCACCCATGATGTCGACCGACTTCGGGGGCAGTCAATTTGTGTCCAGCAACCCAAATGCCAACTGCAGTGCATCCCGCTGGTTAACGGAGGAGGTGTTCAAGCTGATAGACATTGTGCAGCGGGACGAGGCGATTTACAATCCGCGGCACAAGTATTACTTCTGCCGGCCCTACGTGGAGAACTTCTGGCGCGAGGTGGATCTAAAGCTGGAGAAGAATCCGGGTGCTAGCTTGGCCAAGTGGACAAATCTGCGCATCTCGTTCAGGCGCGAGTACACTAACTACCTGGAGGAGAAAGTTCCCCCTTGTTGGTCCTACTTTGATCGCATGTTCTTCCTGCATCCATATCTGCGCAAGAAACACCAGCAGCCCAAGTCACTGGACACCCAGGTGCAGGACGCTTTGGCCCACCTCTCCAGTCTTTCCAGTCGAATGCAGCGGGAGCGATCGGTGGCCATACCGGCCAGCAGCAGCGGTGGCGGTGGCCAGCCCACGGCGTCCGCCCACCAATCGCCTCCAGCCCAACAACTGGACACCTATCTAGACTACTTCGACGAGGGCGAACACAACAATTCCGAACTAGAAGACATCATGGAGGAGGAGCAGCAGCGCAGCAGTCGCTATCACAGTCAGTTGGACGGCAATGATATCAAGTCGGAGTGCGAGGAGCCCGCTGACGACTACGAACAGGAGGCGCATGAGCCGGACGACGATGAGCACGATGACCAGGACCTGCATAAGATGGCACCCACTTCCAGTTCTTCGTCGGCGGATGCCCAGCGGCGCTACGCCAACCAGCAGCCGCTCGTTAGCCGGATGCACTTGGGTCGCTTGCAGATGCGCGCCTACCACGACGAGATTCGCGGGGCGATCCGTCCGCGCTCCCAGGAGTTGCAGGCTCCAACTGCATCTGGGGCGGCAGTGAACTTCGCCTCCCAACCGACCGCACACCCAAACATTTCCTTTGTGCGACCCACGTTCAGTAAACCTGTAGATCTGGTCAGCACCACAACGCACAGTGGAGTGGGAGGAGGAATACCAGGGTCTGCTGGGCCATCCGAAGCGGAGCTGCCCACACCTTCCACAGCCGCAGTGGCCACCCCCCTTGTGCCCAGCAGCAGTGTTAATACCAGCAGTAGTAGCAGTGCCTACATGAATCAACGGCACGGGCACAATCACTTGCACGGTGGCCACCAACCGGGGCCTCCATCGGCGCTTCCTCTTCGTCTAGAAGCCAGTAACCCGTCAAACGGATCCTTGTCCAACGGCGGAGTGGAACTGTGCGACTGCAAGACCGATCCGGACGCCATGTTTCTGATGAGCCTGCTGCCGGACATCCAAAAGCTGAACGGACGCGACCGCGGCAAGATCAAGATAGCCTTCCAGAACATACTGCAGGACTACCTTTATCCAGACTAGTTTCGATCTCTGTGTATACTTTCCGCTTTTAGCAAACGGAACCCAGTTCCGATTTAAACCTATTGTTTACCTTTTCTGTTAAATTTCGTTGGTTAAATTTAAAGCTTTGCTGTGCAAGAACAAAGTATCCTTAAAACGTTTTGAAAACTATCAGCTATGTTTATTAATTGTATAAATATTTATAAATATTAAATGTGTAACACAAGAATAAATTCATTCGAAATTAAGCGATCTACATGTATGGCTAGGTAACTGGAAGTATCACATGAGGATCGGATCGGATTAGATCCCATCCTCACTCGAAGAGCTTTAGCTCGCGGGTGATCTTCTTGATCTTGTTGTCCAGCGTCTTGTCCTCGTGCTCGCAGATGTAGTAGTGCCGCGAGGTGCACTCCTGTCCGAAGTACACGTAGCTGTGCTTCCCGGCATTGTAGCTCAACCGGAGGCAGCGACCCTTGCCCTCGATCTGAACCGTGTTGTTCAGCACGTCCTCGGCCGCAGCCTCTTCTGCCGCCTGTTCCAAACTGTCCACCAGGTTGGCGGCCGTGGAGTTCTCCCCCTTTTGCGACATCGCAATCGAAGTGAGGTTCATGTTGGGATTCACTGGCTTGGCGGAGTTTGACCAGATCCACAGTAGTCCCGGGTTAAGGCCACCCAGCCAGTAATCGCGACCCCTGTGAGCTGGCTGATTGAGCAGATAGGCCATGATCTCCTCGTTCTCCGACACCTTCTCGAACTCGGCCAGGTGCGAATTGAGTGCCTTGCAGGCCGAGTTTGCCGTCTTCCAGTTGACCTGCTGTTGGCTGTTGATGTAGTAGCAATTATCGCTGATGCGGGTGAAGTTCGTCGGGCAGGGATCCTTCACCTCCTTCTGGTTGTTCCCGGCCATTAAGTAGTATATCAGCTGCTCCGAACGCCGCACCCGGCTTTCCAGGTAGTCTATAATTGGGTTTTTGTAATATATTATGTCATTTAATCACTTTTAAAAAGGTATCCCTAATTCAGTTAAGATTTGCTTACCATAATTTAAATGAAACAACCAAATGGATTTCTTTTTCATTTTTCCCTTAATATATTTTTTAAACTTACCCACTCGGTACACCAATTTCTCGATGGCTCCCAGCAAGTAAAGATCGTTTTCGGAAACAGCCCGGAAAGTGGTTGGCTGGCCGCCACCTCCAACACCATGTTGCTGCTGCTGTTGAAGGTGTTGCTGCGGTGGCTGTTGCACTGGCTGCTGCTGCAGTGGCACCGGGCGCACATATTGCTGTGGAGGATTGCCACCTCCTCCGGTGCTGCCACCAATGCCAAAGAGTTGCTGCAGGAAACCAGGTTGCTGACGCTGCTGCAACTGTTGCTGCTGCTGTTGCATCTGTTGATGTTGCTGCTGTTGCTGGTGCAACATCTGGTTGGTCATGGGTCGGAACTGGGGATTCACAATCGGACTCTGGCTCTCCACGGGCTTTCGCAGATGTGGCTCCAGCTCCACGGCTTCGCCAATTCTCCGGGTGATGTAGATGTTGTTGCCGGGTCGCTTGTAGGCGGATGAGTGATAGTTTAGCGGTCCATTCATGCCCATATCTCCACCCATAAACGGCAGATCTTTTGACTTTCGCTGACCGCTGCTGCTGCTCTGGCTATAAATTCGGTATTAGATTTTACTCCTACTCCTACCGCTCCACGAAAAACCCACCTCAAGACGTAGTCTTCGAGAAACTGCGACCAAACTGGAGCATCTGCGTCCGCGAGTGATTCATTGGCGTATTTTTGCCTAGTTTCACCATCGCTGGCATTGCATAAGAGCCCGTGGCCCAGCAGACATAATGCCATGTAAACAAGGGCTGCAAGCCGGAGTTGATGCCCAGCCGGCGGCATGATGACACGTAATGTTTACGGATGGGTATATTGCCCCCGCCTCCTTCAAAATCTCTTAGCGATTCAAGTCGCGCGCTAAGCACTTTCGTTTTCGGTGCGTTTTCCGTGCGGTTTAAGCCGCGTCTGCGTTTTTAACGACGTCCGTCTGCTTGTGTCGAGCTGAAAACCGCGACTGAAGTCTGAGCTTGGCTTTTGGGCCTGCAGCCGGTCCGATCTGGTCCGCTCGGGTCTCTCCATACCGCTCACCGGTCGCCGCCGATGGCAATGGCCCAGACACCAAACCCATTGACGTTGTTATTGTCTCTGCTGCTGCCGGCCGCCGAGAAATGCAAAATTTCACTTTCTCCTTCGCTTGGCTCTTGGCAAATGTAAGTCATTGGGCTGTTCAATGGTATCAGTGTTTCTCTCGCCGCTTTTGTGGTCCGTCAACGCCCGCCAGTCGACCCACTGTTTGCACTCCATCAAATTGGCCCCAGACTTAGGTAATTGACGCGGCTCAAGGGTCTGTCAATTGAAGCGAAAACTAATGAAAAAAATGTACTATAGGTACATATTTATTTGGATATTTACCAAATTTTTCAGAAGAGATCGTGTGGGCCACATTTTTGATTTTATGCTATTTCTTATCTCATGGCAAAGTCACCATAATCTTATCGAAAACATTTTCATGTTTCTATTCTTTAAAACTCAACTTTGAAATAATGTATTGTGAGTACTTTTCCATTCGTTTATGTAAGGTTTTTTTTTAAATATTTCCCTGTTTTAAAAAGTTTTTAATCTAATGGCAGCCCCAGCCTTCGTATTTTATTAAAAATAATATAATTTTAGCCTTCATAAATGTGTATTTCAAATTACTTATATGTGAACTAATTGTTACTAGCCAATTATTGAATTGTAGCTTCCATGAAACGTAAAGCACCAAGCTTCTTGGCCTGACCAAAACTAAAAAGAAATCTTTTTTAAACTTGAAATGGCGGTTTCTGATCATGCTTATGCTCCGTAAGAAACAAACATTCACCAACATTCATACTCGGATAATAGTGTAAATTATGTAAATAATGACTTGAGCTTTTTAGTGTGCAATTTAACACACCACTTAAAGTTTTAATAACTATTTTATGGCATCACGTCGCGAGAAGGCGAAGAGAAATGCCGGTGGACGGTGGACAGATGGAATGGGAATTAAAGATTAATTTATAAGAAATGTGAATCCATTTTGCCGAGAGAGTCAGACCACCATGTCGAACTCGGCCTTAACTGGATTATTGATGGTCAAACAGCGAAGCTGCCCACATCTACCAGAGATCTCTCGAACTGCCGACCGATTCACCCTGAAGATATGAATGAATAAATACAAATATCGGAACTTTCATTATTCATTGCTCTGACAATTAGCGGATGTTAACGATGTTGCAATGAAGGCCTTGATTTGCGGATCGTGATCCATCGGCGTTGAAGTGATGACGCACTTCGAATTCGGTCATTTTGGTTCAGCATCCATGGGGTTTCCCAAAAATGCAAGAAATCATTGAAAAAACCGAAACCGATTTTGCATAATCACCAATTCCGCCTGAAACCCGAAATTTTCTGGGGTGTAGGTAAGTTTCAACGAATTTCGCTGACGGGCAAAGAAAATCATGTTTATGCATCATTGAAAGCAAACATCAAACATATAATTTTTTTAGCAAATTTTTTATAAATTTTTTTATACTTTTTTTGTGGGTGTTTTTTGTTTGTTGTGTAATTGTATGATATAAATTCAAATTGAAGCAGGCTTAGTTCTTAAAATCTTAGATATTCCCTGTCTCTTTTTCGGGCATTTTTTCTCTCTGTCGTCGCCTGGCTATAAGTGCTTCTTAATATTTTTAAACATTTGCTTTTAAAAATACAAAATTCGTTTGTTTTTTGGGTATTTTTACATTCTGCTACTTTTTACTTTTAGATAATTTTATTTTCTACAAAATAAAAGAATTTCCATTCGCTGTTATCCTTGGTTCTACACAATCTATGCTTGTTGTTTGTTGCTGTTGCTGATCTGGTTGTTGTTGTTATTTATTTATTATGAAATATATAGATTTATAAAGAATTGTATACACAATGGATGTTGTTCTTGGTATCTGACGCAGCAGTTCTTCTTGCTGGCAAAATCAATCTGAGATATTCGTTTACAATTAGTAGAGTTCCTCGTCGTCTCCATCTTCCTCCGCTGCTTGATGTTGCTGTTGTTTTGGTTTTGGTTATTGGGACTATTGGCCAACTTAGTAGCCAGCCAACTCGGCGAATGTGGAGTCCATCTCGTCGGCCAGGGACTTGTACCTGTCCTTGTTGATGCCCAACTCGTCTGCGGAGTGCAAATGATGGATACAAAAATGTTAGAAACTATTCGAAAGATTTTTCTCTGCACACAGCAACATTGGAATTGAACACGAAACACTTAAGATTTATACTGTGCGAATTCATTGGAGCAGAGATTCTATAGCCCAACAAGATTATCTATGCCATCTTATTGAGTTTATAGATTGAAATGGAGAGCTCTGGCTCGGATTAGTGGCGCGCTGTTCTGGCAAGCGTTTCTAGTTTATGGATTAGTCAGCGGTTCTGTGCGTGGGACTATAGGGGTTTATCTAAGGGGTGCTCTACGGGATCTAGCCATGATATGTCCAACCAAACGTTGCAGAAATCCTTGGCTTGTGCGGAAATGAGAGATTCACTCAACCAAGGCCAGGCGAAATCAGCTCGAAAACCATTTGATAATGACTCGGGACTTTGACTGATGATCGTCGACGAGAAAGAGAGAGAGAGACACAGATTGATATAGAGTGCTGATTCTGGGCAGGCGAGACAGGTCAAGAGGTCATGCCACAGTAAAACGGGTAAGAATCCGGCATACAAACAACAATATTTACATTGATTAATTCACCTGTATTAACTACAGTTGCAACTTGGTTTGGCTTGATCTGAACTTATTTTTACAGTGTACTGGCGTTGGGGTCTGGTTGTGTGGGTGTGGCCACATTCAAGCAAGACTAAACAGATTATTTACAGTGTATAGTAGGAGGTCGTGACAGAAGTGTGTTGTGGGTGGGTGGTAAATACACTGAAACTGTTCGGGGTAGCTTCCAAAAAATAAAGTATATATATAGTAAACTGTAGGGGATTCTTTGGGGATTTCTGAATTTTGGGTTGTTTTTTTTTCTTTTGGGAAGGGTTTTGTGTGAGTTCTGTTTTGATCTTTTTTTAATATCCAGTAAGTTCGGCAAATGTCTGGTCCAAATCGTCGCAGATTGCTTTGTATTTTTCCTTCTCATTGAAGAGACGGTCTGCAAAAAGCATTTTGTTTTTGTTCATTTATACAAATTATTATAGAGATAATCAAAAAGGGCGAGAGCAAAATGGGTGGATATAGAAAGTCAATTAATGAAAGCAGAGTACTGAGAAAGAGTATTAATATCCTTATGGCGATATATACAATGCGAGCATTATTGAAGCCAGCGATCCGACAGATCGAGTCGGATAACTTCCGGCGGATAGCATCTCCGGAGTCTCGTGGCGAGATACCTCCACGGGATTTGGCTGAATGGATTTTCTAGAATGGTAGGGACTGCAATACATACCCTCTAGCCTGTCGACCTCCTTCTGCAGGCGCTTCACTTGCTTCTCGGCGTGCTCGGCGCGCTGCTCGGCCTCCTTCAACTTGATGGACAGGGTCTTCATCTCGCGCTTGAACTCCTCCACGCGCTGGTTGGCCTTCTCCTCGGAAACCTCCAGGGACTTCAGGGAGTTGCCGACAACCTAAAATATAAGATTAAAACATGTAAAATATCTGTATAAGCCTTCGTTGACTGTTAAGTTAAAATTGGAAAATGTTAAAAAATTCCATATAAAAGATCATTTAAAGATAAAAATCTATTGAAGACTGTATATAATAATTGAGAAATTATATCTTTTGTTTCTGAACCTTTAAAAGGGGTTTACATATATTCAAAAACCATGAAATCTCCGACTTTAAATATAAAACGCACCTTCAGCTCCTCCTCCAGCTCCATGATCTTGGACTCGCCGGAGCGGACACGATCCTCAGCCACCTCCAGCTCGTCTTCAACGAAGGCCAGCTTGCGGGAGACCTCGTCGGACTTAGTGTCGGCATCCTCAGCGAGCATGCGGGCTTCCTTGAGCTGGTTGGTCAGCTGGTCCATGCGCTCCTCATCCTGCTGGGAACGGTTCTCCAGCACCTTGCACATGCGGTTGTTCTCATCGGCCGACTGGGTGGCCTCCAGCAGCTTCTGTTGGGCGGTGGTCGAGCGCTCCTCGGACTTCTCCAGATCCTCCTCAATCTGTTGCACCTTGCGGTTCTGGGTGGCCACCTCGGACTCGGTGGAGGTCAGGAGCTTCTCCTTCTCCTCCAGCTCGGTGTTGGCCTTCTCCAGCTGCTCCTTGGCGGTAACGAGATCGATCTCCACCTGGACGAACTTCTTCTCCAGGTCGCGCACCTCCTCGTTCAGTTTGTCGGCGCGGGAGTTGGCATCCTTGGCTTGGTTCTCGCAGGTGTCGGCCTTGTCAATGGCGTTATCCTTCTCAAGCTTCATCGCTTGCATCTTCTTCTTGATGGCGTCCATGGTGTTTGTGTTTTTGTTGTTGGCTTAGAAGGGAAGAAAACTGGAAAAAAGCACTGTGGCAAACATTTTTGATTAGTAAATTGGATTTTTAACTAATTATTTTGCTCGTTTTACTTATTTAGCGAAGCATTTTAATTAAATACATAAATCATCGGAAATGTACCTATTTTTGAAATGGAAACTGTTATTGAAGCTAATTGTTGTTAAGAAGTTTTGGATTTTCATTATTTATCTGATTTATATCTTAAGCGATTCAGCAAATATAATGAGTTAAGTCCAAAATAGGAATGTCAATCCAAAAGAGGTTTAAAATATTTTCGAAAATATAACTACATCTAATGGTACATAAGAATGGCTAAATAAGAGTCTAAAATATACTGTATCTATATTCCTTTGAACTAAATATTTATAAACATTGATTCTTTCCTGCTGCGATGTTTCAATTGACACCGGAAAATTTTAGGCTTTCCGTTTAATGCAGTTGAAAATCTTTTTGGTTAAACTCTCCAGGCGCATTCTAAACGTTATAGACTATATCTGTACGTATGTATAATTAAATATATATAGGTTTGTACTATGCATATGTATCTGTGCAATAAATTTGAAAAGTTAAATGTAAACACATTTTGTTTGGCTACGCCAAGCATTTATAAGATCTCACGTAATTTTCATTTTCCATTTTCAATACGCCCACACTGAATCCGAATCCGAATCCGGATCCGGCGGTGTGCTATATATTTATTTTCTGCACGATTCTGTAGAGTTAAAAATAAACTTTATATGCTTTTGCATGTGAGAAAAAATATCCAGTCCACTCGAACACGCACGCATAGAAAAAATGCTTTTTTGGACATCATCGTGTGCTAAATGTAATTCTAGAGTTTCCCCGTATTATTTCGAAATACACACACACAAATAGATACGTTGGGATTGCAATTTGAAAAGTTTTCAATTCTTTGGGGTCATTCAGTGCGTGGGTGTGTGTGTGTATTCGTGTATCTATGTGTGTTTCTTCCACCAAAGTGGGACAAAGTCATTTATGTTGTAGTTGCTGATCTTTTGGAGGTCTTTTGATACTTAAGAGTGTTTTGTTCCCAAAATGCTATCAATATAGGTGAAGAGGTAATGAAGAGAAGGGTATTTAGAGAGTATAAATTATGGATAAAGTGGGGGAATAAAAATGGTTTTAGGAATTGAATATTATCTCATTAATTATTTAATTTTTATCTTCCTTTACTTTGTATTTTTTTGTTTCAATAGCTTTTTCTTAGCACCCCATTCTACAATTTGGTTTTCTGCCAAAAGTACTTAAGTTTTCAATCAGTTCAAATGTACATCTATAAGTAAGCAAATTTGTGGCCTTCGAAATCATTCACAAATGGCAAGAAAATATTTGTTCTGAGCCCCACAAATTTCTTGTGGGTGTCTATGGCATGTATGTATCCCCAGATATATATGATACGTATCCACATCTGGGAATCGTCTCAATCTCTGATATTTTCCAAAATATCTCTCATGTTCTCGCTTCTATCTCGAAAACAATCTCAAGGATAAATACCTACAATTTTCGACTGCCTTCGTTTTTATGAGATCACAAAAAGCTAGACGGGAAAAGCTTTTTCGTCTAAGTTTCAGGCAAAGTTAAAAATAAATGGGGTTGTATGTGTGTGTGTGACAGGCAGGTGTCTGTCTGCAGTTAATTTTAAAGAATTTTACTCGAGGAAAACTTTTCTTATAGTGTATGTGTGAAAATTGTGCGTGGCAAGAGGTGTGTAGGTGCATATGTATATGTGTCCAATTCGTGTGGAGGGAGCTTTCCCCTTGAGTGAGTGTGTGAGTGCAAAAAATATTCTCTCACACACAGAGATTTTTTTCGATGGTATTAGTCCCGTCAGATTTAGTTACAAAATTCCTTATAAGCGAATTTTTAAAATGTCCGAAAAAGTTATCATAAGATTTCCATTTGAAAAAGGTTGATAGCGTTTTATTGGCGCTTTTTCAGGTAGTAAGATTATTTTTTTGAGGTTAAAGTTATGATTTTCTTGAATTTTTTCACTTTCTATACGTTTGATCACTATTTTAACTTTTTTAAGATTTTAATCCAGAATGGTTGACACATATACATATGCACATTTCATTTTATGTATCATCCCATTTTTTGATTGGGGAAAATGCAATATTTTCTGGTTTCAATGCATTCGAATGCAATGCACTTTTCACTAATTTTTGTATCCACTCAAAATCAGTTGAAAATACCAATTTGGTTAGCAGCAAAGGCGAGCGATTGGATTATATTATTTTTGAGTTAATTTTTGTCGGGTGAAAATCCTGGCGTGACCAACCTTAGCGTTTCAAACACACTATACGCTGTCGAAACCCCGAGAACACTGATGCTGACCAAGTTGCTTAGCCCAGAAAGCGACCCCAAGATCCAACGCACACGCACACTGGCATCCGGAAAAACTGAAAGACTCACACACACACATAGAGCCTGGCCATCGGGAAAAACTTTCACACACTCACTATTCACACCAACGCAGTATTGAATAATTTTTCTCTGCCTCGAAAATTTCCCATTAAAAAATATATGCGCAAAAGCGCTTTCGCAACTTTGCTCGGTGATCTCAAAAATTTCCCTCGAAATTTCCCAAAAGCTTCTGCTTCGGCTCTCTCATGCTGCATTCTCTTGAAAATTATGCGTTTTTTTCTCCTTGTTAAATTTAAATTCAATTAATTTTTTTACTCACAGCACTCTTTGTGTGCAAGTATGTGTATCCGTCAGATACACGGATAAAAATAGCAACAAGCAGCAAGAGCAAGCCTAACAAGATGAAAATCTATTTTCGCTCGGTAAAAAATATTGAGAAATATTTGGAATTCTGATCGGCCAGTATTTTCCTGCGTTCTTTTGCTTTGAAAAGTCTCGGCTGCGAAGGCTGCAAGACAATTGATCCGATTTTTTGGAATTGAGGTTGTCAGTTCAGTTTTTTTTTTTTGGGCAAATCTCTTTATTATCATAGTTTAATTTGTATTGAATCGCTTGATGATATAGAATAAAACAAATTTAACTACGTCTGCAACCTTTACCTCAAACACACGCAACTAAATTTTTTTTGTTTTTCCAGATGCAATCAAAAATTATTTTATCTTTCTGACGTAATATTCTTTTATTTAGTTCTTTGTGAGATGATACTAATTAGATAGACTTGAATTTATGGATTCCAAAATTAGATTTATTTATCCAGCTATAACCTTTCAAGCTATGAAAACGGTCAGTTTTTTAATCTAACAAAAAAAAAACGCTTTTCTCGTAAAAAACAAGGGCGCTGCTGACTTCATCCGTTGAAATATTTTCAGAAGTATATATTTTTTAAGGATCGTTCAGGATCTTCAGCCAAATCAAAAATTTCCCCAACAGGTTGGCTCTTTCACACAGATATTTTTCTTGAGTGTATGCAACATTTTTGTGGTGCCTTGTGTGTATCGATGCAGCAGTGTTGGTTTCATTAAACGATCTAAATTTCAATGTTTTTCAACACCATATTTCCAATTTGTTACATTCAGAAAAATTTTATTATTATCCCCTCTCTATTATTATTCCATATGGATCATGATTTAGGTTTAACCAGCATATATCCTCCCATATTCCCACTATTTGATTTAAAAGATAGCACGAAGATGTATTTGCAAAAGAATGGTTTCTGTTTATTGATCATAAAAATATTGAGTGGTAAATAAAAATACATACATTGTTTTATTTGATTTGCATGTTATATCGAATTACAAAAGCTATGTCAAATGTGTAAATTTAATTTATACGTCTTCCTTTATATATTCTATTTATATATTTGTTGTTTTTTTTTTTAATCTTATACAAAGGCCATAGAAATTTTGTAGATACAATTCGCGTATTGCCAAGAAACACAAGCAACGGGGAAAAAAAGGAAGGGAAAATTGACTCTGGCTCAAGCGTTACTGAGATCTATGAAGATGGTAATGTACGATATTGACTGGTGGGCTTTTTGGGGGTTATTATTTAAAAAATTACAGATGCTATATCGAGTTGGAAAGTGATTTCAAGAAAAATGGCAGCGTTTTTTCGTTACACAACTCTACGAAATGCACCGTTATAATTTTAGTAAGTAATTGCTTTAAAACATTACTTTATTGTAACACTTTCGCTCTAATTTATATATGAAAAAGTTCTTTGGAATGCTTAGGCGATGGATTGTATTGCTAAAAATAATTTGTAAATTGGACGTCGAAATGCTTTCAGACTCCATTATATTTTTTTGTAGTATTTTCTTTGTAGATCGCAGGCTGCATTTGTTATTCTGGCTGTAGATGCTGTTCATTTCCTCATTGATTGGATTTGAGTTCCCTTAGTAATTGTTGAGATCGGCATACTCCAGTTCCTGAGCAATAGTTTTGTACTTTTCCTTACCTTTGCTCACCTCGTCTGCAGCGGAAGTAAACGAAATGAAAGTGACAGTCGGATAAGGAATTATATTTTCAAGTTGATTGCTTTATTGCTTAGATTGGATACAAATAATAAATAAAATGGTTTTGAGTCAAACAAATACACAATTGTTTCGATGCTTCCTCTTATTGGACCGCAGTCAAAATCAATCTACAAACTATTGAACTACACAAACAAACACAGCACAAATCAAAAGTGGAGGCTACTAGATACGAGTACAGTGCGCCTACGATTATGCTACAGTAAAAACAATCGAAAGGTGTGCCGTGCCGCCGGTCAAACATAGAAGTGTGGATCGATTTCGGTCTGAGGTCGAGGTGCCCGTCAAGTTCGGTTCGCTTATTCCTTGAGGATGAGCTCGACGAAGGCGGTGTCGAGATCGTCTCCGATATCCTTGTAGCGCTCCTTCTCCAGGACCAGGTCGTCTGTTCGAGTTGGTGTTTGGAAAATCATAAAAGAACGCAAGAGTAAGAAACGGAAATTAATAAAAATGCATAAGAACTCAATAGAACTACACTGAAAACCTGACACAAACTGAGACCTTCACATTAAAACGTATAAACTTGACATTAACAAATAATAGTTACCTCGTTTCGGGCAAAATAAATAAAAAAGCCAGCGGTTGAGTTCGCAAAATCGGCAAAGTTGTGCTAGCTGTTAATTTTTTAAAAAATAATAAAAAGGTTGCAAGAACAGAAAAAGCAGCATTTGGTTTTTACAATGCTTTGGTTAAACTGAATTTTAATTCAATTCTCGGTTTAATAAATAAAATTGTTTTTAAAAACGTATTGGTAGTTTTTTAAAAGCAGGGCAGCATTTGGTAGCAGTTGTGTTTTCTTTCGTTCGTGTGCAGCAGTTTCTGGCGGGGATCGGTTGCACTGGGCCTAAGCTGGTGGTGCCTCTCCCTCGGCAGGAGCAGCTTCGGCGGGAGCAGCTTCAGCGGGAGCAGCTTCGGCTGGTGGAGCTTCGGCTGGTGGAGCCTCGGCAGCTGGGGCAGCTTCAGCGGGAGGAGGAGCTTCTCCCACGGCTGGTGGAGCAGCTGCCTCGGCAGGTGGAGCAGCACCTTCGGCTGGAGGAGCAGCACCCTCAGCAGGTGGTGGAGCAGCTCCCTCAGCAGGTGGTGGAGCAGCACCCTCAGCAGGTGGTGGAGCAGCTCCCTCAGCAGCTGGAGGAGCAGGAGCAGCACCCTCAGCTGCCGAAGGAGCAGCTCCCTCGGCAGCCGGAGGAGCCGCCTCTCCCTCAGCAGCTGGCGCGGGCTCTGGCTCGGATCCGGGTGGTGGTGGCTCGTAGTTCTTGACATAGGGCACCTCGGCACCCTCTGGCGGCAGATCGATGGAGTACTCGAATGGCGGCGGCGGTGGCGGAGGAGGAGTGGGCTCCTTGGGCGGCGGAGTGGGCTCCTTTTCCGGCGCCTTCTCTCCTGGCGCAGCACCTTCTCCTCCCTCTCCTGCCTCGGCGGCGGCGGCTGCTGCGGCTTCCGCTTCGGCCGCTGCTGCGGCTTCTGCTGCCGCACGCGCCTCCTCCATGGCGGCCAACTCCTCGGGCGTCGGCGTGGGCAGCTTGGGCGTCGGCGGCTTGGGGTTGCGCGGATTCCAGAATGGCTCCAGGCCCACGATCAGGTCCACGAAGGCCTCGTCCAGGCTGTCGCCGATCAGGCAATAGCGCTCTTTTTCGACGATTAGATCGTCTGGTGATCGCGACCGGGTTCGGAATGCGGAGATGTTTGTGAGGAAAGCGAAACAAGCGATGGACGGATGGGGGATAGAGCATAGAGAGAAATAAAGTAAGGCGTGAAAAGGAGGCAGAAGCGTTGACTAAAGATTAAACTTAAAAGCAAAAGGCCAGGAAACAGATGGAAAGATGGCGGGAAGGAGCAAGCGAAGGATCCAAATCCTAAACACCAAAATAACAGACGCATAAAACAATTTATATACAATATTTCTTATATACTTTCGGGGTCACTTCATATATTATTTTGGGTGTCCAGGACTTGAATAGTTAGTTAGTTAGAAAGGAAAACACTTTGGCCAGTTCTTGAACGCCGAGATCCTTCTAGAGATCCTTTGATCTATTTCAACTGATCGCAATAAAACATTTTCGGGGTTTCCTAAGCGGGTGGTGCTTCGGCAGCAGGTGCTGCTTCGGCTGGTGGTGCCTCGGCGGCTGGTGGTGGTGCGGCGGCATCCGCTGGTGGAGCAGCTTCTCCCTCAGCCGCTGGAGGTGGTGCTGGTGCGGCGGCATCTCCCTCTGCAGCGGGAGCCGCTGGTGAAGCAGCTTCACCCTCAGCGGGAGCAGCTGCTGGTGGGGCTCCCTCTGCTGGTGGTGCTCCCTCCGCTGGAGGAGCTCCCTCCGCTGGCGGTGCACCCTCTGCCGGTGGTGCTCCCTCTGCCGGCGGTGCACCCTCGGCGGGAGCTGCCTCCGCCGGAGGAGCGAAGTCACCCGGCTCGGCGTTCTTCACGTACGGCACCTCGGCTCCCTCCGGTGGCAGATCGATGGAATACTCAAATGGTGGCGGCGGTGGTGGCGTGGGAATCCTGACGGGCTCGGCCGGAGCAGCCTCGACTCCCTCGGCAGCCGGTGCGCCTGGCTCGCCGGGAGCGGCACCCTCGGCCGGCTCACCACCCTCACCGCCCTCAGGGGCACCTTCTTCGCCACGGGCGGCCAGCTCCTCGGCCCTGGCCTTCGCCTCGGCCTCCGCCAAGGCAGCGGCCTCCAGGGCGGCCTTCTCCTCCTCGGTGAGCTCCGGAGTGGGCGGCTTGGGGTAGCGCTCGTTGTAGAACGGCGGCATGCCCATCATCTCCACGAAGGTCCAGTCCAGCTGGTCGCCGATAAGCGCGTAGTGCTCGATCTCTTTGATCATCTCGTCTGGGGGGAGTGCGGCGGATGGGTGTGGTTGTGATGTAGTGGTGTTTGGTGGTGGTTGTTCGAGGGTTAGAAAGTCGGATTAGAGCAGATTCGAGAGAGAGAGGCACACAGAGAGAGAGAGAGAGCAGGGCGATAGAACCTCCAGTGGTGGCCAAATGAGGGCGGGGCACACAGAATCGGCGGAGAAGGGAGAACACTAAACGCTGGACGATGGATCGATGGGCAACGATGGAGTACCGTTATTTTGTTTACGTTTTTCGAAAAAATACTTTATTTGTGCAATTGCAGCAGCATGGTATGTATTGTATAGTATATGTATTGTATAGGTATATATTAAAGTATAAATAATTAATTTATGTAAATCGTAAATAGATCGAATTAGAATTTTTAATGCCATTTCTTGTTGCAGCATTCTTCTCAGTTGGGGGATTATGGGTTTTCACGGAATTTAGAAGATTGGTTAGTAGTTGTGGGGATTTTCATTCGTTTTATTTTTGAAATAAAATATATCTGAAACGGAGACACCGGGTACCGGTTACCGATTTGTAATTGGAATGATGTGCACAAGTTGTCTTTTGTCTTTCTCTTGGAATCTCTATCGAAAGAGTTGGATTAGTTTGTGTTGGTAGGCGTGGCGGCAACTTAAAAGTAGGCAAATATTACACAACGTTTTGCAAACACGACAATTTGTTTAAATATGTATAAACAAGGTAAACATTAGCATATTATTAATACAGTTAAGCTGGCGACAAAATACAAAGTTTTAGCATAGAATTTACTCTTTAAATATAAATAACAGCGATTGTTTGTCTCTCTATTTAATACACGTAAACTAAAAAGAAGGCGGCAATGCGTGTTTTGTCCAAGTTGTCATCTCGTCAAATACAAAAGTACAAGTATATAGTTTAAGGTTTTAAATTAAAACAAAACAAGATAAGGGGTAGCAAAAGCAAGTGTAAAATCAAAGATAATAATCAAAATTTTGATTCAACCAAATAGTATTGCAACAGAGTTTTGTAAAATGGCGCTAGCTGCCAGTCAACCGATCGAATTTCGCGAATTGAAATCGAAAATGGTTATCGTTAATTGGAATCGTAAATTGGAATGCGCTTGCTACACAAGAATGTTTTGCTTTAGTTTAGTTTCGGCCCTTTCATCTGCTTTTCATTGAGTTTATGTTTATGTTTAGAGTGTTTTTAACGCTATATTTTGATTAACTCTCCCGTTGCTTGGCGTTCGAAGATGGCTTTCGCATCCGCATGGAAGACACTTGGCGTCCTTGGATTTGGATTGTCTCGTGTGGGTGGTGGGCGTGGCGTGGGTGTGTGGAGATGTGTGTTCTCTAGTATTTAATTATGGAAAGCGCCAGTTTTGTGTGCGTGGGTGTTTTTCTTTTTTTGTTTGACGTCAAAGCAGGCAGTTTAGTTAATTTACATAAGCAAATTAGACGATTACATGTTCTGTATGTCATGTAAGGTGGCCTCCATTTCCTCCTGCAGCAGTTTGTTCTTGCCCCGCACGTTGAGCAGGTCATCTATGGTTTTCAGTCATTTTTGGTTTTTATGTTTTGTTGGTTGGCGGTGGGCAGGGGCATGCAACAATTGGTTTAGCAAGCAGCGCAAGTTGTATTTTGTTAAGCACAATAACAACAACAACAAAATTAAATATGAAAAGTAAACAATAAAAATGTCAAATTAAAAACGTTGCATTAAAAGGTAATAAATAAAATCGAGGTACATAAAATTCACTAGATAACAATTGGTACTGGATTTGGAATAAGGAATATAATTTTGATCCTACTTATAGAAAAATATTGCATCAATTTATAATAAACAACAAAAAGTGAACTATTTTTTGTACTTTAATTTGAAATACTGCTACATAGTTTTCAGAAATGAAGTATTTCTGCATCTAGTTATCCTACATTCTCAGTAAAATTCGAACAAAATCTTTGACGGACATACCTTCGAGCCTGTCGACTTCCTTCTGCAACTTCTGAACGGAACGTTCAGCAAACTCAGCACGAGCCTCAGCCTTTTGGGAAAAACGGGGAAAAGGTAAAGTTATCAATTAGTAAACTAGTTAAAAAGTACTTTACATTAAGCAGCAAAAAGTGGCTACTGCAGCCGGTCAGAATTAAAGGAAAAACAATTGCATTCCCTTCATCATTTGCCTTACTGCAGAATTTAAATTCTGAGAGGCAAACTTTAAGTGTGTCCAATGCCAACATTCAGAATTTAAATTCAACCATTATTTTACTAAGCCAAGAAGCTTCCCAAATATGCTACCAAAACCAGCAGAAAAACTTACAAAGTAATATGTGTGCGACAAATGAAAATTAGTCAGTAAAAATGACAAATGAAATTGGTTAACAAGAATATATAGTACAGATTAACAAAACATTCAAATAAACAACTTAAAAACTAGTAGTTCGGCTTTATTAAACTAGAATGCTTACAAACTGCTGACGCTTTTGTGTTCAGGGTTTTTAGACAAAACCTAAATCAGACAAATTAAATGTCATTAAGGGAATGATAAGAACAACGATTACTGGTTGGAGGCTACGCAGTCACTGCATAAAACAGAAAATGCTGTTAAGATCGCAATTCGACGGAATCTATATATTCTCTACGCCCATATTTATCTGAGGCGACTTACAGCTTCTACATTTAATTTGAACTGTATGAGCTCCTGTTCGTAATATTTCTGATTGACGCGTGCCTAGACGTCGAGGGAAATACAACAAATTATAGTTTATAGATTGGCAATAGATCAATTTCACGTACATTGGGTGGCTGTGTGTGCGTGTGTGTGTTTGTTGTTGCATGGATGTGAGTTTTTTTTAAAGGGGTTTGTATTTAAAATATCTACCGAAATAATTATCTCATTGAATTAATTTTGATCGTCTACATAGCGAGAATTAATTCTTTCGCCACTAATCAAGCAGTAGCTTCAGGAGTGGTAAATTTTAGATGGAAAACTATTCATTTTCAATGGGTTGTTTGTTTGTTTTACTGGTTTTTCTCACTTGCAATCAATGCACAAAAAGTTGTTTTCAATTTTGAACAAATGTACACACACACGTCTTATGCGAGAGAATGGTGGTTCACAAATACTTGCCCAATGTTGTACGCTCTATAAGGATATCGATCTATTGATCTAAAACTCATAACTTGCGGTTTTCCGTTTGCATTTGCTGTATTTTCACAAAAGCGTTTTTGGTTTTCACATAAAAGAAAATATTAAATGTCGAATTGACGAATATGTACAGTAAATTTAAAATTGAGAATAACGATTTGTGCAATTCAATATTTTCTTTTTTGTTTCGTTTTGTTTTGTTTTTAGTGCTTAGATTAGATTAGCAGCGGATTGACCAACACCAGAGATTTACCGAGACCACAGCTTATACTTAGGACATAGTTCGACTCTTTCGTAATACCTCTTTCAGAGAATGATCCAATACTTTGATTTGCGTCTCAAAGGTCTCCTCTTTTTGTGTGGCCTACGGGCAGTTTTGGTGTTCGGTGTTGGCAAGCATTTCGGGTTTGTTATAAGCAATATCAAACAAAAATGTATAAAGTATTCATGCAAAATCAAATCAGGTTGTATAGGTGGCAAACATCCAGCAGGTGCGCAAAATATGTTTGGGTATTGGCATTTTAGGCGGCAACATTTTAACAAACAATATATGAAAATAAGAAAGAATATAAAATCAAAATTAGTATAAGTAGGGCACATAATTATTAAGCTTGATCTGTAAAATTATATCATGTCGGTAGACATTTTAAAGGAATTAGTTGAAGAGTCGCCTCTTTTGGGACGGGGAATTGTCTTGAGTACCCCTCCGTATTGGGCATTAAGTTAAACAAACAAAACGAGAAACAACAACAAAAGATATGTATATATATATATTCGCTGGTTTGGAGACTCTGTTCTCATGGACTTCGAGCTGGGAAGCTCTCTTTGCTTTTTGGCCACTTTTTGGTTCGCAGAATGGCTTATTCTGTTCGTATCTACCTCCTTTAGACGAGTGTTCAGGGTCTTGATCTGGTTCTTGTACTCCTCCTCACGTTGGTTGGCCTATATTTATCGTTGTTGTTTGTTCATTTCGTGGGGATATTTTCGGGTGTGGGAGTAGGGGGTTCAATATAAATATTTAAGAATGGTTCGTTAAATATATATTCGATGGAAATATAAGAAAATAATTGGTTGTCCTATGGAGATACTGACCTTCTCCTCAGAGACTTCCAGGGACTTCAGGTTGTTGCCAACCACGCGCAGCTCCTCCTCAAGCTCCACGATTTTGCTGTTGGCACGCAGAGAAAAGTTGATAATTAAACAGTTGTCAAATAAATAGACTGGGAATGAAGAAGAATATCACAACTCATGCAATTGTCAAATATAATGGTTTCTTTTCAAGCGCAATTTATGCCCGAGCAATGCCAAAAAAAAAGACGGTTGACCAACTCCAAGTTGACAACACTTCACTTTCGAAAAAGATCTTGTGACTGCCGCCAATGGAGGCGATGAGTTAAGTTTCAGCTTCGAGTTGGCCAAGAGACGAGAAACCGTCAAATCATGATGCGAAGGTCTGCCAAATATTTTTGTAATAATAACAATTGTTTTTGGACCGGCAACTCATAAGATTTCACTTTTTATGCCCCATCCTGAGGCATTTATTTTTTGCCCATTCGGTTATTTATAACTATGTAAATTATAAATAAATATTTGTGTATCTCGGGCTTAAAATGCGCGAACAAAGAAACCAACGTGGATTTTATATATTTAACGAAATGCAGTTAGTAGACAAAAAGACATCGAATGAAAGGCTGCTTTTTTTGGGGGGCTTGGCAGTGGACAAACCTTTCGCTGAGCTCGACCTTCTCCTCGGAACGCTCCAGATCCTGTTCCATGAGCACGAGTTTTCTGGCAACCTTTTTTGTTTGGCAGGCAGTAGGCGTGGCATGGCGGGGGCGTGGCAAGGTGTTAGCATTGTGTTAAGTACACACACATTTTGGTTTTTTGTTTTTGTTTGGCATGGGTTATGGATGGCATAGAAAAAAGGTTTTCAAGATTAGTTTCGTGTCTTGGCTAAAGCTGCAGATTGGCAAAAAATGTGAATACTGTGCTGGTTTCATTCATGACTCATGGCCACAGAGCAGTTGGGCCAAAAAGGTGAAAATTCTCTGTCAAGTCTTGTCTCTTTTTTTCATGCGCTGTGCAACGTGTTCAGCGATCTTGGGGAGCGAACTGAAAAGCGCAATGACCTGCACCTTGAGGTCAATGCAGCTTTAATTCCCACCTTCCACGGAGGTCACCGCGCCTTCAAGCAGAACCCTCTGTGGTTTAGTTTGCTTTTAGGAGTCTTTTCACCTTTTTGCTTTATGCTGCTCCATGTTCGTGCTTCTGGTTGATCTAAACTATTTAAGACAGTTCATGCTTTTATCATACAAAACATTAGATTGTTTGACTGGGATATTCACATTTTTAACCAAGCAATAAAAACATATTGGCAAAAGCTAGCTAGCTAGAAAAACAAGAACAAATTCAAAATCAAATCAAAATTTTAACTCAACGGGGGGAATGCAAATTTGGTTTTAAATGAGGTTAGGTTGTTGCGGCAGTTTCAACATTGTTTTCGTTATTAGGCACAACAAACGGGCTGCGAACAAATTGAACAATATATATCTTTAAGTCTGGACTTATAACGTACTTTTCACCCTGCTCGGCACGCTCTTCGGCACGCTCCAAGTCAGCTTCAACCATGGCCAATTTACGGGCAACCTTTTCTCATACAATATTACATATCGATTCATTGATTGATTGTCGATTGATTGATATAATACAAGGAACGTCGGGTGTACAGGAGAACATATAGAAAATGTATTAAATTTCATGTTTTTTACACAGATTTCGTTTAGTGAGATAACAGAAAAGCATTAAATGATGATTTTCAGTAGATTATTGAGGTTTTTATGTTTTTCGTTGTATGGTCTTGTGTAGTGCCTTAGCATAATTTAGTACAAAGAAACAGTTTGTGTAGTTTATTGTTATTTTGTGGTTTTATTATTGTTTGTTCCTCCAAAACTTGTGCTTATCGTGTGAGTTTTTGATGTCTAGCTTAACCATACGATCCTTTGTTGTACTCAAGTATATATATAAATACAAAATAAAACCTATTTTGGAGTGGATTTAATACTTGTGAGTTTCAAAATTGTTGTACATTTCCTTTTTTCTAGAGATCAAATACCCCCCTACTATTAAATGCTTTTAGGAATATATTTTCCCTAACTTAGGCCCATATTAGAAGAAAATTTACATCCAATTAACTATTTTATTTTATTGTAATTTAAAGTATTGTCTCTAAAAGCAAAGTTTTGCCAACGGAAACTTAAAGCATAGAATATTAAACTAGAGCAATGCCATTTTTAAATCTTTACCTGATCTATAAACTTTTATCTCTTCCAGAAACGAGCTATCATAAATATTCTTACCAAAAATTCTACAAACATGGTAAATTGGCTTAGAACCATAATCGGCTTTATTGCTTTTTAATTTCAATTGTCATGCTGACCAAAATTAAGTTTAATTTCCGTTTAGCATAACGCTAAACTTCTTTCAGTGATGAGCCCCAAAGATTCCAGTGAATCATGAAAGCCAATGCAGCAATCATGGCCAGGTGACTAAAGTGTCGTCAGATCTTTTAGCTCGAAAAGATAACGATGCAGATGGAAATACGAGTGCTCCACGCACATTTCTCGCCACTGACTCACGGCACTTTCCATCGGCCATCGTCTGAGGGTCAGTCAAGTGATCCGCTCTCGCTCGATTCATCATCGATGGTTTTGGCAACCAATATTTTAGCCGCTTATGTCATGGCCCCCTGTTTGAGGCTCCGCCGTGCGAAATCTACTCGAATCCAGTGTCCCCATTGGGGAGCGGCCCTCTCTTATCGGCCCCAGTTAAACAAACTCTTTTCCCTCTCTTTCCCATTTATGGGTTCCATTTTGTAGCTCCATGCTTTCGCACTTTTCATACAATAGCTGCCTTCGCCTTAGTTTCTGCGAAAAGATAAGGAAGCAAAGGCGAAAACAATACTGAGGTAAGGCAGCTTATCTGCCAATGCAGTTTATCAGTTGGTTTATTTCTTCGATCTGATTGACGTGCAAAACACGTAAGCATTCAGGCAAATTCTGGAGTGGTAAAAGTTCACTTTACTATTATGAGAAATAGCTAAAGATCATTTACCTCTGAGTCTGGCATGACATAGTATAATCATCGGAAAAGCCTTAGCTTTAGTCTCTGCTGTGTGATATTTATGTTGATTTAATTAAAAACTAGATTTAAGCTTCTATAAACTCATCTCTCGAACTGAAATACCTAAGATTTCCTTAAAAACATTCTTATCTTTTTTCCAATAACCTCAAACAGATAAACTCAGCTTCAGTCCCCAAATCTCAGCTATCAATGTACAACAATAAGAAGTAAACAAGTAATATCTGCTCCCTTTCATTGGTCAATAATTTCAAGTTAGTTTTATGCTGCAATTATATATTTGTATTTATATATTTTGTTTGTATATAATATGTTATATAAACATTAATTTGCAAAATATTAATCCAAAATTAGACATTTTCTTGGGTTATTTTATAAATTTAAGGGTGTCGCATTATGCATATAGCGTGAGTATAAATTACATTTTCTTTACAGATACGTAAATCGAATGGAAATAAACAAACAAGTCAAGAAACTAACCCAATTACACTTTAGTTTAAACAATCAATTCAGTGGCAATATGCTTTTCAAGCTTTTTCACATGGAAGAGCCTTGAGTTCTTTTAGTAGAGTACTTCGTATGGACATCGTATGGACCGCTTAACATTAACTTTACATAATGCTACTGGTTTTTACAAATTAAAAGACACACACGAGGAGAATCCTCCGTTCTCAGTGGGGATTTGTTCACACGTTACAATCAAAATTTCATTGGATTGGATTTACATTGTATGTACATCGACTAATACATCATAATCAACATTATCATCATCGTCTATACACGTATTTATATATATTGCATATTGTCAGGCGGGCGGGCGGTGCATGATCTAGGTCTAGATCTAAGCTAAAGCTGCCCTTAAGCATCATTCGTAATCATCGTGGTAAGCACAAGTTTTGCATCAACACTCTGGCTGATTCCTGTGCCAAGTTTAAGGGGTGCAATGAACCCTTAATCAATCAATTAATCAATTCAATTTGATATTGCATTGACAAAGGAACCAGATCAGGTGTCGTTGTTAGGATTGTTGTTGTGTTCGTGGCTTGTGGAGGACAAGGTGGAAGTCTCTTCACCAACAGCAGCAGATGCAATAGTTCTGGATGCGTTATTGTTGTTGGTGCCACCAATAGCGCTGTCATTACATAACTCTGGTTTACTGATATTCATGTTGGTATTGTTACTGTTACTGTTGTTGTTATTGTTGCTTAGCTTAATAGAAGACAAATTGGTTTTTAGCTGCACCTCATCGTATTTCTTGTCAGCCTCCTCAGCAAGGAAACGCGCTTCCTTCAGCTGATTCTCAAGAGCGTCCATGCGTTCTTCATCGGCAAGGGCGCGGTTCTCAAGAATCTTGCGAGCACTATACGATATAGTGTATTCGAATGGATCCCATTCGGTTGCGAAGACCATGCCCATAGAAGACAGTGACGAAGAAGTGGTTAGCGATGATTAGCCGTTCCCCGGTGGAATTGCAGTTGGTACAGCCGAAAATGTGTCAAGTGAGTCATTCGACGTCATCATCCACATCGTTGAGTGTTCAGTGTTGTTGTTGTTGTTGATGATGTTGTTGTTGTAGTTGTTGTTGCAATTGTTATGACAAACATATGTTTTACACAAACATTCACAGATAGAGATAGATTTTGGTTTGTGAATATTGAAGTTTGATAGTAGTTGTCGTGGTTGTTGTTGTAAAAAGAGACAGAAATTTGTTGTTGCCAGTTGAGTTAACAATTCGGATTTTTTCTACTTAATTAACATGTATTTTACAGGGGAGAGGGAGACTAAGGAAGACGAAAGGGGTTAAGCAAGAAGCTTAAACAATGTCTGGCTTCTCCAAAGCGAAATTGATATGCACCCAATTTGGTGTCACTAATTTTAGACAACAGTTTCAACGTCTAGACTTCATCCAGATCAGAACCAAACATTTTTTAAGCTTCGCCTCATTACAAACATTGGGGAATCTTTTCTTCTTTTTTAGACATAATTATTTAACAGCCATTTGACTAATAGACTACCATAAGCTTATGTAGGACATGCTTTCCTATACATAATTTTACAATTTTTTTACAAGAATGTGGAGCATCCATGGTGTTCCAGTTCCAGCGGCGGGTCGACATCTTTGAACTTGGCAAACTAAATGCTGTTCACAGAAATTCTTACAAACTAACTTAAATACATCACCATTATAAAAGTGACCACTATTATAACGACAGTTATAGTCGTTGTTGCAGAATTGGTTAGGAAGAAGTTAGAAAAAAGAGAGCGCAGATAGATAGACAGACCCAAAACCTAATTAGTAACGCAAATGTTGACCAAGTGAACCCAACCTCAAGGGGAAGAACCTAATAACCCTAGTGCCCTAAAACGGAGACCAATTTCCGCAAATGAATATATGTAGAATATACCTCTTCATATTTCTTATCGGCTTCTTCTGCAATTAATTTTGCTTGTGCTAATTGGTTCTCCAAAAGAGCTACTTTGTCATCTTCCATATTTGTGCGATTCTCAAGCGCTTTTCGTATCCTGAATTTGTCGCAGCAATGCGAAATGATATATAGATACGATTAAAGCAATATTTATAAATGTAACTTAGATAGATCTGTAGTAGTTGCTGTAATCTTAAGAATTATTTTACATATTTTGGGTACAGTGGGGTATAGATTGGGATGGTGGGACATTTAAATATATAGTGGAAACGTGGTACTAACCGTTCGCTCTCATCGGCGGCCTGAGAGGCTTCCGACAGCTTGGCTGTGGCGGAGCCCAGACGCTCCTCAGAGCGCTCCAAGTCTTCTTCGAGCAACTGGATGCGACGGTTCAGAGCGGCAACCTCGGATTCGGCCTATAAGACAAACGTTCGATGGTCGAAAGAACCAGATATAGCATTTCCATTCGATGGAACTTATAGCTAAAGTCTTAATGTTTAATTTACTTCTTACGGAACTAAACTTAAATGTTTTTTAGGCAAGAAATACACATAAATATTGGCTACTTTTGGTTTGGAAAAACTTGACTGCTATATAATAACACTCCTGCTTTTGCGCTCTCTTTAACCCCCTTTAGAGTACTTAAGTTGTAAACCTAATTTGTTCCCTACAAAGTCGACCATAAGTAACTCCGGTTTTCCGTGGCTTCCACCTGTAAAGAAAACTTCCTTTTTGCCACCACGTTGTAGTTGTTGTTGTTGTTGAAGCAAGGTCAAACAAACCCCAAAACTGCCCTAAAGCAGGCAACAAAATGCTTGCATGTTATTTTGGCCAATCGAAATCGATACTGGCCATCAAAGTTGAACAAAAGTTCATCAACACCGCTACCTGATATGGCAACTAAATTCAAAAAAGAAGCCAATACAAGGTTCCTGCCCCATGACGTCATCGATTGAGTTAAACCGAGAGTTTTCCCACCGTCTAGTCTAGAATCGCATGTCCATTAAAGAATGGGAAATATTCGATGCTATATGGCCTTATAGAGGCCCAATGCACATTAAACGATGAAAATCGAAAACAGCGCACACAAAGCACACGCCCAAAAATGGTGAAAAAAGTATATGAAAATAAAATCGAATCGAACTTAGAATCGAAAACAGCTAAAAAGCAATTGGACAAGGCAGTCCGGTGCCAGTTCCAAGTGCCATGTCCAAGTCCATGTCCAAAACGATGTCCGATGACCGATATGGTGCCGGGCATAGTGATAGAGATGGATATAGAGCTACTGATATGTACATGGAATGACTAACTGATCAACTGAGCAATGGAACAACTGACCAACTGACGACGCCTAGAACCAAACGAACTATGCGAGTGCGGGTCGTAAAAGTATCGTGTGATTATGAATTGGAACCAACCGTGTGGCTTACGTCATCGTACGAAATACACACACACGTTGAGCGATAAAAAGCATTTCGAATTGGGGGAGCAGGCAGCGCAGCTTTCCAAACACGAAAGCCACACAACAAAACCGCCGATGAGGCCCAAGACCAAGCGACAACGAAAAATGCCAAAAAATCAAATAAATACTAGTTGAAAAGATGGAAGTTTTTATACCCTTACAAATATTTCTTAAAAACGCCTTTTACCTTCAACAACAGGTATCGTATTTTACAAAATAATTACAAATTATAAAGTCAACACTTATTGTTTTAGGTAAAAATATTCTCAACAACAACAAAGCCAGGTATGTTTGGTTCAGTAGTTTCTATAGCAACTAAATGACAATGTCAGTCAATAAACAACAAATTTAAAAAACTTCGTATAGCAAGATTAAAATGTTCTTTAAATTTATCGTAATAAGGATTTAAGACTTTATAAATAATATTGTCTTCTTGCCCATACAAACTGATAGTGCCCCGTTCAAGGGTATTCTCAAACAAACCCGAAACAACGAAGAGCAAGGCAAAGAAGTTGAAGATTGGATTCCAGTTGGGTTTCGTTTTGTAGCGGGAGTCTCTCGTCATCTCCCTCTCGCTGACTCTTTTTTCGAACTCATTAACAAAACGTATTGAAGATTAAACGCTTTATTAACGGGCTCCAAAACGGGGAAGGGGCCGGGTAGAAATCAGTGGGCAAAGAAAAGCGGCGACAGAACGAACACGTTTCAAGGGGAGAGAGAGAGAGAGATGGGGATAGTAGAGTGTGCTGGCCCCCAATTGTTGTGGAATGTATGAAAAATGACCGAAAAAAAAAAAAAAATTATTTAAATGCCGAAAGAAACTCTCCATAAAACTCAATGCAAAACTGTGGCCGAGAAATTATACCAGAAATTGTTGACGGCTTAGTCACACACACCTTGAATTTTACGTGGTTTTTTGTTTTTCCTTCTTTTTTTGTTTTATTACCCTGGCAACCAAAAAAAACAGCAACAACAAAAAAACTTATTGGAGCGGTACACGTAGGGCGTGTTTTCATTGTGATGATGCATTTTTAATTATGAACCGAAAAATAAGCCATGAAAATGTAAAACACTGTTTAAAAAGACGATGCTCTCAAGCATAAAATATTTTTTCTGAAAAATTCCGTTTGGTAGGTGGGGGAAGGGGGTAGGGCGAAGCGATGGCGTCATATGCTGTAATCTCCGAATTACGAAACTGGCAAGAGGCAAAGCACACAAATCAAAACCAATTTGTCACAATGCGCGCATTGAAATTATCAACGTTCAATTGCACGAGGGGAAAATGAAGGAAGAAAAATAAGAGGGAAAACGCGCGGCAGAGTGACATTGAAAGCATTGTATGGAAATCCAGAATAAAGCAAATTATGTTTTGTTTTAGCTTTTTAGGGGAAGTGAAACGTCAATCACTTGCTAGCAGCGTGGAAAACAGTCAATGAGGGAGTGAAATCAGACTTTAGAATCTTTTGAAATTGAAAATCAATTTGAATTGAAATCGGCAATTTACAGTGGAACTTGCTCAAGGCAAACGTCACTTTAATGAGTAATATTTATTGTTTACCAACAATTTAATGGTTTATTGTGTACAAAAAAAAAGTTTGGAGGATTTAAAATTTTATAGTGAAACGGTTTCAGACATGTAGTTATAAACATTTTGATATTGTTCCCTTAGCAATGACGTCATACGCACACAAACAAAACACAAAGGAACCCTCGCGCACTCAATTGTCTAATTAGAATTGAATTAGGAACATGACAGAGTCAACGGGCAAAAGCTAGAAAGGAATTAGGAGAATTAAACCACTTATTGATGGCCGTAGCGTAAAAATCATAATTAATCGAATTTAGAACACCGCTAGCTAAACGATGTGGCTTCTTCTTTGCCGGACTTAAAGCCGGTTTTTTTGTTTTGTCGCTGAGAAAGCAGAAAGCAAGCTAAAAAGACCAAGCGAATCGCATCGCTCAATTTACAAAAGATTTCTTTCTCCTTTTTTTTTAGCCTTATGTAAATTGAAATGGTTGTGTGTGGTGCTTTATGCTAATGTTTACGTGTGTGCTGTCAAGCGGGAGATAGATAACACACACAATTCGAAAGGTGAATGAATTCGGTCAGCGATAAGAACAGTTAGCCCAAAAAAAGGCCAAGAGGGACCGGAAACACCCTGTATCTGAGCCTGAAAATTCGTTCATCACAAAAAGAACAACAGCAAGACTGGAAAAACCACCGAGGGAAAGAGAAAAACTAGTTAAAAGAGCACAAAAAGCCAGCGGGAGCGCTTAAAGAAGAGAACGCGCTGACTTCGGACACTTATGTTGTCCCGCTCCCACACACGCAACACAGTGGGCAACAAAAAAGTATGGCTGAGAGAAAGAGGGGGCGAAAGAAATGCTGGACTATCTTTTTTTCATTTAGGTAGGATTTATGCAAAATTCACAAGACAGGTCACGCAGTTGTTTGCCCAAACCAAAAATTAGCCAGGAAAATTAGCTAGGAAAAACTACTGATTCTCTCTTACTTCTTCGCGGCGCACTACTTCCAATTGCAGGCGTTTGTGGAACTCCTCGCACTCGTCTTTGTACTTTTCCATCTCCTCTTTGGTCTGGCGCATCTTCTTCTTCAAAACGTCCAAGAGAGTGCCTTGTGGAATGCTGGTCGTCATTTTTGTGGTTTTTTCTATTTCTTTGCGGCAGAGGTTGTGGGTGTTTTTTTTTACTGACAAAGTGCTTTTGGTGGCACTTGAGCTCGTTTTTACAGAATAAGAAGCACTCTGCCTTTTCGGACAGCACACCAAATTTAATTTACAATTTGGAATTTCGAGGAACGGAACAATACACACACACGAACGATCTGAAGACACACACACAAATACAGTGAACCACCGGTTTTTCTATTGCTATTACTGCTTTTTCTCTGGCTTGGATTTGATTTAAACGTGCAGTTTCAACGATTGGCAAAACTCGCAAAGGAACACTTTAGAGTGGAATAAGATGCGTTTAAATATTTAATATTGGCTATTTGGTGGCAAAACACACAATTGAGAGAGACAAACGACGCGACTGCGACGAGTACGTAACTGGAAATGAATCCACCAAATCGCGAGTCGAAGCGGCGGTGGTGGTTCGTGCGAGCGAGACAACTACTAAGGCAACTGCCTTCCAGTCTGTCTGCCTCGCCTAAAACGGTGCGACAGTGTGTGTGTGCGGCTGGAAAACCTGTTAAAAGCCGCTAAAATTCTGTCCATGTCGACATTGTTGTTGTTTTGGCATTAATTAGTGAAGACATATTTCGGATTTTTGTCATTTCCAGGCAAATAATATTATGCAAAAATCGGACATGTAAAATAGTTGAAGATGAGTAAGCAGGTAACAAGCTTTGCAGGTGTATGCGTGTGTTTGCCAACGCAACGAAACCTCCACCTCTCCCCACAAACACCCTCACCTAATTGCTTCCACCACGGAAAACGGAAAACACAATGCCGGCGCTTTATCACGCTTATCAGCAAACAACGTAAGCCACGCAACGTAATGACTAATCGTCATGTTAACCGCTTTTTTCGAACTCAACAACCTGTAGCTATTGGTTCTATATAATAATTCCCCGACTTTCCGGCGATGGCGTAATTGTTTTGATAATGCAAACAATGAGCGCTTGTCCATTTTTAGCCGGGCGACATTGAAGAGAAATTAAAAGTGAATAAAGAGGGAAGGTCGCCAGAGTATCGGCGTTTAATAATTAATTTGTTAGCCAATTTTGGCAAGTCGAGCTTGGCCGCATGTTTTATGCTTTGTTCAAATATGGCCAGGTTTTCCTTTTAGTTTTTCAAACTGTTGCCTTTTTCAGCGCACCGAGAGTTAAGAAAAAATAGAAAAAAAAAACTAATAGCATTTAGCGGTCTTATCGGGCGCTCTCTTTCTGCCACCCGCACATCAGAAAGAGAGGGGAACAAGAGAGCAACAGGTGGTCGGGGAGTACCGTTAGGCATTCCAGCAATTGCGTAACTAATTAAACAATTGCCTGCAATTAAGTAAATATATTTGCCCAAATTAATGGAGTACTTTAAACAGAGGAATGCTAAAATCAGTGAACAAATATTTTTACGAATTTTAGTTTCTATTTTTAAAGAACATTTATAAATTACCAACCTCAAACAATCGTATAATTGAGGACGTGATTATTAGCCAAAATCGATTTAAGACAATCAGTATAGTGAAAGGTGAGAGAAATAACTGGTGTGAACCAAGTAGGTCAAGATTTACAAAAGCAAAATCTTTACCTAGGGCCATAAGAAACTAACGAGGGCCGCACAAAGACCCTGAGGCCAGTCAAGGGTTAAGGCACAACTAGAAAATCGCGAAAAGACGAAGACGACGACGTAATCGCTTTGCAATGCAAAAAGATACACAAAGCTAAGGGGCAAAAACAAATTGGAGCAATCGGAGAACCTAACCAAACTTTGGATTACCCTCTCTCAAGAACAAGAACAACAACGAGGTGGCTTCTTCGCTTGATTAGAAAATATGTAGAAGGTAGAGAAAGGTGATTAGTAAGGAAAATTCCAACCAACTTCAGCACTCAACCACTAATTACCCTTTTGAGTTGTGTGTTCATGATGTTGTGCAGCTCGTTCCGGATGATGTTGAACTTCATCATGGTGTCCGAACTGAAGATGGATCTGCCGAAGGCCAATCCCGGGTAATCCGCACAGCGTCCTTTGTTCCTTCGGGCTTCCCGCTCCGCCACAATTTCCGCCGCCTCGCTGGTGCAACGCAGCTTGGACCACTCTGCCGACTGGTTGTCATCATCATCCGCCAGAGCGATTCCCTCATCGATTGCCCCGGCACTAATGTCCGTGGCCAAGCTATCGCTGCTCAGCTCCATTGCATTGGACCGCTTGCTGCGCTCCTTTTTGCCCGAGGACTTCTTCTTCCGATCGGATTTCTCCGATTTGTCAGATTTCTCTGACTTTTCACCCTTCTCCCGCTTCTTTTTCTTGGTTTTGGAGGTTGAGGTAGTGGCTGCTGGAGGAGCAGATTCTTCACCTTTCGGAGCTGTCGCTGGGTTGCTGGCACCCTCGTCCTGAACGCTGCTCTCATCCGTGGGCGTGGGACTGTTGCTGCCCAGGGAATTGGTCACCGATTCGCTCAGGGGCAGGCTTAAAGTGCTCCTGCTGGGGGGCAGCCCCTCCTCCTGCTGCTGTGGCTGCTCTTCCTCCGGTTGCGTTTCTCCCCTGAGATTAGAGAGGGCGCTTTTGGAGTCACCACGGTAAAGGGCGGCCAGAATCTCCTGGACATTGGGCACATTAGGACGCCGGGTGCCGGAGAAACGCGGATGGTGCTGGTGGCCACGTCGCTTCAGCGAGGCGGGAACTAGACTGATATTGCTGGCTGTTTGGCTGCCAGTGCCACTGGTGCTCGAGTCGTCGTGCTCCATGTCGGAATCGCTCCAGAAATCGCTGGCCGGCGAGGAACTCTGGCTGCTACTCCGCTGCAGAGTCTCGAACCTTTCGTACAACTGGGCTAAATAGAGTTCGGCCTCCTCATCGCAATAGTAGAGCAGGTCGTCCAGCAGATTCAACTGCTCCTCGATGGAACACCAGCGGGATGACAAGCCCGAAGATTCCGATGCCGCCCGCCGTTTGCAAGTGTTCCTGGCGGCTACTCCTCGCTTTTTTTGCTGCTGCTTTTGTTTTTCCCTCGTCTTATCACTTTTCAACAAATGTTTCTGCTTTGGTTTCGGTTTGGCAACTGTTTTGCCAGTCTGCGGCAGCACTTGTGCTTTTTCTGAAAAGTTAAAGTTTGTTTTTCTTCGATTGGAAATGTTTAAAGGGCAGTCATCCGATGTTGACCACTTTCTCAAATTTGTATTTAAGGTATATTTACAAACGGTTCTAATTTTGTTCAGCAATATTTACAAAGTCCAATTATTTACGTTATTTTTCGATAATTTGTGCCCAAAATTGCTACGTGAATTTTTTACTGGAACCAGCTGTTGCTGGATTGGGCAGTGTGACCAGTTTGTCATATTCCGAAAATACGAATTTGGCTGGAAGGGCTGGCAGCGGTGCATTTCTTTGTGCTAATGGAAAAATCCAATCAGAAGAAATTAGGAAAATGGCACCGTTCCCACTCTTTCCAGTAAAATTGTTCTTCCGCGTTGCCAACTAAACGCGCACTGTGCCAAGCTGACTGCTTGGTCATTCGCCATTTTTAGTGCGCGTGTAGAAAGCAATTTAAATTTTGCATTTAAGAAAATTAAATGAAATGTAGTGTTTACGCTTTTGCTGCGGCTGTTTATCTTGACCGCCGCTGGTCAGTAAATGCCGATGAGCTCGCTTGATTTGATGGGCCAACGATTGCCGGCGCGCTGCGTTGCCAACGAATTTGATTTTCGGACCCTGTTTAACGGTAATGCTGTTGCCGGTTAACGGTAGCACTGTTGGTTTTGTTGTTGATGTTGTTGTTGTCGTTGGTGCGGCTTTTGTTGCATTTTTTTGCTTTTGTGGTTGTTGTTGCTTGACTTTAACCGATGCTGTTGTTGTTGTTGTTGTTGCTTGGGGTTTGTTGTTGTATCTCACTTTTTGCCATGCATATGCATTATTAACTTTTGCAGTTCCTATGTTTAATGTTTTCTCGTACATATTAATTATGCGCAATGCTGGTTGTTGTTGTTTTTGTGTGATTTGGTGCGTGTTGTTTTATGGTTTTTGTTGTTCGGTTTTTGCGGCTTCAAACAGCTGGGCTCATTGTACCGTTAGTTTCGCTATTTTTATTGATGATTTAATACAGATCTTTTGCGAATTTTCATCGGCGCGTGAAAATTGCAGAGAGGGAATTTCCGTCACTGTTTTTATGTAATTGCAGATCGCTAAAATTTCATTTAAATAAAGTTTTAAATGAAAGTAGTGACCTTTTGCACAAATTTATCAGACCGAACGGGTTTTCATTGAATTTATGAGAGTGTGTGATTTTGGTAGTAATTAATTTAATTAATTAAGTTTTTCTTGGTAGATTTATGAGCGGGCGGCTGCTGCTGGCTTTTCTGCTGCTTTTTCCTCGGCCCCTCGTTGAGTTGTGTTTGTGTTGTACTTGAATTTTGGGGCCATGCGCTCACCGTTAGATGAGCATGGGGAAACTCTCTCCCTCTCTCTGTGCGCTACTCACTCTTGCTCTGCGTGTGGCACGTGTGCGAGTGAGTCAGCAATATGGATCGCGAGGCACAGCCCACCCACTCAAAGAGAGTTAGAGCGGGAGAGGGCGAGAGAAAGGAACATCTTTTTACTCTCCAGCTGCTTGACGCTCAATCTCTTTCCCAAAAGGAGAGAATTTTCTGCATTTGATTCATTTAATTGCTTATCTTTCACATTTTCTTTATTTTCTGGTTATTAGTCAGAGGCATCCGTTTCTTTGTCATATTTATTTTAAAGCCCTGGGCTGGGCCAAGTCAACATTGGGTCTGATTATTTATGCTGTCTGATAAGTATTTACTTTGTAGACCTTTCCTAGCGATAAGTTTTCGAAGCGTTTTACCTGCTCACACTTTTTTGAAAAGCTGCCAAATGTCCTTGAAATACTTTCCTAAAATGTGGCAATCAAAAGACGAATCGCAATTCGAATTCTTTTTGGAAGCACTGAGGCAACGCAACGAAAAATGTTCTAGATTCGAAGCTAATTCAGAGGAAAAGAGAGTACGTGTTTTTTTGCGAGAACATTATTTTTTGGCAAACCAACAGACAAATTCAGCTGCGTTATTTGATATCTTGCGTTGGCTATTTTCAACGAATTTAAAAATAGCGCCTCTCTGCACAGGCGTTGCCAACAGCACAAGGAAAAATAGAGAGCCAGCCAGCGAATAGAGAAAAATGCTACGTGTCAATTGCTCACTGTTTTGTTTGAAAATCAAAAAAGAAATTTATTATGTTTTTGGAATTTCAGAAACATTTCCCCCAAACAATTTCTCCGATTTCAAGCAGCCAAGGTGCCATGAAATTGGCGTTAAATTGCCGCCGCCCCATTTTCGTAAGAGTCTCCCCCCAAAAAAACCGCCGGCTGTCACTAAGTCACTTTAAAATTGCCTGCTATAAATTATGCGTATTTCTTGCCTTGAATGCATTTCAAAATATTGAACAGAAGCCTTAAAAATATACGTATTTTTCTAAAGAACTAAAATGCCTTATGGTAGATTTTAGAGCAAATGGTTTTAGATTCCGGACATCTGAAAACTGACAAATGGCGGAACACATTTTCACATGATAAATGGAATGTTTTTTTTGTGTTTGAAACGCCTTGTTAAGTGATTTAACTAATTATCAGTTTTTCGAGTGTTCTATAATATATTTTTCGTGTCCATTTTAATATTTGTCAAACTTAATCTTTGTCTGTCATACATCAAGTAAAATATTGCCAACATAGAAATGTCAAAACATAATTTTAACATGCTAAAGTGCAAATTTAAAATTATTTTTAGAAAAAAGGAAATTCTTAAGCTAACTAGTTTCTCAATTTTTTTAAAATTGGTAAAAAGCTGGTAGAATAAACTTTTTTTTTTTAATCTATCTTAACACCTACTCTAAAATAAACAAAACTTGGAAAAGAAAACTTACGTTCTGCAGAGCCTTGTTCTTCTCCTCCAGCTTGCCGGTGACCAGGGTCAGGGCCTCCTGGGTCTGATCCAGCTCGTTCTCAACGGTCTGGATCTTCTTCTGCAGCTGGCGAGCCTCCTCCTCGGCCTACGTGTCAAAATATAAAATATATTTAATTCAAAATCAATGCACTACACAGGAATTGCATGTGCTAACAAGATTTATGTTGTTGTGAGAAAGCCGGCAATTATGCTTTTTGTTACACTAAATGTTTTTCGATGCGTAGTTAGAGTGGGTGGTAATTGCACAAAAAAAATATTTACAGCTTTAAAATGCCAAAATATTTCAATTTAATATAAATTATTTTGTAATTTTATTAAAAAAAAAGATATATTTTTGCAATGGCATTTTCTTTTTGCAGTGAAATTCTTCGAGATTGCTTCAGTTTTGAATGGCAAGAGACGAGCTTGTTTTTTTCAGTGTATAATGGGGAAATGGGGTGGCTGACTTACCTTCTCGGCGCGGGTGTTGGCATCGCGTGCCTCCTGCTCGCAGACGAGAGCGCGCTCCAGAGCTCCGTCCTTGTCGACTTTCATCGCTTGCATCTTCTTCTTGATGGCATCCATGGTGTGTGTTTTGTGTTGCTACTGCACTCGAAAGAAACTGCAACCGAAATGGAAATGGAGATAAAGATAAAGATTGCGATCGAAACTGTTGTTAAGTGCAGCCAATAAGGCAATTAGCAAATTTATGCGATAACCATAAATCGCAATGGGTGTAGGAAAAACAAAACAAGGTCTGTGCGAAAGTGAAACTCTGTGGAAATTGATTTGCATTTTACAATAGTTTCTGCTACTTAATTAAAGCCATAAAGGTTTTGGATTCTTCTGCAAGTTTTATAACACAGTTATGTTACTTTGTTCATAATTACTTTGAAAGATTTCTAAAGATTCGTATCCCTCTCTATATAGCCATTGCATTAACATGCTCAGTATTATACCTCCTTTAAGTTGAACGTGTTATAAAGCCAAGATTATCTTTATGTCATCAGTAGGAGATACAGATTTTTCTCTCCATTGCAAGATACTCATCGAATGGTTTCGAATAATGGCTAGCCTTATTTGGCCGAAAGGTGGCAAAACCAATAAATTATTCGGCCCGGCCAAAAACCGAGCCACTCAAGGCCCCCCTTTTGCAAGCCAAACGCATTGTTCAAGCTCATCCAACTGATAAATTGAGGATTTAATATTTCGCTGGCGTCTCTTCACGACTTTTATTGCCCGATTCTTTCTCTGGTGTTTGTTTCTCGAGAGTGTTTTCTCATCTCACAGTAAATCATTTAAACGAGAATACCTGACTAGGTAATGCACGTTTCTGCTTCGGATTCCTGTCTTTATTTTCTGGGGGAGACTTCGACCCGAAACTGTGTGCTTAGTTATGCGGATCACATCGGATCGCCTGAAATTGTGGAGCCAGCGAAGCTGGAGGCCGAAACTGGAAACATTTCTAAATAGAGAGTTCTGTCACCAGGCAAAAATTGTGTCAGCAAAACGGGGTAATTTAAAAGTAGGCCAAGAGATCGTTCACAACATTTATTTATAGTTCCAATGCATTGGTTCAAAATTAAATTTTCTTAAGTATGACAAAAAATCATATTGCATACTTTTGGAGAACTATATAGTAAATTTATGTCTATATCCTAAACGTATTTTTTTTCCTATCAATAAACTGTGGACTTGCAGTTCCCATATTTTAATTAAAAAAACCCACATGAGTCATCTGAGGTGGACTATTTGCCCTTTTCTTACAGCGATCAAGCGATTCTGACTCAATATTAACGCAGCTGGAGGGTTTGGCCCCTCCTCAAGTCCATCAGTACCCCTTTCCTACCCCTTCTTTGCCAACAGCAGCTCCCACTTGACCAACATTTGTCATGGCTCAAACCGAATGCAACCGGCGGCTAATTGACTCGAGTTTCGCCTCGTGAAATTTTAATTCTTTATTACGGCTCATCGCTGTCATTTGTTGTTCCACAGCCTTAAACATGCATTGATTTTTAAAAAAATCTGTTTACATTCCTGAGCCTGATCCGCACAGAAAGAAGTGGCAATGCAAAACAACTACTGATCGAAAAAAATAAATGTTGAATTTTAATGAAATCGCAATCGAGGCAAATTTTTTGTTCGCTGGAACATACATGTATATATATATATATATATATATATATTCATATATTTGCATGTGTATGGGCTATATTTCGATTGAGGTGACACATTGACTTATGTTTGCGTTGATTCAGCACAAAAATTCGCATGACTTCTTTTAACTTTCGGCAATGACATATATTTTAAAATTGAGCCTAAATCAGAAATGCTATACCATAGAAAGTGTTGTAATCAGACGTCAATAAAATGTATCTCAATCTAATGTACTGCATACACAAAAACGCTTGCAAACTGCAGTTTGCGTGCATCTCCTCAGTTTATAGATTGCAGATACATTTCTGGCATTCTAACATGTACTTAAGTAAGGAAAATTTTCTTATTTTCAAATGGAAAAATCCAAATTTTGTTATACAAAGTACAGGATGTTCTAAAAATAAATTTTAATATACACACGTTGGTTTATATGGGTCTAACGCATATATATTTTTTCCTTAGCTAAAAGTCTTTGGCAACTTTAGCAGCTTTCTGTCTCTTTTCTTCTCTCGATTTCGGTGTTTTATCTCTAAAGCACACACAGAAAAGGTCTAAAAATAGTCCAACTGAGGCATCTGTTGAATATCTTGCTTCCCCACGGATATTACTTAATACTAAATTGAGTAGCACTAAGAGAAGAGAGCTTTCTGGGAAGATCATAGAAGATTTTGCCTACGTTCGCTGCAGATCTATTTGGCATCTGAGGACAGCGGTCGCGTATCCGATTTCACGGATACAAATTAAATAAAAAACTATTTAGGTTATAAAATATAAGCTTTTAAGGAAACCAATGGATTGTAGAAAATTACATTTAGTTTAACTTAACTTGTTCGGGAACAACAAGAATTTACCATATAATAGTTGACTAAATGCGTTCCTATGTGTCTTTTTCATAGCCAAAGATTCTTAAAAAAGTCCCTAATGTTGATTTTTTTTTTAAATACCGTGTAGGTAAAAAAGGAGTTTAGTATGTTGCTTAGCTCATATCCTTTTTCAGTCATTTTTATGTAGTTGCCGCTTAAATTAATGATAATCTCAACGGACCACTGACAATGTTTATGCGTCTCATAAAATGCGTTTAATAGAAACCCTATATGGCGGCTTGCGGTTAGCAGACAAACTTGACAAGGCCCCGAGAATTGTTAATCTTAGTTCTGCTCAAACTGCAAAGGTGCTTAACCTCTATTTAGGTTTTTTATTTAGACTGAACTGAACATTTTCAAAATACTTTTTCTGTCTTGCTTTATTTCAATACTTGCGGTAGATTCAAATATAAAATTTCACAGCACTTTGCTCGATTTAAAGTTAGATTTGCAGCATCGGTTGGGTTATATAACTATTTTGAATTTGTTTGATCCTTTTTTTGAATTCAAGCACAGTTAAAATTATTTTTCGACACTCAACTGGTTTTTTTGTTTAAATATTTTTGTTATATTTTGTATTTTCTGCAGGTTACAGTTAAACGAATTCCTTTTTTTACTTACAAAACTTTTATTCGGAGTTATCCGCGACTTGAACGGATTGTGATGTTCAACTGAAAATATTTATTCAATATGTTGACGTTCGATGCTACCCGCTTGGTCGATTTCGAGCGGTTTGCGCTGGTGTGTATGCGTGTGAGCCGCCGCACGAGTGCGCCTGTGTGGTTGAGTATCTGTGTGAGAGAGCGCGCACTTTCGGCCAAAATGCGAAGCAATGGTGCTGCTTGCGTTTATTTTGGAACTGCAGGCGGCTCTCAATTTACGCCAAGAGAACCCACAAATTGTGCGAGTATAATGAGTGATCTTGTACACTGAGCGAATCACCTGAAGGGGGTTAACATATAAATTTAAAGCCTGCCGGTTAACACCCTAAGAAACTATGCGTCTTAACATTAAAGCCAAATCCATTTATCAATTCAAAGTTTATTCCATCTACGCAATGACGGATCTCTCTTAACATCAAGTTTTCTGGAATCATGTTCTTTTTAGCTTCCACTTAAACTGCATTTTGTAAATTCTTGATTACGATCTATACATGCCTAACTGTCCTTGACTGATGTTGGATTGAAAGTGTGGAATTTAACTAGAACGTCAAGAAGATTATTAAAAAAAAGATTCAAAAACAGGTGAAATTTTTGTATTAACCAATTTAATACACGCACTTCAAAATGGTTTTCAAAAATGTATTTCTTGTTTTCATTTATATAATTATAAAGTAATAGTTAATATGTAGAGTAATGTGGTTTTAGTTGAGTTGCTTTTAATTTTTGGCAGTGTAACCAAAGCGCTACAGCAAACAATCCAATTCATTTAAATTTATTCTCGGCCAAGAAAAGCCGGCGCCTGCGCTTTTCTCTTTGCTCTCATATTCATCTCTTTTCCGATCCTTTCTATGGGGCTTTCACCTGTTTAATACCTATGTGTGTATGTATTTGTGCTCAGCTCTTTGGAATTGAACATTTTCGTTCTGCCTATTTTTGAATATTTCCCTTTATTTTGAAAAGCTTTCTGTCCCAGTATTTTGGCTGTTGCAAAATATTTCCAATACTTAGACACTTATTTCTCTTTTTCCGCTGCGATTGTATGGGTTTGTGGATTTTTTGTTTTCCTTTTTGATGTTCTCGACTTCTATTTTTAATTTTCAGTTATTGATATGCCAAAAAGTTGTGTTTCACGTAGTTATATGTATTTTAGCCATAGGTCTACAGATTATTATTTTTTGTTTTATATATTTAAAGCGTTTTTACATATTTTTCAACGTCATGTCTGTGAACGAAAAACATTTTGTTGGCCATATTTTTTGTCAAAGTACTCGTTTTTTGTAAATGCATCCGATGAAATTAAATGATTCATACATTTTTTATTGCAGAACGTGAATATTACAAAAAGCTGTTTCCTCAAAGATAGTTGAAGATCTGAAGCGGCGATATTTTTGCTGATACCTTTTCGATCACTATATCACCTCTTTCTTATTATCATTATTTTGAATTAAAAGTCATATCTATAATTGGGAAAAAAAAATCCCTTATCTTAAAAAGAGTCCTAAAATAATACTGGATTTAAAAGCTAGCAAATTATCAATATGTTTTCCATTTCATTTTATGGTATTAATGGTTTCAAAATGCATATGTTAATATTGTTATAATATTATTATTTTTGATATTACATAGTCCTTATTTTTTTTAGTATATTTTATCTTATGTCGCCCTACTGATTAGAGATATTTTTATAATAAAACATTGTTATTAGTCATTTAAACATAGTTGTCTGGATTTTTGCAATAGTTGTCGCCATTAGTATCCCGATAGACGAATCTATTTATTAATGTAATTAATCTGTATATTGATGTTAGACAATTTCTATTCTTTTGTTTTCTGTCATGGAGAAACCTATTTTTCTTGCCACCCAGGGGCTGTTGAAAAGTTTAAATTTAAATCAAGCAACACCCACAGAATGACGTAACTGTTTTCATTCAAAACAAAAAGTTTTGAACAACAAACTAGATCACTGTATTTTTATATTCATAAACATATAAATGGGGTGAAGAAAATATAGGCATGAGAAAGACCTTTTGAAAAACATTGTAAAACAGAGAAACAGTCTGAGCAACCTGCTAAATACGAAAACGAAATCATGGCCATTGAAGCTGTTGTGACATGTGTTAGTTATGGAAAACCAAAGTTTTCATAATTCCAAAATACACGAGAATTAAATAAGTTCATGAGTGTGCCACGTTGAGCTTGGCTCAGACAAGTGCACAATCTTGTTAGAAAAATCGCGACCATATTTGGCGAAAATAGCATGGAAAAGTGCAATCTGGCAATCTGGGGAGTCTATTCGACTTAACAAAGTCGCAGCAAATCACTCAGAGCTACACACAAAAAAATTGATATAAATAAAATGTGTTATATATATGGTATTTTATATATATTGTAGAGTATCCTAAACGTAGCTTATCAAAAGGTTGTAAAGGCGGTAGGACTAACCCTTTGTAGGACCTTTTCATCAATTGTGAAATCCAATATACCTTTGGTCTGTTTAATGACAAGTTTTATCTATAATATAATATATCAGGTCAAATACAATTTATTTTAAAACACCAGATACAAGATTTTTGTATTAGGTAATAAGCAGTATATTTTAATCCATTATTGAATTGAGCAGATTACATTTTTTTTTCGAAAGTATCAAGTCCACGAGTGGAGTGCATCGGAAAATGAAATATAATCTGCTAGGGGGGATGTTTGGGGTTTGTGGGACTAGCCCAGTCTCTGAGGCCGCTGATGACTCAATTGGCGCCGGCTCCTTGTGAATGAAGCGAAGCAAACTGGTTGGAGCTCTGGGCACCAAAAGGAAATCTTCGCCGCAAGCTACTTGCCTTGCCAAAGCCTGCAATTGGCCAAGGTGAACCAGATCGAATGTCGTGTGCATGTGAACAGCGTTTTGGCGCTCTTCAACATTGTCAGTGTCAATTATTAGAAAATTAAAAAGACATCGAGACCTTGAACTTATCGCCAATCCTCTTGTAAGTGATGGCTGTAAGGCGTGCACCGGAAAACAATTGTGTTCAGAAATGTTTTGCCTTTTGGCTTGTGCACAAATGTTTGAATTTCGATTCAAGGGCAACTATTTTAAACAACGACAGCTGTAAAAGACATCTAATGTACTTCGCGTAAAAGGTTAAAAAAAATAAGAAAAGTGTGCCAAATCGCTAAATTTACAAAAAGCTCTTTTGAATTCCAATTTGTTTTTGTTGTCTCACAAAACAAGTTTAAAATATGACTATTAAAGAATATTTGTTTAAGTCCAAATATATAGTTAAAAATATTTTAGCTGTGGTTTAATTTTTTTGTAATCAACAAATATTTCCTAGGCCTGAGTAATCATTTAAACGGCGCGCCTCCTAATTTTCTACCGGCTGATTTCTGCAGTATATTTAGATTATTTTGCCTGCTTTAGTATATTTATAAAAGGTCCGGTGCTAATAAGGTTACACTTAAAAAATGTCATAACAGTTTGTTATTAAAAACAATGTCATTCGTAGATAAATTAAACTATTACAGCAAAAGAAAATCTTTTAAATATGGTATACCCTTTCTCATCATGATGGTGGCCGGGTCCTTTGGACTGCAGCAGTTCTCAAACCTCAGGTGAGCACTCATAAAAGGCCGGGAAATTCTTATCTCAGCGATCAACATGCCCTTTTTTTTTAGGTATCAGTACGCTAAGAAGCAGCCGGTTACGCCGGAGGAGATGAAAAAGTACGGCGTGAACATGAAAAACCGGCAGGAGGTGACTCTGGAATCGGAATATGACAAAGTCAAATCCGTGGACATAGATCATTGGGAAAACAAACGAGGTCCACGTCCCTGGGAAGAAGAAGATCAGTCGGCGACGGCAAAGCATTAAAAATTATGTTTTCCAAGCAAAACATTTTATAAAAGCAGACTGTTGGTTGTACATAGTAATACATTAATAAATATAATCGTTTGTTTATGTGAATTGCGTTTAAATATTATACCAAAACAATATCTTGTAATGCAACGATAAGTTGCGGTATTTTTTACCAACCGATAGGCATATGCTTGGTTCTACGGTCACACTAATCCTAATATTGTCTATTTTGCAATAAATAAAATGGGAGAAGTAAAACCCGCTAAAGTGGAGAACTATAGCAGTGGGTCCGATGCAAATACACTGTTTGCGGATGGTAAGCTCTGTCCTTTTACCAAAGTATAGGTTGCACTCACTAATTCGGCGCTTTCCACAGGGGAGCGGGTTCTGTGTTTTCACGGGCCGCTCATTTACGAAGCAAAGGTTCTCAAAACAAAGCCCGATGCGACGCCGGTTGAGTACTACATTCACTACGCAGGCTGGAGCAAAAAGTGAGGGATCCAATCTGCAAGAAATTATACACAATAATCAAATTTTAACTTTTAGTTGGGATGAGTGGGTGCCCGAGAGCCGAGTGCTGAAGTACAATGAAGACAACGTCAAGCGCCGACAAGAGTTGGCCCGCCAGTGCGGCGAGCGCTCTAAAAAGGACAATAAGAAAGGTGGGTCAAGCTAGGATAACAGAATTCATTACCCTAAACCATTTGTGTAACAGGCAGCGCCAAGGCCAAGAAAATGGAGCAGATGCGCAACGAATCTCGCGCCTCGACCCCCTCCAAGGACAGCAGCACCTCGCAATCGACCGCCAGCAGTATACCGACGACAAGTGCTGCTCCGGGTAACAAGTCTGATGCCGGTAGCACCAGCAGCACGACCACCAATAGCACCAATACCACGTCGACCAGCCGGGCAAACCGCAAGTCTACGCAATCGGCGGCTGCCACGGTTCGACCTGGCACGCCCAGTGACAAAAAGGACGATGCCACCGCTGCTGAGACCACAGAGGACGAGGCGGCCATGCCAGTAGCGCCAAAAAAGAAAAGAATGAGCGAGCAAAGGCCTTCTCTAACTGGCAGCGATGTGCCAGACAAAACAGCAACGACAGCTACAACTCCCTCCACGCCGACAACGGAGCCTGCTCCTTGCGTGGAAAGCGAGGAAGCTTTCGCCGCCAAGCTGGAGGTCAAAATCAAGATACCCGACGAACTCAAGCATTATCTAACCGACGATTGGTATGCGGTGGTGCGGGAGCACAAATTGTTGGAGCTTCCTGCCAAGGTGACTGTGCAGCAGATTTCTGAGCAGTATTTGGCTCACAAAAAGTCGGTTAAGTCGACCAGCGCTAGCAAGGAGGTGGCCATAAACGATGTTCTCGATGGCATTGTGGAGTACTTTAATGTAATGCTGGGCTCCCAGTTGCTGTACAAATTTGAGCGCACCCAGTACGCGGATGTAATGCAAAAACATCCAGACACCCCGCTATCTGAGCTGTACGGATCCTTTCACCTGCTGCGCCTGTTCGTACGGCTGGGTTCCATGCTTAGTTACTCTGCTTTGGATCAGCAGTCAATGCAGAATCTGCTGGTACACCTTCAGGATTTCCTCAAGTTCCTGGTGAAAAATAGTAGCATGTTTTTCAGCATGAGCAACTTCATCAACGTTGACCCAGAGTACGTGCGAAATGCACAGTAAGCAATCATCTCTCCTTGACTTGAAGTAAATATTTCATCCAAACAGTTTGCAATAATTTGATAGTTGCTCCTGACAACTGGTTTGTATATTAAAACACACGTAACAACGTTTTGTAATAAGCTAATGGTAATGCTAATAAAATGTCAGCACCTTGTAAAGATTAGTTCTTTGTTTTTGCTTCTTCATCATCCTCGCTTTCTGATCCACTACTACTGCTGCTGGTTGGATAGAAGTCGCGGAGGTCCCTTGGTTTATCCCGCTCCTTTTGCTCTTGTTCTAGGTACTCGTTTTGCACCTTAAGAATTTCATCGCTACTCTTGCAGGCTGCATACGCGTTGAGAAGCTTTTCGTTGAGTTCCAGAAAGGCGTGACCCCAGGAGAACTTGCCTAGAAACCAACGGGCCTCCTCTGTGAATCCACAGATGTAAAGGGTGGCGGCAATGGCCTCCACACAGCTTAATTTGCAGGGTTTGCCGTAGTTGATAGGATTCGCAGCCACAAGAAAGGGCAGTAAACGTGGATGTGGGCTGCGCATCCTACCGAAGGGAGTCTCGTCTAATTTTGCCCACGAGCAGTCAATCACGGCCACGCCCGAAGAGGCCACCACATCACGGTCCAGTGGACTAACACACAACTGGCCGACGGGTGAGAGAACAAGGCCGGGAAACTTTTGACCCAGCCGGAGATTGGAAATCAGGCCCAGTCGGGCCAGCTTTCTGCCAGAGCACTTTTTCGGATCGCAGTGGTTAAGGTCCCACATAGCCACTGAGAACTCTGGCGGCTGGCCCAAGTCATCCTTTACTTCTGCTCCGGACGATTCCGAGTCCGAACTGTCTCCTTCGCTGCTGCTCGCCAGCTCGTTAGCCTGCTGGGCAAAACTGCGGTCACAATTGTGTTTAGCCTTAACATTGCGATAGGGTCCTGCTCCTTTCTTTCCTTTTCCCCGATTTCGGCTACTCATTTTGTTTTATAAAATCCGAAAATGTAAAGAGCGATCGAGTGTTTTTTAACTTCTCGTGGTGGTGTTTTGATTAGTATACAAGGTAGCGCAATGAAACGTTTGTGACGTCACATTAATCATGAGTGATCGAAATTGAATTTTTGCCGTGATACCAAGCAGCATTTATTAACCCAATTATGTTTTGTACATGTTTTATTTATATGTACTTATTTCTAGGGCTAATTTATAGCAAAGTCTGAAAAATGGTTTTTATTTTTAAGGTGAGATTAAACTTTTAGTTGCTACAACTTTAAAACATTAAATGCTGCTGTCAACATGACTCAATTTTTTTTTGCCTATAAATGATTTCAATTGTAGTTTGTATTTAAATTTGTTTTGTCAAACACATAATTTCACAGGATTAAATCATTTAAACTGATAGCTTAACGGTTTTTGGATCTGCGTCACCTTCACATTGCAATGTCGGTCAAAGAAGTTATCGCCTGCATATCGATACTTGACAAGTGCAACCTTGTCACGCCAGCGATGAATGGAAAAGAATATGGCGACCTGACTCTGGAAAAAAATTAGAATTTGTCCGGCAAAAGTAGTGTGCAATACGAAGAAATGTATGTATTTAAAGTGTAAATGTGCGTTGCTCATTCGATAAGTGTGCATTAAACATAAGTTTTCATATTAAAAGGCTTGCCAGTTCCACAGTGAAATTGTGTGTCCCAATAATCCCATTGTTGTATGAAGTGGGGAGGCGCGCCAAATTGGTCCCAAATAAATGCCCAAAAACGAAAGATTCTGCATATAGTCTAAAGAAAAATATTAGTTCCCAAACAATTTGCTAATAAAATGAAATAACATTAAAAGGCCTGACGACGCGCACAAAACACACACACTTACAATCCAGTGACCCAAGCACACGCACACAGGCGTTTATCGATACTTGTGGGCTGCATTTCGCGCCGTGGCGGCGGCACAAAATAAACCGAATAACTGAAAATCAATTGGCGTCCGTTTAAATTAAAACTTTGGGAAATACCACACTAACTTATTGTTTCTGTTTTGCTTTCTTTTCGGTTATTGTTTTGTTCGACGGGCTGTCCTAATTCGCCCTTTCCGACTCTACCCCTGACGGAGTACAGTTGCGCCCTGAAGCCAGAGCAAGCGAAACTACGGGGAGGCTAACGATACGGAAAAGGAGAACTCAACAGGCACTTGCCAAAGGACTCGGTTAAAAGGACAAAGCAAAACCGGCAATATGGGCGAGGTCAAGTCCGTAAAGGTGGATAACTGGGGCGTCTTTTTCCTGCAGAAGCTACAGAACTTCTTCAACAAAACGGACTACTGCGATTTGACGCTCCAGTTCCGGGACAACTCACAGCTAAAAGTTCATCGTCTTGTGCTCAGCGCCTGCACCGACTACTTTAATGTGCTGGAGCAGACTTGCGAGATAGTTGACGATGCGCTCATCATGCCCAACGAGTTCCAGGCGGACGTGGTCGTTCCCATTGTCAACTTTATGTACACAGGCACCCTGGAGTTTGAGCTAAAGATGTACGGCAAGCTCTTGCGCACTGCCAAAGAGATGAACATGACTGTGCTGCTGAAATTGCTGGAGGCACATCGCCGTACCATGGAGAACGTGAACCGTCAGCAAAGAGTGAGTAAATGCAATCAACCGTTTGTACCTTGTTTTTATCTTTTTATCCTTTTCAGCCGCCTAGTCCAAAGGGAATTCGTCGACGAACAGTTGGACAGCCTAGTTCGGGCCTTCCCCAGCAGCGCGTGTTGGGTCCATCACCGCAGTCCCGAAATGTGGGCACACCCACGATGCAGCGAGCCAACACACAGCGTGGAGCCATTGGCAATACATTGATCCGCACATCGGGAGGTAGCAGCAGCATAAAACAGGAGCCAACTTCGCCATTCGAGCAACTGCGCAAAGGTTATAACAACAATAAGAGACCAGCACAAACCAGCCTGTTATCGCCGCCCTCAAAGAAGCCGAGTTTGGAGGAGGTTAAGGAGTTTGCAGAACAACAACGGATGCGTAAACAAATAGCTGCGGAATACGGAGATAATGATCCAGAATATGACGGAGGCATGCAGTACGATGATGTCCATACTGGGGACGATGACGATGATGATTTGCCACCTCAACCATCGACATCCAAACAGCAGTCGCCGCAAGGCACACAGACCCAGCTTGAGCACGGATCCACCACCATTATTCTGAAGCAGGACTCTCCTAGCCAGACACCCACGATAATTGTCAAGGATTCCTCCAATGCCAAGCTAAATCACACGAAAATCATTGCTGAAGTACTGCGTCAGTATCCCCACATTGTTAAGGGCCATAAGAACATAAAGCTGAAGATAATGCCCAACACACCATCTGCAGAAAAGTCTGCTCCGGCGGCAGTCAAGCGAGGATCACCAGCACCGGCAACTCAGACATCAACCTCTACATCGCCGCACAAGAAGTTGCATGTATCATTCAAAGCGGATAAGGGTACGCCTCTGATCACCGCCCAACAGAAGACGACGAGTTCCCAGCAGAAAACTACGCCGACGCAGTCTGCCGTTTCGCAAGCATCAGCGGTCAATCCGCCTGCGAATGCCGGCGCAGCGCAGAAGCGGCGCATTGACAGCAAGACAATGCATGCCTTGATTGCCCAAGGAGCCGAGAACACTACTGGTAAGTCATGAATAACGTGCAATCCTTGCTCTGACAAAAAGTGAGTAATAACTTAATTTTGTACTATTTCAGGTCCATGGCTGTGCCTGCGGTGTGGAGTAAACGGACGCCCCATCAGCATTCCCTCATACCGAGGCTTCCGACGCCATTTGATTAACACGCACAAGGAGAGCATTGATCCAGCGCTTTGCGAGCACTGTGGCTGGCGGTCGGGCAACAACCGGGAGCTGCATTTCCACATGTATATGGAGCATCAGGTCAAGTCGCTGCTATACACTTTTGCCGAGTGCGCTCTGTGCAATCAGTCTTATTTAACCAAGGGAGAATTGGAGGCGCACATAAATGAGGCACATACGGACGACAACAAGCAGCAGTGCATCTACTGCAACAAGGTGTTCGAGCAAGAGCTGCAGCTGTATAGGCACATGAAGACCAACCACAAAGAACAGGCCCTGGAGGATGGCATTATCGATGAAACAGACGAAGAGTTCCTCGGCTCACAGGATGAGGAGGAAGAAGAGGCCGAGGGAGAGGAAGAGCAGGAACCGCAGCAGACTGGCAAGGTCCGAATCCTGTCGGACATCAGTCTGCCAGCCTCTAGTGCCATTACAGTGCAGCAAGCTCAACAGGAAGAACACCAAGAAGTGAAGTTTGTTGGAGCGGATGGCAATGAAGTGGAGCTCACGGATGAACAGCGCAAGGAGATCCTCTCACAGCTCAACCAGCAACAAGCAGGCGCCGCCGCCGGTGGCGTCGTAATGGTGCTCAGTGAGCCAGAAGCTGAGCCCGCGAAGCAGGAAACGGACGAAAAGTCGTTGGCCGGCACCGAAGAAGAGTATGATGACAGCCAAATCTACAGCGAACTGGCCGCCGCTGATTCCGTGGATAGCGCCAAGAAGAGCGTTGCAGATGAAAGCAAAGAGTCCTTGGACAACCTGGAATGGGCAGAAAACCTTATTGCTGAGTCCGAGGAGCAGAGCAACAAGGAGGTAAATTTAGTCAGCCAAAAAATAAAAGTTCATTACTTACCTTTATCTCCGTCACAGCCCAAACTGGAGAAGTCACGCGATGACATTAGTGAAAAGCTTAAGGAGTTGACCGGCGACTGGACCGAGGATGAGAACGATGATGATGCCGATGATAAGCCAGCCACCGCAGAGCTTGCATCTGAGCTAGCCGCAAAGCATTCAGAGCCATCAGTCCACGAAGAAGAAGAAGACGATATTGACTTGGCTCTACAGTCTCTGCACAAGGGGTCTGAAAATCCAGCTGCAGAAAAAACGGGCGAGGAGTCCGTTGCGAGTGCCGAAGAAGCTGAAGTCCCGACCGCCAGTATAAACAGCCAACTTGAAAAAATGGATGTTGACTCGAAAGTGGCGGGAGAGAAGCTAGCTAAGTCAGTTACCATTAAGAAAGAGGACGCGGTTGAAAATGAGGAAGAAGAATTTATCAAAGAAGATGCGACCACTGCGAATGTGGAACCAGAGGCGGAAATAAACGAGACGGCCGCTGAGGGCGACGATGATGTGCATCTGGAGGCCGACAACATACGTAAAGAGCTGCTAGATGAGTTAATAGCTGAGGCCGAGAAACCTAATCAAGAAAAAATCCCTGACCAACTTGAGGAGAACGCTGCGACTGAGGCTCCAGCCTTAGATAGTGCAGTGACGGAAGAGGACGATCTGGTGCCTCCAACCCAGCTATCCACCGATCAAATGGAGGTTGATGAACCAGAAGCTGAAGAACCAACCAAGAATAATGATAGCACAAAATCCACGGTCGAAAAGGATGCCGAAGAGGATAAACAAAACAAGAGCGCGGATGCCACAGAAAAAACGTCTGTTGAAAGTACGGTAGTAGCCGAGGGAACGAAGGCTGGCGATGCTGCAAGTGCGGACAAGGTCAAGAGTCTCATTAGCGAATGGGGGGACGACGAAGAAGAGGACGAGGATGAGAATGGGGTTAGTGCGGCGGCGAAGGAGGAGCTATAATTACTAGATTTATTTATGTTCTAAGTTCGGCGATTCATCGCAGGTCAGGAGTAATTACCATCTGAGCTCGACATGAATTTTCGGTTTCTATTGTAAATTAAATTGTTAACGATGATTGAGGTGATGATAAGATACGCCTATGCACGGTTTAAGTGTATAAGATCTAATCTACACGTCTCTCGTAATTGTAAATCCCTTCCCATCCCATCTATGTTGCGCTACTAGCACGAAATTCTTAAAACTCGTGCGAGTCGAGTCACCTTAAATGAGAGATCAGAGACCAAACAATCCAACATGTCGCTATTTATGAGTGTCAGTTTTTTTCACCCTTACACCACCAATAGAGCAACCAACCAACATTTCACGTATAGGTAAACACTTTATATATACACATATATATAGTATACACATATGCCTGTTTACATATAGATATATGTAGTTACATAGATGTTGTTTTAATTGGTTTAAAACAAAGGCAGGATGTTCCCAGATTGATAAGTAAAAAGTGACGTTTTATGATTGGTTAGTAATATTAATCAAAAAGCTTACCCTTTTTTTGATTACCAACTTAATTGTAAGATTTATTATACATAATAAAAGCATCAAAAAATAACAACTTTGGAGAAAGCAAAATATAAATGTAGACAAAAAGAAATATGTATGTGTGATTAAAACTTTTCTACTTATTTATTGAAGTACAATATAGCTAAAAAATATTCATTAGAAATGCACGTAAAAACAAAACAAAAATCAACAGCTGCCAATCTATAAAAATATCTTACAATTATGTATAAAAAGCGGCACATTAGGTCACAGCGCAGCGAAGATTGCTTTGAACATCAGTCCTACTCCTCATCTAAAAGCGTGTCAACAAAATAGGTCAGTCAGCAAATAATAATATAGATTTTGCTACTACGCACCCGAAAGATAAAAGTTTATTATGCACATAGTAGCAAAGCCGACGACGACAGTTGCGAACTGTGCAAATCCCGCCCAGCGTCGCGTAGGATTCGTGTGCCAGCGCGCCTTCTCGCGCGGTATCACTTCGCAGACGGTGACGTAGAAGAGCGTTCCTCCCGCCAATGCTTGAACAATAGGCAGCATTTTGCTGGACCAAGAGGCGGGCACATCCACGATAAGCATGCCCAGACCAATGCCAATGACGGCTCCTAGGGCAAATACTGAGATGCCGACGAACTGGGCGCGAAAACTCGTCTGCGGATTTGAGCGAAACTCTAGGCCCAGACAAAAGCCCATCACAAACTTGTGGCAAGCGACGGCACCCAGAAGAAATAGAACCTAAAACGACACAAAGCATATTCCGTTTATCACTTGAGACTAAGCCAGCGCGTTTCTCTGCTTCAATATTTGCACAAGATAGTGAATGAGTGTCTGATCTGGTTTAACTATGTCAAGGTAGTTGGCAACCAACCTTTGTAGACGAGTTTTGCACACCAATGGCGAGTCCTTCGATGGCCGAGTGCAGAGAAAGCGCCACAAAGAGGCCCAGGGTGCCGGTCATGGATTGGGCACATGGTTCCGTATGACTGGTGTGGCAGATGCGGGCGTTCGCGTCTTCGACACTGGCGTCATCACATCCGGATGCGTTGTACGGGTGATCTTGGTCATGATCGCTGTTTCGAAGTCCAAATCAATAAGTTGGAGTGTGGGTATTCAAATAAATTTAGCCTACTGGTCATGGTGGTGAGAATGGGAATGTGAAGTAGGTTCCGCTGATAAAAGCGGTGCCCTTTCACCCACTGCGCCATAGCCGTTTCCATTATTGTGCCTTATGGGCTCCGTTTCGGGGATCTGGGAATGTGTGTGCTGTATGGCCTCGCCAAAAAAGTAGTGAATGAACTCGTCGATAAAGTAAATAATGAAGAAGCCGCCGCACATAGCCACCTCAGCGAATTTTGAATCCATTTGCTCGCGCACCTGTTGCAGTATCAGTTAGCAGCTCATATAATGCAAAGACAATCAAATTGCAAACTCACCTCGGGCAGGATGTGAACCAAGGCGGTGGCCAGCAGAATTCCCGCTCCAAAGCACAGGAGCAGGGAAGTGGTCAGGGGGAAACGGCGACGGTTCCTTTCCGAAATAAAGGCTGGCAACATTCCTGACAAAAGGCTCCCGAGCCCAAGGACCACCATTGCTAGTACCTTTTCAAGATCGCCACGACTTGTGGCACCTAAACTGGGACTCGGGGTAATATCCATGGATAAAGGGTCGTTGGCCAAGCTCATTGTTTCAAGTGGCAAGCTTTGTCATTAAGAGTGGAGGGAAAAAGTCACATAAGTTCGTTTACTATATTTAAACTAAACAGGTGCAGTGTGCCGACTGTGTTTTCTGAAAAATACCAAAACGCCTCACTTAAATGGTAAAATAACGAAGGAAATATTTTATTTGTAAAACGGTGGTCACATTACTCTTTGTTGGCGGGAACTGGTTTTGCATAGATTTTCATAGTTTTCCGAGCCTAACGTTCTTTGTTGCATTAAAAAGGTGGTCTAGGACTGATCTTAAAACGGTAAAATACGCACCCTAAGTATATTCAATTAAAAAATGTATCACAAAACTAGACGTGCAGATAGGGCTTCATTCGATAGCTCTTATCGAATATGTCTATCCTGGATTTAAAATTCAAAATTTAATCGTTACTGTCCTGGTTGATTGTTAAAATGCATCGTCGTTGTATAATCTGTGGCCAGGAGCCTGGTGACCAATTCGTCTACCCACGCAACATCTCGGAGGCACGTCGTTGGCAAAATTGGGCCAATCTTAGCGCCTTTGACGTAGACACGGAAACGCTGTGCCGGTATGGCTGTGTTTGCTCTTCACATTTGAACGTGGGCCAGAGATCCAGCTCCGACTTGGGGACCTCATCTGGTGCTGGTGAGGGTCTAAGGACCCCTGGCGGCTTGCAACGTGCAAAGCGGCCATGTAGTGTCAAGTGGAGCTCTTCGGGATCGGGATCTGATCCACCCAAACTTCGAAGCGGTCAAAATTATCCCACCAATAACAAAGCTTTCGAGGAAGTGTATAATGAAAGCGATCAGAGCCTTAGTTCGATGAATAAAGAAACCAGCAACGTAAACAGGTGCCAAAATGGTTTTTGCCGATTTCAAAGTGCCTGCAATAACATGCTCAACAATAACATGGGTTCCCGTAATGCCTGCACCTATACGCCAAGGTCCAACTTAACCGGCAAAAGGCCATCTAAACCCATAATAATATCCAAGCTAAGCCAACCTCAAAAAGGCGAAGAATGCGCTTTCGATTGCCCAGTGATTGGGAACATGGGCACCCGAACTTATCCAGAAAGGTGCTTTTGTTCATTCTATCCAGGATTGCGGACTACCAACACCGAAGCTTCTCCACAAATTTTCTGCTGCAGACATTGCCCAGTACTAAGCCAACAAAAAGTAATAACAGCACAGGAGAATAAAACATCAAGAAATGGCCAACAAAAAACACGATACTGCGACAGGGCGTGCTGCCCCGATGTGAGGAACCAAAGAGCGGAGGACTCGAGTTCCATGGCAGATGACTTTAGCAACATAACAAGTATCCTGAACGGAGAGGCAGCGCAAGCGCGTGGGAATAAAGGCAACACAACTATGCAAATTAACAACCAGCAAAGCAGAAGTCCCAATTCGGAGCAAAAGAGCAAATGCTGCCAGGCTATATTTAAATGTCAGCTTAAGGACCAGGAGGTGCAATGCTCAAAGCTGACCCTTGCAGAGTCGCAGTCTCAGAGTTCTGAACCTATTAGTAGATCTAAGGCTGCTAGTTCTCTGAGCTATCGAACCTCAAGTTTGGGAACTAGTTTATCTGCCGGACATAAAACAAATTCCAGTAACTTTTCTTATGCTGGCGACCGAAAGCATTCAAATGCCATAAACGTACTGCTAATGAACGGAAACCGAAACGACTTTGATGATTCGTGCTGCTGTACACCTAAGCTTCGTCCCTCGGGGCCACCTCCGGCGATTTGCGTACAGGAGTCGGATCTTACCGGGTCCGACGAACAAGTAGTTTATCCGAACATCGATAAGCCCAACTATAGAGTTTGTCAGCCTGCCACCGCCGATCGTAACGAGACCAACGTCCTTGTCCTTGAAGAGGGTCCCATGGATGGATGTTGCCCCAAAACTGCGGGTGAGGGAAATTCAGCAACTGGTGAGGGTCAGGATCAGAATAAGGGAGAGTCGACTTCTGATCCTAACCAGAGTAGAAATTGGCAGGACAGATTTGGTGACAATTGGCTTGATAACCCGGCAACGGCTAACTACACAAAACTCCTGGAAATGCAAAGAGCTCGAATCAAGGAGCTGGAAACTCTGCTGCAGCAGCACAATCAGCTGCAGCAGACTATCCAGCACAAGGTGGCGGAGCTTCAGTGTACAGATCAGCCGGTTCTTAAAGATGAAAACAAAACTTAACATATTAAATACATGCCAAACAAGTGTCTTCAAAGGACTTTCGTTGGATTTCTAAGGGTGAGGAGTGGTTTATTTGAAATTACCGCTTGAATCCAATACCAAACTTTTAGTCTGAACCATCTTAATCGAGAGCTTATCCTTAAGGGTCTAGGCAGCGGTCTGGATAACATCGGTGTAGAGCTTGACCTTGGTGGCAATGCTCATATCGACGTATTTGTCGCCAATGGAAACAATTAGGCCACCGATGATGCTGGGGTCCACGCGGGAGGTGATCTTCAGCGACTCGTTGCCCTTCAGGAAGGACTGAAAAGACAAAGGGAAGCGCTTATGGTGATGGGAATAAGGGCAGATAGAAGTTGTGGGTACCTTGAGAGCACCCTCCAGTTGCTTGCTCTGGGAAGAATCCAGGGGCTTGGCGGTGATCACCTCGCAGACGACCTCACCGCGGTGGGCGGCCATGATAGTCTTGTAGGCGTTGATCACAGTATCCAACTTCTTTAGGCGTCCGTTGTCGGCCAGCAGACCCAGAAGATTGGCAGTAGCCGGGGCGAAGCGCAGCTTCTCGGAGGCCTCCTTCAGAGCGGTAGCCATGACCTTCTTGTTGATGATGGGGCTGGTCACATACTCGCGAAGCTTCTTGTCGCCACGGATGGTGGCCTGAAGGGCGGTCAGGTCCTTCTCCACCTGGTCCAATTGGCTCAGCTTGGAGGCGGCCGAGTACAAAGCGGTGGCATAGCGGCCCTCCAGGCCGAACACCTGCACTGGGGGCTTCACCGTCGCCTGAGCGGCTGCGGAGCTGAGGGTGCGGCTCTGCGGGATTATCAAAAGAGCGTAGTTAGTGGATCCATTGATTCAATAAACCAAAACACCCTTCGGTTTGTTGGTATTGATGGGCAAAAATTACATAACCAAGAAAAGCGCGTTAGATAATTGTACGTTTGAGATGATAGGTATTGGGTGCACTCATAATAGTTCTTTTGTTTGAAACAGCTTGGCGTTGTGCAGAACAAAACACTGTTTCTTAAATTATCCTCAACCTACCAAAATTGCTAATTTGTTAACGGAGGCCATCGTTTTGTCCCGAGAATTTTCAGCTAAAAATCGCAGCTGAGACCAGGGTCGTGGGTACTTATCGGTACCTGCAACAGGGTTGCTTTGCTCTTAACAGGGCTGGGCAACATTTATCGAACAGAAAAAAATAGCTAAATTCCTTATTTTTTTAACTTCTAAGAAAACTTGTCGTATAAACCTTTTCTGTGATAGTTCGTGGTCCCAGTTTAGACTACCAACAAAATTTGGGTTCAAACTAGAAAAATGAAACAAGTCAAGGTTTTAGTTTTAATTTCTTTATATAATAGTGATGTCATGTTCTATTTTAAACATTTTATATGCAATTTTATTAATCCAAAATGTTTTAAATATGTGTATTAGCCGATCTAAAACAGAGAAAAACCCGGGAATTTGAAACGACTCGTTTTGAGATTCGATTCACGTCTTTTTAATTTATTATTTTTAAAATGTTTTCATGTTGATTCTCGTTTTCTGTTTTACTCTTCCATAGAAATACGTTTGACTTTTTTTTACTTAAATCGAAACCTAATATTTCTGAATTAGTTGTGAATGTGGGATAACCGCACGGGAAACTATAGTTGAAAGTGTTTGTAAACACTTTGGGCCTTCGTTTGGGAGCAAACTTAAATTACATGTACGTAATTATTTAGTTTACTTATCATCTGAAAAGATTAATGTTTAGTAAATGCTTTTAAGAGAACTAAAGAGGTTTTTACCTTCATCATCGTCTTCTTCCTCGCCCTCACCATCCTCTCCGTCCTCGTCGTCGAATGCCTCCTCCTCGTTTTCTTCGTTATCTTCCTCGTCTTCGGGCTCCACCTCTATATCAGGTACCAGATAATACTGCAGTGGATTTGGCCAAAGATCGTCCTTTATCAGTTCTGCGATCTCGTCGTTGACGGGATCGGTGTTATCCGAGAACCAGTCGAAGAAGGTCTTGTACTCGGAGTTTCGCTTCTTCTTGTTGCCATAGGGCTTCGTCAGCAGCTGTTTGAGCAGGTTTTTTCCCTCCTTCCATTTGATGGGCGTGCTGGTGGACGCGGGCCAATCACCGTTCTCAGAAGCCGCTAAAAGGTTGTACGATATGTATATTTCAATTATTTTGTTTTTGAAGATCTATTAAAGGACTCACCCGCTGAATTTAAGTGGAACTCTTTGGTGAGCACCTTGTTCTCGAAGAAAGGATTCTCGTCGAAGTGGAAATTGATGCGGTATCCCGACTTAATGTCCTCGAACTCCTCCACCTCCAGTTTGTTGAGTGCGTGCAGGCACTCCTCCTCCTCTTCGTCCAGAATGCCGGATACTTGCGGGTGGTTGATAAACTGCAAGGATGGTAGGTGGGATTAACACGGGGATGCCTGATAATCGATAGCAAGTATGTACATTTCTTGTGGGCTTTTATTTGTTATCTTTTGAGTCACAATTATCAGTTATTGGTCTTAATAAACCTTTTTGGTAACAATTGTGTATTTCCCGATGGGGCCCGCCAGACGGCTCTATCGATAGACCGATTTTTTGAGGGGTAAAAGAGCGGGGAGCCGGCGGCGGCAGTACAGACCAAGATGAACAAGAAAAAATTCCTCGAATAGAGAAAATTTCTTGTACATATGTATTGGGTATGCAAAAACTATCCAATTTTCCGGCCATCAGGAGATAATGACTTTATCAGAACCCAATGACGGACACGCGGACCTGGAGGACTACTCACCGAGGTTACCCAAAAATTGGGTATCCGCTTGACCAGCTCACTGCGCTTTTCGTAGCACGGTTTCCGCAGCTTGTTGTACTTCTGCTCCACCTTGAGGATCTCCTCGCTGGCCTTCTCGTTCAGCGCGTCGATCTCGTTTTGGCAGGCATCAATCTGCTCCAGCGCCTCAGACTCCTCCTCGTTGTTGCCGGCTGGGGTGTTACCATCGGCGGGGGCGCCGTCTAGTTTGACTCGCTTTGGCACGCTCGACATTCTGCTCGCTCTTCCGGTGTGCGTGCGATCGTAATTTACGAGATATTAACCAAAAAGCGGCGGTACAGTTGAGCAGTAGAGAAGCGAAGCGGATTTTTTCCTTGCTTTTGCGGCAGCGGCGCTGTAAGTGTATCGATGGGTTGCTATCGCACTATCGGCTCACGTTTGCCGCCTATCGATTGGCAAACTGCCTACGTGCGCCCGTCGTTTGCAACACTAGGCTGCTAGATTACTGCGCGTTTTCGGTCCTTTACAACACGCGCGGACAACATTTGATGCCGAGCTGTAATAGCTGAAAATTAATTTTATAATTTTGTATACGCATCGTTTTTAAAAACTCCAGCAACATGGCCACGGCTGAAGCCCAGATCGGTGTGAACAGGAATTTGCAGAAGCAGGACCTCAGCAACTTGGTAAGTATCCGAAAAAACGACAATCACCAGACGCCGCCTGTTTTTTCGCCTCTCCCTTCGTGAAAGTGTACGCGTCGTCATTATATGGAGCCGCTTCACGTGAAAACAGCGGGGTGCGGGACGCCAGGACGCGCCCAGATAGCCTCGAATAATCTGAAACCAGGTTTTCCAGGATATCTGACTGGGTTTTGCCAGGGCTAACAGCCTTTGTTGTGGGGGTGAGAAACTAAGAAAAATGCAGCACGTGGCGCTATATTAAGGTCTGTTTGGATTTTCCAAGGTTGCGGTCCTTCATATGGAATTATTATGTATCTAGGTAGGACCTAGAACGCATCAAGTAGCTCAGTCTCGCGAGTGTAGCCCAACTGTTGTCATCCATTTAGCTGATGCAATTCAACTCGCATTCTAACCTCAAAATCTACTGCTTTCCCATATACAGACATGCAGCTGAGGGGGGATGTTTTGTCAGGGGGTGTGGCGGTGGTAAACAAGATATTCCCTCTAAATACCACTTTTATTAATCGTTTTGCATTTGGCATCTTTTGCAGGACGTCTCCAAGCTTACGCCTCTTTCGCCGGAGGTCATCTCGCGACAGGCAACCATCAACATCGGCACCATTGGTCATGTGGCTCACGGCAAATCCACGGTGGTGAAGGCTATCTCCGGCGTGCAGACGGTGCGTTTCAAGAACGAACTGGAGCGCAACATCACAATCAAGCTGGGTGAGTGAGGGATCTTGTCCAAGGCAGTCATAGTCTGTGATGTATTTACGATTCTAGTTTAAGCTAGCTGTATTTTGACCTTCTTGCTCGCCTGTAAACCCGTAGCACCCTAAGAATCTATACCTCCTCGGCTGGCCGAAGATAACCAGCTGCCTCCCACGAATCCTGTTCAATCCTAAGAACCACTACTTAACCCCGTTCAGACGACGGCACACCGCGTACCCAACTCTGACGCTGCTTCGGATAGAGTTACTGTTGAAAAAGCGTTCTGCGAATGATAGTTATTGTACTTTCCACTTCTGCGTATTTTGTTTGGTTAAATTGCTGGATTAGCACGCGTTACCTTGCCTGTCAAGGTGTGTCGTCGCCTTAGTAGACTAAAAAGAAATAAATCTATTCGAAAAAGTTGACCTTTTTAAAAATAACACAAGGAATGTTTTCTCATCTGTGCGGTTATTTAAAAGTGGCTAGTAAACATACAAAATTCCTACGGAACTTTGTAATCTACGAGCTGGTTTTAGTAAGCAGGATGAAAAAACATTTCTCTTTCTTGTATTAAGAAAATTTTCCTGTTAGCTTAGTCTTGAATTTGTAACTTTGATTGATACGAATGATAATCCAGCAATTTAATTAATTGCCAATCTTTTCTTCTTTTTCCCTCCATCTCGGTTTTTTCGTTTTCTTCGTTTGCGACGCGTCCACAAAAAAACCTCAACCCACCACCCAATCCAAAAATGTCCAAAACTTGTCATTTGCAGAACGCTTAAGCGAAAAGAAAATCACAAAATTGTTGAGCTCCAAGAAGCAGCGACAGCAGTATGAGATCAAGCAACGTTCCTTCGTGCGGCAACTGGCCGAAAATCGGCGCCAAAGTCGGTTGCGGAAACTCGGCGCGATGTCAGTTCAATCCTCATTGCAAAACTTGGACAGACGCCTCAGTCATCGGAGCAGCAGCCAGGCCTCACTAAGTCCAAGCAACAGCAGCGGCTATGGAAGCGTTTTCGGCTGCGAAGATCATGACGTGTTCCAATTTCTAAGCCTTAAGGTATCCGAGAATCTAAAGCGTCGACGTAGCAACGGGATTAGCACACCGACTCCCAACTCCAAGCGGTCTAAGAACAACGAGGGAGTTATTGTCAAAAGGCCGCCCAAAGGTGAATACGTTGTTGAGCGGATCGAGTGCGTGGAAGTCGAACGGTACCAGCCTGTATTTTTTGTCAAATGGCTGGGATATCACGCCAGCAAAAACACCTGGGAGAGCCTTGACCACTTGGCCGACTGCGCTCAAATGGAAGAATTTGTAGAGCGGCACCACCAGCTTTACAAGCCATACATAGCTAAGGTAACCAGTGAGCTTGAGGAGCAACTGGCAACCTTACCGCTGATGGAAAACATAAGTGTAGCCGAGGTGGATGCCTATGATCCCCTTCCTCTGCAGCTTGACCTTATCCTGCTTGCTCAATACCGGGCGGCTAGCAGTCGCAGCCAAAAAGAACCGCAGAAAATTGGAGAACGAGCCTTGAGGAGTATGCAACTTAAGAGGGCTCACTCCACACGGCGCAAGCAGCTCCTTGACCTTGCCAAATTTGAGGAGCGCATGAATCAAGTTGAGCAGCCGTCGCCTCCGATACGAGTTGAGAACAACGTGGATCTGGAAACGATAGACAACAATTTTATGTACATTCAGAATAACATAATCGGCGAAGGAGTTCCCAAGCCAGAAGCGGGGATTCTGGGATGCAAGTGCGCAGACGAGAACGGAGTAGAAGGGTGCACCCCCTCTACGAAGTGCTGTGCCAAAATGGCCGGGGAGCTGTTCGCCTACGAGCGAAGCACACGGCGCTTGCGCCTGCGTCCGGGTAGTGCAATCTACGAGTGCAATAGTCGTTGCCCCTGCGATGAAAGCTGCTCCAACCGACTGGTGCAACACGGTCGTAAGATTCCGTTAGTGCTTTTCAAGACGAGCAACGGCAGTGGCTGGGGAGTGCGCACCCCAACTGCCCTGCGAAAGGGAGAGTTCGTGTGCGAGTACATCGGCGAGATCATCACCAGCGACGTGGCCAATGAGCGCGGAAAGGCGTACGACGACAATGGCAGGACGTACCTGTTCGACTTGGACTACAACACGGCCCAGGAGAGTGAGTTTACAATCGATGCGGCGAACTATGGCAACATTTCGCACTTTATCAACCACTCGTGCGATCCGAATCTTGCCGTGTTCCCCTGCTGGATTGAGCACCTGAACGTGGCTCTGCCGCATCTCGTGTTCTTTACGCTGCGTCCAATTAAGGCGGGCGAGGAGCTGAGCTTCGACTACATCCGTGCGGACAACGAGGATGTGCCCTACGAGAATCTCTCGACGGCTGCGCGTGTCGAGTGCCGCTGCGGAGCGGACAATTGCCGGAAGGTCCTCTTTTAAATATTCGCGGACTTTTTTTTTACATTTCCCTTTGAATTGCATTGACTTGAATTTTTTTTTAACACATTTGTTAATACTTGGCGCTTGCTGCCCAAATGTATGCTGATTTTAATTATTTATTTTATAATTGTTTGCACTGCCAAATGCGATTGTGGAAGAATTATGGATCTATGTGAAGTTTGATAAGGACTCGACTAGATAATTAAGTGCAAAGTTTATCTTAATTGTAAAGTAATTTTTATACATTTCCTTAATTGTATTATCGACTAGGTTACACTTGTGTTTTGACAAACTACTTTACAATGTGCTGAAATTATATACGGCATTTATGTATAACCGATTTCAAAATAAATATATTATGTGAATTAAGTGGTGTTACGTTTTTATTTTTGTTTGTTGCGATATTAAGGTTAATATACCTTTAAGGAACAAGTATTATAGTCACTTTTTTTTTTTAAAGCTAATCAAAACGCTTTGAAGAACCCACAGTTTTATGTCTGCAATTCCTATCGCTACTCTTTTAGGTTATGCCAACGCCAAAATCTACAAGTGCGACAATCCCAAGTGCCCGCGCCCGGCCAGTTTCGTATCGGATGCCTCGAGCAAGGACGACAGCTTGCCCTGCACCCGACTCAACTGCTCCGGAAACTTCAGATTGGTGCGACACGTGAGCTTCGTCGATTGCCCTGGTCACGACATTCTCATGGCTACCATGTTGAACGGCGCCGCCGTGATGGACGCTGCACTGCTGCTCATTGCTGGTGAGTGCCTCACATCAAACGAAAACAAACTTGTTAACTCGGAATATTTTTGTGTACTGTATTAACTCTTAACTATTGATAAACACAGAAAAGTTCCGAATAGGGTCGCTTTTTTTATGTGTGTACTTAATTAGGAATTCGAGTTTAAAAAGTTTGTAAACCTCAAGTGACATTTTCATTAATTACTCTGTTTCCCTTACAGGCAATGAATCCTGTCCACAACCGCAAACCTCAGAGCATTTGGCTGCCATTGAGATTATGAAGCTGAAACAGATTCTGATCTTACAAAACAAGATCGATTTGATCAAGGAGAGTCAGGCGAAGGAGCAGTACGAAGAGATCACCAAATTCGTCCAGGGCACCGTTGCTGAGGGCGCGCCGATAATCCCGATCTCGGCCCAGCTGAAGTACAATATCGATGTGCTCTGCGAGTACATCGTGAACAAGATTCCTGTGCCGCCGCGCGATTTCAACGCCCCGCCCCGTCTAATTGTCATCCGGTCTTTTGACGTTAACAAGCCAGGTTGCGAGGTGGCGGATCTGAAGGGCGGCGTTGCCGGCGGCTCCATCCTGAGTGGAGTGCTTAAGGTGGGCCAGGAGATCGAGGTGCGTCCGGGTGTCGTCACCAAGGACAGCGATGGCAACATTACCTGCCGCCCGATCTTCTCGCGCATCGTCTCGCTCTTTGCCGAGCAGAACGAGCTGCAATATGCCGTGCCCGGCGGTCTAATCGGTGTGGGCACCAAGATCGATCCCACGCTGTGCCGTGCCGATCGTTTGGTCGGTCAGGTGCTGGGTGCCGTTGGCCAGCTGCCGGACATCTACCAGGAGCTGGAAATCTCGTACTACCTGCTGCGTCGTCTTCTGGGTGTCCGTACCGATGGCGATAAGAAGGGAGCGCGAGTAGAGAAGCTGCAGAAGAACGAAATCTTGCTGGTGAACATCGGTTCCCTTAGCACCGGTGGCCGCATCTCGGCTACCAAGGGTGATTTGGCTAAGATTGTGCTTACGACGCCCGTGTGCACGGAGAAGGGCGAGAAGATTGCCCTCAGCAGACGTGTGGAGAACCACTGGCGGTGAGTCCAGCCCTTTAATAGTTTCACAAAAGTTTGCTTATATAACAAAATTTCCCATTTCAGTTTAATCGGCTGGGGACAGATCTTTGGGGGCAAGACAATCACACCCGTTTTGGACAGTCAGGTAGCAAAGAAGTAGAACTAAGTTAGGATTGGATTGGTTCTTCTTTTAGCAACAACGCCAGCGACAGCAGTAGCAGCATCATCTTTATTAGGCCTCTTCGACCTGCTCCTCCTTCCATCCTCCCCGTGTCCGTTGATCAAACCGAAACAAAAAAAAATAACTACCAACAAAAAATACATACCTAACTTAATTTATTGAATTTTGTTTTCGAGTATGTATATAAAAAGAAAACACACGTTTCGCTTGCGAGAGTTGTGCAACTATAGCAGAATCAGGCATTACAGAAACAACTAATAGGATATACCTTACATATTATATTAACTAAAGGAAAATCTGATACATCGTAAAATTGTTTTTATGATTTAAATACAAAAGAAAAACGAAACGAAAAAAACAAACTAATTGTATTGCATTTTTACAATTAAAACCTTAACAACTGACTTATTATTTTGGGAGCTTTGGAAAGAAAGTAAAATTATAAAAATCGGGCGGCGAAAATCTCTTTCAAGATACGTAACAACTTTAAGTCGGGGAAAAGAAATGTTTCCCAGGAAGTAGAGACAAACACAGATTAAGTTTTCATTATAGACCAATTTATTTTTCCACTTTTAGTTCAATTAAATTTAAATAGTTACAATACGATGTTTGTTCAATAACACATTGATAATCGTAATATTTGGTTTAAGCAATTATTCATACAAATCTCAATATCGTTTTTGAAACACGATTGCCGTCGTAACCGATTATACTTAACCAGTATCCGACATCGACATCAATTGTGTTGAATAATTTTTGAAACGGTTTGGTTTTTTTCGATTTGGTAAATTTGTTTTAACTATCGCACACTAGATTAATTTTAATTTATTTTTTATCGTTCTGTAATTTTAAACTACTATTACCAAGTATTTTATTTGTTAATTTAATATTTGGTTTCTTGAGACTTCGTTTAATAGTAAATATAGCTTATTGAATAAAAATTCGTACTTAGCCGTGATGTACATATGTTGTTTTGGTTTTGCTGTTGAAACTAAATTTTGATAAATGACTCACTAATAAGTATATTTGAAAAACGTTTGATTTTATTAGTTAATACTATTGAGTAATTTCTGTAATACTTGTAATTTCAGTTTGCTAAATTACTACCCCGATTTCGGGGGACACGATTGCGTTGTGGTCAGTACACGCTTTGAGCATTTGATAACAGAGTCGAGTCTTCGTTGAACTTACAATTTCCGAACTTAGGCAATAAATTGTACAATTCGGTATATAGCTATTTTGAGCATCCGTTGAACACAATATAGTTTTCAGGTCTGAGATCGATTACAACCAAAAGCGGAACAAGAACCGTATTCAAAAGTTTTCGCCATCATCTTGTCATCCGAAGTGAGTGGGGGAAGTTACCTAAATTAGATCCGAACTAAGACTAAGGCAAATCAGGAGAATGGTAGTTGGTATTTGGGTATCTTTGGCTTTCGTCTAAGTGAAGCTTCGACTAATTGCTTGCTGGCTTAGTATGATTACGACTAGTTTTGCAAATTGATCAAATCAAACAATTCATATTCCCATTACATTCTGGGTCTCTGCTCTTCTACCTGTATTCCATATACATATAATTATATTGTGCTCGTATCGTTGGCATTAGACTGTCTAGGACCCGCCCGATTCAAGAAGCAAACGAAAGTTATTCTCTAGCAAGTCCTTCGTTATCGATCAAGAAACCGTCTAATGTCTATTAAACCCCACACAAAAACGACTTGGAAACGATTTCTTACTTCTATATACTGACGTAGTTTCATTGTATATGGTACATTCATTTGAGTTGGTTGGGAACAGAAGGTTTAAATTTAGAAGTAAGAAGAGCATTTATCTGGATCCCGAAATTTCAATAAAGCTGGATTGGAATGGCATGAGCTTTGAATTCAAATTCGTATCCTACGGTTTCCACTATATGCATATGTATATGTCAATTGGTTTATCGTAGAGTTCCATATGTGCAATGTTTGTGCATTTTTGGGAGTGAGCAGCGGGGAATACCTTGAATTTTGGTCAGCTTCTTTTACTTATTTTATAAAAATTGTAATTTCGTACACTCATTATTTAGATATTACATACATACACAATTATTGACAGTTAACGTTGGCAAAATGGCAGATGGCAGTAGGGTTTGACATCTTAATGATCAATTTCATATATGCTAAGTATTTAACAGTTTCGCTAATATCCTCATAATGCATTGATTATAATTGATTTCTTGCCCGGCCTAACTCGCTTAGCCTATCGTTTCGTATATAGTATAGTACAGATTTTTCAATTACATACATACAGAGATATACAGGTGCATAACAAACACGCAGATTTACATGCCGCTGTTGGATTGAGTATCGTTCTGGTTATATCTAACAATCAGTTGGTTACCATCTACACATATTTAGTGACATATTTTTAGGTCGATTAAATTACGCCTAATACGGCTATATACAGGATCTATTGCTCGTTGCAGCAGCAATCGGTTGGGCACCTAATTTTCGATCTTCTCAACTTGATTTGCCTTTCGGGGCGGGGAGTAGTGTGGTTTTCGGAGCCTGCATTTTCTTCAGGATGCTCTTCTGGCCGGGGATCGGGCATCTTAAAGAAAATGGCTTAAATCTCATTCGTTAACGTCCTCGTCCGACGAACTGGCAGCGGGAATCGTCGAGAACTGCCACTTCTCCCGGTTGTTATTCTTGCTGAGGGTTAAGAGAAGTTAGGTAAGTTATTGATTTTACTACTTAATTTCTTCATAACTTTTAGGAACAAGGCAGATTTCTGCAAAAGCCAAAGTGTACAAGCACTACTTCAACTAGTTCTAAACCTACTCACCCGTGTTTTTTGGCATTGCTGGGCAGTGTGTGCGAGCTGCGGTAGTAGCTGTCCATCGGTTCCTCCTTGGTCTCCTCCAGAGACTTACGCTGCAGCGTCATCGTCTCCTGGGGCGACGTCGAGGATCCCCCTGCCCCGCTCATCTCCGCATCCAAGAAGTACTTGGCACTCTGCGCTATCTTGCAGTTCTCGCATTCACTAAGGTAGTCATCGTCCAGGCTGGTGTCGTTGGGCAGGAAGTGCTCCTTGGGATTCAGGCAGTTCTTCGACGTGGTGCAGACGGGCAGCTGCTTGCTGGGTGATCGACCGCTGGCTCCTCCGGCGTTGGACTTCGTCGACATCGGATAACTGGGCATCTGGCAGTGGGCAATGGCCAGACTGGTGGCAGTTCCTCCCCCTCCTCCTCCCGATCCCGATCCAGTGTCCCGCTTCACGCGCAATATCTTCGGCAGAGTGGTGCTCTTGGCCGGACCACCTCCCTGACCACTCGCAGTGTTGCTCTCCACCGGCGGAATGCTGATCACCGAGGGCACTTTGCTGACCACACTGTTGATTGTGCTGTTCAGTGACACCTTGCCGCTGATGTGCTTGGGCAGGGTATAGGTCACGTGGTTGGCCAGCGGATAGAAGGTGCTCGAGTTGATCTTGCCGCTGGCCAACTTTTCGCTGGCCGATCCTGCGGCCGGACTCGCCGGTGGAAGGGTCAACGAAGGCGTCTGCTCCTTGCGCTGGCCGCTCGACGTTGGCTTGCTCAGCGTGTAGATCGTGGCCACGGCGCCGGACGAGCAGGAGGAGGAGGATGTGCTGACCACGGTGGCGCTCTTTAAATTCGTTAGGCTTTTGTAGAGTTTCGGTGGTAAAGTCGGATTGCTCGGATCGGTCTGCTGCTGCTGATGTTGCTGGTTAAAGAAATGTTGCTGCTGTTTCTGCGTCAAACTCAAGTAGGCATCAACCTGGAAAAGATCGTGGGATTAGCACAGTCGTCAGGGAAATGGAAATCGAGGAATGAAACCAACAGATGACAACCATAAAAAACCAATCAAGTCCTTCTCCAATTTCGCATTCGATCTCATTCCCCGGCGTGTCAAGCTCTCACAAAGGGATTACTTACATTTCGAACTCACCTTTCGATTCAAGTAGGCGTTGGAGAGGGAATCGCCACCGCTGCCGCTGGACACACTGCGCACACCACTACCTCCTCCCCCGCCGCTGGAGCTCCTGCCCCGTTCCGCGGAATTGCTGGAGGATCGCTTCTGCACGCGTCCCAGGACAATTGGCGGGGCGGACACCTCTTCGGGATGTTGCAGCGGGGGCGGTGGAATGATGGCTGACACATTGACCCCGCCCCCGGTTCCGGCATGCGAATGATGCGTCTCATCGCCCACCTGCTTCGAGATGGTTGCTATCTTGGGTTCGTGGCCACACCCACTTCGCCTCAGAGTTCCCCCACCCGAAGCCGCAGCCGTAATCAGATCCTGTGCCTGTTGCTGCAGATTCGTCGAGGACTTGGCCCGCTGTCCATAGGACAAGGTGGCCGCATGTCGAACTCCACCGGTGGCCGCAGCTCCTGGTGACAGTGAGCAGGTGGGCGTAGATGTGCTGCTGCTCGACGTGTTCCCAGCAAACAATTTGCCCGCTCCGCTCAGGAAGGCGTTCGCATTGGCCGTGCTGCCCATGTAGGACATGGGCACATGCTGGATGGGGCACTGGCACATGGGCTTCTTGCTGGCCTGCTGCTTCTCGCCGGTGGAGGTGGCACTATTGCTGGTCTTCGGCTTCACCTGGAGTGGATCGGCCACGGCGAAGTAGCGCGGAATGGTGCGATGATAGCGCCTAGAACTGGAGGGTGTTTTGCTCATCTGCTGCTGCTGCTGCTGTTGTTGTTGCTGCTGCTGCTGCTGGCTGTTCTTCAGTGTTCCGTGCAGAGGCATTTGTGTGGTCTGGGTCACCGAATCCGCAGTGCTGCAGGCGGGCGCCGACGAGATTGTGGCAATCTCCAGGGGTTGCATCAACTCCATCGCCGGCGAAGAAATGGCTGCCAAGAGATGTTGCTGTTGCTGCTGGTGCTGCAACACCTGTGAGTGAGTGGGCGTGGCCAGAAGCTCTCCGCTGCTTGCTGGCAGGGAATGATAGCTGGCTGCGCTGGCACTGGCATTGATCTCCACATCCGCTACGGTGAGATATTGCTGCTGTTGCTGTTGCGGCAGCTGGTGCAGCAGCTCCTGCGATCCCCGCGGCGTTGTCCTGCGGCCTGTCGTATACGCCGCCGAACTGGAACTGGCGGCCGCAGTGGTCACACTGGCACTAATGTTCAGGTGGCAGTTCTTGTAGCTACACTCCGCCGAGGCCGGCGGCTTTGGCATGGTCTGCAGGCAGATGGAACCACTGCTCACCGGAGGCTGAACAAGATGTTGTTGCTGCTGCTGATGCTGCTGCTGTTGCTGCTGCTCCAGGCTCAGCTGGTGATCGCTTTGCAGGCTGTAAGGCGGCTGGTGATTCTCCCCGGTGGCTATGGTGGTCACTCCTCCACTGTTAATGTTGATATTGATCAGGTTGGTGGTGCTCTGGGTGTACTGGTTGGACTGGGGCAGCACTGAAGCCGTGGCATGTGGATGCGGATGGGCCACCAGTTGTTGGCTGTACGGTTGGTGGTGCTGCTGCGGTTGGGTGTGCAACTGCAACGTGTGCTGCTGCAAGTGCTGGTGGGCCTGCACCTGAGCTTGAATCTGCTGCTGCTGTTGGGCCTGCGCTTGGGCTTGAGCCTGTGCCTGGGCCTGGGCCACCGCCTGTTGTTGCTGCTGACTGACGGTGGCCACCGCTCGTTGGGAACTGGCTGGCAGACTCACTGTGCACTGGGCACTCAAGGCCTCGGCCTGGGAAATGGCCACCGCCTCCTCGTAGGGCGGAGGAGCCTCACCTCGCGGAAAATGTGGCTTCCATAAAGGATAATGGGTTGCGGCTCCGCCATAAGAGTAATCAATGGCACTCAGATTGCCTTCCATGTAGCCCATGTTCCCGGCTATATACCTGCAATAAATTAATGGACGTTAGAGGATCAAAGGAGGGGAAGACTTTAAAACACACTCACCCTATGCTGCCAACAATGCTTCGTTGATCTTCCGCGTTTTGCCGATTCTCCCGCGCTCGCATTTTCCGCTGTCTCAGCCGATTCACCAGGAAGAAAAGGAGTGATAGGGATAGCGTGGCCGTGATGCCACTGGCCACCAGTCAAATGCCAAAGTCAGTGCTCCCATCGCTGAACTGGTCGTCCAGGCAGATCACCTCGCAGCAGTTGTTGCCACTACCAACGGTTTGGAAGGACTTGCATTTGCTAAACGCCTCACAGAGTACCATCTTGCAGGCCTTGGGCAACCCGCTGTCGCAGATGCAGAGGCGGCAAGAGTCGGGACCTGGCATATAGTGCATTCCCGTCTCGTACATTTTCCCATTGTAATCCCGGCAAGACCCACCTGGGATCATGCTTGAGCTCACCGCGTTTCCATCTGTGGAACGTTGAAGAATTGAATAATAAGTAATGTGAATATGTGACTCTTAACAAATAATATGCCCTTGTTAAATTATAATATATAAAATCCTTAAAATTCTTTTAATTCTTCTTCTTAACATTTTCGCGATTTGAAGTTCCCTAAGAATTCTTAAGGAGTCACCCAAAATTGCATTCTATAATTGTTGACGTTGTTAAGGAACTTTTAACAACGACTTAAAAATGTTCTAGTTTTGTTATTATTTGGATAAAGACTATGTTTTTTTAATATACCCTACTAAGATTTTTGTCAATAGAGAACTGGATTAATACAAAGTTCGACAGCTTTACAGTGCTATATAAATAAAAATTGTTTAGATCAGTATTTTCCAAAGTGTGGGTCGCGACCCACTGGTGGGTCGCGGGTAGATTTTTGGTGGGTACTAATGGTCATATAGATCTTGCAATTTTTTGTGTAGATGGGTCGCGGTCCCAAAAAGTTTGGGAAACACTGGTTTAGATTTCAAATGTCACTGCCAAATTTTAAAGCATACTTTTTGGTTGTATTTAGACAAATTTAAAATGTGTTTTGTTAAACATGAATTGAAAAATAATAAAAAGTTGGATGCTTGTAATTGCATTTTTTATTTTAAAAATATGTGTAGAGTTGTGCATAAGCTTTTAAGAGTGTTCAATTTAATTGAAATTTGTTATTTTTCCTGTGGCTAACTGAATATGTAAGGACCTTGTACTTTTAAACATACATACAATTGTATTTACATAGCATCCATTCGTATATACATATATGCACCTATAATGCACACTCGATGCTAGCTGAATTCTTTATTTTGACACACTTGACCAACTTTCGCCTTTGCTGATTTAACATTGCGCCACCAAATCGCACATTCACACACACACACATATATCCAAGTGCAGCAGGTGCTGTAAATTCTCTCTGCAGGGAGAGATTTGGTCCAAAAAAAGGATTCGAGGACGGGCAAGAAAGGACCACAATATTTATCACTTGAATGAAATTAAATGCAAACGCATAACATTTTCGACATCATTTAAATGCTAAACAGCAAAAGGAAATTCAAATTAAAAACAAATATACATGCACACTCCCACACACACACATATATACATATTGTATAGGTACATGCGTGTGCAGCAGGAAAGCGAATTTCTGGGCAGGAAAGGCACGAACGAAAATGGCAAACAGGCGTGCGTTACGCCCCCGCAACAAAAAAAAGTGGAAAATATCACATACAAAAAAAGTTTGCCTTTTATTCGAGAGTTTCCAAGTGAAACTCTTGTCCGAGTGTGTATGTGTGTGCGATAAATACATACACGCAAGTCAAACACACACCCAGTTCACACCCATACAGAGCAGGCGAGTATACATGCAAAAAATAAACACCATACGCACACACCCCCAAACAGCCGCCCACCAGCCAACATAGAGCCAAACTTGCATGGTTGTGTGTATGTCACACACAGGGGAAAATGCTTTAAATCTAATCGCAATGCGCAGGACAACTAGTTTTAACTTTAAAATAACTTTTCTCAACCGCTTGATCCTCATACGCCCGCCCCAAATATCGGGGTCTTAACAATCATACACAGTTTAAAAGTTTAAAGAAATAAAATGTTTTTAAATATGATTTTAAAAATGTTATAAGTCAAAAGATAGTTTTGATTTCGTTGCAGTCAAAGTTTTCATTGTATTAAAAAATAATTTCTCTCTGTGCAGAGCAAAGCGAAATTTTGCAGGCCACTTCCTTCGTATTGCCATTTCCATTTCCCCACCCAGAAAACCGTTATGCCCCCTTTTTGCTCTCTCTCTCTCTGTTTCTGCTTGTGTACTGCTAAGAAAAAGAGCGAGCTTTTGAGCTGGTGTTGGTGAGCCCTGTCAAAGTGTGTGTGTGCCCCGTGTCCCATAAATTGTGAACTGTGTGGCCATGGACCATATTTCCAATTATCGCTGAAGGAGCCAAGCAATCGAAATTGATTTTGCCTGAAAAACCTTGCGTTTTTCACTCTCAAGGAGTTTATCACCAATTAATTTGGATCTTATTACCTATAACCAGGTTATGGGGCTCAATTTGCATGTGCCTTTATTTGTGTGTGTGCGTGTATGTGTATCAAATTTTTCACACCAGTTTTTCCCACTGAGAACCATTACCTTTGGCATTTCCAATGAACGCAAGCAATGCCAAAAAATACATATTGCCCACGTTAGTTAGCACTTAACACGCCACAATTAATTGAAACTTGCTAGTTTTGTCACACAACTTTTATCCAAGTATTTTCAACAGTTTTTTGCGAACGTTCGAGCAATACCAACAACCACCGACGACGACGAACCGAACGGGAGTTTTCGCACAGACGTTACGCACCAGGGTTGGCAACATCGATACCGTTATCGTGCCAGCCTGCAAGGAACTAGTGCCAGGGCTGGTTTATGTGGCAGGTGAACCGTTTGTTTTAAAATTGTAATGACCTCTTTAGACTATTTTTGAATAACGTCAATAAGTTTAACTTCCAAGGGCCTTGCCTAAGGTTTCTCGCAGCATATTTTTAAGCCACAATTAAAAAACATTGAGTGCTTTTCTGGGCTAAATAAATACTACTTATGCTATTAATGTGCGAGTAATTTGAATCCATTAAAAATTAGTGAGCTTGGTAAGCGACAAATGGTAAGGTAATAAAAACACATTAGGTCTCGATTTTGAAAGGACTTTGACACATTTTCAAGTTAAACCAAAAGTATCTTCGGAACGTGATTCTTCTGCTTAACTGGAAAATGTGAAAGCCGCAGTTTAATATTAAAAATTAATCAGCATCCTCTGATGATTCCGCAATTCTACAAATAATTGGAATGTCATTAACATGGGTACTGTCGTTATCGGAAGGCTTTAAACTTTCGCGAATAAAATCGTTTTTGAATTTTTTCCATTCACAAGCTTTAAGATAGTGCTCGAACAGTGCTTCCCTCGATGGAATCATGCAGTCTATATAGAGCAGCCTCCTCTCCCAGATATTTCCGGGATTTTGCTTTTTCTCCAGCAGAAAAAACCTGGGAAGTATAAGGCACTGAACCGTGGTTCTTGCCATTACCACTCGGTGCTCCATTTTCTCTCCCAGGCCGAAAATTCCTCCAAATGTTAAGGAACCGACATCGATGAAATGGCTTTCGACAACTGGGTTCTGAAACGAGAATCTTAAAATAGTAAAAAAAAGTTTTGAAGAGTTAACGTGTTTTAAAACGTATAAGTAATTTTCTGAGTCTTGACTAATTCTGCAGACTTACGGTTGCTTCATCACTACTCGAGGAAAAACTAGAAAGTGAATCAAAGTCATGTTGATCAATTTCATAATTTTCACTACCAATAGAATTAGGTCTAAAAGGCTTTATAACCGCAATGGACAAGATGTCTGAATCAGATGAATTGATTTCAATCCCATTTAAATCTTCGCACATCTCCCAAAAATCCTCATAAACGTCTTCTTCTATAAATTTATCATCATCTTCAGAAAAAATCGAAATCTTTGATTTCACAGTTGTGCGGCGAAATGTGAAATGCGTCTTTTGTACCGGGACTGGTTTAATTAAATCGCAGATATTTTCTATATCTCTTAGTTTCATTTTACGCATCTAGGATAAATTGTATATTAATAAATTTTAAAAAATCAAGGGTCTTTCAGTAGTTCTAAGCTATACAATTTTTTTTTTTAATCTATATTAAATAGTAATCATTACAGAATTTTTTATTAAAAGCAGGCTTACCGTGCGATTAAGTGTTCTACTAGGGTTATTTTCCTTGGAGCTAGAACTAGAACTAGAACTAGAACTTTGCACTAGCTCGGCTATATCAATTTTTGAATCATTTTGGGTCTTGGGATTGGGATTGACGTACGTGGATCTAACTCCTTGTTTGAACATCATCGAGACATTGCCTTCGCCCGCTGGCATGAGTTGAAAATCCTTTTTTCCTTTTTTAACACTGGTCTAAAAAATAGCAAAAACTATTATATCAAAAGAAATCACCTATGAATTATGAACTTACCTTTATATTTAGGCATTGAAGAATCAGACATTCTCCACTGAGCACAAAGTGAACATTTGTCGTGGATCCAATGTCTTCGCAGAAAATGGTTTGTAACGGCTCAAACTGCTTTAGTTTTCCGAATCGGCACGCTTCTATAATCTAATTAAAATGTATTTAAATTGGCATGCGTTGTTGGTTAATTTTACGAAATAAAAATTAAAATATAAGTAAGCCCGCATCAGCTTAGAGGTGACCCTTAAAAGGCATCACATAAAACAAAGTAGCAAGTTCAAAGTAGTAGATTAGAATAAGAAGGGAAACAAACCAAGTGTAAAGCATTACCCACCTGATCATCATCGAGGAAATCAAAGTAGTCCAGTGCCTTGAGGGCACGCTTCTTCTCGTCCCAAATCTTCGTCATGAATGGCCCAAGAATCGCAAAAAAGTCATAGTCGAATAGTACCAGCAGCTCGCAGTAAGCTGCAAAGCGAAGCGTTCAATAGTTACTGCCAACTTCCTCGAATCGGGCCCATCGGTATTGGCCCGTACTCCAAGGAGCAGTGGCAAGTACTGGTGCTGGTGCTGGTTCTGGTGGCGTGCATCTGTTTTTGAAAGATTGCCAGCACGAGGAGTAACAGGCACAACAGGCCAAAAATCAAGCCACACCAACGTACATCGTATAAATGCGCCAAAGGAAGGCGGGTGTTGTTTTGGGCCAACCTATATTCGGCCGGAATACCCGGCGATTCTCGGGGAGCTGGCACGTGACGGACTCGGGCGGAGGGTATTTTGTTATTCATTTTGATTGAATCGAATTAGGACTTAACGTTTGTTTATTGCTGATTAAATTGGTGGGTACAGGCAATCGCAAATGAAGCAACAAAATCCCAATAAACACAATCGTACGTATCGCGTGCTTCAGCTATGTATTTCCCATTTATTTTGACATGAGCCGCAAATGTTGCAGTTTACCCAATTCATTTGCTTATCATCTTTAAGTGCGATACAATTGTCAAAATAACGGACGACTTATTTTACGACAATTTTTCAAATTCTTTGAAAATGTTTTTAAAGCGAATTCTCAGTTCAAGTGCAGGTCAAAGCTGATAAGATTAATTTTCTAAGAACTGGGCTTAAAAAAAATGCGGCTATCACTGGTAATAAAAGCAACTTGAAAATAATAATTCAATGAGCCGAAGTTTATATGTACACCCTTGCAGTCATCACAATTATAAAGCATAATGCATAAAGGCTAAACAACATCGATGTAATGCCTATTATTTGTCCATATTTTCATATTTTCATATTTTTTTTTTCCTATGTCGGCTATATACTATTCTCCTTCGATTTTTATGACATTTAATTCAATTATTAATTTATATAAAATCAATGAAACAAAATTTCTATAAGTGGCGTGCCACTTAAAAATCTTATTAAATACAAAAGAGATAGGCTTAGAACAAGTGAACTTTTCTTAATTTTCAGCAAACCTAATTTTTGGAAATTTCGTAAAGGGTAGTAACATGAAAATTTTAAAAAATCGTCCAAAAAATAAAAACTTAGAATTAGGATACACACTTTGAGAGGCACGCCACTTCAAAATCTGTTTAAATTTAGAAAAGATATGGACTTGGAATTAGTGAATTTTGGTCCATTTTCAGCAAACTCAACTTTTTGGATTTTTTGTCCTGGTGAAACCCACATGGGTCAGCCTAGGCCGCGAACGGAGACACAGCGTTGGATACTTTATTTAATAATAGTTAATTGACCATACTCGCATCTAAGACTTGTAGGACGTGGATTGTCCCAAAATGTATACTTATACTGTAAGCCTTTCATTGATTTAATATAAATTTTCACGACCTTATATGATATAGATACATATATACTTTTGGTAAAGTTTCATCAAGATAGTTTTAGGCTCTCAGTCTCAAGTTTCAGACGTTTACAGACGGACAGACGTATTACGATTCAGATCGTGATGCTGATCAAGAATATATATACTTATAGGGTCTAAAGTGTCTCCTTCACTTAGAATTTAATACCCCCTTTAATGGTATAATAAAACAAAATAAGACGAATGTTCTGTTTATGCTTACTTGCTGCTCTAAAAGTGTGTTTTCTATCGAAACCTTCTAAAAGCTCTACGTATCCCATCATGTCTCCAGGACCAAGAACGGCTTTGAACTCCTCTTGCTTTAAAATTAAAGGAATATCAGAAGGATTGTTTAAAGAAAATCAATATTTTGAGTCAATACTTCGTCGTCCTCTTTAAGCATGTGTACTTCCCCTGTTAACACAAAAAACACGGTTATGGGAATATCAGATTGCCTTATTATAATGCGGCCCGCATCAACGGACATTATGCGAATCAATGGAACTAAGCGAGCTCGCATTTTCTAAAATATAAATCGGTAATGATTTATGATACCATTTTATCTGAGCTTACCTTACTGGAGTAAATTGGGATAGACACATTAACTTAGCAAGCAGCGTACACAATTTCATTCTCTCCGGAATTGTTCGTATCACATGGGGAGTGCGAATTAAGGCTCTATCCTGTAATACATAGTTACATTATATTTAATTTATATCCATTTTGGGTAAGTTGTTTTAATAACCGATGCGCTAAGGAAGCCTGTTCTGGGTTTAGCCCGAACCCGAGTAGATATATTTTTCATAACGTTTGAAGAAATCTTTAGCTCCTCGTTATCTTTCCACGGATCATTAAAGCTTACTAGGCGAACCACTTTTTTGAACATTATCTTGAGAGCCTGGATTCTCTTGGCCTCTGCGGTGTCCCTAAAACGCTTGTGCATCTTAACAAGTGTACAAAAATATATGAAAAACACAAAGTGTAACCAAACAAAAAGTATTTTAAATGTTTTTTTGTGACATTATTTCAAATTAATTTTGAAAATCTTAGTGTCGAGCTCTAAGCCAGAATGATGATTTAGAATAAAATAATTATTAAATACACTTCCAGCTTTTTTAATCGTTTACTTACTTTGCATCTACCCTTTTATCAGAAATTCAATTTTGAAACTCCCGCCAAGAAAGGGAAATTCTGTAACAGCTGAATATTGGTGCTTTACTTTGAATGGCAAAAGAGGAATTTTATTTTGGTTTCAATTTAATGTGTGTTTCTGTTAACATTTTATATTATAACAAGTAAGAAATAAAATTTTACTTAAAAACAACTAATAATTTGTAATATTATTACAATAATTTTTGGAAGAAGCAGTTATCGAACCATTATCGATTACAGTTCAGAATTTGAAAAGGAAACTAGTTCATGAATCAGTTATAGTCTTTTGTTGCTTTTGTTTTTATTTAGTCGTTGTTTTAAAAAAGTTGCTTGAACTGTAAGTTTAAAATAGCACTTCTAGACTTAGTATGGATGCAACTGTGGAGGAAAATGCGCCTAGTCAAACGAAATCCGAATGCAAAGTAGGTACTTCTATAAATAGTGGCTTTCCCATTGTTGAGAAACGGAAAACTTTCTCTTTTTTTAGTTGGCCAAATCGGAGGAGGCCGAGAAGCCCTCGAACAGCATTGGACTGATACCAATTATGATATTCCTGGCAGCCACGGTAACCACAGCGGTAGTGGTGGAACTCCTGCCTCATGCCAGCAAAGTTTTTCCCTGGATTCCTACAGATTCCTCTGAAGATCAACAGCAGCCGCCGCCCACTTACGCGATCTTTGGACGGAGTCCCACGGAGGAGCACCTCGTGCACGTGGTAAATGTGTTGGATAAATTCGGATACCAAAGAGTGGGAGTCAACGAGAGCTGGAATCTGTTGTGGGCCCACGATTACCCTTTTCTCACAATCCCAAGCCTTAAGAATCTCGGTCAGCATCAAGTGGTTAACCACTTTCCGGGATGTGGCTACCTCACCAACAAAGTCGATTTGTGTACCACCCAGCTGCCCTTTCTGCCGCGTGCCTTTCGACTGCCGGCGGAGAGGGAGGAGTTCCTGGACTATGCCAGGGACAATCCTGAAGCTCTTTTCGTTCAGAAGCACAACGAACACCGGCACATAAAGGTGCGAGCACCGACAGACATTGCTTTTGGATCCAATGATTCGTTTGTCCAAGAGTTTGTCCAGCGACCCTTCCTGGTGGATGGTCACAAGTTCGATATTGGAGTTTACGTGGTCATCACCTCGGTGAATCCCTTACGAGTTTACATCTATACGGGCGACGTTCTGTTTCGCTACTGCCCCGTGAAGTACCATCCTTTTGATCCCGAGAATGTGGACAAATACATCGTGGGAGATGATTACCTGCCCACCTGGGAGGTTCCTTCGCTGCGAAAATACTACAATCGTTTTGGCGGCAGCATGCGCACTGTTTTCGAGGCCTATGTCAGAGATCACGGCAAGGAACCATCAAAAATATGGCCTCAGGTGGAGCACATTATCCGCACAACAATAGCGTCAAAAGAAAAGGACATCGTGAGCATTTTGCGCTCCTACAAGACCCACAACTTCTTTGATCTGATGCGATTCGATCTATTTATTGACGAAGACCTGAAGGTCTTCCTCATGGAGGCAAACATGTCTCCCAATCTTTCTTCAGCCCATTTCAAGCCCAACTCGCTTTTGTATGAGCAAGTACTGTACAGTGTGTTTAATCTTGTAGGAATTCGCCCATTCACTGCTACAAGTAGAACTTCGTAAGTAATTATAATTTTCCCTCTTGATATAAAATAACAATATTTAATTCAAGGTTTGCTGAGAGCAGCGAAATGATCACAGCCGATAAAAACTTGGCTACTGATTTAAACAAATGCGCAGCTTACGATTGTGATAAATCCTGCAACAAGGAGGAGTGTGATCTGTGCCTACAATGCCTCAGTGGATCGGAGTACAAGATGCTGCAGCAAGCTCATCAGGAGCACTTGCATCGCGTGGACATGAAGCGCATTTTTCCTCAACCGATTGTAAGTAGAAAGTTCGAATCAAATCAAATCAATATCATAACCGTATATATCTTTTTTTGTGCAGCAGGATCTTAAAATCTTTAACCTTGTCGAGGAAACCACTAACATGTCGAAGAAAAATGCTTGGATGACCCGTTGGTTCTATAACAAATGCCAATTTGATGCTGCCTGGTGCAACTAGATAATTTAACTTAATAACCTCTTAGGCCCAGCATTAGTTAATTGGCCATCGATTGTACTTAGTTCAAAACTTACAGAACCACCTTGTTGGCATAATGTTTTTTATGGCCATACAGTCAGTAGTATTCAAAGGCAAATTATAGTGCTTTAAGCTAGAGCCTGTTTTGCTCTTAGGTGCTTTTTATTAACAACGAAAACATGTACAAATTAGAAAGGCCGTCCTTAATTGGATTCGAATTCGTTTCTTCAGAATACCTTAAGCAGAAAAAGCTATAATTTATTAAAGGTAAATAAAACAAATGACAATATTGTAATTACAAATTTAAAAACATGATTTTCATGAAGTGAAATTAAAATAATTTAAATTTAAGAAACTATGCCTTCCTTCTTTTGAAAAAGACCATGTGATCATAAATAAAAAATAATGTTATGTGAATGTCAATGAATTGTCCCTTAGCATTTTAGGAACTACATACGTATGAACATACCTCTAATTTCGTCTGCCAAATAACGTATTGCTAATGGTCAAACCCGTTCGTTGCGGCAGGTCATTGTCCATTTTGCCCGAGACAAGAGGGTCCGATTCCCGGGCCGCAGTTGTCGCCAGCGTCCTCGGCCATAATGCCTACCTATAGTTGCCAATATCGACTGGCGACATTGGCCGAACGAACAGAACGTTAAAGCGATGCCGGCTCATTGGTGCAGTGCCTGTGCCTGTGCCAGTGCGATGCCTATGCGATGGCCCGGCGTACACTTATTGCAAACCGATAAGACGCGAGATATGTCAATGTCAACATAAACATAAGCAGCGGAATAAATACACATGGGCAGTGGCAATCAAAGCCGCTCTTCTCGCGGGGAATCGCGACCTCGTCGCAACCCGGGCCATAATCGGAGCTACACGAGGAAATGTCAGGTTTGATAAAATATTGGCCGGCACACATTCTTACTCAGAGCTGAAGAGCTGCAGACCTGAAGAGCCCGAGAGTCCGAGCGTTCGATAGTCGAGTCCAGAGAATAGATGGATGGATGGGTGGACAGACGGAGGGACTTCGAAGCGAGTCCCCGTCCCCAAGTCGCTGAGCTGTGAGCCGTGTTGAGCTGAGCTGAGCTGAGCAAAGCTGAGCTTTTTGTCGAAATGGAGATGAAGACGGCGACGAAGACGCTTTGTCGGCAATTACTTGTGGCGGTGTGAAGCGATGGATTTATTGCCCCAACAGCTAATCAACCAGCTGAATTTATCGCTGACTTCATTCGACATTTAGAGGCTTCATATACACGCTGTGTGCATTAGTTGTGATCGCGCCATGGGAAAATAAAAAAAAACAGGAGAAGCAAAGGCAGAGCTCCTCGTAAAGGGACACTGATCGAGTGATAGGTGCAAATTGCAGCCTGATAAAAAGTGATTCCGATTCCCCCGAGTCCAAATCAGTGGTGGCCATGCCTCGGGTTCTGGGCCCCCGATCTCCAACTCAATCTCGATCTCGCTCTCGATCTCGGGTTTTCTGTGAACTTCGGGTACTTGAAAGGCGTTTGAGCTTCCGTTTAACGGTTAGAGTGCCACCAATTGTCCCTCCCCACGAAAATGCCCCCCCTGGAATACCAGGCGTAAACAACTTTTTCTTGGTTTCGGCTGCGCGGTGCCATCGTTCCGTAATTAATAGCGGCTCATGCGTGGCAATTTAAATAGCCGCTAATTGTAACCACCGTCAAACAAAACCAGTTGAAATGCCAGGAAATGGCCACCGTGCAAAAGAAGCAAGCTGAGGCAGGCAGAGGCAGGCATTCAGAGGCAGAGGCAAGTAGGCAGTGAGCGCCATATAGCCATCGACATGGCCAGAAGCCAGAAGCAGCTGCCGCTCGCACTCCTCTGAAATTTGTAATTTTGCTCTTAATGCCGGCGCATATTTCATTTGCATCTCGTGGTCGCTCGATCGCTCGGTTGGTCGGAGGAGATGCGAAGTCTCGAAAGCCAAGTGGCTAACCAAGAAGCTTAGGCTTTCTTGGCGCAAATGAAGTACTCCGCAGGATGCTAATATGCGACCATGGGCGAACTGGTTCATTACCTCCTTCATTTCTCTTATTAGCCAGCTCATTTTCGAGCTTATACTTATATGTACAACGGAGCTGGCTTTATATGGGGTAGGTTTTCGGTTTTAGTGGGCTTAGTTTCGAGTATGCAAATTCCTCGGATCCAACATCTGTTCTTCTTAGGGTCGTTACCTTGATGACACCACCGTTAAACGAGAGGAGGCGATCCCATTATTTCTCATGCAAGCACTCATTAGCTCGTAATCTGATCTGTGTACTTAAGTTTCCATTAAAAAACTGATTGCTTTTATGCAAGCGTTTCCTCGGGAAGTTCAGGTTTTTTTCTAAAGTACTTGCCTTAACTAAAAAACTCTTTAAGCTACTCCTTAGCTCTTTAGCTTCTGATCTACATCCTTTTTAAACACTAATCAAAATAACATATTCAACATACAAGGCTACTTCCCACGATCTAAGCTTAAATATTTGGTAATTTGAGAACCTACAGATTGCAAAACCCCTCAGTAAATGCAAAAAGCTATAAGTAAGGGTAATAACATCATCTAATAGTGGATTACAACACATTTAATCACAGTAAAATCGAACACCCAAACGGCTTTCGTAGGAAATACAATTAATTAAGACGGGAAATGCAATGCAGTTCGGCATCCTAATTAAAGTCAGGCGGCTTAATGATGTTTTTATAAGAAGAACTTTGTTTTAAGTAAGCATCTTGATGCAATTTAACCCTGCCTGATTGGTTGGAAAACTGGTGATTACTCGGATATTCGCGGTAACAGACGAAATTGGAATTGCCAGCCAGATAAATGTGCGGGATAGGATTCGAGTACTGGTACTGCTGGGATGCTGATGCGATTGCGGCGATGTGATGATGCATCTCGGGGAGCTGTGCAGCCGCAGCACAAACAAAGAGCTGCAAGGGACTCAGTATATCGAGGCAGCCATCCGGTTTGCTGGCCAAAAACAGTTGGCAGTGGCAACTGCGATGCGATGCAGTGAGATGCGGTGCGGCTAGATGCGATGCTCATGGCCTGGATCAATTTCAATGCCTTCTTGCATCCGTTAGGTGACCTCGAGAACTTCAAAGAATTTGAATAGCTATTGAAAATTATGGTGCATGGATGAAATGGCCGGCGGCCAAAGAAAAGTGTTGGAGCTGCCGGTTCCCATATTCCAGAGTCTGTGGCCTGAGTCCGCAGTGGCCAAAAGTTGCCCGGGTCCCAACTTCAGCAGATCCTTGTCTCCCTCCACACAGATGTACCAGCACTGGTACCTACATACGTATGTGCACTCTGGAGTGTACTTACTTGACCCTAGACCAGGTTGGACCTGGTCCCTGCTCTCCTCGCGGGTTGAGATACTTTGCGCTTTAAGTTTATGCAGATAAATGCGGCGACGTCTTTATTTTGCAGCTAAACAAGGCCAGCCACAGAGACTTTTTTCGATTCGATATGGAGTGGAATTTTACATATTTTTTCGGAGATTGAAAATGCAGACAGAGTAGGTATAAAAAAGGTTTGAGCTCGCAAGAAGATTTTATTTAAATGCATTTGCAGTGCAGCACAACTGTAATAAGAAAAAGGATACTAAAGATATTTTTAAATAATGATGGCCAATTTTAGGAGGGTTACATTGCCTTTCTAGAATATAATTTTGAATGAAAGATTTAAATTGTTTAGTTTTATTTATTTGTTAGATTCCAAACTTAAAATTACTTCCTTTTAAGCGCTTTGCTGTAGTATAAATAAACTTTTGATTTTTATGGTACTCTCTTTTCTAAAAAATTATTTGGTGCAATGCTGAAAAAACTGTGCCAAGCCAACTGTATTGGAATGCCATTTCCAAAGCCAATAAATACGAAAAACCATTGTTGAGATTGAGCCTTTCAATTCCACATAAACATAATTGGAGCCATTACACTCTGGCCGGGAGTTGTGCCAAAAATGGGTCGAGCCCCCAGAAGGAACTCACTTTCGGACGCAGTATTGATCTATGTTCATTGCCAGGAGATCGATTAAATATCAGGCGAAAGGGAAAACGCAGCCATAGCCCCCCAAGTGGCTCCAGTTTCGGATTGGCTTCGGTTCGCTTTGCTTTGGTTTGGTTTGGTTTCAGTTTAGGTTTAGGTTTGGTTTGGCAATCGCCACCCCACGGGCCACCCACTCGGCAGCGGAAAACATGTGCCTATTGACAGAATATTGACAGAAGCTATTTCACTTTTCGGGGTGTGACAGACATGCCGGCGTTGCCTTTGCCTTTGCCTTTGCCCAAGTCCATGCTTTTGCCGTTGCCGTCGACGACTGCAACACCCCCACCCCAATACACTGAAAATAAATAAGAATAAAATCATTGATGTTAAAGTGTGTTCTTATCACAATCATACAATACCAAGAATTAAGAATTGGGTTTGTTTTAAGTGACAAGGGTCATCCAGTTTGTGATTACAGAATGTTGACATTCAATTTTATTTCATCATTTAAATTATCTTCAAATTGAATCCAAATTTAAACGGAATTTTTCATAAAGGTCATTAAACCATAAAAATTATCTGAAGCTGTTGAAGTTAAGTGTTCTGGTGAATATTCCCTAGTTCTATAAAAATATTCTAAAATGCGATCTATTATAATAAAATGTCAATGATTTTTTAGGTAAGAAAGATGCAGCAATAAGAAAATCTACATATTATAAAGTTACGTAGGCTAAACTTTTTTCTTGAAGATTAAAGAATATCATCTTATAACTAACACATATTTCTGATTTTTTTTGGGCAGGTCCAAGAGGATATGGCATATCATTTAGTTTGATCATCTTGCCTTGTATGACCCTCTTCTTTCTCTGCACGGCCACCCAAAATGCTGCCACCCAAGAAGCCCCAACCAAGTTGCGGCGAACTGGAGGAGGAGGGGCACTCGGAGGGGTCCAGGGGAGCTGGGTTTCCGTCTGTGCCAAAAGTTTTTGACTGCGATTCAATAAACAAACGGTATTATTAAATAATGCGCTCGTTTTGCAGCGTCGCAAGTTGGCCGAGAAATCGGTTACGCTGCCCGATTTGTCTTGTGCAGCGCCGCGATTGCAAATGGATTAATATCCATATATCCCTATAGCCATATAGCCATATATCCCAGCCGGGGCAACAAACATTTCGACGCCAAATTCGGCGCGGCTCTGAAGTTGAGCGGCGCTCAGCTCGGAGGTGTTTTAATGAATGTTGCCAGGATACAGGTGCCAGGTGAGGCCATTTTGTTATTTTTATTTGCTTTGACAGTCGGCACTTGAGCACCGGAGGAGTCGGGAGGTATCGGAGGCATCGGAGGCATCGAAGGCATCGGAGCAAGCGGAGGAGTCGGAATCGGGCCGCGAATATATTGGCCAGTGCTCGAAAGGCTGAACAACCGAT